TGCATTTTAAATGGATCAGAATTTGATAATGTTGATATTAGTGGAATGAACTTGAATTAAGCTTTATTGTTCAATTGTAAATGGAAGAATATCAAAATACATGACTTAAGTAAATTAGATGGTCATTCAGAAACAGTTATGTCTGTCAATTTCTCTCCTACTGGCAATATATTAGCATCTGGTAGTGCAGATAAATCTATCCGTTTCTGGGATATAAAGACAGGATAATAAAAATGCAAATTAGATGGTCATTTAGGAATAGTTTATTCAATCAATTTCTCTCCTGATGGTAATATATTAGCATCCGGTAGTGATGATAAGTCTATCCATTTATGGGATGTTAAGACAGGATAATAAATAGCCAAATTATACGGTCATTCAGGTTGGGTTTATTCAGTCAATTTCTCTCCTGATAGTACTACATTAGCATCTGGTAGTGATGATAACTCGATCAATTTATGGGATGTTAAGACGGGATTATAAAAAGACAAACTAGTTGGTCATTTAGAAAGAGTATGGTCAGTCAATTTCTCTCCTGATGGTACTACACTAGCATCTGGTAGTGCAGATAAGTCTATTCGTTTATGGGATGTTAAGACAAGATAATAAAAAGCCAAATTAGATGGCCATTCACATTGTGTTATTTCAGTCAATTTCTCTCCTGATGGTGCTACATTAGCATCTGGTAGTGTGGATAACACTATCCGTTTATGGGATATTAAGACACGATAAAAAATAGCCAAATTAGATGGTCATTCTAGTTATGTTTATTAAGTCAATTTTCTCCTACTGGCACTACATTAGCATCTTGTAGTGCAGATAAGTCTATTCGTTTATGGGATGTTAAGACAGGATAATAAAAAGCCAAATTAAATGGTCATTCTAATTATGTTTATTCAGTCAATTTCTCTCCTGATGGCACTACATTAGCATCTGGTAGTTATGATAAATCTATCCGTTTATGGGATGTTAAGACAGGATAATAAAAAGCCAAATTAGATGGTATTCTAATACAGTTTATTCAGTTGATTTCTCTCCTAATAGTAATACATTAGCATCCGGTAGCAGACCTAACTCTATTTGTTCCTGGAATGTAAAAATATAAAAAGAAATGCTCCAATTAAATAATGGCTAAAATGATATGCTTACCTAGTTTCTCTTACCACTTCAAAACAGCTTCTTATTGCCAAATGGTATTTAATATTAATTATTATTTAGTTAATCATGATTATACAATGCTTAGAATATGTTAGAATCCTTTGTTAGAAGCTTCGGAAACACTTATCTTCTTAGGACAATTCATTAATCATTAAGGGGAAGATTTAAAACCTTTGTTTTTATCCAAAGGAAGTTACTTTTTAGAAGACTTAAAGCAAAGGTGACTTGAAATATTCATATAATCATTAACAACATTAATATTTAATTTTTCATCAATATCCTATGGTATTTTTGAGTTATATCCATTTCAAAAATGAGTTTAACCCACTCAGATGAATTACATAAAAAGTATTGATATTAATGATTGGCAGTCAGTAAATACATGTATTTTTTCTCTTAAAAGAAGTATTTTATTTTAATTTTACAGCTGGCATAATACAAATTATTATTAATTAGAATACAAAATTTTTAAAATATACTACTTAAATTAACAGGTTTTTAGTAAAAATTTCACCTCCTCCTTCTTCCAACTTCCTCTACTTCCTATTTTTCTCCTCTACTTTCTATTCTTCCTATTTACCTCGGGGGTTTGGATACCCCCTTTATAATACCCGCCATCCTCAGCAGGGCCAACGGCCTCTTGACTTCGGCATCATTTGGGTGAAGCCCTAAATGAGGAAAAAAATTGTTACTTAACTTAAACTGTAGACCATCAGAGTTTCAAGAATAAATTTAAACTTAGATTTAGTAAACAGACTTAATGTGAATATTGATTCGTTATAAATATTAAACATTAGACTTCATAAGGATAATAAATTAAATAATTAAGGATAGGAGTAAAACATTAAAATGAATCTTTATTGAAAAGAAAGGAAGATTATGGAGACTACAACCAAATATGCTCTATAAAGGATAGATGGTAATTTGCGAAGCGCATTCATAATGCAAGAATAAATAAAAAACTTAAAATGAATCAGTATATAAATTTTAAAACATTGAATTTTTTAATTTATTTCACTTCTTTAAGATAATATTCCTCACTAATTAACCTCATAGTTCGTGAACATATTTTACACAAACTGAATCTGAAGATAAACACTTTCTATATTCTTTGCCTAATTGTAGATAAAGTGAATTCGTATGTTTTTTATTAAAAAAATAGAATAGGAAAAGATGATAGGAGTAAGATATTCTCTCAAAATAATCAATATTACTTACTCTGTTATAAGCCTCTTCCCATATTCTTCATTATTCCATATGTAGACCCTTTTTCCAAAGACTTATTATAAATACCCAGTTACTTAATAATAATAAGTATTTTGATTCCTTCGGAGTCAAACTTCCCAATCCTATTACTAGCTAATGTAATGAGAACTCATTATTTCTAAAAAATGGGCTTGAATTAGTGGAATTTAGTTAGGTTTGGGCCCTTCTAAATTAAAACATGAATCCTTTTTCTAGAGGTATAAAAATTTTTTTTAAGTTAAATTAAAATAAAGTGTGTAAAAATTGTCTTATTAATAAAATTTTATAAAGAAGTTTAATGACTTGGATTTTTATTTTTCAGGGACGATTTTTTTATTCAAAGTAAAAATAATATAAAAAGCCAAAAATCAAGAAGGGTATGCAAAATGAATTTTTGGTTTTATGACTCTATTATCGAGGAAAAATTCTAAATACAACAAGGCAGCCACAGACTTTTGCTAGCAAGATGAGGCGCAAGGAGTCTCAGAAAAATTAACTATTAATAGTTAAATTCAATTTATAATAAAGAAAGAAAACAAGTAGTAAGAGAGAACAATAATAATGCTTTAAAAGTTAAATTGAGAAAAATGCTATAGTGAATAATTAATTAGTCAGGAAAGATATGAGCAAAAACTAAGAAATCTGCTCCAACCCTCTTCAATATGGTAAGTGTACAATAATATTGGATAATAATGTTAATTTGGAATGGAGAGAATTGTTTTAACTAAAGGCAATACCAGAATAATCAATTGATACTGCAGACATTCATGACAGAGAATCAAAGGAAGTAAAGCAGTTAATGAAATAAAACCTTTAAAATATATAATAATCAGATCAGATTACTTATCTTCATATTATATATAAAACAATATATACTAGATTTATATGTCTAGAAGTCTTAAGAAATCCTTTCTAAAGTAGAGAAACACATTTAATTAAGAGCAAAAATAATCCCTCTATAGAATCGATACAACTAATTTGTAGCTACAGATTAGATTTTTCATTCTGGATTCCCTTCGTGGTCTTCTTTCATAAAATTTGTTCAGTTTCTAATAATAATATCATTATTATTATTATTATTATTATTATTATTATTATTATTATTATTATTATTATGATTATTATTTAATATGCAAATAATGCAGATTTTTTTTAATGCTCTCTTCTAATATTTTATAAATTAATTTCCTAATTACTGTATTAAATGCGTTACTGAAATCATTAAATCTGCAGTTTTCCTATCCTTTTTCTTAATAATAACTAATTAATTTATTATATTTATTCATATACTAATTTTTGGGAAGAGATCTATTTGATCGATAGTAAATCACTAGATTTTCCATCATAGCAAATTGCATTATCATAGTACATTTGTGTTATAGCTTCTATTTTTCGATATAACTAAGAGGAGGCAGTGTAAGTAGCCTTTTTTGGTAGAAATAATTATGGGCTAGATACCTTATCCAATTATTCATCGCATTTAATAATCACACTATATCCAAAATATATAAAATCATTTGAGTCTTTAAAGTAATTTACAATATTCACCCTTTTTGTTGTTATTAAAATTACTAATTTCTTTATTAGTTGGCAGAACTTTATTTTATCAGTTTTGAACACTTCAGCTATTTTGGATAGTTATAATTAAGGATGGGTATAGAGTATTTTCTTATCTTTTAAATAATTTTATATTTTCTAAGATTGCATATAATGTAATCTGTTAAACTTGGTGACATTCTTGTGGTTTATTAACTTGAAAGGTCTTCATCTAGGGCTGGGCTGAATTAGCTAAACGGTTAGCTACTAATATTGAAATCTCAGCTAATTATAAAGTAGTGACTTTCTTTAATTATGTTTAAAAAACTTAGCCAACCACCAGTCTAGTTTCACCAAGAAATTTGTTTGTTCATTTTTAGAGTTGAAATACACTATTAATATTTGATTTTGAACTTTAATTATTAAAAAGTCAAAATCAATTTCTTCTTGAAGTTAAAGTAAATGGTTGCAGTTGCCAAATTGTGAATCTCTTCTAATATTATTTATAAATGGTATAACTAGGGAAGAATTTTATGTTCTTACTACGACATTCTTATATACAGAATATATGGGCTAAAGTCATTGATTTTAAAGATTAAATATTCCACTGGTTTATACTTATGATAAAATGTTTATTAGAATGAAGACTATATTGATTTAGACTGTTTGTCAAAGGTTAAGTCCATCCCTAATTTAATTATTGTTTATATTGATTTATTTAAAGTATAAGGTTATTTTATCATTTTCTTTATCAATTTACATTACCGACTTTTTAAATGTAATTGTTTAATTAATCTCCTTTTTTATTGATTAAATTTATTATGAGCTGAGTTAATTTAATCTTACGTCCATTAGTTACATTAGTTTATATATTTAATCAACATCTAAATGTATTATTTAAAATATCTATTCTTGACCATTCTGTTCTTAATCCATATAGGATTCTTAACATTGTTGCCTGATTTAATTATGGTTAAGATTTTTGGGTTTCTAGCTATTAATTTTTTTAAATTATGATGTCTTCATCTACTTAATTTGAACAATTATTTATTACTTTATTTATTAATTGGGAACAGAAAGGAACATTAGATACACTGTTACTCTATGTTCTTCGCAGAAAGTTTGCCCAATTAGAATAAAGTAGAAATGAGAAACAATAAATGTTATCAAATTCATTCCTTCTACAATGATCAATAAGTAATTGGGAAAGAATTTTGTTGCATCAAGATGAATTCTTAACTGGGCAAAAAACAATCATGCAAAAATATCTAAATCGTTTAGCTTATATTGTAGTGAATTCTAATTAATTATGTTGATTAAAATAAAGACACTTGTAGTATACATTCACTCTCTTGTTAAAAAAGTTATATTGGTAAAATAGCATCAAATTATAATATAGTAAAATCTTGAAGTATTGAGATGCAAATGTGGGCTTTAGCGAGGTTTACAAGCCGATTCATCTTAGGCCTCTATTGTTGAATTATTATGAATACTAAATATCAATTCCACTTTTATATATCAATTTACATTTGACCACATAGCATAGCAAACACTATTTATAATATTTGATCAATAAAGGCAAGAAAGATTGATTGATTAGTTAAAAAGTGGAAGTAAATATGAAGTGTGTCATTTTAATCGAAAATAAAGTTACACCTAGAAGGCAACAAGCCTTCGCATAATTCTATCATATCTGATGCCACTATGGCTACTTATGGTACCTTGTGTGAAAAAGTAATGATTCAATGCTCTACTGCAAGATAAATCAACTTCTAAAATTAATATGTTATTATGATACAATCAAAACAATTAGGGTTAAGAGAGAAGTTTAGAAGGAAGATCTAAAATTACTTACTCTGACTCTTGTCCTACCCTTACCTTTATTTTAAATATGGATAGAAATGACTCTATGTTACTGAGGTTATATTATATAAAGATTAAGTATTTAATTTCTAAATCACTTATTACCTAATGCACTAGTCTTCTACTTATTTTGAGTATCATTAAGTGCTCCGATGAGCTTATACATAGACTAATTGATTCTAGATCTAAGAAAAAAGATACTTTAGATTTTGTAATAAGTTCCTTAATATTTTCTAATTAAACATGATTTACAATTTATAACAATAGTCTTCTTCCTCGAGCCAGAGATGTTGATATTCTAAATTCCCTGTTAAGAAGTATCCTGCTGTTGTCTTACGTTGCTATGGTTTTGCATGGATTTAAAACTAGTAGTTTGATTTTTCCACAGAAGGTGATCAAGAATGATGAGCAGCTTTTGGGTTCAATTATTTCTAAACATTACTTGATAATCATGTAATTGTTAAAAAAATTATTTATTAAGACTGTAATAGGAACCATATGGATGCAAATCAAAACAATGAAGTGCAGATTGTGGAAGAAAAGTTATATCAATAATGCTTATTCCTTATTTATTGACCAATTTAAGCAGTAGCTCTTACTTACCTTCAATAAAGATCAGCTAGTACAAACTGTAAAAATATTTTGATCAGTTTTATATTTTTCATATGCTACTTGTGAATGTAATATGCAATGTACATTGTGTATTCTTCTATGATGAATGAAAATTCTATATAGATTTCTTTAAAGGATTTAGTTTAAAAAGGAAAAAAGAAGTTAAAGTAGATGTAACTATCTTAGTTTAATGTAAAATAAATTTTCAATTTTATTAAATATGCCGCCTGTGATGCTGTAAGTATTCAGCATAATATGACCAAAATCACTTTCAAGTTTTAATAGTTATTATATTGAATGCACAAAATACCTTTATCTTCATTTCACTATCACATGTTGATGAGTTTAACAAATTACAAAACACAAAACTTAGTCGAAAATTTCTGGAAGAGTTTCAATCTATCCAAATCATGATACATAAAAAGTTGAGCAGATACTGTTCAAAGGTTAGGTATGGGTAATAAAACAAATTTAGGAGCTTATATATTTTGAGTCACCGTAAAAACATATGTAATTTTAAACAAAGTTATTTATAATTAATTTATTTTTAAATGCACAAGAGAATACCAATTATTTATAGAAAGAAAACTTAATTTTGTCATGATTTCATCGTCAATAGCATGATTAACAGGTATTACAGGCATTAGATGTGAAAATACATACACTTGTAGCATATTTCACTGGGAACAGATTTTTGAACAGAAAATTAGCACTTTAAATTTAGTTTACATTCATTATAATTTAAATATAATTGAATAAAGTGTGCATGTTCAGTCATGTTTGAAGATTTATATTAAGCTATTGATATAGAAGATCATCTCCATAGTTTCAATCATAAAGAATATAAAGATATTAGACAGATGGATATGCTGCAATAAATATAGATTAAGGTGATGTTCCATACACACTATCCACCAGTTTTTGTGAAATATCCTTTACAGGCATAAAAAGTTTTGCAAAAAGGAATACATTAAGTATTATTTATTCCAACTCATAGAAGTATTTATCTCATAAATTGTCTTAAGGAGACATTGAGAAATTAAGTAAAATCAATATACTAAATTTCAAAGGATTAGTGCATTAGCACGTGTGATGAAAGCGGCTGAGGTGAAAACATAAACTCTAAATTATTGCTTCATTCTCTCTAGAAGAGTTTGTCGCTCCACAAAAATATGGAAAACAGCAAGTAAAAGCAACTGTATTTTGAAAGTCTCATCAGTAATTCAGGAGTAAATCTCAACAGAAATACTAATTCAATTTAATTTATTAACTAACAACTTTGTGAATAATTAATATTTGTAGTTCTGAGCATTCAGAGAATAACAACAATATCTATCTAAACAACCTTTATTTTTATTGAACAAGCAAGAAAGACAATCTTAGCCACATGTAGGATAAGTAGATTTTGGTAGAATTGGGAAATATAACACAACCATGAGTAGTGGTATACATAAGTTAGCATAATAAGGTATTTGTTCAAACCAATACGAAAAAAATTTCGCGACTTCAGTATCAGAAAATAACTTACAGAACAGAATGGTTGCGTTTCATTTCACTTCTTTCTAGAAGGATTTCAAATACTATGGGTGATTGAAGGCCAGCTGCAGTTGCGTCGCTGCTCCTAAATCTGATATTTTAATTAAACTGCTAAACTTCTACTAGAAAGTAAATATACATATATGTAGGTAAAAATATTACTAATGAGTTGAAAGATTTAATATAGGTATGCTTAATGTCTAATCGGCTAACAGTTTATGCTTTAGCTAGCTGTTCAACTAATCCTTAGTTTCTAAGGAAAATAACTATATTGAATAGAATTATTTTGAGTATAAATATCTGGTATTTAGGAGAATAACTTTGCAAATAATATGAACAGTTTCTGAAATTCTTCAGATATTTCCACTCTTTAGATATACAATATAAAATTAGTTAACGCTAAATCTTTCATCTCTGGATTAATAAAATAATTTAATTTCACTATTTTTCAACACTTATTCTTCATTTAAAATACTCTCCAATAAAATTCTTAAGATAAATTCAAAATTTTGAACTTATAAGTTTATTGTTGTTGTAAATTAATTTAAGCAAAAATATATAGAACTAGATTAATATAAACCCTAATATTTCTAAAAATTAATTCAAAAAATAAGGCAAACCTAAAAGATGTCCTTATCAGTGAATGAGTTTATTGTTGGATAAAATTAGTTCGGATTTTATGAACAACAATTGGACATTTTGTTTAGTAATTGACACGACCATCTTTAAGCTTTCTAACACTTAAAGAGTTTAAATAAGCACTAAAGGAAACTAAATTTATAATGTCTAATGCATTTGGAGAGTGTATAAATATTTGATTAGTTGTTAAGTCCTCTTGAATAAATTGTCAATTGTTCACAATATTTATTAGAAATCATACAATTATCGTAAATGTAATGTTGATTACAGATTCATTAGGATGAGTATGAATTTAAACTCAAAAGGGTTTAAAAATTAGAATGAATTTTTAATCTATCTTTGACTATTTTTATTTTAATATTATTATAATGTTTGATAATTGGTATCAATTCAACCTTTACCAGCAAAAGAAGTCATATTTGCTAATGTTGACTGTAAGAGTCTCAATTTTCTTTGGTTTGAGAATCCATCTGTTTCTAAAATTCCATGTTTAACAATCTTTTTAGCTTAATACAACTATAATTTATTAAGAGTCATAAATGTTTTAAATTTCTAATCTGTTTCTGCTTCCATTGATTATAACTAACAACCCAAATGCTACTTCCAAATTGCAATCATAGGTGTACTATGATTTCCTAAACCTAACTAATCTAATATTGCTATTAATGCTGCTCTTCCCTTTTCCATAGCTTAATAACAGGGATTAGAAGAATCTAGACCAACTTCTTGTTTGGCAAAATCTAAGTTGCATCTTCTGACCATTAGAGCATACATATAAAGTAAATATTTCATATGAGGATGATTATTATAGTAATATGTTGCTATTTTATTAACCAACTCTTCAGGAACTCTATCCCAATAAGCCAATTCTGGATGAGTAAACGAACATCTGTCGCTATTGCAATAGGCTTGTACTATAGCTCTCTAATTCTTTAAATTTTCAAAAGGTTTTGCAGTCTCTCGACTTCCTCCAAAATTAAATGATTCAACCATTGTTTTAATTACCTAATTTTTTAAATACAAATCGTTATATTCCTTTGTTTTCTACATAGCTCTTTAAGGTACACCAACAAAATTGTCTAAGTTTAATAAAAAACATACCTAATTCAAATAAAAAATCCATATATTGATAACTAGGTTCAAAATCATCACTATAATTAATATTGGCTAACCCATTGAGCATAAAAGTAAATGCCACATCCTCACTTACAAACTCAGATGTAAAATAGTGACCCTATATTGTCCTAATATGAAGTTTTCGTTATGCTCTTGTAAGCGCTTAATATTTAGTGTGAATTAATTCATAAGGTCCTCCTCCTCTTTCTGGAGTAATTCCCTAGCCCATATAAATATATTTTTCAGGATTTCTTTTAAATTCTCTCATATTTCTGAGTTCTGTTAAGATCAAACCATCTCTCTATCTCGTATCGCTACTCGCTATCATGGTAATTCTGGAATCAGTATTATTAGTTGATGAAAATGATTCTAATAAAGGTACAATTTCCATATTTTAAACTTTATATTGATTAATTAATTCACTGACTAGATCATATTAAGATTAAGTTTAAAAGTTAGCAATAATTACCATGTCAGCTGCTTAACCGTTTGCATTAAGAAGAGATATTTCTTTAAAAATATTTTTGATCATCGGTTTGATTTTGTTTATCTATAGAATATAACAATGAAATACATCTGTTAAATCTTCCCCAGCTAATCTGATTTAACCAAGCACTCCAGTTAATCTAAAAATTTTATATAGTTTCTTCAATTTCAAAGCGATAAAGTAATCTTTGGAATTGTCATTCTATAGCAAAATTTGCTCTAACACTTAATTTATTTAATCTTCTATTTTCTTTATATTGTATATTGGCAACTATTGAAAAAATTCCTCAACTGAGATTTCTTTTTTAACCCTGAATTTATCACTCAAATCTCTTATTTATCTACTATATTCTAATGCTTATTGATATAACTCTAATATTTATTTAAAATAAATATGGTCTTCGAATTTTGCTTCCGCAATATATTCTTTATACTATTATAGTGTTAATTCCATCGTTAAACCGTGTGTGTAGGTCATTATCCCAATTTCCTAAATTTAAATAAATATTAAAACCATTCCAGGGTGATTGTCAAAATCAAATGTAAGCCAAGTCCCAGGAGTTTCAATAAATTCTTCTGGATTCTATAAGCCTAATTCATAAGCTTAGGCTACAGCTTTTATAAGATTAGGCAAGTATTAAGAATGATAAATTAGAGATTCTTCAATATAAGAAACTTTCTAAAGAATATATTGATTTTAAATTACATTAAATACACGTTGTTTGTTCGATTGGATGAATAGTTTCGCAGCATACTTGAGATACTTGTAATCGTTTTATTCTATCCCTTAAAGCATTCTGCTTATAGCTATCAATTATGTAAGAGAATTAGGTTAAGTTGGATGAGATGTAAAAACATACTTTACACGATTAATTTTTTCCTATAATTAAAATACTCAACAATTACTTTATCCCTTTTATTAAAATATTCAATGATTCTGAATTAGTCCAAATATTCATATCTTGCATATTAACTACTTATTCTATCAAATATCATTAAGCTATAAAGGTGCCACAAAATTTATTCAGGCAAGTCTTTTTCTTCATAATTCAATTCCTCTAAATCTTTCCCCTCGTATGAATTATCAAAATAAATAGATAAGGCATTTTAGAATTCCTTGATCTCGGATTCAGTTAAGTTATCAACGTAGGCATCTAATAATTACAGCATTGTCTTTTTCTTTCTAGGATTTATATGCCTAAAATAATTATTTCCTAAATCCATCAGTCTAATCGGGGACTATTCAAGTATGGGTTCCTCTTTGATGAATTTTTAGATCTCAGATATTGAACATCTTTTGTCGCTAAAAGTATTATAAGAATAGTAATACTCAGCATTTGCTGCAATCCACAGCATGTCATTTTCTCTGATTTGCTTTTCCTTAACATTCTCTGACAAGATATATCTAGGCAAATTTATGGATGTTTAAGGAAACCTAGAAATTCTTTGCAATAAGAATGAAAAGGACTTTATCATATTAGGGATATTTTTAATTTTACGATAAAGTTCCTGATTTATTCAAATATATTTATTCGTTTTTATTTAATTAGTCCATACTAAAGTCTGGTGAAGAATATTGTGGTTAGTAAACATCATGAGATGACTGTATTAAGAATAATTCAGAACAATAACAAAATTAAGCTCAATCGCTAATGTATTATATATTTTCATCAAAAATTTCATTCATTAATTCTTAAATACATAAAAATTCGGAAGGCAAATAACCAGCCACAACTTTCGATAAATAAACAGCTTTTGTGTCAGCATCTAATATCCTATAAGAAATCCAATAGCTTTCCTTAAGTTCTTTGTTGTTTAAAGCCTATCAAATAACATGAAATAGTACTAAATCTAACTTTTGGATAATGCTTTAATAGTATTAAGCTTCTCCAGATTCGGAGAGATCTATTCTATTATTCAATAATGCTTAAATATTCAACCAATTCTCTTTTAAATCATTGAGATTCTTAATAGGATCATTTTAATCTACATTTCTAGAAAATCTCTTAAATTATAAATTAGAGTATTACCTAAAATTTTTCTTCTGAAAATATATTATTTTCTAAAGAGAAAGTTACAAATCTATCGAAAGACATAGCTTTTTCACCACTCTCATTCGAAACTGTGTCACATCTTTCCATGAATTAACTTCTGATTATCTTCTAATTTAAATTTGTGCCTTGGTTGATCTCGAAATGTAAAAATAATTTTTAAAATTCTTGAAATTCTATCATTCCATCCATATCCATATCTGCAGAGTAGAATACTTCTTCAAAATGAGCTTAATGCATCATTTTTAATTAGTGATATCCAGTGAGAACTTTACTAATGAAAAAGTCTAAATCAACACATATCTTGTTTTTTCTTTCATAAGTGTGGGTTTTTATTTCTTTCATTATTCTATCCTTGCTCTCAAATGGGAGACAAGAATGCTATGCGTCTAGACATGCCAAAGCCCGATCAAGTGAGATGAGAACACCTTTTTCATTTACAACTTAAGCCAGCTAGATTGGCATTTCATTTTCATCAAGAGTTTTTAAGGACTAGATATATATTTCTAAATCATCTAATGTAAGTGGACTAAAAAGTTCAGCAAATCTATTTACAATTTATAAAATACCTTCCAAATAAATTAATTCTAAAATTTTCTCGATAGGCAAAAACGGATTAATAAAAGTTTGTAAGTTTTTATTCAGCCATGCTCTTAAATCCATAAGTATTTACAAAATGTTCATAACAAATTTAATGCAATGGCATATTTTTATTTGAAAATTATCTAATTTTCTCACAGTAAAATTAAGATATGAACTTTAGAACATTTATTTTTTACATTTTAGCATTAGAACTTTTAGGATTTCGAGAAAATTTATCCGAAAGTTACGAAACCAAGTTTTATGATTTCTAAAAGTTTAATGAAGATGTTGATTCAGCATTGTTGCGATTCTAAAATTCTATATGACAAATACATAAGAATACTTGGAGCCTAAGCTAGAGTTACATTCTTTCTTCTTTGTGAGCCTTCAAGCTTTCTTTTATTTAAATCTTCCAATTTAGTAGAAAAAGAAGAATCAACACTTGACGTATCACTATTATCCAATTCTTCATTTATGAATTATCTCAAAGTGTCTTATATTAGTCTTATACTTTCAAGAGGAATGTGATTTTGGGAGGTTTAATTTAGATTTTTATCTTTCTTTGCCTTTGATTATTTAGATATTTGGTGATTACTATTTGGAACTAGTTACTAATCATAAATTTGTTGTATTTACGTAATTTGATGTTGGTTTGTTTGACGTCTTTACTTATGATATGCCGGATTTATTAGTGGCTAAACTTCTTTATGAAATTGAATCTTAGAAATCCTAAAATCTAATTAATTGTTACATCTTATGCTGAATAAGTACTACGTTAGACAGATAATTGGGACTGCGAAAAATCGCTTTCGTTATCTGACATTTGTTTTTGCTCATCTGCATTTGTAATATGAATATTCCATTTCTTCTTCATTGATGCTCCTTCTTGGGATTGACTTACCATTTGATTTGAAACAGCAGAAACCACAATTTTGGAACTTTCTAGTTGTTAATTAGGCAATGAAGTATTTTACACTTATTCTTAACTTATATTTTTTTAATTTTATAAATTTGCCAATTATTTTACATTTATTTATTATAAACTTAGGTGATTTTAATTTTGGTTTTATTGTTGTTGAGATTGTAAATCATTTTAAGATTGTATTTAGATTTGGGATGGACTCGAAATTTTTCTTCCATTTGGTGATCCTGCTTTTTTTTCCAAAATTTTTTTTTTCATAATATTTGTAAACTTTTGGGTTTTTGTAAATGAGTTTACTAAGTTTTGAGTTTTTTCAAGAATTTATTACTTTCTTTCTTTAACTTTATTATATCTTTTTTCTAGCCTTGTATTAATCTTAAATATTTTTGAGATTCTTTACTTTTTCTTATAGGTCTAGCTAAGCCTCTAGCTCTTAGATCTCAAGTGTTGCTTCATCCACATTTTTAGATAAGCCATCATTTATTGATTTCTAAAATCATTATTTATACTATACTAAGGCTATAATTTGGTCTTGTTTTCTATTATTTTCATCTTTTTAGGCACTATTGACTAATAATAAGCTTGTTCTGATTTCCCTTTACATTTATACAGTTTATTTCATTTTGCTAGATGCCTCTCCTAAACTCTAAAAGAATTGAGAAATTCTTCTAGACCTAGGGCTTTCATCATTTGAGGATTCCCCTTATATTGATTAATAGTTAGCAGAAACTTTCATCAGATGTTCTTGTATTTGCATTAATTATTCTTCCTCAGTTTTTATGACTTCAACCATTTCAGTTTGTAATTCTGTTTATGTTTCTTTAAAGGCTATGTTATAAAGACTCGAATCAGTTTAGATGATTTAATGACGAGTGTCAGGCAATAATAAGGCTCTTTATTGAATAATATAACTTACTTATAATTAAATTAAGGAACTTATGCGTATGCTTAAGTTGATTATTCCTTTTGAATTTCCATTAGGCAATATAAATCATCTGTGTCTGTGCTTTAATCTTTTAACATGTTTTCTATATCTGATGCAATTGAAGAATCAGTATCACTTTTTAATGCTTTTTATACCTTTTCCTCAGGTTTTGGTTCATGAAAGAGGGTCTTATGTTTTCCGGCTCTAATTATTTTTAATTATTCTTGAGGCCTTGATGAAAGAAAAACTGTTCCAGCTCTGTTTATTGGCTTTTTTCTAGGGGAAGTTGGAGATTCAATTCTCTGTTAAATTAGGTGATTTTTGAATTATTATTAATAATTCTACATATCCTTTTCCGCTTCTTCTATATATTATTTAAGATTTTCAACTTCACTCAACAAATACTTATTTGTTGTTGTCACATCATTTAATTAAAATCTTAATTCTCTCGTAATGTTTTATAAGTGTTTATTGGTCTTTTTTAAATATTTTCCATTATCTTTAAGCTTAATTAATCTTTCGGTTAGTTATTATTAATCATCTTTCAAATGTTTGATGATCAACTAAAAATTGTCAATCTCAACTTGATAGAGCTAATGTGTTTTCATGATTTATTTAAGATTTGATTTCTCAATTTCCCTTTTTTCATCCAAAGCTTGTTTAATAACTGATGAATTTATTTCTACATATTATGCCCATATCTTCTCTAAGAGCACACTAATATTTATTTATGAAGTCTATTACCTTCTTTCAATGCAATCAATGCTTATTTATCTTATAAGTTCTTTTAAACAAAGAGTTAGGACATTTTAGACTTCTTCATAAAATTCAATATGCCTTTGGTCGCCATATTTATCTATTATTTATAGTACCATCAAATCAACCCAGCTGGCTAGCTATTTAATATCATGCCTAAATCAGTATAAAACACTCACTTTTAAGGAATACCCCTATGAAGTTTATCTCTTGCATTATGTCTTGATAGATTGTCACTTAGACGCCCTAAAGTAATAGGTGGTTCTTTAAGCTCGGAAGGGATTATTACCTCAACAGTGGCTTTGAAAATATAATTTATTTAATACGTTCCCTAGGAGATTTTGGAGATAGTTGTAATTCTTATAATCGAGTTGGATATTAATATGGATCACAACTCTTTAATTGCCCATAAAAATCATTACGCTATTAGGATTTCATTTTATCGATTGCTTCTAGTTAATTTTAACCTAATAATGGAGATCCATAGAAGGTCTACATTGATATATTATATACCCCTTGTGAAAGAGCCTTGTGCTTGTGATTTTTACGATATGATATATTTGAAAAGGGCTTTGGACTATTTACAATATTTATGCTTTAGAGGGAATCTTGTTTTATTCTTTTATTTGATAGGTCCGTGCTCTTTCTTTAAGAAAGTATTGGTTATAGCATTCTGAACTTCAATTACTCCATCTTTGTAAATAATAATGATTTAATTATAAATTTAGTTAAACGAATGTGTTGTTTTATAATAAGTTCACATAAATTAAGATAAATGAATTTCTTCATTTTTATGTCATGAATAAAGTTTGACGATATTTTATTTTCACTTCTAAATCTTCATTAATTAAATAAATAAATGGCAATCAATTTATTTTAAAGTTCAAGCAATAATACCAATTGGAATCCGTAAAAAAAGTATGTGTTTCTTGAATTTTATTAGTACAAGAGTGGAAGGTTCATACAGAGCTTAATATTAGCAAATTAAACTGGATTATATTCCAAATGACTCCTAAAGTTTTGGTCCTTAATATTCCACAACCATTATTGTACAATAAGAATATAAAGGAATGGTACTACATTTTTTATAATTCAATTAAGTCCTTGATGATGGTTCGATTGGAAGATTATTATTTAATCCGGTCTTAACAAATTCAACGTTCACATTAAGTTATAGTTCAAAGTGCTTGTAGCTAAGGTCTTTTCAATTCAAAATTGATAACTAATGCGAATCCCCAAAGTAAATTTATGAACTAAATATTAGCCCTGTAGCCTCCTTAATTTTAGAATTTTCGAAATTCATGGAACAATAATAATTCTAATAATAATTACTAAAACAATAACACATTTAGTTAAAACAATATCTTTAATCAAAATAATACAAAAAATGTTTTTCAGGGATAATAAACAAATGATAATATATTTAATAATCCTATGAACTAATCTAATTAACTATTTTAGTAATAATCAAATCAAAGCATGAATATTTTCTAACAGCCAAATAATTAGAACAATATTTTCAATTCTACTAATAATAATAATAATCAAAGCAATAATAATATTTTTAAATAACCAACCACTCCAACAAATGCAACAAATAATATTTTTGCATAAACACCTAGCAATAACATTTTCGCTTAGAATAATCAACCAAATATATTTTAGTAGCCTCAGCAATAAGGTTTTAATTTATTTAATTAACCTTCGTTGTTCCCTCAAAATAATTTATATCCGTAAAATAATATCTTCTCCTAACCTAATTTATATGGATTCAATAATACATTTGGATAGCCTACCATGTATGGTCAACCAACTATGTATCCTAGTCCGATGAACTATCAATAATATCCATTTTATTAACCTATGATTTAACCTTAAGGATAGTAATAGATTACTTATCCTTAACTTTAATAATTTGAAAAGGTAAAAGATGCGGCTGATATCCTCTAAACTTATGCTGATGTCTTAAAATAAAAATATTAATAATTTTAAGAGCTTCAAAAAAATGAAGAACAACATTTTGAATAACAAGAATTGATAATACAGGAACATGAACGTTAAAATTAATAAATAAGGTAATAAAGAGAAAGGATTTTGAATTAATCATTATCAGTAAGATCAAACAAAAGCAAATCCCCTTCTCCATTTTCTATTTCAAGAGCTGGAAAATCATCAACTAATTTTCATAGAATGAATTCCAGCTTACAAAGGTCACATGTTGTGGAATATAACACTAGTTAAATTTCAAACTATGAAGAAAATAAATATGATATTATAGTAAAATTCTTAGAAAGTGAAAAATTCTTTCCCATAATCACATAATCATTCAAGTCAAAAAGCAGAATTGAACATGTTAAGTTTTTCGTAGAAAATATTTTATCTTAACAAAATATTTTCGGAAAATAACGATACTAATATTTTTAAATGGTGAGAATCATCATTGGGCAAAATGTTATTTTTGATGATGCTTTATGTTTAGATGACATTAAATCAGATTAATATCCAATTTAAATAAAATGTAACTATTTTTTCCACAATTAAGCCAAAACTAACAAAACCAGATTATTTATGTAATGTCAATTTTGATGAAATGACAGAAGAAGAACTTTCGAATGTTGAAAATTTTACAATTTCTAATTAATTTGGGTAGGTTAGATGGCTTTCTCCTTGCAATTTACTTTATTTAGATCTTGATAAAATTGTTGATTTAACTCAAGAATGCATTAATCTCTATGATTCTGAAATTGTGAATGATTATCTTAAACCAGATATTGGAAAAAAATTAAATAAAGAATGTGAAATTACCTTTAATTTGCCTGCTAATTTAAAAATAAATGATGCTTCTAAATTTGAATAAAATTTGAGATAGTAAGCTGAAGGAAAGAATATAGAATTTCTCAGGTTTGATAGTGAGAATAGATCCTATACCTTCAAAGTTCAACATTTTTCTGGATATTAATTTAATTCAGATTACTATTCTTCTGACGATTAAACTCGTTTGCATTAAGCTATTCAAACAGGGTTTGGATAGGTAGATGAAGAACTTTCTTCTTCACCATCAGATAATGATTTCAGTGAAGTGTAATTGGAAGTTCTTAAATAATTTAATATTAAATATAATCATTAAATTAGTATTTTAAAAAATTTGAACATATCCTAGAAGAATGAAGAAATTATAAAATTTAATGTAAAAAATAACATCAAAGTTCCAGTAAATATCGAATACATTAATAATCAATTGTAGAATTCAAATTATTTGCCCATTTAATTTCTTGACTCTGACCAATTACATTACTAATCTTTAAAAATGAAACTATCAGCTCAACTTATTTAATTATTTTAAATTACTGAAGATAAAAGCATTAAGTTCTAACTAAAATTATTTAATGTTCTTTTTGGAGATACATCAATCAGTCTAGGAGGGTATGCTAAGCTTATAAAAAAAAATATATTCAATTTAATAGATCTTCAATCTATAACTCAACATGAACAAGATAGAGGTTTGGCTTTAAGCTTAATTTTTGAGAATTAAAAAAAAAAGTAAAATAATGATTTCAGAGAATTCATCATAGATCAAAAAGACTTAAATCCAATTTAAAAAATATTTTTAACAATAAACTCCAAATCAACAAAGAAATTAGATTTTGGACATGGAGAATTGATAGATGAATTCATAAATTGGAGAATAAACTGTGAACAACCAAAACCACTATATGAAAAAGAATGGTGGAAAAGTCTTTATATGTAACTTTAAGGAAAGCCATTGAAGACTATAGATTAAGCTGCCCTCTACTATTACTTAATAAAAAAGACTAAATAGTCAAAATCATCCGATCTGTTATTGAATTATTTATAATAAAGCAATGATGCTCTAGCTTATTTACTTTTTGCCATTATTATTCGGAAAAACAAAATATAAATTAAAATAGAAAAATTAAAAATTTTAGCCAGATCTTTTCTGTCTAAATTAATTGATAATAGAGTGAGCTACGAAATAATAAAAGAGTTTTTATCAATATTGCATCCTTCAATATACTAGAAAGAAGAAATTGTTAAGTTGTAAAATTTAATAAATAAACATCCAAACTATAAGGAATATGCTAATGATGAGCAAGAGATTACAAAGTATATCAACAATTATGATTACAAAAATGCAATAATCCAGATCCTTAAGTAAAAGAAAATATCAGAATATAAATAAATAATTAATGATTATGTTATTCCTTGCCTTGTAATAGAAAATTAAAGATAAAATGAAAACTCATTTGATGATTAGACAACAAACCTAATCAACTAGATATTAGATAATTGCCCTTACAGTTCTGATGTTCTCACATTAGCATAAGTAATAATTTAAGTGTTGATTTAGATTTATATGGGAAGATTAGAGTTTGAATATACTCAAGTTGAGAATATTAATGTATAAAATGAATATTAATATTTTATGAAGCAGAAGATTATGTAATAATATAGAGAAATTTGAATTAATCATATTAGAATCTAAAATTTATTAATATAATCATTATTTTGCTTTTTTATTCATTTTAAGTTTATCTACACTATTGAACGGATCCATGTATTATCTTATTGATCCACTATTTAAACTGTTTTACATTTAAACTCTCCTTTACATTTCTTCTATTTTTTATTTATAGGCGATTCCCTTTTCTAACTAATCAGCTATTGCAGAATTTCCCCTTCTGCCTTGAGAGTTATTTGAATTATAATTTCTATCATTCATATTGAAATCTTATGATTATGTGGTCGGTCTGCTTGGTATTCTAAGTCTTTTCAATCTAGCATTATAAATTTATTAATTACTTCAAAGTTTCACTTATGAAATAAAAGTTTTCAAACATTGGTGTAAATTTATTTTCATCATCGCTTTATAAAGATTTTTATAATTCTAACTTAAATGAAACCTCTCCCTTTTTAAATTCGCTTGGATCAAAATTGAAGGATGTTAAATTAGGCTTGAAAGGTGGATCAATTTTTCTTCTTATTACATCCCTTAAATCTATAGATGCAAATAGTGGATGCTATAATATTGCATCAGCATCTCCTCTTATACCTAATCTTTGCTCAGGATTTTTTGTCAATAATCGTCTGATTAAGTCTCTTGCTTCTGGACTACCAATATTAGGAGGAAATGAAAGTGGGTCACTTAAAATGCTTTTAAATATTTAATTTGTATCTCTTGAATAATAGGGAGGTAATCCTGTAATAAGCTCATAAAACAATGCTCCTAAACAGTAATAATCGACTGCGTAAGTGTGTCCTTATTGTTATAGCATTTCTGGTGCCATGTACTCAGGTGAACCACAGAAAGAGTATGCTTCATCATCAGATGCCATATTTGGTCTTGCTAGACCAAAATCTGCCACTTTCAAATGTCCTTCACTATCTATTAGGATGTTTTCTGGTTTCAAGTCTCTATACAATATATTTTGGCAATGTATAAATCCAATAGCAATACATACTTCAATAAAATAGAGTTTAGCTTATTCTTCTGTCATTCTCTTCACTTTTCTTAATTAATTAAATAATTCTCCTCCTGGACAATATTCCATCCCAAAGCACACCCAGTTTCTAGATTCAAAAGCACACTCCAATTAACAGATGAATTGTTTTGATAAATGTTAATCACTTAAATTTAATTACACCATAACATCTCTTTCATTTTAAACAATAGTTTATTTTTAATTTTCAATAATGAATTATTTTGAAATTAATTTCAAAGCAAGAAATCTGCCATTACTTTTTGATCTAACTAAATACACTCTGGAAAATCCTCCCATTCCAATACATTGTAAAAATTAAAATGATTTTAAACTTAACTTATTAGAATCGCAGGTGCAATGCAACGGTTATAATTTTATAGTTTTTCTATTTAAAAATTATAAATCTTTTCCAACTAAACTTAAATAATGATCTAAAGCTATATTTTAATCAGTTGTTTGAAATCCAATTATGTTTTTATCTTGAAATAATACACTTAATAATTACTGTCAATGCATTGCGTCATAAGAAAATTTACCAAATTGTCAGTGGTTCCATAAGCACAATCAAATCTTAGTTCAGTCATCTTATTATTTGAATCATACAAATGTATTATAATATAAGCGCCTGAAGATAAAGGTCGTTCAGTGATAAATCCAGAAATTTGATTTACTTCTTTTGCCTAGTCATTGCTTTTGGCTCTAGTTTACCCATTTGAAAGGGTTTTTTAGTATTATTACAGTAATTATTTAAAGTTAAAGTCAACAGATGAAGTAATGGGGCTTTTGGCTCTATTTTGATCATCTTTAGGTTGTTAAATTTTATTCAACAAATTCATAATATTTTAAGATGACATACTCTTATGATTTTAAGACGGTTCAGTTGATAATTTAGGATTTTTGTTTTATTGCTCAGTTGATTTCGGTTTGGATGGCTTAACACTATGTCTCTCTTCAAAGGTATTTTTCCTTTATTCTTCTTTTTGCTGTAATTCTTTAGAGTTCTAAGTTTTAGAATTAAGCCTTGATGCATTTGATAAGTAGTTTTAATAATAACTAGACACATAATTGTTATTAACAGCATTATTAAACTTGGTTATTGGTAGTTATTTTTTTTAAGGTTATGTTAAATCACTTTATTTGACTTTGTCTTCCCTTTGAGTTAGACTTCCACTTTTTACAACATTCAATGTTACGTGATTTTTAAGTTGAATGTTAATTGATGGGACAACTACTTTTGTTTGGAATTGCTTAAATAACTTTATTTATTACTTATGGTTACATAAATCCTTATCCTAAATACAATTGTTTTTAACTTGTATAAGGAGATCCATTTAGAAATGGTTTCTGGTTTTAAGACATAATTTGAAAAATAATATAAAATTCTCAAAATTTAAAATATGATAATAGAAAATTAGAAACACCTATTTTATTAGGGTTGGTTTGCTAAAATAATAGAGGTCAAAGTAGATAAAATTAACAATTAGGAAGTCATTCTGGGATAAGGGGGATATGGAACAGTTTTAAGAGGAAAGATGAAGATAGAAAATATCAATAATACAAAAGAAACAAGGGAAGTTCCAATTGCAATAAAAAGAATTAAACTTTCACCTTTAAAAGAAAAGAAATCATTTGGTGAAAATTAATTAAACATGGAATCTATAAAACTCGAGCTTTCAGTTTATGAACAAATTAAATCTAAAAATATAGTATAATTGTATGGGAGTGAATAAAAGGACAATCATTACTATTTATATTTAGAATTATGCGATGGAAACCTGTTGAATTGCATAATGGATGAAAATGGAGATGCACCACTTAAGGAAGAGTAGGCAATTAGATATTTCATAAAAATATTTGATACATTATAATTGTTGTAGAAATCAACGTATGAAAGAACTGAAAATAATAAGGAATCTTTGTATCATAGAGATATTAATGTTAAAAATATTCTCATTAAAAAGTGTGTAATAGGTTATCAAATAAAATTATGTGATTTTGGGATTGCTTAATATAGTGTGCAACCAGGTAATTAAAATAAAAATTTGATTCAAGAAATTGGAACACCAGTAAAATTTAAGCATTTCATAATTAGGCTTTTAAAAGTCCAGAGAATTTTCTAAATCAATTATGCGACTAAGAAAAAAATGAAACTTGGAGTTTAGGAACAGTATTAGTTTGCCTCTTATTTGGCTATAGTTCATTCATGGCGAATATTCAATTATTTAATATTGGTAATAAAGATGATCATTTGAAATGGATAAGTCGTCAAAAAAATCTAATTTCAACTGAAGTATAGTAATTACTCTTCGGATTATTATAAAAAGAACCGAAAGAAAGAATGGGTTATAAATAAATTAGTGAGTCTTAATGTTATAGATTGTATGGAAATTACCCCCCTAGCAGATCCTTAATTCCTCGAGGTATTTAACGCCTAATGTATAATAATTTTGAATACTTAACACAACTCTTCATTAACTTGAATCAAAATCTATATAAGTAAATTCCTGAAGATCTACTATTTTTTTTATTCTAGCATTATAAGAATTTGGTCCACAAATAATGCTAAAATTACAGCGGGTATTACAAAAGTATAGATTCTACAGATCTTAGCCTATAAACCACTAGTAATATCAATTACATAGGAATACCAACCTTATTATAAAAATATTATTAGTTTTTTCAAAATATACAACTTGAAAATGAAACCCAAAATGACGACTAAATGATCTTGTTTTGGAGAAAATTCTCCTAACCAAATAGAAGGTATTAGGATAGCCAAAGATTTTGTTTTCTTAATAATCTGTTTGAAGTTCTTGATAAATTATAGGTCGAATAATAAGCACTTGAAAACCAGATTTTAGAATTGAACAAAAAAAAAATGCTCTACTTAGAGAAAGAAGAAAAATTATACTCAAAGAAAGAAGAAAATCTAAACAAAAAACTATATGTGATAGAAAAATTGAAGGAGGATAAAGATGACAATTTTAATAAATTTAATGACTTGATTTCAGGTTTAACATAATATTTTGACTGGAATAAAGAAAAAATCTGATGATTCTTAAATAAATTAATCTTAAAAATATAATTGATATTTTATTTAATAACGATTAATAATGGATTTGGATAGAAAGCACATATTGCTAAACGAATTTCGCAAAATTAATATTGACCTTGATTAGCCTATATCTGAGAATGTGATCTTTCAATTCCTTGATGAGAAATCACATGGCACTTTTGATAACTCAATTGCTTTATAATTACATTAATAAGTAATACAACATTACTAAAAATTAACAATCCATAATTTTATTAATGTGTATTTATAAGCAGAAACCATTCTTAACAACAAGATTGATAAAGCAAGAATAGAAATTCAAAACTTAACAGTGACAAAGTAATAATCATAGTAGGCGCTGTTAAATATTAAAAAATAGGAGTAATTAAATAAGTATGGAATAATGGAGGACAGTATTCTTATGATTAATCATGTGCATGCAGTCGTTAATAAATTAAGTTTATCAATGAAAGTTTTTATTTTAATGTCTAGTTCGACAACAAGCTTTTAAACACCATCACAAAATGAATTAGACTGGAATGATGCATATGAATTGTAAAATACTATACTAGAATAGTCCTATTGAAAATGGATCCGAAGTTATCAACGTCTATGTTAAAGCCTATTAAGGAAGCTCAACGATAGACATTGGATAAGCTACATATGCAGTTCAATAATTCAATAGCTAAGCTTAAACAAATGTCGAGGCTAAACTGCAGTGCATAAAACCATATTCCGGAGTTGTTATATTATCAGGGTTATGGGTTTTTTCAAAAGTATACATTTCATATTAAAGCAGACAAAATATTTTAGTGATCTCATACAGGAATTAGATACATAAATTTCATAATTAAAGAATGATCTTACAGACTTTGAAAATGATTTGCAAACCCTTCAAGCCATTTTTCCAAACACCTTAATTTCAAATTCAGATGCAAATCAAAATGTTTATTAATCTAGTCCAGAGAAATAAATTGACAATATTGGGAATATTGAATAAAAAACATTGAATAAATATCTCGTGGCTATTATGGCTCTGCTAATTACACTATCATCTCTTGATAGATGTTGTTATTTAGATGTAATTAGATTTATTATTTAGATTTTAATAATACTAGTTTATTCAATAAATTTTAAGAATTAAACCTTAGATGCAACATTGCTAAAATAAATTTCAGTAGCAACATTTGTTTCCTTTGCTTTAGACATTGTATGGGTAGTGATATATGTTGTGGTATATTAAAGATTATATAAAAAGCAAATTACAGCCTCTTTGGTCTGACATAGACACACCTGATATGGGGATATAAAAAATAATAGTCGTAACTGGAGTTCTGTTATTTATTACAAAGCTACCCTTTTCATTTCTATGCGCTTATTTATCAAAACAAGCCCAGGGAATCATTCCTGAATTTTAGGTCAAAGCAGATGAAAATGACCTTTCAGGTTTACAACCATTGGAATATTAAAATATCAGTAGAAATGAGAGCTTATCTTCCTATTAACAATACAAATGAATAATTATGATTAAATAAGAATCATGATCATTTTTTTCCTTTTTATCTGAAAGATTGTCCTTTTCCAAAAGATTTTATTACTTTTAAATGACTAATTTCCCTTTTTATTACCACCATGTTATTTTCCTCCGAAGGACTTACCACCTTATGGTTTTCCTCTAAATGGCCTACCACCTTGCTGTCCCCCAAATTTACCTCCTCTTCCGAAAGATTTTCCTTCAGATCTATTTTCATTTCCGAATGATTTTCCTCTACCTCCAAAAGACCTACCGCCTCTTTGTCCGCCGAATTAACCACCTCTTCCTCTTCCTCTTCCTCCAAAAGATTTTCCTTCAGAATTATTATCACTTCCAAATGATTTTCCTCTTCCTCCAAAAGACTTCCCTCCTCTTCCTCTAAAAGAATTTCCGTCGGATCTATTGTCACCTCCTCTTCCTCTTCCTCTGAAAGAAGTTCCTTAAGATCTATTATCACCACCTCTTCCTCTTCCTCTGAAAGAGTTTCCTTAAGATCTACTATCTCCTCCTCTTCCTCTTCCTCTGAAAGAGTTTCCTTCAGATCTGTTTTCACTACCTCTTCCTCTCCCTCTGAAGGAATTTCCTTCAGATCTATTTTCACCTCCGAATGACTTTCCTCTACCTCCAAAGGGTTTTCTTTCTTAACTATGGCTATCACCACCAAATTATTTATTATTTCTTTAGCCACCTTAAGCTGAGAAACTTCTACTATTTTATGGTTTTCCTTCAAACTTATTATTTCTAAATCCATCAGAGCTTTATGATCTTTATCCAAAATTTCTGTTTTCCCCTTTTTGGAATGAATTGTCTTATGTTCTCATCTTGCCTGTCTTCTTAAACTTACCATTCTTTTATTTAAACATACTATTTTTTTTAATACCATCTTGTTATTAGTTTTTATCCTTCTTAAATTTTTTTGATATTTAATTATTTTACTTGATAATTTCATCTAAGTCCCTAGCTTTATCACTTCCTTTTTCTTTGATTTCTTTTTTCCATTACTCAATGGCAACCTTGTTTTATCTTTTTTCTTTATGTTCTTCTCTCATTTTTTTGATTTTCATTTATTTGTTTAATTTTTTACTATGCTTTTTCATTTTTTCTTCTTCTTTTTTATTTTTTTCATCCCTCTTTTTCTCAATTTTTAGATTGATTTTATCCATTTATTTAGGACTCTTAAACATTTCAACTTCAAAATCATCAGGTCTTTGAACAGGAACCTTAATTAATTAAATAATATTTTACTCCTTCTTATGTTAAGTATGCTATTGATCTCTACACATTTGCAAAGGTAATTTGATAAATTTACACTTCCCTTTATGCTTCCTCATTTCCCAAAGTTGCATCTATTAATATTTTATCATCTGAAGTTGCTGTCATATGTTCATTCCATGGGACTTTTTTCATCAGTTTCTTCTTCTCTGACTCCTCTGCATTTTATATTGGAACATAAGTTTAAAAAAACTCCTCTCTTATCTCTTTTGCTTTCTTTTTCAATAGATCTTATTTCTCTTATTCTGTGAATAATTACTTTACCATAAATAATAAATAATAAATTATTTAATATTTTTATATATATGTCCTATATATCTTCAAACCTCTGATTAAATTGCGTAGCTCACTGTTATTAAGAAGAACTTATATCACTACTCATACCCGTTTTGGGTATGTCTACCCAAAACTTTTTCAGCTTCTAAAATGCAACGCAACATTAAGGATGAGAATTCTTGTCTGGATGTACTGATTTTGCATAAGTTTTGTATTCTTGTTTCAAAATAGCCTTCTACTGGCTCTAAGCATATTTCTTCAAAGCTCCTTCCGGGAGCAGCAGCATTTTATAAACGACCATAATCTATTACAGTTATTCCGACGAACTAATTCCCTGTTTAGCACAATAGCGGTTAGCATGATTCATCGCAGCTTTATCTACTTCGACTTCAGTTTCTCTAAAAGCTCTAATAATCTTCTATTTTTCAGCACTATTGCCTTAAGATAATAATCTGACAGCTTTCATGTATAATTCATTTTAAAGTTTCTCATACCTTTAATTTTAGAATGAATTTTTACATATCATTCGTTTGCCTAATATTTTCTTATTTCTGTTTTTTCAATTGTTGTTTTAATAACTATTTGCATTCTTTACATCTAGTTTATCCTGGATGTTATGGATTAAGTATACATTTACCATGTTTTTTAGGTTATTGATTTTATGACTATTAATTAAGCTTCAATTTTTATTGAGATTGTTTACTTGGATAAATAATTTATTTACATATCATGACACTATTCACATTCATATTCATGAGTTAGATCGTCAAATTTTGCTTCCCATTGATGACCTTATTAACATTATAATTTTAAAGGCCCAATAGAAATAACTTTAAATTTTAAAGTTTCTATTATATTTTTTAAATGTTCTGGAATTCTCTCTATTTTCACTGTCTCTTCCATTTGTTTTAAAAGGTAAAAGTAGTTATTTTCTTTAAGTTTTCTTTCCTCCTCCTCTTCATTTACTTTCTATTCATAGATAAAACTATGAATGGATTCTTCTTACCATTTTTCACAAATGTTGGCATTTTCAGAGATATGACTTAAGTTATCACATTCATTAAAAAGAACTTCATCCAAATTGAAAGATTCTTCATCAATACATAAAGATTCCATTTTTTGGTGTATTTAAGGTGTATTTTCACATTTCATAAAGTTTGTTTCTTACGAGGAGTTGCCCTAAACACTAGAGTCACACTAAATTTAAATTATATATTTACAGTTGACTAAACTTTTTTAATCATTTCACAATCGAACTCAGTATCCATTTAACATGACTTCTCAGTTGACGAAGTTTAATTAGAAACCTATTTCTCAATGTAACTTTTTAATCTATTTTATGATATACCTTTTATTATAGAATTCGTTTCTTTACAAACTAGCATGGATGATTTAATTCATTTTTTAGTATTACTAATTTAATTAATTAAAGTCTTCTCTTGATTTGAAGTAATTATATACATCAAATGTCTATGAAACCTTATTAAGTATAATTTAAAAATATCATAATCATAAATCTTGTCTCCTTTCACTATCATAATTTGATTGAAGGTTCAAATCTTAATAAGTAACTTTGTATTCATTCAGCATTGATTCTATCTATCTAACCTCAGTTTGAACAACTACTTTGATTTCATTAGCCTTCTCTATCAAATTCGATTATTTTTGTACAAAATTATCATATATTTTTTTTTACTTAATGCATTCCTTAACTTATTTATAAAGTTCAGAATTTTTGTCGTTAATTGATATATTTCTTTCGATTTGTAAGGTTTCAACTTTTTTCTTCTTCTCATTAACCTTGTCAGCTTCGGCATCTATCAAATGTTATTAATCACTGGCAGTATTTTGTAATTTGTCAACTTCTTCTTGAAGTTAATTTTTCTTTAATTCATATTATTCTATTTTGCTTGTTAGCTTTTAAAGTTCCTCTGATTGGTTCTTAGTTTTATTAAGTAAATTCTAGTTCTCAATGAGTTTATTTAATTTTTATTTATTTATCATGTATGCTGAATTTTCATTGTCTAATTGTTACATTAATTGTTGTAGATTAAATTCCATAGATTATTTTTCTGAATATATTATATTGTATATGGCTATGTTTAGATGTAAGATTACTTTATTTTTTTTAAATTTCTTCTTTTAAATCAGATAATTTCAAATCTTCCAAAGTTGTTCCAATGGTGCAGTCATCCTACTTACATTCAAGTTTAATCTCAAGCAAACTATTATACATTTTGGATGAAATCTATTGAGCCTTCTGTATTTCATTTAAAGCCTCAAGATTTTTTTGTCTTTGAATTGGATCTTTTTCCTTCTTAGCTAAGATTTTCAAGTTTTCCTCTCTATCCTTTAAGGTATTAGAGTATTCATAGATGACTTGGACAATAGGTACATCCTCCTTAATGTAGAGATCATCTTGACGAAAATATTATTCTAACTGAAAAATTAGTATAAATTTTTACAGCTTTAAGATCTTGAAGTTGATTATTCACAATCTCAAAGCGTTTAGTAATTTTAGAAACATTAGTTTCCTGCTCTTCAATCCTTGATTTGAATACTGATATATTGAGTTCCTAAGATGCTATTGAATTATTGATTTTATTAATATCATGCTCCAATTCTTTTTGATAATCCTTTAATTCTTATTCATTCTTATAACTTCGACGAAGCCTTTCTTTTTGATCGATCAAGCTTTTCAAAGTTTCTATAACAAGATTCAAATTTCTTTTCTTTTCCTAATGCTAATTATTCAAGTCTTTTAACTAAGATATAAATAATTTTTATTACTCCATTTTAGTGATCTTCAATATTTTCACTAATCTTCTAAATTTCAGAATTTTCCTCTAATATGATCTGATTAGTTTTATTTTTGACTTCTTCCAACTCAAATTTTAAAAATTTAGTTCGATTTACACACTCTTTGAGATTTTTTTAGTAATACTAAAATTATTAACCCTCACCTACATTTAAGTACTTATATATAAACCTTAAGATTATGTATAAATTTATTGGTTCTTTTTTAGTTATTCAATAACAAAGGCGGCTTTTTTCAATAATTCAGAAGAATATCTCTCGTTTAATTAAAGAGCCTATTCATTAATTTTCTTCCAACCCTAAAATAGCTCTGTGTTTTTGACACGCTGGCAGACACTTTGTGAAAAAAAAGATAGATCATTATCAACTTAGGGTGGAAAAATATTAGAGACATCTAATTTAGTGAATAAAATACAATCTTCAGAAGAATTCCAGCAATAATAAGCTGATAGTGCAAATAAGATCACCACTGATGTAGCAATTCCGATTTTGTATATATTATTGAGCTTCATTGTTTTGTTAATTTAAATAATTTGAAATAAAAAATAGCTCAAATATAAAATTGATATATTCATAAATACTTAAAATTTTTATCCGCGTCATGTTTACTCTACTTATAAACAATTTTTGCCCTCAAATGTATTACAAATCATACCAGTAATTACAACTATCAATTCTGGGAGTTAGATCAAGTTTATTCAGAAAAATCTGATTTGAACATCTACCTCTAGAGATAGAATGATCTCTGTTAGAATTTAAACTTTTTGCATCCTTATGTCTATTGAATTCGTAGGATTGACAAACATTTGTAAAATTTTCTATATCCATTAGGCTGATTTAAAGCATCTTATTGACTCTTTACGTCTATTAGATATCAACAGCCTTCTTCTCTTTAGCCAACTTGGTAAAAATTGCTTGTTTGCGTCTAGTATATAAGTCTTCTCGATTTTTTAATATTAGTATATTGTTTACTTTCATTTTTTCTACTCAAACAATATAAATATTATATAAAAACATGCAACTAAATTCAATCCGTTGATTTAAAAAGAGCCTATCTACTTGCTTCATATTTCCTAATCATTTCATCTTATTTAGCCTTTACTTATTCCTCATTCATATATCTATTATTTAAAATTAATGCTCACCTTCTGAACATTGCATTATTATTATTTTCATTAATTTTTGGCAACTCAATACCTAAGTTCTTAAGCTTAACTTTTCTATATCCTCCCTTTATAGAAACAACATTATCTTCAAATTCTTTAGCTAGTTGACCCTGCTATGGACCTACATTTATCAATTTTTAAACAAAATTGTGACTAATCTTTTGCAATTGAGCAAATTCTTTTTATTTTTTTTAATAATCCTCTATTCTATTTTAAATTTAAAGTTTCCTTTGTATTTCATACCTATTTTTCATTTCCTAAATATTATAGATAGTAATTAACCTCTTGACTTTCTTTTAGATATTATAGATTATGGAAATATTCTTCAATTTTATCGTATTATTTTTTAGTTCTCTCTTCTTTATCTTTTCTTTTTTGGTTCATTTTCCTGACTAAATCTTTTGCTTTATAGAGCGCTTCATTATCATCAGAGATTTCTGCCAATTTCTTATAATTAGGCTTGAATGTGCTTTTAATTAAAATACTAACCTACAATAAATATTTACTTTTTTTTTGGCAACAATTATTATTTTTCAAAATGTAATTATTAAATTTCTTAATTAATCTCATCATATTGTTATCTCAATTCATCTTTATTAAATAATTTACTTGTTAACTAATTGGATTCATTATCTTAAATAGTAATTTTGCTTTTTTAATCCCTTGATGTATCTTTAGGCCCCTCTTTAAAATTATCAAAAATTGGGATAGATTCAAAACTATCTTAATGAACTGATTCTTTTTCAATTTTAGTTATTTCTTAAGGATGTTTATCATTAGATTATAACTCTCCTCTGCTGTTTAGTTATGAATCATTGATTTAGTTAAAATTTTCATATTGATAATTAAATTAATTGTTTGAGTCTTTATTTGAAATTTTTAAATCTTCTTCCAAATAAGGTTCCACTTAAGAGTCATATTCATCTTGATCAGAAATTTAAGCTTAATCTCGAATTTCTTAAACTTAATTAACATTTTTTTTCTCTATTTGGAAATTTTGATTTTTTTAAACACTGTCATTTTTGATATTTTCAACATCAGTTTAATTTTATGTTCTAAAACTAACTCTTTGCCCCTCTTGTAATTTAATTTTGTTTTCTATTTAAGAAAACATTTCCATTGTTTTTTTTTTCATTAAAGCACCACTACTTGAGATAAAATTCACTACACTTTGTTAATGTTTTTTTGAGTTGTTCTAATTATCAATATCAATATCTTAATTAGTAATCTAAGCATCATTAATATTATAAGTCAAATCTGTCTAAGGTTTTGATTAATTAGTTTATATTACTTGCTCCTATTCTTGAAAATTTTCTATCTTATTTTCATCCTTTTAGACACTTTGTTCTAGGTTATTTTCCTTTTATTCATCCGATTGCTATTCATTCTCAATCTTTTTCATCTCTGCTAATTTGATTTCATTGTTTTAAGAATCCTAATTTTGACTTTCTATTTAAGGTTTGTTTGATAACTTTGCTTCCAATCTTTTTTGTGTTTTTTTAGTTTTTAAGGCTATTTTTTATGGAGCATCCGTAAAGAAACTGAAAAATTTTTACTTATTTCTATAAGGTTCTGTTACAGCATTAAAGGCCGAAGCCTTATTTTTCACTTATTTCCATTTATTTTAGTCATCCTGTTCTGATTCAATAGCCCCATCTTTAATTTAGTCTAATAATATATTTTCTTATGATTCTGGCTTCTCTAATATAGGATTGGATATTGCATCAAAGTTTAGTTCTCGATGAGATTGATTAGAAGGTAGAGCCATTTATTATAAAACATTTGTATTCATCGAAATATCAAGTGTCATGTTTACATAAGATGCTGCATTTTTGTCAATTAATTATTCCTCCAACTAAGATATTGCTAAACTAGAATTGCAATTGTTTTCAATTCTACTCTAAGGAGTTATACATCTTTTCAGATGCTCAGCCTTAGATTAATTTTTATCTTCAATTTATCCAGATTCTGTTTTGAAGAGTCTATCGATTTTCCCAATAGTGGAAACTTTAGAAGGATTAGGAATATGGTCATAAGTATTTTTTTTTTTTAAATTGATCTTGAATTACTCCGTTTTCTCATTAGTTTTCCCTTTTACAATTGGAAAAACATCATGTAAAAATTGTTTCAGTTTTTAGACTGAGGTAGCAGGCTTTGTAACACGTGAAATAAAGGCTTAGGTGAAAGTTTTAGTTCTCCATATGGTTTTTGATGGGGCTTCGTTAAAGAATGTTTAGAACTTTTTTATGTGAGGTCTTTCACTTTTTTCAGTCATTTTAAAATAAAAATTAGTATTGTTTTTCAATAAAATACATATCAAATATCAAGTTAAGATATTAGTGAATATTTAATCTAAAATATTTTACAATTATTTAGGATCTTAGTCTAATGCTTCTTAATCTAAGTTAAACAAATTATAGTCTAATTTTTCATATTCCTGTGTTTGTTTCTTAAAGAACATTTCTAATTGAACTAAAGTAATTAACAAGTATTATTATTTCTCATTTTTAATTTCATTTCTTAAACTCTCTATTAATTGTAAATTTATTGATCTTATCTCGTTTAACTAGCTTTCCAATGATTATTTTTATGGGGTTCCAAATATTGATTATTTTATAAAGCCTAAGAGGGATTCTTATTTGTAATCTTAAACAATTTCTTGTGTATTAAATAAGTGATAATCTTCATTAGAAATCAATTCCTTCAAATATTAACATGCCTAGACTTGGTGATATTGTTCTTCATTCAATTATGATTTTAAATGACAATACAATTATTTGGCACACTCCTAATATTAATCATAATTGTAAAACTGATCAACAATATCCTGTTCATAAATCTATTGATGAGCCTTTGCCAATAATAAATATTATTTTCTTTGATTGTATAATTCTTCTATTAATTTATCATCATCATTTTTATCTATAGTTAATATTTCAAATTATTCATCATTCTCTTATTATTATTCTATTTCTTACTTTACAGTTCCTTCTTCCATCTCTTATTCTAATAAGCTCTCTTGATCTTGATCCTGATCTAAATCTGAATTTGAATTGGATTCTTGATCGTCATCAAATTCAAAAATAATTTTACTTTCTTTCAACAAATTTGTTAATTCTTATTTCAATTCATTCAGTTATATTCTTTAATTTGGATCATATTTTAGCATTGATTAAATAATGGTTTTCATTGAATTGGAAATTTTGATTTATGAATCTTAGAAGGATATTGTTTGCTTCTGTATTTCACTTATGTGATCCTTCTCATTTTTAAAAGGGAATCTCCCAAAGAGCAATTAAAACATAATTACTCCTAGAGAGAAAATATCTGCCTGTCTTCCGTAAGATTTATTTTCAAGGATCTCGGGAGCTAGATTTATATGATATAATACCCATAGTCATAGGCGAACCTGCATAAGTTTATGCTAGATCAGTTTGACTTGCAAGTTATTTGGATAATCCCATATCTGCTATCTTGAACTTTGCTGAAAAGAGGACATCAAATTATCTTTGTTTTAATTATTCCAATTAGTAATCAGTCATCTAAACCATAATATTTTCAAGTTTTATATCTCTGTGGATGATGAATTATTAGTGAAGTTATTTAAAACCCTCAATCAATTATAGAATTATAAATATCACATACTTCTCTGGCATCTCACAATCAAAATATTCTTCATAGATAACTCCAAGATCCTTCTTGCATTCTTCTAACACAATATAAACAGTATTCTTTGTTTCATATTTTTCATAAAATTTAATGATGTTTTCATGATTACATCTTTTTAAAATTTCTATTTCTTAATTTAAATAGTGTAGGATTTGGACTTGCAATCCTTATTTGCTGATCATCTATTCTAATTATAAATATCAACCTTAATTGCAACATTCCTTTTTGTGGTTAGACATTCTGCATGAAACACTGTAGCGAAAGAACCAAAACCAATTTCTTGGAAATTGCAGTATTTATTCCCTAAATCATTTTCTAATGTTTCAAAATCGCTCATATCCCAACACTTGATTCCAGAATTTTGTTTATTATTATTTTAAATAAAAATACAATAATCAGTCTAAAATTTAAACTCATTGCAATAAGATCATATACCATAATTTCTTAATTAATAATTTTCTCATCATTTATTTATTTAGATTATAGTAATCATTAATTATTATTTTATATAAAATATTTATAATCAGCTTCTCTATATTCTCAGATTATAATTATTTTATAATAAATCACTTCCTAATGGTCGGTAGCATATGCATATTAATTATCCTAACTTTCTTTTAATTACATACCAATATTAAATAAATCTTATCTTATTTTAAATGATAATCCTTCATATTTTTAAATATTAAAAAGGGTTGTTAATATTTTTCTTGAATTCTTTCTTTTAAAAATATCTAAATTTTAAATTAAATTATTTAAAATGTTTTGGGGAACTCAAATATCACAAGGAAAAACTCACAAATTAACAGCAGAAGAAGCAGATGTTATCCATGTTTCTAATGTTGCCATTTCTGAAGGAGAAAATAAAATTTAAGTTTATGCAAAAGTATAAGGAAAAGAATTCATCCTTGCCAATCTTGAGAAAAACAAGGTATTTAATTATTAATATATTTAGTTGGAATAAGTCTCTTTGGACTTGTATTTCAGAGCTGACCAATAGGTAGAATTTGGAGTGAAAGGAAAAGGAACTATTCATGTTTCTGGATATATCGAACCTGAATTAGATAATGAAGTATGACTTTAATTTAACTCAAGGAGGGATTATCTGATGATGATGAGTAAACCCTAAGCCAAGATGAGGAAGCTAGCGAAGAAAGTCCAGAACCAGTTCAATAAACAAAGAAAAAAGAATAATCTAAATAATAACCATAATAATAATTATAATAATAAACTTAAAAATAAAATAAAGAAAAATAAGAATAACCATAATCCAAACCTCAATAAGGATAATAACAATAGAAACCAACATAATAATAATAAAAACCATAATAATAATAACCAAAGCCATAATAACAACAACCAAAAAAGGCTGATGAGGAATGGGATGACGATGAAGATGATGAGGGTCTTGATGATTTTGATGAAAATGACTTAGATGATGGAGATTTGGATGATGATGAAGATGAAGATGAATCTGAAGAATAAAAACGTATAAAATTTAACTTATTTTGTAGCCTAATAAAAGTTTGTTAAAAACAATGAGGGATAAAAGCAAAAGCCTAAGTAAGAGTAAACTAAACCTTAATAAAAAGGATAGTAATAATAATAATAATAAAAATAATAAAACTAAAATCAATAATAATAAAAATAATAGAATTAGAATCAATAATAATAAAATAAAGGAAACTAATAATAAGGTTAAAAGCCAGCCTAAAATCAATAATAAAATCAAGGAAAACAATAATAACATCCTCAAAATAAAGGAAATCCCCAATAAAATAAGGACAATTAAAACAAGAATTTCAACAAGAATGCCAATAAAAATCAAGGTGGCTTCAAGTAAAAGCAATAATGAGTGTTAATATATAACATTATATAAATAAAAAAATACATATCAAAAATTTTGTATATTGTTTATTATTAACATTAAATGTTTTAATATATAAAAAAATGTTATGCTTACTTTTAGAAAAAATGTATTCAGTATTAAAACAATCCAAGCCTTAAAAAGCATACAGCGTATAATTGTATTTTACTAGTTCTAACTATTATTATAAGGACTTTTTTTGAAATTTATTTGAGGTAGTAATTAGCAATTGAGTCTGATTAATTGCCTTTAGAACATAATAAAGAGGAAATTAATGATCCAATATTTGAGAAGCATTATGATCATATTTAGTTATCATATAGAATTTTAGATCACTCACTTCATCTTATTTTATCACTTGAAATACTTACATTAATTTTATAGATCACATTAATTATAAATAAAGGAAAACAAGAGTTACCATTATTGAATCCTCTTTTAGAATAAGAAAAGAATGAATGCTCTGTATAGTTTGTATAAAGCTCAAATTATGGTTTCTCGAGCCTATAAAACAACTAACAAACCTTTAATTCAATTGAGATGTAATTGGTATCTAGAAACAAAGGGACTTCAAATTAAATTAAAAATTCATCTGAAGAAAAGTCTCCTCTTAACTTTGGTAAATAATTCCAATAGAATAAAAATATCACTACATAAAGAGAGGAGTTTCATTAAATTTAAGAAGAGCCACACGATCAGTCTCCAAAATAAATTGCAAATTCATAATAAAATATAGTTACAGAAAATCCTATTTACGAAACTACATCAAACATATAAAATGAATCCGACTAAATTTCTATATAAATTTCATATCCAAGCAGAGTGTAGAAATACAAAAATGGAAAATTAAAGACTGTTTACATTATTTAAAAGTGTAAAAAATAAGTAAATTGTAATTTTTTTTGGATCTCATCAACAAAAAGATCAAATTATTTTTGCTTAAATTGTGATTAGAAAAACATCATAGATTAAAATAAGAAGCATGTTGAGATTGAAAAAACTAAATAAGATATTAATGTTGAAACTAATAAAATTTTCTTATCAAATTAATTTGAATAATAGTTATTTGAGATAACAAAAATTTATAAGAATAATACTTTTCAATTTTGTTATAATTTTGAATTTTGTGGATTTTTTTGGATGAATAATAGACAATTCTAATCCAATTAATATTATTGTCCTACGTGCCAAGAATATTATACAACGAAAGATGAAGAAACATAAGGAACTATATATAAAGAATTAACTTGTAAGTGTTCCTATTGCCATACTGAAGCACAAGAACATTTTTAATCACCTTGTTTACATGCTTATCATTATGAATGCTTAAAAGAATTAGGGAAGAATTATCATTAAGCAAATATTCCCTGTATTGCTTGTAATGTGAATATGTTGAGTAGTTTAAAAAAAAATAACATTTTATCAAAAGAAACATTTGAAAATATATTTGATCATTAAATAAAGGTGATGAGAGAGGAATCAATGCATGAAGAATGAGGATTAAGTATGATTTAGTATCATTTATGTTAAATATCAAAATTGATTCTTTAAATTATTCTAAATGAATATATTTTACAATACCAACTTAATTTCTGTTGGAAATATAGAATAAATTTTAATTGTAATAAATTGGTTTAATTTATAGATTATACGGGTATTATGAAAAATTTAAGTAAATTTTGATATTTAAAAATTAACATCACAATATTAAACAAATCATTATATATGCATTGAATATGATGATTATTTTTATTCTTCAGAATAGTTTACTGCTTTAATAAACTGTTTGAAATGAAATTTATTTTACAGAAATTTATTAGTATTATAAAGTTCCACGAGTTAATTTTTAAATAATTTTGACAATATAAGTTTAAACGAATCGTTCTTAAATTATCTAAGCAACTGAGTGCTGACTTATGCTCCACAATAACAGATCAAATATGTTTTATCTAATTCTATTTATTTGGTACAATATTCCTTAAGACAATATTTGTGAATGCTGTGTTTACATTTGAGTTGGATTTTTTAACTTATAATCAATTTTTTGCAATGGAAACAGCATTCTCTTTAGTTACTTTCACTCTTTGAAAAATGTAATAAATCTTGATTTTTCTATTGTAGGGTGCCTAGTTGATTGGAGAAAAACTTTGAAATTAAGTTGTCATCAGGAATGAGTGATCTCAAATGTTAGGTATGAATTTTTTGTTGACACATACAAAGCAAAGTACAATTTCCATTAGTAATTTAATTTCGTATATATGAGATTAGACAAGATTAATGATAGAAATCTAAACATTCTAATGTATAACCCTACAGTGAATCATTTACTTAATGACAAAGACAACAGTGTTATGTTCTTATTTCTGGTGGTGCATAGCCTGATTGATTTAACAAATTGTTCCCCATGGAATCTAAGACTTTGATGGATGGCATTTGATATTAAATGTGATCAGCCCTCCCCAGCTGTGATATTCTTTTGTCAAATTCAGTTTCTTTTGAATTTAAGATTGACTTTTAAGATTTGTACAACTAAATCGTTCTTGCTTCTTGAGGGATACACTCAGAAGATTCAACTATGGCATTTATAGTAATAGAATTGAGAATTGAACCAGCATGGATCTCTTTTTCTTAGCATTATTACATTTATTTGCAACTACTTGATGATCCCATTTGTTTTTAATTTATAATAACTTTATTTATTTTTAATCACATATCTCGATATATTAATAATGATATTCAACTCTGAAGATCTCAATTTAAAATTGAAGCGGTCAAAATATAGAATGTCTAAACCGTAAAATGAAATGAAATTCAAATTATATTCTGTATCAATAATAAATAAATAACAGAGAGCTCAATTGTCCACAGGTTGAATTAGTTCTTCCTGAAGATTTGAATACCCTTCTTAAAATTCAACATTGTTGACTTAGAGTTTCCAAATTTTATTTTCCAAATAGATCATCGCTTTATTGTAGAATTCATCTATTATCCACTAAAATACGAATTTATCTTTTCTAAAATGAATGGAATGATTACAAAACATCCTAATACATTCTGTTTCCATTATGAAATAAAGTGATTTTGTTTTTAAGTTTAGAGTGTATTAGAATTACTTTATGAGTTTCAATTTCCTTTTCAGATCTAAAGCAAAAATCCCATTCGTAATGTATTTTAGAATCCTTGATGATGTTACCCAATCCTTTTGATTCAAAACACATCGGAATGAACATCATGATTGTTAAAATAGTTATATAAATATATATAATTTCATTAGGTATTTTAAAATACTTAATAGTATTTATAATACTTAATAAGTTCAATAACGCAATGCAATTTAAGAAAGCACCTTCTAATATCCTTGTACATATTAGCTTTGGACTGAATCTAATAAGTGAATATTATCTTAAGCCCAATGGATGCTCACATCTTGATTATTATATATGATTCTATCTGACATATAATATTTCTTCTGAGTTTATTGGCAAATAAATTCTAATGGTTATTCTTGATTTTGGTAATACTCTTCAAATCTAGAAGTAATTAGTAACTCATTTACTTTTGAGGGAAATCAGCATAATAATTCGAAAAGACTTTGCTAATCAATTATTATGTTAATTCAATCTAAACAGGAATCCTTGAGATTCCATCATAATACTCAAATTCTAAGTCTCCAATTGAAATATCAAAAAATTCCCCTCTTCTATAATATTCTCTAATTTCGGATGCTAAAAATGAGTAACCATCATGCGATATAATATCGTCCTGGTTGGTTTCATTTAATTAAATTCCAGATAGTGCACAATATTTAGATGATTGATATTCAATTTAAAGATCAAACTACATATTTGATAAATTCTAGATTTAGGCAACCACATCTGCTGTTTTTTCTATATCAGGATTATTAATGAATTCAACTATCTCTCCCACTTTCAAGTCTATTGTACTGATATTCGATGGCATTTGTTGCTGCGTATAATTCATGTAATTTCTATTATAGTATTGAATATTTTAATAATTATGTAAGTAAAATAAATTCATCTAACTTATCAATTGAAGGAAGTTATGAGATTTAATTAGCCAACAAAAATACTATTTAATTTGTAATAATAGTAGGCTATATTGATTAAAGATGGGAAATGGATTATAGAGTATGATTATGGACTATTGTGTGAATTGGGAAGAATAGAGATAAAATTCAAAGAATCAAAACCAGGGATAAATGTGACCTATTGCGATAAGTTTGAGGTATTTTCTTCATATTATTAATTGGATAGATCTACTTTATTCTCTATGAAGGTTTGCAATTATACATTTTAAAAAGGAAAATGATTTTGCTGAATTCCATAAAGTTTGATTCAAAATACACAGTGGGACTTCACTACTTTAGTGGTCATTTGTTGTTATTAGGATTGGAAGGTAAATAGTTATTTGAAATTAGAGATTGATTTGTTAAAGTTTGAATTTATTATCAAGAAGAAGGACCCTAAAATAGAAAGCGAAGTCAAGAATTCCAAATCATTTAAATAGAACTCAAAATACGCTAAGCTAGATCATAAAAATAGAAAGATTGATTAAGACAAATTACCTGAAATTAAATAACAACAACATGAGATCGATTTTAAGAAAGAATAAAAGAAAAACAAACCTCCCAACTAAACCAATAATAAAATATAAGAAGAAGATAAATGCAAGTATTTGGCTAAGGATAATTTTGACATAGCTTATGTAAGTAAAAAGTCTATTTACACAAGCAAAAAAAAAAATAGCAAAGAAAAAAATAGTAGAGAAGAAATTTACAAAGAAAAAAATTACAAAGATGAAAATGGCAAGGATGACAATATCAAAGAAAAAAACAGCAAAGAAAAGAATAGTGAGGAATGGATTTTAAGTTTTTATATTAATGAAGACTTTTTATTTTTCTGGAGCGATAAAGATTTAACTATTATGAAGTAGGCAATGATAGCTCAAATTCAAAAGGAATGGGATAATGATAATATTTAGGGATTCTCCAATTGGTTTAATAGAGTTAAATTGTAAATTGATGACTAATCAGAAGGAACATATAATACTATTCAAACAATAACCTTCTAATTGGTGTAAAAATATCATGATCTCACAAAACATGAAAATTTGATAACTTAAGTCTTGCATTTTATAGAATATAGATATTTTGTAACTGGATTTGAAACAGGATAAATAAAACTGTGGAAAATTAATACTGCAGTAAAACAGAGTGAATTGTTAGTACATTCATATGAAGGACATTCAAAATAAATTGAATCTTTAATCAGAAGCAAGAACGATAAGATGTTTTGGAGTCAGGGCCAAGACTTTTCAATAAAATTATGGGACATTTAGGTATTTGTAACAAATTTAATAGTTTCCTTAAAGCAATTTACAAATGTATACGCAGTAAATATAATTGGGATCTATTCAAATTTGCAGTTGCTAACTAGAAGTCGATTTCTATTGAGAAATGACTACGAAATGTACATTGGATACTTAAATAACAATCTAAAAATATATAGAACCATAAATTCTAAAATAGTGTCATATTACAAATATGATGACAGCATCCTTTTAGCACTTGATAATACACCAGGACTTTCAGTATAGGAGAACTGCGAGCCTATTATCTTGTATCCACCTCCTAAGTCTATGGAAGTAAGATAAATTGTTACTGATGGTCAATTGTACTTCATGCTGTTAGAAACAGGAATGTTGTTCATAAATTCTAATTAAACTTAAATATAATGCATTTAAAGTGAAGAGATTATGGATTTTGACAGTTATCATATGGTTTAGGTAATTGTTTCAGTGTATCTTCCTTAAAAAATTAAACTCCCTTGTTATGATGCTGATTTTGGTCAATCTAGAGATTTGTAATGTTAAGAATAGTTAATTTTTGGTATGTCAAAAGGATCAGTGATTGCAGTTCAGAAGAATAATCCTAAGAAAATATATGCAAGAATGAGTTATCATAGGGAAAAGGTTATTAACATTGCTGAGATAGATAATTATCTATTCACTTATTGTTCTGAAGGGCTGTTGAAATTGATTTCTATAACAGAAAAGTAAATAAAGTGTATCAGATCCTTCAATTCTAATTAATAAATTGCATATTTTACTACTTTCCATAACAAAGCCTTATTTTTCACTTATAAGGGTCCATTTCAAATTTTTAAATTCAAAAATGAGTAATTGTATTTACATTGTGATGACAAAGGAAATGATCATGAATAACAAGTTCTGTCAGTCGATTATCAATAGAAAACTAAGACTTATTTGACAGCCGCATCGGATGGTAAGATTAAGTTATGGTCCTCAAGAAAAATCCTATTGATTTAATTGATAATGGAAGATAACCTAGAGGGAGCGTGGGTTTTGAAGTAAAATCTATTAATAGCTCATTGTGGAAAGGTATTATTCATTATATTCCATAGCTCTCTTTAATATCCTTAGAAGATTGCAAATTTAACACCATAAATCATAACCAACCTAAATAGAAAAAGGAATAATAAATAAAATTTGAAGACTATTATCAACTAATAAAGATTTAGTAACAGCAATAGAAATAATAGGCTGATACAAAAATCATTCAGCAGTAGGAAGTACTCAATAAACAATAATATAAATTGAAAAATAAAGCCTCTGTATCCTATGTGGCCGGAAAAATATATTATGAAGAGAATAATAAACCTATCATTTTATACAAGGGAAAAGACTCCGATTTGGATTCTTCAAAGCATTCGTCTTAATCAAGCATTTCAATTTAAGAACAAATTCACTCTTAATAATAAACTTAGTAATAGATTATAAGACCAAAAAAGTAAAAAGATTTACTTCATGATTGGGAAGGATTGTAAGAGTATGAGGAGAATAGAATTAATAGGTTCTAACCTATTTAAGCTTTACCAAAATTACTTTTAAATTCAGTAGATAGAAAATAACCTTCGCGCTAAAGAATTATAAGTCGGAGAGATTTGACTCTTTAAAGAATTATATTACAGAGCATCAACTAATGATTAATAACAACAATTAAATATAAATTACATATTATATTTTATCATGATTATTATTTAACAACACCCACTTTTGCTGGTCTTAAGACTCTCTCACCAATAGCATATCCTTCTTATGCAACATAGCATATTGTTCCTGGTTCTTTTTCAGGATCTTCAACCTAGAATAGGGATTCATGAAAGTTTGGATCGAATTTCTATCCAATCACATTCATCTTTTGTACTCCAAATTTCTTGTATACTTTTTCTAAAATTGAATGAGTCATGACAACACCTAAATTTAATCGATTTCATGAATACCTTCTAATAATGGATTATTTTCTGGTTTGTCAGTAGTGCTTGCAATAGCTCTTTCTAAGTTATCTTGGACATCTAGTAATTCTTTGGCGAAATTTGAGATGGCAAATACTTTTAATTGCTCCTTCTCTCTAAGAATAATTAATAACAATAGATACTTTAAAACTCTTTTTGATGACAATTCTGATTCTTCTATTTCTGCTTTTAAGGCATCTCTTAATTCCTTGATTTTTGTGTTGTGATCCTTATTGGATGCCTCTAATTAATTGATCAATTTGATTTGATCATGAATTTTTTCCTTGTGATCTTTGATTTGAGTCTCTAATTTTTCAATTTATTTTGAGTAAAATGATTCAACTCTATGTAATTTGTCTTCGTGAGATTCATCAAGGGATTCTACTTTTTCATCTTGTTTTGTAGAAGCTTCCTTTTTTTCTTGCTCTGCTTTTTGTTCTTATTATTAGGCTTTCTCCTATTTGTGATCATTCTTGTGAGTATCATGCTTCTTGGTCTTTTCAGAAAATAAATATATTGATGTTTATTGTAGTCCTTATCTGAAAAATACTTGTTATGGAGATGATATGAGACCGAAAACTCTTGCTCCTATTCTCAAACCTTTCATTTAATAACACCGCAAATTAAATTTTATTAATAAATATTGAAATTATGAACTTATGAATTCTATATAAATAAAATTTATTATTTTAATGTTATATATCATTATACAGAAATGGATTTTTCTTTATCTGGAAGTTTTTGATCTAGAATGAAATATTTGACCATCCAATAAGCCTCTTTTCTACGATCTGTTGGTACCATATGTCCAGCATCTCTGACTGTGACAAATTGCAATCCTTCAATAGAAAACACACTTCCTGCATTTTATTATTTATCCACTGTCCTTTCCCCTGGAACATACCAAGCTCTCCAATTTTCAGTTGTTGATAATTCTATTTTAAAATTGTAATTTACATAATTCATTTTGTAGCAATTGAATCCAAAATAAAGTACCAGTTATAGGTACAACTGAATCAATATCTCCACTAAAATGCATGATTCTAATCTTCTTTGATTTAATAAGAGATTCATAAATGTAATATGATTGCCTTTCAAATTTTTCATAAACGAAATCGTCATCATCAGTACAGACATCCCATTCAGAACTATCAGGTTTAATATGAGTAATCTATTTCCATTTTGGATCTCTAAAAAGAACATACAATCCCTTGTCATCAGTACATGAACCGAATTCTTCATCGTTTTACCTATTTTTTGGTTTGAATTTTTTCAACATGGGATCATTTTTCCTTAGCAAAAATTGTTCAGGTTTGTAATTGTAACAATAACCATAGATATTGTATGGATTCATGAGAAACACTCTAAAGTAGAATTATGGATAATTACGATGGTGATTCATAATATTAATTAACGACTTGATCCAAAAATTCGAAACAATCTCCATGTAAATTATGTAAATCTGAGCATTTCCCACTATTTTATAAATGTTAAGCGACTTTGTATTGTTCCTCACTGAGAAAGCCTTGTCTAGCAAAGAACTCAATAGTGTGGATGGGATAAAGGTCGGCCACATCACTGCATTCAGTAGGATGAGTGCAACCATTACCAATCATGATTCCTTTTAGATGGATGGCTTTGTCAGGATGCTATTCATTATGCTTCAGTATTTAATTAGCTAACAATGGAATATAGATTCCAGCATAGCTTTCTCCGGCTATGAAAAAGTCTTTGGCCTAATATTCTGGAAATCTTTCAAAAAAATCCACAAGTGCTCTCAAATTCTATATTGCCACTGTGTCATCATTCACATTGCCATTACCATACGAATAACCTACTTTGGCGGGGGATTCTAAATACAACATATGTGCCTAGAAGTATAAGGTGAAATTTTACAAATTTTGTCCAAGCCCATTTGTTCTCGTAGAATTCAGCTGTTCCGTCCTTGAATACAAATGGCCCATTTTCATTCACTGCTCCTTAGAGTGATGAGCAACCTGGTCCTCCATTCAGCCATAGCATGACTGGAGTGTTTTCTTCAGTGAAATCATCTTCAAAGGTGGATGTCATAAAATAATAATGAAAATAGGTTTTATCATCATCTATGGCTTTCAGATACCCTGAATACATTTAGCCTTTGAAATCAAATACGCCATCTGTGTATTCTTTTAAGTCATCCGATTTAACTAGGTCATCCTAGGCTGTAATGGCTAGAGATAAGCAAATCAATAGTTGAATTGCTATTAATTATTTCATTTAATTAATTAATTTAATTAATTGATAATGTCCTATTTTAGCAAGCTTTTGCCCTTTCCACCGAATATCGAAAAACAAGAAATCCCAAATGACGTAAACGAAATCATTCAAACCTTGATTACTAAAGAGGCTTCGCTTTAACAATGGGAAAGCATTTCTGTAATCTAATGGTTTAATATATTTTATATAGTACGCCCTTTTCAACCATAAAAGATATGATGACTTCCTGGAATTGATGAAATATTTGACTAACAATCTAATTAATAAGTTCAACGATGATCAAAGTAAGAAAATCAAAATAAGAATCTATAATTCATTATCTTTATATTATTTGATTTAAGCCACAAGGTAGGATGGCTTTGATAAAGCATCAGACTACTTTGACAATGTGGTCAAAAATTTCAACTTATCAGATAAATACGATTTTGTCAGCCACACATTTAGTATTAAAGGGTTGTTCTCATTTTATAAGGGAGACAAAGACTAAACATTTAGTTATTACAGAACTTCATTCGATGAGACAAGCTCCGCAAGGTATTCAAATTTCTTTACATCATCATAGAGATACCTTGTCTGTCACTCCTTGCATTGGAACCGCATAAGCCTATTTCGCAGTTGGTAATTATAAGGATTCTTTATAATATTTCAAAAGAGCCCTTAAACACAAACCAAATATTGCCGGCAAAGCAAGATTGGGATTGGCATATTGCTATTACAATCTGGAATAATACTCATTGGCTTACTATGCATTCAAGAGAGTCTTGCAATTGGTAAATAATGTGTAGTAAACCCTAGGAACCTCGAAATGTAGAGGCTCACATTGGATTGGCAGTTTTAGCTTTTGACAAAGGAGATTATGATGAGTATTTCAATAGGTTATGCAAAGCCTTTACTATTAACTAGAATCATCCAATCACTCTGTATCATTTGAGTGAACATTACCTATTTAAGCTAGATTATTAGAGAGTATTAAGTTCAATTCTAATTCTAGGCTATGATCTGCATATAAAATGGATTAAAAGCTTTGGATAATGTATCAAGGTTTCAATTCAAAGAGAAATCTTAAGAAGATCAGTTCAGGAATGATTGGTCATAGTTGAAATGCAGATATCTCTATTTGATAGGTTTAATTAAGCAAATTGAAGGCGAATACGAATAATCTCTCAAATATTATAACCAAGCCAAGTAGTACAACAGAAACAATGTTTTAGTTCTACTGGGGTTGTCTTAATTATACTTGAATCCTTAATCTCAAAATTACACTGAATCCTACAAATTGGCAGAAAAAATCGCTAAACAATATGAAAATACTGATTTCATGTGGGAATTATATAAATAATTAGCGTACATCCAATCAAAAAATCTACAAATTCGTAAACCAGTTATTGAGACTTACAGAAAGGCATTGCAATATAATGATAAGGATTTTGAAACATTGATTGAATTTGCTTAATAAATAGAAAATGAGGATGCGTCAACCTATTACTAAACTGCTGAAGATCTACTCTTATCAAAATTTAATAATTAAAAGAATACTATGATTCTACAAAAAATAACAGAATAAATCATATTTCCAGAATTATACATTAATATGGGTGTTCATTTGGCTAATACCGATTTATTAAAAGCCTTGAAGAGTTATGAGAAATGTTAATAATTGATAGAGGAATTTCAGATTCCAGATTATGTTGTAGACACTACAGAGGAGGCTTCTAAATAGGAAGTGTAACTTAAGAAAAATATGTATCAGATTGTCCTTTCGTTTAACAAAGGCATTTTGATGGAATAATTGGGAGATTATGTGACAGCCATGGAATTACATTAATAATGCATCAAGATAAATCCTTATTTTATTGATAGTTATGTGAGATTGAGTTATTTGCAATTTCATCTTGGAGATTACAAAGATGCTTTACGAACTATATCAGATTCTAAAATTTATTATGAACAGTATGTTAATCATAACAGGAATTATAAAGGTTAGAATCCTGTTCCTATGATTCACGGATACATAGCATATCAACTATAGGATTAAGGAGGAGCAGTTGATTAATTCAAAAGATATGGAGAGGATTGTTATTCAAAAATCTTCTTAATGGCTCATGATTATCAATTGGCAGCTGATAAAACTAAAAATGACGATTAGCAATTCAAAAAGAAAGTTTTGAGACAAATTGCCAGTACAGGCATGAAGTTACTGTAACATGAGCCAAAAAACTTATAAGCTGCTATTACTTTGATATTGGTTATTGCGGAGTTAGGCAAATACACAGAAGCCCTGAATTTATTGGGAGATCTTTAAGAATATGCTCATCAATAACCAAGAATTCTTAGCAATTTGGCAATCTTGGATTGTTTGATAATGCCTAATAATAATTAATCAGCTAAGACTTACTTTAAAAAATATTATGAGAAAACCAATTATAAACCAGATGAACATACTGATCTTGCTGTTGCCAAAATGTATCTGAATAATAAGAAATATCGAGAGAGTGCCAATGTCATTAAAAGGCAAATTCTCAATAATCCAGGAGATTTGAAACATAGACTTAATCTCAATATGGTGGTTCATTAATACTGTTATGAGATACAAGAGGAGAAATGTTCTTATAAACTATTGAGAACAGCAGTAACCTACTTTAAATGCTTATTAAAGAGTTATGAATACATGTCGTAAGGAATCTGTTGGTCAAATAGAGAATAGTAGCATGAGACTGAACATAGACATATCATCAGATAGAATCATTAATTAATGAGATAGAAGAGCGAGGACAAGTTTAACTTTATTCATAGTTTTTAAACCAACTTTGATAAATTACTGAAAGAGGCAGAGGAAAAGGAAAAGATTAAGGAAGAAGAATAATAAATGTTAGAATAATAGAGAAGAGAGAAACTAGAAAAAGCAGCAACTTAATAACAGCAGAAATAAGAACAAATAGATTCTACTTAAATGGAGAAGTTAGCTAGAATTGCTGCTGATTTATTGAGTAATCTAAATATGGATTAGGAGTTTGAAAATTAAATTCAGGGAAAACAAAGCAAATAAGGTAAGTTAAGTAAGAAGGAAAGGAAGAGGAGATAAAAGGAGTAAGCCAAAGCTAAGAAGGAGGACGACGAATTCATTGAATCTGACGATGAAGATTATAATTCTGAATAGGCTGAAATTGATGAACAATATGCGAAAGAAGAGATTGGCGAGGATTCAGAAGAACAATTAAATGAATAAGAGGCTTATGAAAAGAGAAATACTAATAAGTAATCAAAGAAAAAGAAGAAAATCAAGTAGAAAGAAGTCAAATAAAAATCCAGATTACAAGTACATATAATTTATAATGCTTATTTAGAAATAAGTTGATATTAGTGATTAAGAAGGTGTCTATGAATCGCAGGACTCTAATAAATATGAAGATTTATTTTGAATTACATTAAAACAAAGATAATATTATTTATAAAATAACATAAATTTATTATGGCAGGTGAGTTTACAGGTGTTTGTGGTGCTTGTTGTGGAATCAGCAGTTTCATTCTATTTTTAATGATCATATTATCGTTTAGTTCATTAGATTATAATGAGGTTGGTTTAGATTATAGTTCAATTACTAAAACAATATCTCCTAAAATCTATTAGGCAGGAATCCATTTCCTAGGCATTGGACACGAGTTCATCACTTTCCCTAAGACAGTTTAGACTGTTGAGTTTTCTGATGATAAGACTGCTGACAGAAAAATGATACATTCAAGAACTAGTGATGGTTTAGAAGTGGTGTTAGAAATCTCATTTTAATATACGTAACTTATTTAAATTAATACTAGTTACAATTTAACTTAACTCTACTCTTTGTTTGCAACATATTAAACTAAGCACAAACCCATCCTCATTAGACAGTCTATTGACATTCTTTCTTTTGTTGCCACTCAATACTCAGCCTACGACTTTTTTATGGACAGATAAAATATAGGAATTGCAATGTAGGCAGCCTTAGACGAATTATTTGAGAAGGAATTGTATTCCAATTGTGAGTTTTTTCAACTTCGTTCTGTGGATTTACCGAACGACTTTGAAAATGCCATTTGGAGTTCGGAAGTGAAGAAGCAAGAGATTGTTAAAGCCTAAGCTCAAAAGAACAAAACTGAAGTGGAACTGGAGACTAACAAGATGACTGCCTTATACAACAGAGAGGTTGTGTTGAATTAGGCTTATGGTGAGGCCAATTCTACTCTTTCAAATGGGAAGGCCAAGGCTGATGCATTTTTGACCATTTAGGAGGCCAATTAAAAAGCGTAAATATTAGTCAGATTCTATATTTAGATTCAAGTCTTTAAAGGAGCATTTGAAGTTGGATGGGAAAGGGGTAATTGATTATTTGAAAAATAAAGCATTAAGAGATTATGAAGGAGATGATTTATTAATTTTTATTTGATTTAATAATTTGATAGTTAAAAATTACATTCAATGTCTAAGGAAGAGGACCATAGTGAAGTAGAGGATCATATTCTAAGAAGATTCGATTTATAAGAATACAAAGGGAAAGGAGCGTACGGAATAGTATGGAAGGCTTATGATACTAAAACCAAATAAATTGTTGCATTGAAAAAAGTTTTATTTTAAAATAAGCTAGGTGTTTGATGCCTTTCAAAATTCTACAGATGCATAAAGAACTTACAGAGAAGTTGTATTTTTGAAATAATTAAATAATCATGATAACATAGTTAAACTGATATCTGTTATAAGAGCAGATAACAACAAAGATTTATACATGGTTTTTGAGTATATGGAGACAGATTTGCACAGAGTAATTTTCCCTTAAATATGTAATAGGTTATCAGAGCTGAATTGTTAAACAACATGCACATCTAATATGTGATGTACTAAATTCTCAAATGTCTCAAATACATACATTCTGGACAGCTAGTTCACAGAGATTTGAAACCAGCCAACATTTTGATCAACGCAGATTGCCACATCAAAGTAGCCGATTTTGGATTATCCAGATGTCTATCCGAAACAGAAAATAATAATGGTATTCAATTTTTATATTCCAAGAAATACCAATAATGACCGAGTACGTAGCCACTCGATGGTATAGAGCTCCTGAAATTCTCTTCGGATCTCATTATTATTCTACAGCCGTGGATATGTGGAGTGTGGGATGCATCTTGGGAGAGATGATACTCGGGAAGGCTTGTTTTGCAGGTATCTATCCATTCTATCTAAGGAACTTCCACTTTGGATTAAATCGACAAAATCATCTAATTGATTGGAAAACCTACTCTATCCGATTTGGAATCAATCAATGCCCCCATGGGTTATCAAATCATAGAATAAATGGACAGCAAAAAATAATTCAGTTACCACCAATTCTTTCCAAAGGCCAACGATCTCCAAATAGACTTTATAAAGTAAAATTAAATCATGAATTAGAAAATTGTTAGTTTACAATCCGAAAAAAAGATTGACTGCAGAGTAAGCCTTGGATCACCCTTATCTCAAGGATTTCAAGCAGACTGAACCTGAAATTCTATTAGATCAATACATAACAATTCCCTTTAATGACAATAAGAAACTCAAACTCCAAGATTATCGAGATGCCTTATATAAGGGACTAATAACCAAGAAGTCCAATAATTTGGTTGCCTCCAATTATTCGAGCTATTTGACTAATAAAATGAGTCGAAATGAACCCAATCCTAATAGTATAGTTGTAAAATCAGATACAGAACAATATGTTTTCAAACAGCCCACTAATTAGCAATAATAAGTCAGATGCAAGTCTAGATTAGATCAAAGAAGTGAATCAGTTTCTAAGAAAATAGCTTAGACCCAATATTTCAACACTCAGGATATCATGAGAATCTAAAGGCAAACTGACAAATCCAAATCTTTTCACATCGATGAAGAAGTATAACCAATTTTTATCCATCTTAGATGCCAACTGTCCATAAGTCAATAACCAAATAGCAACTATTGGATCAATAGGTTCCAACTACTACTCATCAAAAATAATAGGAGAAATCATACAATCGAATGAAACCCTCCAATGGTAGCAAGTTGTCTGAAAGCAAGGAGAATTCAAGGATTAATTCAGTAGAAGGGACTATTAATAACCATCTCCTTGCTTAAGCTTAATATAATTTTCATAAACGATTGTAGAAGAAAAAACAAGTCAGTGAAATTTATGGGTTACTGATCCTTAATATTCTATTAGATAACCTCATCCAGGGTAATAAAATCAGAAGCCCAAGTAAATCCCCAAGAAGTCTAAGACTCCAGATCTGAAAAATTATTAAATGGTACACTCGAGAAGTCTGTCTTAAAATAAAAATATTTCAGTTTCTAGAAGTAGTAGTAAGCCTAAAACTCGAGGGAGTCCCTATTACTCTGAAGGAAAAGTATTGAATAGTCAACCTGATATGAACTGCTCTTTTTCAAAGAGTTTCTATAATTTTAATAATTTAGGTAAATAATAAAGTGTATATTCAATAGTCAATTCTAACTTACCCTTGTATGCTAAAATCTTGTCTAAGCATTAAAACATCGTTAAATTCAATTAATAGAAATTACGCTATGAATCATTAAAGAAATGATTATAAAATAATTTTTTATATTATTCATAAAAAGAAATAAATGTGAAACATCACTTTACCCAGATGGAGATAATTATAATAAATAATATTGATTTCAAAAATAAATAATTAATATTTATTTTAAAAATGGATATTTTTAAGGATTTATTTGCCACGCAAGGTTTCCAATTATGTGCGAAAGCTGTTTAGGATGCTTAACCAACAGGAGATCAAGAAGCTTTATTCAAACAATGTCAATAAAATTATGCTAATGCTTATAAGGTTGTCGGCTAAGAGTTTCTTAGATTCTTCAACAATCAGCCATCAAAGGATAGATACGGTCCTCCCTAGGAAATTTGATAAATAATATATTGAAGTAACACAAAACAATATTAATATTAAAATGAGTCGAACATATAATATTGCAAATGTAAATTCGAGAATAAATAAGTCCATCTATTCCAATCCATTTTCGTACAGTCTCCAATCCACTAATAAATATATTTTAAATTATCAGAAATATTAAGGGAAATCTTATATAAATTAATACATATTTCCAATTATATTATGATATTTAAAATGTTCTTGTTACATGAATTTACTAATATACTATCAATCATTATTTTAATATATTTGTCAACACTTACTCTGTCTCTAATGTGTATTAGGTTTCTCTCTTAATTGCTTCAGCCAAATAATAGAGTTTATTCATGGATATTAAATATTCTAATAATTCAGGTTGCTATTTGATTAGAAGTAATTAATTACTTTATCGCCTTCTTTCTTATTGGCAGTATTAGAATTAATTTTATCAGATAAGGTCACTTATTCTTCAATGGTTTCGATTAATTGTCGACCATAATTTTGGATGTTGGATGTGAATTTAGTTTCCTCATTCTTAAATTTCTCTTCAATGGAGGCTCTGTATTGATACAAAAAGGCCTAATTAGAAGCTAAACATACTTATGTCAATGGAGTTTTTAGCAATTCCAATGGAAGTTGTCTGTAGATCTTGTCATTCTTAATATTCAAGACTGGGATCTCATCCTTAGAATAGATCTCGGCATATTTCTCATTGATCTATTATCAATTTAAAGATAATACCACGAATGCTTAGAATGGTTGAGAGTGACCAGATTTAGCCAATTACAAGGAGTATACTAAGACGAAGGCGTATTTAACATAGAATTGAAGTCTATTGATGTCTTCGAATTAATCTAAAGTAAAATGTCTATTTTGATCAGTAATGACATATAGGCCAAGCTTATGGAAATCCAAATGATGTTTCTTTGCATAATCCAAATATTCATATTGTTGATCCTATTCTTCTTCAATATCAATTGTGGGGAAGCAATTAGTGACTTCAATAGTTTCACCTTCGATAATTCCTAATAGATAGCCATACTAATTGACAGTTGGATTATCATTCGCTTGTTTGATAATTTTCATGGCAGCCTAGAATGGATTGTAAGAATTACAATGGTGTCTAATTTAACATTAGATGCTTTAAGTATAGGCTGTTCTCCAGACATATTATTAATTTCAATAAAACAAATATTTTTAATCACATTTATATTTTTTAACGCAATTTTTCATAGGCTCTCCTGTCCGCATCGTTAATAGATGGTCTGATTTTGTTCAAAGAATTGATGAAGTTATTTTGAGTTATCACATTTTATGAAGAAATGATAGCATCCAAGGCTGCAGTAGTAACCAAGTTAGATAAATCGGCTCCAGTAAAGTTTTCACAGCGCTTAGCCAATTCTTTGAAATCCACATCATCTATTGGTGACTTTTTGGCTAAAGTTCTGAGAATATCTTCTCTTCCTGATTCGTCAGGCAAAGGAACATATAAAGGTTTATCAATTCTACCAGGTCTCAAAATGGCTGGATCAAGAATGTCTGGTCTGTTGCTGGCAGCTATTATAAATACCTACTTCCCTAAGTAATTAATTTTATTAAGTTAATACTATCTTCAAATCCATCTAATTCTGTTAATAATTAATTTACAACTCTCTCAGTGACTTATCCTCCTCCCTCATTCCCTCTGACTGGACAAATTGCATCTATTTCATCAAAGAATATGATGCAAGGCTACGAAGCCCTGGCTCTAGTAAATAGCTAAAAAATATTTCAAGATCTCTTACTCCTCTAATGGCCTTTTCAGATTCTCCAACATATTTATTTAATATCTCAGGTCCTTTCACTGCAATAAAATTAGCTCTTGAAGCATTAGCCACTGCTTTTGCCAATAAGGTTTTTCCACAACCTGGTGGTCCCCATAATAAAACTCCAGCAGGTGGTCTCACTTTGAATTTTTAGAAAACCTCTGGATTTTGAATTGGCAACACTAAACAGTTGTCTAACTCTTTTCTTAGTTCTTATAAGGATCCTATATCAGACCAAGTAACATCCGGAATAACTGCAAATCCCTCCCTCTTTGCTGTTGGTTGTACTTTTTTCAGTGCCATTTCAAAGTCTATTGGTAGTATCTCTACAGTTTCCTCACTAGATATTAATCGTTTAACCGCCTCTACAGCTGCCTCTTTACTTAATGAAAATAAATCTGAAGCAACATAACTAGCTTATATTTAAATATATATACCCAGGAGTTCTTCTGGACAAACTATAAAAATCAATATTATTGACTTTCAATGGTTTAATCAATTTCTTTAAGATATCTTCTCGTTATTCATCTGTAGGAACAGTTATCATGATTTCTTTGTCAAATCTTCCACTTCTTCTCAGTGCTGGATCCAATTAATCTGGATGAGACGTGGTAGCTATTAAAAATACGTTATTAGGAAGCTAATCTAAACTACCCATTATTTAAGTTACTACTCTCTTTTCCATCTATCTAATAATATAATCTAAAAGTATATTTACTTATTTGCTTTATCTCGATCACCTGCTATCACATCGATATCATCTATAAAAACTAAAGAGGGAGCCTCTTGAGCTGCTTATTAAAACAATTATCTGATGTTCTTCTCTGATTCTCCACTCAACGAAGCTACTATTTCTGCTCCATTCTTCATAAAGATATTCAATTTAAATTGCTAATAGAGATCTCTACATATTGCCTTTGCAAGGTAAGTCTTTCCACAACCAGTAGCACCAGTTAATAATATTCCCTTTGGAGCATTGCTTCCCAACTCTGTAAATATGTGTGCATATTATAATGGCATGTATATCATGGATTCTATTTAAGATTTGATTGATTCGATTCCTCCAACGTCATTTAAAGTAGGGAATTACATCAAGGTTTCTTCGTCTAACACTTAAGATGCATTATTCTTTGGAATATTGCTGTTTTAATTATTATTGGCATTATCGAGTTTAACTTTTTTTTAAGGCTGTTTATCTTCAATTACCACCACATCTTTGACTTCCTTTTATTCTTTGATAACATTATCTTGGAAATAAATCTTGATCTTAGATTGCAATATGGCTTTTGGCAATCGAGGATGTTTTTGGGCTAGGGTATCTTATACCTCTAAAATGGAGGGGTTTGCCTATTTTTGTTATTCTATTATTTAATGTTTGAATACTGAGTTCTTTGAATATTTCATGGATTTGAGACATGATCTATTCTTACAAATTTGCCATAATTAGTATGTAATTTAAAATTTATATATAAATTCAAAGGGTTTTATGAGATATAACTTGATCAATCAAAATAGAGAAACAATTTGAGGAGAGAGAATGAAAATTAATAATGATCAAAATTGATGTAGTTAACACAGTTATTAATCAAAGTAATCCATTTACATAGTTATTAATTAAATCTTCATCTTCTCTTTACTCTAGATCATCATTTTTCCAAAAATTATATTCCTAATCAATGATGGAATGATCGTTTTCAGTTTCGGATTGAGTTAATTTAGATTATTTTACTTTTTCAGAATGAGTTTCTTAAAAAAAAAACCTTGGCTTTCTAGTTTCTTTCTCTTATTTTTGATTTGTTTTTGAATTCGGAGATAATACAAATGGTTGTTTATATATTTCATGCTAAAATGCTCCCATTATATATTTTTTTGCTTTCAAGTTGTTTTATACAAAATATGGTTCTAGTAATAAATTATTGATTTCCTTCTTCTCAATTTGTTCATTATATAGATGCTTAGCTGAAAGAGACTTTTGCTGTTTGTTTTGCATTTCCATTTCTTTTTGTCGGCATTTCAATATTCTTTCTGAATTTTATTTTTGCTTATCTGGCAAAGCTTTAATTCCTCTTACTTCAGTAAAATATTCATTGTAATAAATATTGTTTGGAGATTATGATTGAAATTAATTTATTTTTGGTAAGTGAAATCTATTGTTTGATTTGTAAATTCTAGAAATAACTAAGGCTGGTTTATTTTAGAAGCTAATGTTACAATCTTTCATTTAATTAAAATTAAATAATCATTTGTTCTTGAGACCAACAATATAATCTTCTAATAGATTAAAACTATGATGCCGATCGACATATATTGCTGAACAATATGATTAGATCAAAAATGGAGAATTTATATTATAACAATGATGACAATAGTGAAATTAGTGCTTTACTTATTTAAATTCTCTATAATTATAACATTTCATGATGATTCCTATTATTATTCTTACTATTTCTTCTTTTCTTCACTTTAGATTTGCTCCTTGTATTGATCAATGTTCTTCCTTAGTCTCTCCTTCTTTTTCTCAAAGTCTAATTTTTCCTGCTTCTGCCTCTCCTCCTCTTCCTTCTTCTTTCTTTCCTCGATCTCCTTTTTAATTTCTAACTGTATATTAAATGCATACATTATTCACGTTCGTTATGCTGATTCTTGATTTGGGCCAACTATCTTTTGGTGCTAGCCATGTTGTTATTTTCAAATTATTTCATATCTTTGACGATAGTAGATATTTTAGATATTTCTAACTCTTTGCTTTCAGCCTTTCGAGCCTCCTTCATCATTTTGATATCCTATTTCATTTATTCCTCCTTTCGTTGTCTTTTTTAGATATTCTCAGTTCTCTCGATTTCTCTGATCATATCCTCTTGGAATCCTATTCTCCTCTCATATTCCACCTTCATTTGTCCAAAGTTGTTGGATGACACATGTTTAGGAAATGAAACTGCTGAAGATGATTTGATTTTCAAACTTTCTGTTTGCAATTACTTGAATTTTTCCAGTTTTTTATCCAACTATTATGACTTGATTTCTAAGGATTATTTGTACATTTCTGATTAAACCTCTTTACGAGTCTAAAAATTATGTCAATAATTACTTTGTTCTTGATGACCTATATTATTCTCTTGTGATCTTCTGTTTAATTTTATTGTTTCATATAATTGTGATACTCATCCAACATCTCTTGTCTAATCTGGACTTTCTCTTATTTCAATAATCCTTTGAGTTCTCTCTGTAATTCTTAAAATGTCTTCATGTTCTTTTCATTATCTACTTTTTGAGATAACTCTTATAATTTTTCAAGTCTCTCCATCATGTTCAGTTCCCTCTTGGCCTACAAATCTTCTAATTCTTTGATTCTCAAATCATTCATGCTTTTGACTTTCTCTATCTTCTCCCTGGGATTCAAATACATCCTTTATTGTTGAGTATCTTTCAATTCGACCTTCAAATTTTCGACTATCTACTTAGCTTAATTGAAATTGGAGGATTCAGCATCTGATCTATTGTGTAACCATTTCTAGATCTCCTGCTGTTGCACTGTTTACATGTGTTTCTATTTTATCTTTTATTGTCTATGTTTCTCTAATCTTTCCTCAAGCTCATGCTGTTTGTGTTGATATTCAATTTATTTTGATAATATATCCTCCTCCTTCTTTGCCTTGTGGAGTTCTGCTCTCTCCTTCTTCTTGATTTTGTCATACAACTTGAATTCCAGTTCTAAAGGTGACAATGACTTGGTCAGTATTGATTTACTCATTGAGACAATCGATCTGTCTAATATTATGGACTTCTCTGCTATAGAAGACTGCATAATAGATTAGTCAGCTACTGACTACTATTATTTTTATTCTGGAATTGGAATGTATTAGATCTCTTTTCTGATTTCATTTATTTTTTATTTTCTTGAATGTTCCAAGTGGTTTGATAAGGCATCGATCAATTCCTAATTTATTTTATTTCCCAGAGGATCTAATAACCTTGAATTGAGACATACCTTTCGTTTTTATGATTTATATGACATCTTTTCTGTGTTTAATCTGCAAATCTTAATATGTGTACCCGAGCACTTGCATAGCTCTCACAAATCTTGGGGTTAGATCGGCTTCATCGATGTCATAAGGACCTAATATTGAATGACATAAAAATATAACCTTTCTCTTTTTTCTGCTCTGCCATCCCTGATTCATTTTATTATGGTTGCTCTACTGGCTATTATTCCTTTTATTCCTCTTTTTTTTCATTTTCTTTCTCTTAACTTTGTTGATTTTATTGACCTTATTCCCCATTTTAATTTTGTTATGGGTTTTCTTACTTTTGCTCTCCTGGTTTATTCTCCTCTTGATTTTGTGTTTCTGACATTTTGTAATAAAAATTAAATAATAGATTTACTATTTAAGGTGTATTATAATTAATGTTTATAGTTCATAATAATTGTGATAAGAAATATAAATTAACTCAATTACATTATATATATGTAAATATTTAATTTACATTTATAATATTTATAAGAATAGGAATTAATAATCCTTCTCCGAGAATTGCTGTCCCCCATCGTATACCATATATGAACTGTTGAATTTTTAGAATATTTGAATAAAAACAAATCAATTGATTCTGTTCTTTAAGTATCCTGAAGCACCTTCCAATTTAGTAGCCAAAATTTCCTCGACTTGTCTGATGATTCCAACTTCCTTGGTTCTTTATTCACTGTCTCTGGCATATTAGGTTCTGAGGGCCTCACAATCGTTCTCCTTTTAGGTCTTTCCTGCAGTGGCGGTGGCTAATTCTCTACCGGCATCTTCCTTTCTCTTCTTTTATGCTCCCAAAGCATTTTGAGTTTAGGTCAATTTGGCTTCGTTGTCTTTCAAAGCATTTTGGCTAAAATTATAAGCAAATACACTTACAAGTTCTTTCTTTGATCGGCGAATTAGGCCAACAAGTTTTGGTAATCAATTTAAGCTTAGACTTCAGCTTCTTAGTCATCAACAGCGGATTATTCAATTGATTGTCTGAGTTCAGCGATCTTGTCTTATGTTTATTACAATCTTTCCTTGGAGAAGGCTGAGGCAATAGAAACCAAAGCAGCAATTGGGTTACTCTTACCCATGTTGTGTAATTCTAAGAAGACGGCCTTTGGATCTTATTCTGGTTGAATAGCAGACAATTTGGCAGCAACGACATTCAAGGCTTCAACGACATCAGCTGTGGACTTGATTCTTTAAGCGAAGGCTTCAGCATCCTTGGCTCTTTGAGTTCTCAAGGTTTCTTCTTAATCATTAAGAATTCCCAATTGGACTTGGATGTTTTCGATTTCGCTTTCCAATTATTAGACTTAGGCAGTCAAAGCAGTGATTTCAGTTGTTGATTCACTGATTTCATTGGAAGCATAATCAATTCTTCTGTTGTATCCAGCGATTTCAGCAGCACAATCGGCTTCATCAGCGGCATGTTTCAAGTCAGCCTATTATTATTGTAATAATAAGTTTTCTCTCAATTCTTAAAGCATTCTAGCAATATCAGCCAATGGGGCTTGGTTTTTCATTTAAAGAGCAATTGTGTCGAGCAATTTTCTTCCCAATGCGTGTTCTTCAATCTATTAACCTTAATTAAAGGATATACCTCTTCCAATTCAGCGAAGACTCCTGCATTTGGATCAGATGGCTTTTTAACGAAGACTGCATTGAGTGTTACTAATCCCAATAAGAAGCAAATTGTGAATTTCATTAAATTAATATTAATAAAAACGGATTTGAAATTGCCTTAAAAATGGGTTTTTAATTAATATTTATTTTTTATATCCCCAAAGAATTTTATATCATTAATTCCCTTATACAAAAATTACACAAAATTAAACTTACCATTTATTAATCTTCATCTAAATACATATATATGAAATATAGAGCTGTTTTTATAGTTATCAAATAAAATATAATGAAAAAGATGAAGAAATTTAATCAAATTATGTAAAAACAATACAAAATCTTATTGGATTTCATTATCCATTCATGAGAAGGACTGAATGAGGTAAGAACAGAAGATTTAATATACATTACAGTATATGGGCTTTAATTAAATTCATTTGAAATTAATCGTTTTATTAAATTAACTGCATTAACATAAGATAAATCCCAGATGTCATTTAGAAAAGTACTCTAAATATTTTTCTCTGTTTACTCTAGTAAATCCCCCACCTAATCTTTATTGTAATCCTATCTTTTGATCTGGAATGTGCTGATAACTAATGTCTTAGTCCAAGGACCATCTACTGTAATTGAGATCTGAAAGAACTGATTCCACTGATTCTTTTTTCTCAATTGATAAAACGGGTAGAATATTTTTACCACTTTTTCTGTGATTTATAACTTAGACCTTTTGAACTGCCTGTCTGTATTTCGATGAATATTGAGAGTTATTTAATTATTTAGGAACAGCCTTTATTTGCACTCTCTTGTAAATCTTACTATATTCTTTGATGATTTCTATTCTGTTTTGCTTCGCTATTTTGCCTTCGATATGATGAAATTTCTCAGTAAAATCAAATTTATTTGGGGAATTGCTCTCTTACCTATCTGAATAGGCTTTATTTGCTTGGATTTTCTATTCCAAAGTCAATATGCCATAGTTAGCATTCATTTCTTCAGGTGTTGTATTTTACTATATTTTTTTACATCTTATCACAGATCCGCCTTTGGTTGGAAAGTGTAAAGGTTTAAAAATCATTTATTATTCTTCATTTCTTCTTGTTTCCCTGTGTTTGAACATCTCTTCATAGGATGAGAATATCATGAAATTGTTGTTTTGATTAGCAATTTTCATAAGTTCTTCTTTGGCTTCTTTTAAATAATTTTACATTTTTAGTCTATCTTCTAAAGTTTGTTTATGTTCATCCTTAGTATTATTAAATTCATCTTATTAAGTTAAAATTCCTTTTTTTGTAAAACCTTGTATTCTTTTTATAATTTTCTTTGCTGGAGATTATTAAATAACTGTTTCTGACAACATTTAATAATTATTCTTGCAATTTTAATTTGCAGGCTGAGTTCTATAGTATCGCATCGAGAACTTGTAAATTGAGTGGAAAGGCCATAATAACGAAACAAAAAAATAATGAAAACATTGAGTTTAATATTTAATTCAAGATTTCATAGAATACGAACTGTTTTTTAATCCTAGATAATCTTGACTTGCTGAAATTTAGATACTTTTTTTGGGAATATCTTCCACTTATGCAGGTGTTAGAGGAGTTAGAGGAGTAGAGGTAGTCATGTAATTCATTATCTGAATTGAATCATTATTTTTTGGGGAAGGAATAGTAATTGATTATTCAACTGAGTTGGATTAGATGACTGATAGATTTAACTGAGCTTTTATTCTCTAAAAACGAATTAATATACTTCTACTTAATATATTCTTTAGCACAAATCGATGGAGTGCTATGAAAATTCATCATCGCAGATTTCTGAACTCTATAACGAATACGTGTCTAAAAAATGTTACGGCTCTTTGATGTCCTAGATATATTGCTCAATGTATTCGTTTAATTTCTATTATAAGTCTTCAAACGAATTTGATCTTTTTAGACATGCCGGAGAATGCAGTTATAATTGCTCCTATTACTGCTACAAGATCTCTTATGATTTGTCGATTAGTAATTGCAAATTAATCTCTTGAATCTTGAACGATTATGAACAAGAGCTTTACTAACCATTTATCTAAATGTATTTCGAAATAATTGACCTATTCATCCTTCTCAATTATTTTCCCTTTTAAAACTTGAGATGATGTTATTTCTAGTTTATTATAAACTTCGTTCTGATAGTTTAAGCATTTCTGTGATTTTTTCATAATGAGATTAATAATTTATTTTAAAGACTAAGATCAACATTGTTCATAATATTATATTATAATTATAAATAAACATTCGAAACCAATATAGTCAGCAAGTTCTTAAATCATTTGAAAATACAATAGTAGATTTTGTGCTAAAATTAATTGGAACTTTATAAGAAAATACACCCGAATTACATATGCCCATTTTTACAAATTAAAAGTCTTTTAATATTTATTCATATCCAATCCATTTTTGAATACATAACACAAATCCACTTAAAAAGTACCATGATTTCGCTATCCTGGACACAAATGGGCTAAGAAAACCATTAAATTAGAGCAAAATTGAGTTTTATAGGGGAACTAGTCAACAAGATATTGAGTAGTAGGTCAATTATTTTTGTGATGAATATTTTAAATAATATAAAATATTGAATAATTAATAAATTAGGAAATAAAATGCAATAAGAGATTTAAGGAGAAGAAAAAAATTATGAAGTAAAAATATAAATTGAATAAAACCATTCGGAGTTGATTGAGCAAGTGTTGTCAGTTGATAATGAAAGTGGGGTATTAAAAATGAATGCGGATGGTAAATAGCGTATTAAAATTAGGGAATCAATTGGTGTTAACCTTTTCAAGCAAGGATGCTAGCAAAGTGGGGTAAACTGTTAAGCATACAATCGATTAATTATTGCTTATTCTTGAGACAATAAATTATACAAATAAATGAGTATGCCCAACTTTATAATCATAATTTTATTATACATCAAAAGTGAAAATCAAAAGATGCTAAAATCGGCAAATGATCACTGGGGAAATTCCTGTTGGGTAATGCTACTTCTTGCTATAACACACTTTCTTCAGGCAATCTCAATATCTTTTCCACGTTTGCATTATGATAGAAAATGTAATCAATACATCCTTTAAACTAATATTATTTGTCTTCAAATTTACGTCTGTTGTATAATTAGTAAACTTGGGGAATGGATGATAAGCACTTTGCCAATTCAACTTAGGTGGACCGTAGTGCTCGAATATCTCCTTTTATAGTTTGATTTGGTTCGAAGATTTTTCTATTCTTTCAACTATGGGTTTATTTTTTTAAATGTATTGTATTGGGTTAGAATGAGGGAGACTATTTAAATCTCCACAAAATATGAGTATCTGATCATCGGATTCTTTTTCAGCCTCCATCTTTTGTACTAGCTGGACAATCTAAAAATATTTTAAGTCATCCTGGTTTGGATTCCAGAAGGTATGAATGTTTCCAATCACTAGCTGTTTTTTTGTTAATCTTGATATATCCTAAAAATAGGTACATATGTTCCAGAATGACAATTTAAAACACATTCTATCTTTGGTATTGAAGAGGTAGCCCATAATTAATGGCCATCTTATCGAGAGAGTACTCTGAAGATTTCAATAACTTGAATTTATCGACTTTGAAAGCGATCAAACATCCATCAGGTCTTTAAGGTCTCTAAACAAAGCAAATTTCATAATTTAGTTTCTTGATCCTCTCTTGATAAAAGTCAATGTTGTCAACCTCTTGAAGGCAAAATATGTCAACATTGAAAATTTTCAATTATTCGATAATTTTAGTACTTCTGTTTGAAAATTTCAGGTATTGATTTTGAGCGTAACCAGTCTGTGATTGGTCACAATAGATAGCGGCTAATATGTTATATGATAATATAGAAATTGCATGTCTAAAATTAATGAATTCTGGCTAATATTCGTTTTGCATTGTTAAATTATTACTAGGTTTCTTTTGAATACTATTTATTACCTATCCCATTCTTGATTATTATTATTAAATTATTTTAAAAAGCTTTTATCAGCAAATCTTGATGTCAAAAATCAGAATGTGTATTTTAATAAATTCTGTTTGGAAATGGATTGTTGAAACACCAGAAATTTCAAGATGAGTCTCCAAAAATATGTTGAAATCAATAAAAAAGTTTAGAAATCAAATTGAATTATAGTAAATGTAAAGTGAAAAATAAAATTTGGGTGAGGACTCCCCTTTAACAAAGGAGAAATGTGGGATTGTATTGTTTGTAATATATAATTGCATTATAAATTAAATCTTTTTTTAAAATAAAAAATGGTAAAAAACTCAGCATAAGACCCACAAGATAATTCCTTATAAATGAAAGTACTTAAGAAGCATATCATCTATAGATTAGACAATACTTGGTGTCAGGCAGAAGACTCCCATCAAAAGAAGATCCAAATCCCAAAGTTATTAGCATGAGAATTTTTGCAAGAAATACCGTCGCTGCTAAAAGCAGATTCTGGTATTTAAATTATGCAATATTCTAGGTGGAATTTAAGAAGACTAAATAAACTTAGACCTTCTCATGGTTAGATTTTAGCAGTTCAAGAATTATTTGAGAGAAGAGACACAAATGTCAAAACCTACGGAATAGTACTGAAATATCAATCAAGAACAACCATTCACAATATGTATAAGGAATTCAGAGACACCACTTTGAATGGTGCTGTCTCATAATTATGTATGACAAAATTGTGACTGTTTAGATTAGGAAATGGCTGGTAATCACAGAGCTTAACCATAAACCATCCACATCCTCAGAACTTCAGTGTTAACAAAGAGTGCTGATATCAAGAGAGGAAAGACTAATCAATACAGAGTAAAATAAATCACAAATTTAATTAGGGAGATTCAATTAGATTCCCAATTGTTAAGACAGTGCCAAGAGCTAGCCACAAAAAATTCAGAACCGTGTTCAAAGCCAAAAGACCAAATCTATATAGATCATGATCATCATGATTATTTAGTACAATAACAATAAATTAAATAACATAAATTCTATGGTTATAATAAATGTCAATGCTATGCATGTACATACGTTAATCTACTATTATTTATTGAAGAGATAAATAAATTAATTTCTTTTAATGAAAGAGGGAAATTGAATGAATGGCATTTATTCAAATTATATAAAAGATAGAATTCAAATGAATCTTTTAAAAATGAGTCCCAATATTAATCCATTAACCAAGGCCAAAATGTGGGTAGGCCTACATACTTCATTAATGAATCCATTTTGGTATTCTTGCACTTCATACATGGCATACATAGCAGGGATTAAAAAAAATGGGAGTGGAGGCTTTGATAATAACTGAGCATACTTTATTTAATAATTTTAAGTGAGGTTTCAACACCATTAGAGATGTCATAAAACTTAAAGGAGTGATTGCTGAAACACATTTAGGAGACATCAAATTAATGCCGAATTCAGCACTTCTTTTCTTTTCATAATAAACTGTAAAGGAGGAACATATAAGAGAGTTAACAATGTAAAAGGCCAAAAATTGGGTATTGCAAAGGATTGTACTCATTTAATAAAATGAGTATAACATAGCTGGGCCGTAAACCAATAAATGTCCCTAATGAGTTGATAATTGAAATACGTTGGTTTGGAAATTTAGAGGAGCCAAAATTAAGGAATGGAAGTAGGATTTTTTGGGCACGTATTCTGAAATTGTTAAGTGAGGAAAGGCTTAGCCATAAGGCAATTTGGACCAAGCAATAAATGAAATGAGGGATGTGCCTACCAAAGCTAATGGTACATAGTTAGCTTTGAAGATGGCAGTGCTTCTTGTTAGTCTTGCAATTTATTCGAATTTTTAACTCATATATAATTATAATTATACAATTAATCATGAAAATAACAAAAACTCAATGCTTGTTGTCAATTAAATAAAATTGTGAGTTTGATCATGTTTGAATTTTTTGAAGCAGCCCTTGCACAAATCAAAATCTGGACATTCAAAGCATTAGTAACGATAACCTTAAATGGGTACACAGCGACAGTAATCGCAAGAGATAAGTTCATGTATATTGGCTTTATGTATCTTAAATGATTTCATGAGTTTTTATTTTTAGTTGATCATTTTAAGTTATGATTGTTATTTCAGTTTATTCCAATCAGTCACATGATTGCAGAAAATAAAGATGTGAGAAATAGGATGGTCTTTTTCTCTCCTATGTGTATTGCACATATCACAAATTTGAAAGTAATAGCAAACGATGCATCTAAAGTATTTACTATTTTCCAAATTCTAATAGCAAAACTAACACTTATGATAGTCAATCTGGTCGTTGTGATGGATTTAAGATATAGAAATGTGTTAAAATTATTCGTCTAATTGTTGGATTTATTGGTGCTCTGAATTGATTTAGGAATAGCTATCCGACAATTTCTCTTGCCATTCTTCGACATCTTTAATCATTTCTTTGGATACAAATTGGTGCAGTTCCAATTTAACGATTTAGAGAATGGGATAATTGCTAAAGGATGGATTTAGTTGACATACTTGGTTTTAAGTTTCTGCACTCTGTCTAGGAATAAATAATAGTCAATTGGACATGCCAAATAGGTGACTCGATCTTTGATGTTAAAACAATAGCACATGGTAAACTTCTAGGGCAGTTGAAATCTTTCATTCAAAGCGTTCAAGAACATTTTGAAATCAGAAGCGATTTTGATGTTTGCCTGTTCTTTAGTGATAGTGTTGTACACAGGAATGGTGGCTGATTAGGGAAATCTATAATTATTCATTTAAATATATACACATATTTATGATAAAATAAATTCATTCTAATTCGATATCATCTAGACAAATTTTGAAGAGATCAGACATTTGCAATGTAGCGATTGGCTCTTGGTTTTCATTCAAGCAAACTAGACTACCTCTGGAGGAGAGTAATAGATTTTCAACAACCTAATTAGAATTAGCTGATACTTCTTTTAATGTTTGTTTCATGTGGAATAGTTCTTTGTTGCATATGCAAAAGCCTGCAAACTTTCTTTTCTCTATTTTGATAAAGTTGAGCAAGTCGATGGCAGGTCTATTCAACTATTCATATTGTCGAGTCATACCATGTCATAGACTTGATATTTGAGAATAAACAAGAAGTCTCTTCGGTCTATCAATCCTAGGTACTTGTTGTTGTGGTCGACAATGGGAATGGCATTGCGCTTATATACATAGATCAATTTATAGAAGACACTGGATATATGAAGGTATATAGTTACTCGTAGACATTGGTGTCGCAAGGGAGTTTTTCATTCAGCTGCAAAATCCTATCGCTAAAGTAACTGATTTCTAGTTCGTGCTGTTCTGATTGCGGATTTTTTTCCTGAGGCACTTCGACTCTCTGTGATTTTTGTGATAATTATAAGTGGAAATATTGACTAAACCCTTTGACAAGAAATGCTAAAATATCCCTTTGTTAGAGGATGCCCACGATGATTCTAGATTCAGTATCAATAACTACAATTCTTGTTACTCCCTACTTTAGTATCTTCTTCATTGCATCATTAAGATTATCAGCCATGTCTGCCTAAACCAGACTGCTTTGATGAAGACTTTCTCCATAAGAATTGAACCAGTCCCTCACTGAGATCGTCCGCAAATCGATCAGCAATTTGTTTATCTGTTCCTACCCTATCAATTGCTTTTCGTTCACAGGAGTGTTGCGATCCTCGTCTTCCTCCTCCATGATTGGTTGCACCTAGATTTTGCTATTTCCCCACACTGACTAAAATATGCGACATAGATTACCATTGGGAACCCCATTCAGAATGTTTTGATAGCATTTTAGGATGATTCGTATCAAATCCGTTTGAGTGAATACTCCATCATAATAAGCTACATCTGGATTCCAAAACAATACTTCATCAATATGCGTCTCGATAAACACATTAAAAACATCAAAGAGAGAGAATGACTGATCAATCACAGTCACTTGATTATTAATAGATAAGCTATCATAAAGAGTGCTATCTTGCAAGAAGCAAGTCAGAGTCTTCATATATTAATCCTTGATGATGTCTTCTTTGCTTTACATCCTCTTCATTCCTTGTGAATATATATTTAAAATTGATAATTATTTTATTCAAAATTCACTTCCTTCCATAATGGTCATCATTGTGATAGCCATACTGATCCTGCTATTGATAGTACTTCTAAATCTTGTTGTTCGAGTTCAACAGCACCTGTTGCCTCTTATTCCACTCCTCAATCGCCTTGTTCCTCGTGATCGGGTTCTCCCTATCGTAGTCAGTGTCGAATCCCTGACAGCCTTCATCATAGGGTTTGCACTAATGGATACTCGCATAATCATACTTGTTCATTATTGACCACTGGGAACAGCTTCTCAGAGATGTCTTCCATGGGCAACGACGCATAGATGATGGCAATCACCATAAGAGTGACATCGATCAAACTAATCTCCTTGAAGAAGGCATATGTCATGATCATCTCCCCGAAGGCACTCCAAACGATGATGTATTCCAACATCTCTATCATTTCTAATAACAACTTAATCAATTCTATTACCTGTTGACAATTGGATACTGATTGACTCCTTAACTGTTCTTCTCCTCAAGATATTGTAATAGTCCACATAATAGTAAATCAGAATGCCAAAAGCACTGCACAAAGTCCCTAGAGGAATGGCTGTACCATACAGAAATGTGAACCACATTGTCTTCATAATATCTGAGTATCTCTTGGCAGACAGGTAGTCTGGTTCTTCCATTAATTTATTGGCTTCCTATTAGGTCAACAGAGCCTTTTCTCCCTTCTTGATAATGTACCATCTCCATATGTTTTTGCAAAGACTCCAGGGATCAAGACACCAAATGAAGGGAGGCAAGAGAGCATTAAGGATGAAAATTTGACTCTCATTTTGCAAGAACCCTCCTGCTCCTTCCACATTCTTCAAAATAACTATGTCTACTAGGAAACTGATTATGGCTGCATTTAAAAACAAGGCTGAAGCATATTTATAGACAAAAGATATTTAGAATTTGGTCTTGCTGGAGATCTTTTCATCATCAACAATGTAGTGAACGATCTTTGCAACTGCGAATTTATTGAAGAGGACGATACTTAAGGAAATAGCATAAGAGAGGATATTGATCTTTAACATTGTATCATGATCAAGTTTACCTTGGATTTCTTCTTCTCTAGCTTCATCGCCATATTTAGCCACTCTATGAGCAATCAAATAGATTAAGTAAAATGCTGAACTTTCAACCAATATGTAAATGACCCAAGCCTTCACTCTCTTACTAATCTTCTCTTCTGTCTTAACATGTATGAATTCCCAATCAACTTCATTTGGTTCTGGAGCCTGTTCAATGAACAACTTTTAATTGTGCCAAGACAAATCTTTTTCTGTAATTCCAGGCAATTTGCCCTTGTTCCAATAGGATCTCATTCTCTCGAATTAAGTAAATGGGTTTTCATTCAATACGCTGTTTTTCATATCCTCATTGTCGAAAGAAATGAAGGCAATCCCAGAAAACTTCTTATTCTCCTTTTCATATGATTATCCCAAATGATGTATTTCATGCTCCTTTTCTTCGATTTTCTTGTCTATCTCCTCTACACTATGATGATGATAGTCGTAATTGTGTTCTTTGATTAGTTCCTTCTTTCTCTCGATTAATACATCCAATTCTTTCTCAATATCTATGATCTCCTCAATGTCATAGACCAGAACCACTTTCTTAACAATAATTTTGGCTCCTGCAACTGCACAGGTTTCAAACATATGTTACAATTCCCATTAATAATTAAGATCCAAACCTGTAGGTATGTTTTTCACACAGACAGTGTAATCTGCTGGTGTGAGCAATTCTTCGTCGATGTCTGTATCGATTTACCTTTGACTCTTTCTAAAATACAGTAAGACCCCCATGACTAAGAAGATATTGATGAAGTTGAGTATTTGTACATGTTCCATGGCTTCCCGATTGCTAATTTTACATAGATGGAATACTCTAATTTGTTGGCCAATGACAACTTTAAAAACCAGGAATCAGAGCAAAATGGTAGTTCTACTACATGGCCTTCTATTTTTTCTCTCTTTGTCTGACTACAATATGTGCCTGAATAATTGGTGTATAAATTGTAAAGTTGTTTTGTCAGGAGTGTGATGAAGAGGATCAGAATACAATATTTCAGATAATTATAGAACAAAGTAAACCCTGAGCCAAGAAACGATAATGCCATGGGATTAGAACAAAAGGGAATTTCTTCTCGGTCTACTTCAAATCCGCAACATGGACAAGTGTCAACTTACCTATTAATAGGAATGTGCATACCACTGAGAGTCTTGGTAGGATCTTTCTGCTTCTCTCGAGTTGTCCTCCTTGATAGAGCATGCTTCTTGGCTATGTCCCAATTGCAAGGCATTTGCAAAGGATTGTAATGATCTCCTTCATGCTTGCCGTGCTGTTGATGACTCTGATTTAGGTGATTCGGTGGTTGTTCCTGATTGTTTGGATGCTGGTTTTGCGAGATCCTTGACTATTCGTCTTTATTTTGCTATTGTCCTTTTTGGGACTAAATTAAGGATGCGACCAAATAAATACTTAACCAACCGAATTTGAAGGGAATTCATTTGCTGGTGCTCCAAGAAAATGCTAATGGTTGGTTGGCTGATTATTTTAACTGTGACTATTCATATATATTTAAAGTTAATAATTTTTATTAGGCGTAAATTATCATAAATATTTTATTATGTAGTCATAAAATTAGTTTGCATTATTCGGTAATGCTCAAGTAAATGAACCGGAGTAAAACAGTGAAATCAAGAAGAAAAGAGATGATTTCGCAACCGAAATCAGATCCAGGGACAGAAACGCCATCCTCAACAATAAAAGATTAGCTTAAAATGTACTTCATGTCCATTTCCCTTTTAGAATTAAAACACCTCAATTCAAGAGTAGTTATCATTGATCCCACAAACACTTCCCTTTGATATCCAATAGGCTTTGAAAACCCAACAAGAAGTCTTAACAAAAAGAACATTCACTTTCTAAGATTTCCCTGACATTTTATAAAAAATATATTCCACAGATGTCATTCAACTTCATTACGGTGTCACCGGACTAAGGAAAATGCTCTCTGTTGAGGTATATTTTCAATTTGATTTTAGAGTGGAGCCCCAATCCAACAAGTAATTGATGCAAATTTGGTGCCAAAGTTGATAGAAATCATTCAAAAAGAATAAATTCCTTAATTGGTCCTCGAAGCAGCCTGGGCACTTACAAACGTCGCAAGTGGAACCACCCAACAAACCTAATCGATCATAGATAAAGGAGGAATTTACCTGTTTGTTAAATTACTAAGTTCTCAATACAGAGACATCGCAGAATAAGCAGTTTGGGCAATAGGAAACGTCGCAGGAGATTGCACACAGTATAGAGATCTAATCTTGAAGGTGGGAGGAGTTGATCCCTTAATCAATATTATTTAAAATGCTTAAAATAAAAACACGATCAAGCACTGCACTTGGTCACTGAGCAATCTGTGTCGAGGCAAACCCATCCCAGAATTCAAGGTAAACATTTAAATATATATATTACAGTATGTCAAAAATGCATTGCCTGTATTCTGTAAAGTCATCATTGATGAGACTGACCCAGAGGTATTGACTGACGCATGTTGGGCTTTGTCATACCTTAGTGATGGAGACAACAGCAGATTACAGACTGTTATCGATTCCCAAGTAGTGCCAACCTTAATCAAATTATTAGATCACTCATCTCTTTAGCTCGTCATCCCAACCTTAAGAATTTTAGGTAATGTTGTTACTGGAGATGAAAATTAAACTACTTATGTGCTCAACTAAGGATTGTTGCAGAAGATTCTTAAATTGCTCTCAAATGAAAAAAAAGCCATCCGAAGAGAAGTATTGCTATCAATTAATTCTTAGACTTGTTGGACAATCTCCAATATTACAGCTGGAAGTAGCAATCAGGTTTCTCAAGTAGTCAGAGATGTTTCCATTCTTGAGAAGCTGTTCACTCTCATGACGACTGATTACGAAGAGATCGTGCGAGAAGCTACTTGGGCCATTGCCAATACAACTAAGAATGGAAGTAACTCTGACATTTAATTGTTGGTCTAAAAAGGATTGTTTAATGTCTATAAACACATATTGGAGGGTGAGGACACTCAAACTATGACTGTTGTTCTTGAAGCTTTGTTTAATGTGTTAAAAAGAGGTATCATTTTATTTGTTATCAATCAGGTGATTAAGATTTCTAGGATGACAATTATTATTTAACTACCCTTGAACAAATGGGAGTAATTAAGAGAATAGAAGAGTTGCAAAAGCATGAGAATCAAAATGTCTATTTGAAATGTTTCAATATCTTAGAATAATATTACGAAGCTGAAACTGAATTATGATGTATTATCTATTAAGAGATTCTAGATTTATTTTTTTATTTTCTACGTTTTATAGACATACACAATTGGTCATTAATGTATATATAAAATGGACATAATTCATATGTTAATGACTGAGGAATCATTAAGTTTTGATACGCTTTGATCACTTTATGTTGGTTTTTGTTTACCAATCTCATCATCCAAATTTTACTCTTAAATTCTATATTGTCTAAATTAATACATGATAACTCCGCCTTAAATATATAATGTGATACTTACAGGAGGTGAAGATAATTGCTCCTAATACAATAAGTAAGATTCTAATTAATCTCCATTGTTAAGCGAACAAAAACGTTGTCACAACTTGAACAGTGAAACTCTTTGTTGTTCTTATCACTTTATTGGTCGATACAATGTTATTTTCAACATGGGATTGATTGAATTTCAAAGTATAATATTAATTAAGCGATCCCTTTTCATCTAACCATTAATATCATAATTACTATGATCAGCAAAGCAAACTACTCTTGCAGGGACAAACTTAAATTTAGTAAGAAAAGCGTTATTGGCAGTGACTCCAAAGAAGAAATCATCATATTAATATTCATCCTTTACAGCCGCCTTTAATAGACCTTCTTCATAGGTGTACTAAAAGAATTGGAAATCTCTCATTCCTATTTATGTAAACATAATCTTTTGCTTATGTGGGGCCAGAAAGTCGTAGCCATTGTTAAACACAATCTAATGATGACTAACACCGCTTATGATGGCAAATTCATCTGTGGCATCAACATCAACTATTCTATAATTGCTTTCCTATTTGGTTATTATGGAACATGATTTCTAACTAAAGTTTATTAGATATTCAATGTAAAAATAGATTCCATTCTATTCGAAGGCTGCAAATACGTTCTTGCCATTCTTGGTATCCACAGCTATTCCACCCTTTTAACTCTATACGTCAATCACCAATTCAAATTAGAATCCTTATTAATTGATGAACATATAGGCTAAAATCAAACCCTATTTAACATCAAGTAAGTATAATTGATATTATCCATCTTTTACTTTGACAATTGCGAAATCCTTTAATTCCAACTACTCCTTCTACAATTTAAAGTCCTGCAATGTTACTGTATACTTATAGATGACATCATTCTCTCTTATTTCATAGATGTCCATTCCAGCCCTACCAACTGCAGAAAATAAGTATCCATCTATTTCTTTGGTCAATCCTCGTTCCTCCCTTTGAATCCAATTGGATATCTAGTCGATGTACATAGTTTTATCGTTTTTCTCCATCTCAGCCACACTAAAGTATTAGGCGCTGTCTGAATATAATACAAAGGCCCAATTATTCTTTTTTGAATACACCAATTAAGGCAATTCATCTCTTGATTGAATTGATGGCAGTATTGGTTAGAGATTGGCTTTCCAAATCACACCTGCAAAATCAACAGAGTTTCCATATGTTGCAAATCCTTATTTGGATAAAACATTGTCATAGTTAAACTTTATTAAATAAGCCACTGCATCTGATGTTATTGCCAACATGCCATCATTTATATGTACCATCCCTATGAACTCTCGGAAATTTAATGGGGTATCCATCTCAAAGTCATAGCTAAATTTCAATTCTCATATAATACTCTTTAAAGTCATCCTACTATATGATTGTAAATTGTTAGGTTTCAGTTTAAACTGTTTATTATTTCACCTAACAAAAACTATTCTATTAAAATGTCATTAATGTCGCATCGTCAGCCTCCGGCATCGAATAAATGATATTTGGCTCTCCAAGATGAATTCTAAATGTTTCAGAGGATTCAGTATTTTCCAAAATCTCTAAATTCGCAGAACACACATTTATGACAAATAGTAAACTCAAATAAAACATAGTTAATTTAATTATATCATCACAATTATTAGAGGATCTAAATTAAGAATATCCTTCATAATGTTATTACTTCCATCTGATGATCCTCATAAGGTCGTCTTCTTGTCGTAATTTAATATGGTGAAATCAGGATTAAATATTTCAATAATTTTTTAATGACTCAATGTACTCAGATGTTTAGAAACTGTGGACATGGAATATCACTAAATTTAGGACCTGAAATATTATTGCTCATTGCGTAAGTCTCTTAATCACTATATTTTCTATTCTATCTCTTTTGGTTTGTCTTTATTTGTTGTTTCAAAATTGTTACGACATTGCCATTCAAGACCACTTATAATTCCCCATTCGGCTCTCTATCCCTCCTTGGATTATACCAATTAGTTTCATTGTCTGATTTCTTTTATTTATGATAATTATCAACACAATCATCTAAATAAGTATTCTAATTTTTTTTATAGTCAATTCCGTTGTTGAATTCACTCTTCCCAACATATCCTTCAGAATCCCCATTTTTATTCCTTTTTTTTGAGAAGTCCTTCTATTTCATTTAGTCAAGCCTCTATTACTCGTAATTTTAGCTCACTACATTGTGTATAAAAGAATTACTCTTTTTTTATTTTTGTTTTTTTTGTTTTTTTATATAAATTTATTTCTTATTATACTTTTATCTTATCTTTTTCTCAAATTCGATTTGATAAATTATTTTCTAAAAATAAACAATATGTTTGCATAATATTTATTAATTTGCCTTGATAATGACTAAATATTATCTGCAATCAAATGATAGTTATTAATTAATTTTATTTAAACTCGGAATGGAAATTTGCTCATCCAAACTCAATTGGCTTATTCACATTAAGAAATTATTTCAGAAAAATAGCATCATGAACATATCCGATCTCATTAATTAATTAAAAGATGAAACAATCATAGATTGCCCCAATCCATAGGATGAATTGTTCTCTTTGGATGAAGTTATCGAAGAAGTTTATAAGTTCAATAAAAAACGATTAACTTATGACGATTTCTTTTAAATAATTGGTAATCTACATTAATAGGATCATTAATTATCCACTTGTGTGAACTCCTTGGCTGATTCTATTAACGATTTGACTTTGAGTGACACTAAGGTCAAATAGGAAATCAGAGTATCTTATAATGATCCAACTAAACTTATCAAAACATAATAAAGCTATAAGGTTACAAGACTATCCAAAAGTCCTCGCATGAAAATAGAGAATTTGCAAGAAGCCCAGAAGAGATTACTAGCTAAAATCACCGACATTGAAAATGAAATAGAACATGTATCTATACTATATATATTTCAAAGCAGAAATAATAGCATCAATTAAAGAAACCTCACTAATTATTAATTAAGGAATTGACCAAGCAGCTCACATCAAATTCAGATGAAATTGTTCTAAATGGTGTACATAATTTTACTCTCTAAGACTTTTATCTTGTCCTCCATAATGTCAATAAAGCAATATTCAATATTTCGATACTCACTTTCTAAGAGAGATGCTAAGAAATAAGAGAAGTCTCGATGATATTTAAAAATTTACAAGCATTGAGCATAAACAACCTCCAAATAAAAGAACTCAAATTGGAAGAACTCATAGAGTTAAAAGTGCTATCTGTTGCTGGAAATCAATTGAAAAATCTAGAGGGTTTGCCTCCTAATTTAATAGAACTTTATGCCTAAAATAATCTAATTTCATCACTTTCAAGCACAAAATCACTCAAAATCTTTAACATAAGTGCAAATCAGCTTAGTCAATTGAATCAATTAACTCACATCAATAAATCCTTAGAATTCATTAATTGTAATCATAATATTTGTGCAAACTCCAAAGATTATAAGAGACTGTTATTCAAAATCTTTCCGAATTTAAAAGGAGTTGACAAAGAAGATCTATTATAACATTCTATTATACAATAAACTGGTTTTCATTACAAAAAAGAGATGATGGATTTTTCCTTCAGTTAATTCTGATTATAAATTAATTAATTTTTATAAGCAATTTTCATATAAATCAATAATTTTACTAGCTAATTTATAAAGATTAAGCTAAATATCACGATTATTTATTAAAATTATTTATAATATTTCAGTTAATTAAATCCTTAAATTCGGCCTCGAGATCCGAAACTTGATTTCTTTATTGCTATTATTGAAGGCCTTGTCCTTACTATTAATTAGGCAATGTGGATTATGGTAAAGGTTAATGAACTACGTATTAAACCTATAGAGTTGAAGGTTTGGCTTATTAGAGAGTGTTTGGAAGATTGGGTTGCTGTACATAATTCATAGTCAAACAGTTGGTACAGTTAATTAGATTGGATACTTAAATAAGAATACATATTTACTTCCCTATTGATACATTACAGTCAATCTGCAAGTACCACAGATAAAATAGGCAAAGATCAACTTATTAATCTATTAGCAATTGTAGCAGATAAACACGTTTTTATCTTTGGGAATCATTTATGGAACCTAACAGAACATGCATGTTGATTGTATTTAGCTAAATTGTAACTTAAAATATTCACTTAATTGCATTAACATTTTGGTTTTGATTTTAAGATATTTAATTAGGTTGTTGTTCTCGTTCTTCTCTAGAAAAAGTTTAAAAGCAATTTTAATTAGATAAATTTTGAACATTTTACATTTGAGACTATAAACATATAACCATATAATAAATACTTGGGGAACTTATTACGAAAGAGGATGGGATGCTTGAGATTAGATTTTCTGATTTACCTATTAATTTTAATTATCCCTTGTCTTAGAGCTAGCCATTGTAATAGGTTCTTGACCAAGGTTAGTCAGCACTACAGCCTTATTCTAGCATACTATTGAATTATTGATGTATATACTTGTATCATCAAATTGAATTTGATCTGAATCGTCTCCAAAATCTAACAACTCAACTCCATCATTCTCTTAGTGTGAGTCTGAGTATTTCTAGTTCGATTAATTAGAAAGTAAGCCAAGTTTAGGATCATTAGACTGCATATCGATAATAATGATTAGAATAATTATAATTTATTGATTTTTTGGAAGAATTCTTAAATAATCCTAACTAGGCTTTGACATCTAAAAATATTTCCATTATAAGGTTTTGAATTTATAAGAGTATAAAACAAAATTAATTAAAATTTATATCACTTTTAGAGCCTGCATCTAATGAAAGAGAGTCCAGTTTAATTATATTTTTAATATATAAGTAAATCCTCGTGTCTCTAAGTATATATATTAACATATATATACTTGAATGCTTATTTTATCTTGAAAAGTATCACTATATTTGAAATCCAACATTATAAATTTAGAAGCGTACTTAATTATTTCAATCAGATCAACAAGGTTGAATCCAAAACTAATTTATGCAAATTCTGTAAATATTTTATTGAATGATTTCTAAGCTAGTGATTATAATAGATATTTACAATCAGCAAGGATAAATTTTGTAGTCTTAGGAATTTCATAATATATATATTCTTTTGTGAATTACTCATACTCTACAGCCAACACAAGATACATGAAAGCAGCTACAACCTTTCTGGTTTAATAACTAAGAGTCTCAAAGTCAAGATAGCAACAATCGATATATCCTTGTAATTTTAGAATGTCTTAGATAATCTCTAAATACAGTACTTTTAAATGAAGAACTGTTATTGGATCTAAATTTCTTGTGATCATCTGAAATATAATTATCCCATTGATTTGTGTAAAACTCAATCCATAAATTGATGTTTGGAAGATTCAAATGCCATTATAGAGTTTTGCAAATTTCTTTCTCCATTTCATATATTTAATCTATAGAATAACCATAGTTACTAGCCTTTTCAAAATCCTTTGGGTTTTTAGCCTCAACTTCCTGAATAAATAATCATCATACAATTTACCTCCATTTTAGATGCAATGAGCATAGAAGCAGTTCCTAATAATTATAATTCATGTTTCGTAATTATTTTTTTCGATAGATAACTATCAACATAAGCAACTGCCAAGTAATAAGTGTCTCTCTTCATAAGATACACAGAACAAACTTCAATCATCCAATCCATCAATATTGCTCTCATTAAAGGGGTGATTTAAATCTATACTTATTATAGGTAATCACAATTGGGAGCATATTCAATCTCTTAGAGCATCAGAACTTGTAAAGTTTCTTAAGAAAATCCGCCTATTTAAGAGTTTTGGTTATTGTTTTCATTAATTATAGTATGATAATTCTTAGAATTTGTTGGATTGGGGATGACAGTATTAGCATTATCACTAATAATAGTAATACTTGACTCATCACATTCTAGAGTCAGTCCTATCTGCTTCTATTCTCCCATAGAGATACATCTAGTATTTTTTTTATGCTTAATTAGGTTATTGGGGCTTTATTTTTTAATTGTTCTCTCACTAAACTAATTAGATGTGTCTTCAGGAATGAAGAATTTGGGAACGTTTATTCTTTCTACTTTACGATCTTCTCTATGGGAATTACAACTATATATGATTATCTATAACTTATTACTTTTCACAATTAGAATAATATGAATTAGTAGTATTTGTGTTATTGTTTTATGGTATATTAGAAATCATAAAATAAGCACCCGAATTGCCTTATACTACATGACTGTATTGGCGATGATTCTTTTTGAAATGAGATTTATTGCTATTATGCTCGATTGAATTATTTCTAGATAGATTTTGTTCCTTTAAGAATGACTCAAATGTAATTTATTAATTTTGAAAATCCTTTCTTTCCCAAACAGCTGACCCTTTAAGATTTTCATTCTATGTATTTTATTAGATGCTCTTGGGTTTGCTGAATATTGGTTTTAAACTCAATTGGGCTACTTTTGTTAAGGTCTGATTAGAAGTTTATTGAGGCACATTCATTTAAAATGGTACACAGCTTTATTGTTTTTTGTTTCTTTTGTATTTCATGCACTCAGGTTAGAATGTAGGCTAACTATGACTTAAATTTACTTGAATCTAAATTTTTTTATGCAGTTGAATCTATTTATTGTATAATGGTTATTGTGAATTTTCATCAAATCTCATAAACGATACATTCTAATTAATAAGGATTGATACATTAAGCTGTGCAATATTTTCTTTTGGAATGAAATAAGGATTCCATTACAAGTTCATTATTTCAAATTTAAATATAATTATTGATAAACATATAAATTAATATATCCCATAGTTTAAAAAACTTATCATCTTCACAAACAATTAACCGCCCATTCAAAGTAGCCTAAAATTCATGTGATTAAGGCATTGTCAATATTTGAGTGTTGCAAATCAATTTAGCTATGGAATTTGGAAGTCGTATTCTTCTTAATTTAATTGAAAATTGTAAATTCATGAATATGATTTTCCTGTTAAATTCATAAGATAAATTCTTTAAACTACTTAGCATAATTTTAAATTATGTGAAGGAATATTAATATAGTGATTTTACACATTAAATACAAGTAAAGAGAAACATATTGTATATTTGCAAAGGCAAATATATTTTATTTACAAATAGTTTTTGTAAATTTGGTTGTTGAAATTAAATTTTTATTATATTGGATATAAAAACACCGCCAAATTAAGATTACTTTTGGATATAATAGTGTTACTCTAAGAATTTCACTCACAAATAACGCTTATAGGCATAATTTAATAAGGCTTTTATTTTTTGATATTCTTTTGTTCAATTATTTGTCTTATATTAATTATTTAATAATATGAATAACACAGCCTCGCTTTAATAAACAATACATAATTATTGTTTACAATCATATTCTGCTGGGGATTTTGCGGTATTGATCCTATTTGATGTTTATTAGAAGAATCAATAAATTTTAGAGCATTTGAGAAAATTCATATTGGATTGGAATAATTTGCCATTATTGAAAACAATTATTGAAGTAGATTGTAAGTAAGAGACTACTTTTGTGATTTACTCATTACTTCAAAAAGCAATTGCTTCAGGTTGTAAATTTGTAAATGTTCTTCAAAATCCGTAAAGAAAATCATAAAGTTATGAAGAATACGAAAGGTGAGTAAATATTTAATATTTTAGTCATGAAAGATAACATTTTACAGCAATTGTGACAACTCACTTGAATATTGTGATAAATTATTTTACAAAGGGTTTGTAGCATTAGAATTATGTTTAAAACACAGTTTTGTTTGCCTTAGCTTATATGTTAAGAAAATATTGGTCTGAAATAATTACACCAGAACAATTGGTTGAAAAACTAATAAACACATTTTTTTATACTTAAAATATTTAAATTTTAACTTTAGGATGCAAATTATTTGAAAATCTATTGAGTTGTGTTCGCTAATATTATTATGCAACTGGCTATTTAGAATTTAGAAAAATCATGATGGGATTTCAGAGGTTATTATTCATTCATAATTTATCTAGATAATCCTTATCGACCTTACTCGAATAGACACATAAACTTGTACAAAATTAATTGAAAATGGGAACCTTCTTACAAATTTATCAATTAGATAAATCATATGCTGATTCCTTAATTTAATTGCTTAACTCCTTTTTAACTTTTAATTTCAACCTAAGTTTCTATGAAATTGACGTTGATCATGATTCAAAGGAAAACTTTATAATTAATGTAACATAATTAAATACTTTATATAGTTCCCTGATTCTTATTTTTAAATAATTAATGATGACAATTTGAATAAAGAATATTTCAGAGCTATAATTGAATTCTATCCTATAGACTAAGGAATTTCAATTAGAATACTTAATAATCTCTAAAGAATTGCATCAGCCAGATTGTCCTTATTTTTTTAGAAGCACAATTTTAAGAAGGTTTTAAGAAGAACTCTTTGGGACGGTTTGCTCTTTTTGCTAAATAATTATGAATTGTATTTGAACAATACTGACTTTTCAAACGAAGTTTGCTCTTTTGCAATAAGATTAGTGGTAATTTTCTTGTTGTTATTTCTTAGTCGAATTTCACTTTAAAAAAATTACAAAAGTTTTAGGACTTGTTTGATTAATGTGTAAATTAGTTAAACAGAATAAATCAATTGATCTTAAATAATCAAGGAATAAAACTATCATCTAACAGTGTTTTCATTAAACTATAGGAAGTTTGGCATCAATTTTTATTTTAAATCAACATTTATAGTTCTCAATATATTCAATAATTTAAACTACTTTAAAATTCTGTAAATTTGAGTTTTAAGTTACTGATTCATGCATTTTACAATGGAAACCCCTTTTCTGAAATTCCTCCCAATTATCCTATTAAAAAAATAAAGAAATTCTTGGACAAAGGATTTCATTTATGCATATAAGTCTATCAATAAAATACAATTGAATGTATTAATGTGATTTCAGATTTACTAAAAACTCTACCCATAATGGTAAAAAATATTAATATTATAGCAAGTTTAAACATTACAACCTTAAGAACAACTCATTACCTTATGTAAGAATTTATTGAAATTAAGAAAAATTTAGTGCTTTGTTGTGTCTAATATCTGCCCTTGTATTGAGTCCAGCTTAAATGGAATTCTTGAGCGGAGGAGAATCTCAATTTTCATAAAATAAAATGGATGGACACCCTTAAGCTCGTATATTATTATAAGCGATACTCGACTTAATTGTATATACAAATAAGTTAAATATTCCTGCAGATGTAAACAATAAAGTAATATAATAATAGAATTATGTGTGCAAGTTGTACCATACCAGTATTTTAATATTTATCTAAACATATATATCTTAAACGATAGAGAGTTTATATTTAGATGAAAATTAATAAATAGTCATATCTTAATCACAATTGTAATTATATATATATATATATTAATAGATAAATGAGTTTAGGTAATGGCAGTTCAGTTCAATAAAATTACTTAGTGGTTATTGAAGGTTGTTTAGAAAAATGGTAATTTTTTTGATTTTTATGTAAGCTTCTAAATATTTACATTTCATGATCCAGATTTGGTGGAGTATAGCTTTATAATCTTACAATATACATATGAAAAGTATTGATTGAGTTAAATTTTAGATTAAAGAGATAATTAGATAGAAGATTCTTTAGATAGAGTTCTATCAGTAGTATGTTGAAGCAATTTTTCTTATAGATGGATTTGACATGCTTTAATGAAGTTCAATATATAAAGAAAAGGAAACAAGTGTATAAATTGGTTTCCCTAGTTTGGGTTGATGATTAATTGGATGATTATGTGCCTGCACTTGTAGATATTTACAAATAAATAAAAAAATCTATTGCTAATGAAACAAATAAAGTCAATATGCTCAAATATTTGTGGGATATGATTGGAGTGGTCGATGAATTAGAAGTGGATAGTATTTATAGAGTATTTTTAAGAATTGTGTAAGATCATTTGTATAATTAGATTTCCTGATTTATCATCTCTATTGTCCACTGATAACACTCAAATATTTGTATAAGACTATGATTCCTCCTTAGGATTGACAGCTCTTTTGTGCGCAATATTTAAAAATAAGTAAAAAATCCAAATATAGCTAGGAATACAAGATTGTCAAATGAAAATATTCAAATTCTGCTTTATCAAATCTATGGCAAAGCTTCAACATTCTTTATCACATCCATTGACTATTTGATATTGTAAGCTCAAACTAGCATATAATAAGGTTAGCAAGTGAAGGATGGGATTTTGAAGATGGCAGCTAAGTTGTTAAAAGTAATGGGCTAGATTTCAAGCTCTAAATAAATAAATTAGGGATTTTTCGTAATCTATTAAGATTCTTCATATTTGAATTTGTTCAAAAAATAATTGTAGTTCATAATTGTCTATAAGCCATTATTCCTAAACTTAATAAAATATAAAAAGTACTTGTTTGAATGTTTGGAAGGGATATGCTCTGAACATAGTGAGACTTTAGCTTATAGATGTGGGGCAGATGTTTATTTAGATTTATTAATGATATCGGAAGGTACTCTAAAGGAGATATTGAATTTCAAATAACTTAAGGGTGAGGAGCAGATAAATGAAGAGGCTCTTTAAATCTCATAAATTGCTAGTATTCTTTGCAATGTGATGCAATTCTTAATTTAAGAAGGAGTGGTTGGAGAATAAGCGGATACGGATATGATTAAGAAGAAGACATAGGAAGTGTTCACATAAGGCAAATAAGTTTTATAATCTATTTTTTCGTCAGCCTTTACAATCATGGTTGCATTTCCTAAGATCTTAAAGTTTTCAACACCAAATAGTGAGATTTTGTTTGCCATTTCTTTGTTTAATCCAATTGAAGTAAGAATTTAAATCTAAGATAGTTTCAATAATCACTTATTCAATTGATTTAGGAATACAGAAATACAATTCAATTGCCTCAATAGACTTTGGAGTTTATTACTTAAGGATACCTAGGTATTTTTAATAGATTATGATAGCGTTGACCAACTATTTGAATAGTACTACCAAGGAGTTATTTACTAAATAAATTAAATAAGCCTTAGAATAAATTTGTGCTTAAGAGGAGTTCTGAATTATTGTGTTTATCGATTATAATTATAATTGTTTTATTGTGAGTATTTAAATAAAGCAGCCTTGGTCATGTATCTTAATCGAGATGCAATACTCAGAAACATTTGTGTTCACTTTCTTTATATAAATGATTTGATCTTGAGTTATTATATGTGAATGAGGAGCAATGAATAAGAATTGAGTGTTGTGAAACCTTTTATTTAAATACATTTATTTTGTTAACAATCATAAAATTATATTAATCAATGAGGTAATAGCCATACTTCATTAAGCCTGTGAATCACTTATCGTATAGAAATCAATCGAGTAAGCAAAGCTTTTGCCAATAATAAAGTGAGGAATCAAAATCAAAAAGTCAAAATCGATTATCCAATATTAAAAAGCCTGCTCCCATAATCACTCAAGGTATTACTTCTCCGCAATTAAAGAGGATGAACAATTAGTATGAATTATAGCTATGATGTAGATTGAAGATTTTAAAAAGTAACAAAGTGGATTTGCCATCGCTGCCTTCGCCTCAATTACAACAATAATAGTGTGATTAATCTTTGTCGAAATTTAAAAGCTTTGAAAATCTAAACATCCAAATGAGGCAGCCAACACCAAGAAGATTCAAGTCTGATGAACCTAACATCAGTGAACTTGGCACTCAGCCAAAAAAAACTATTCGCTTCAGTTAGCATAGCAACATCAGATTGAGAAATGATTCAGCGAAGGCCAGAAATAGATCAAACCACATTCCTTTTCAAAAAACTAATACTGAACCTAGTGAAATAGTTCATTCTCCAATTAAACATAAGGCGAAGAGAGATTTCGATGATTCAAGGGAAATTCTGTATTAATTACAAAGAGGTTACTCAAAAGAAAAGTAATCTATATTAAAGACTGAACCAGATGATCCCTATAGAATCGGCAGTATTTGTGAGAATAGGAATTCTGCGAGTCTGAAAAGACAGTTTGGCTATCAATAGCTTAATGAATCCCAAAGATTCCCGACAAAACATCATATAGAAATGCCTTGTGACGATGAATTTTCCTAATTCTTCAAGGAGGATGAGATCTAAAGCAATTTTAAGAGTACCTAAAAGAATGCTAATCATTAAAATTAAATAAGTCAACAAACGAAAGAGAAAATCTTGGATTTGCTCTTTCTTTCAACGGGGGAATTGAAAAAAAAATTTAATGAATAAAGTAGAATTTAATATTCTAAAATTACTAATAAAATTTAGCAAAACAAACCAATAGTACCTAAAAGCAGATTTCCCAATGACTTTTTTAATGTTTTGCATTCTAATGAATCTCAATTATTTTGATTTTAATAATCCATCTCTCTATATAATAATAAAAACACGCACATTTATACTTTGATTTCCAATATAACTTTGTTTACGTGTCTAAATTTTAATAAAGAAATTTGAATTATTATAATGGATACACCCAAATATATTGAATAAATGGGATATCTAATTAAAATGAAACTTAGTCAATTCATAATTATTAATCAAAAATAAGACGTCATTTGTTGAGGAATAAAAACGACTAACTTTTTTGATTTTCAATATTATTATAAATGAAGACAATAATCCTTGCCTTAGCACTCATTGTGTTAGCCTCATCAACATAAGCTGATGTCATTGCTACAATCAAGAAGATTGACTAATCACCATTCGGAAGAACATTGTTTGATACCATCTGGCTCGAACTCTAAACAGGAGATCCATTGGACAGATTACTCTAAACCTTGACCGATTTGGAAGACAGATATGTTGCCGAATAAAAGGAAGACGATGCCAGAAACCACGAATACTAAGATGCATGCACAGTCGTAAGAAACTTTTCTTATACCTTCCTAGGACATCTCAGCTTTCGATAAGGATTTGGCTGAATCCAACAGAAGAAAGATCGAATTAGAAGCTAGATTAGAAGGATAATTATATCCATAAAGAGGAATCTTATAAGGATTAGTTGCCTAAAAATAAGCTGAAGTCAAGGGATACTAAAAGGATTTGGATGAGCTCGATGCTTAAAGAGCTGAAGAAAACGCCGACTTCGAAGAGAAAGTCTTAGAACACTAAGAAGCCACAGCTATCATCGCTGAAGCCAGAAGACTCTTCGCTGATAACATCGAACACGAATCCTTCATCCAAAAAGGAAAAGCCACAAAATAACCAGCTCACAAATTCACCAAGGAAGTTGCTAGCATGATCTAAAAGCATTTCACCACATCTGCTAAGAAGGCTGCCAAATTCTAACACAGAAAGGGATACAGCAAATTATTCAAAGCTTTCGCCACCATCGCCTCAAAGGTCGAATAATTAGCTGATGCCGGAGCCGTCTCAAAGATCATCGATTTAGCTGATGAATTGTTGGCCAAGATCGCTGACTCATTGTCCTTATTGAGATTCGCTGAAGACAAGAGAGTTGAAGCTTACAAGAAATCCAGAAACTTCATTGTCATCTCCATCACTGTTGCCGGAACTGCACTTGCTAACGCTCAATCAGATTTGGCTGCTTTGAATGATGTCATTGCTTAAGTTGAAGCCTCACTTGACACCACCAACTAAAGAATTGAAAACGTCTCTGCTGACAGAACCGATAGATTCACCTAATGTGAAGAAGCCGTCTAAGATTACTAAGACGCCAGATCTGCCAGAACCTCTGACAGAGATGTTGTTTCATAAACCATCGGATTAGTCAACAAGGAATTAAGAACCTTAAGAGAATAATTAGCTTTAAGATAATCAGCTGGAGAAGAAATCTGAAAGTGATTTCATTTATCATTAAAATATTCTAACCCAACCCAAATTTTTAACATCTATATATATATATATGTAATTAATTTAGTAGAGATTTCAATTAAAGTCCTCATCTGTTAACTTTATATGGATTATAGGTCTAACTAAGTTTGGATATTCTGTAAATATCTAATTAAGGAGATCCAACTTCAATGTTCCAGGCTGCTTCTTTACTTTATTCACTCCTTTTTCCTTTCTTTACAATACTCGCTCAACTGAGGATTTACTCTTAATTTAGGTGAAATAATTACGATGGCTTCGGCAAACTCTTGTCCTACCGAATTAATTTGTATATCATTTAACTAGTGTTATAATTGCGTCTTCTATTATTTAAGATTAGAAATCTCTTGGTTGGCAACACCAAGTTAAGATTCCAATTGATATATGTGTTTCTCCATTTATTACAGTTTCTAAATCATATATTCTTCATGTTGCTATGTGGCTGTGTGTTGCTGGTGCATCTAAATTCGTTAATTATTTATTTATTTATTATTTAATCAATAGAAATTCATTTGAATTAGACAGAATCCATAGAATAGTCTTTTTTGGCATAATGACAATACTCCAATGACTTCACTCTTTATGGTCTTTTCCTCTTAATAGTCTTGTTGATTTCTTTGAAGGGATTGTCATTCAAAATTGGAATAAATGAGTAAGCATCATATCCAATCACTTTTTTTAAATAATCCAGTTTAATCGGACTCTGAGTATTTTTGATCTTCAGTTTTTATGAGTAGCTCTCATCCAAAGTAATAGTTGGTTTCCGAGCTCTTTCAAAATTGACTTTGTTCAGGAGATATTGCCTTTCAAATCCGTCGAGTTCCTTGGGCAGTTTTGAAGGATCAAAGTCTTGGTTTAATTATTTTATTTTTCGAATAATATCTCTAATTAAATTAATAAGTTTACATTATTGCTGCCCCTCCATAATTCGAAATGTTGCATTAATTGTAGAGGTATTCTAATAGACTTTCTTTCTTCTATTTTTCTTACATCAGAAATTTTTAAAGATCTTTTTCTAAATTTACCTTCTTTTAGATATTGATTTGATTTTCTATCTTGAGTAGATAACGTTCTCTTTTCTTTTGATTGATATGTTTCCACAATTCAGTGTATTATTCATTATATTCCTTCATATACTAATCAACAAAGGTTTATAGTGAGTTTTTCTGTACTCCCTCGTTTCTATATCGCTTTTGTATTTTTTAAGATTGGATAACATTTTCTTGGGAATTGGTGAGATAGCTCAATATCTAGCTCATTTCTCTGGCCAAATTAGTTGACTTTTCTTCCAATAATTCTATCTAAATTGAAATGTATTAGTACTTCATCCTCCTTTTTTTGTAATTTATGTGATAGGTTCTCCATAGCTGATTTTTATTTGGACAATTTCGACTTAATCAAAATAATTTCATCTTTTAAGCGTTATAATTAAGCGTTCATCTCATCCTCAAAGTCTCCAATGGAATTCTGTTTTTTTACAACACATGTATTTTAGATGGATATTTCAGTTCTCACCCTTGATTTTTTTATTAATTAGCTGTTCCAATTTTCTATTTTGCTAGGAGATGTCCCAAAGTCGTCTTATTGCCCTTCGGACTCTATGGTTTAAAAAGTTAATCTTTTCATTATTCTATATTTCTTTAATTGAAATAAAAAATATAGTTAGCCTGCTTAATTAATATATTTAATTAATAATTCTAAATCTACTTAGTATTGTGAAAGATTAGAGTATCAAGTTTAATAATCAAATAATCATTAACGAAATCACAAATTAATAATAATAAAATGAATAAATAAAATATGTATATTTATTTATTATTATAGTCATAATTTGGATCATGGACTATCAAAAGTAAATGATTCAATTAATTGTTCAACTGAGTAGATACCGACTGGAAATGAAACCTCGACTTATAAACTAAATTTTGCTGAAATGTAGAGGGGATCTGAAAGAAAGACTAGTAAATCATGCAGAGACAATTTGATTTACACTCCTCATCAAAATAAATTCTATGGATACTGCCAATTCCCAAATTAAAAGTTGAATTGCGGAAAACTAACTGAAAGTAGAATGACAACGTTGTAGCAATAATCCACCATTTCAGTTGAAAGAACCAAAGTCAAACCTCAAACCTCAATATCCAAACCTCAATCAGCATCCATTATGAATGGAAAACGCCTCAAAGTCAAAAATAGCGAAATTCTTTTCTAGGATAATCCCTATCATCTGAGTGGTAACATGCAAGATGTTATACAAAATTATCAGAAAAGCACCATCCAAACCTTCGTTTTCAGGAAGGGCAGTTCTAATATTAACCGAAACAAATCACAAACTAGCCAAAACCAGTAGAGATTTGTATGCAAGTACATTAATCATAGACAGATCAATTCCCCTCCCATTAATTTAATTAACAAATTTATTATAAATATAGATTAATAGAAATTGCAAAATGAACAAAGCAACCAAACAGAGAATCTTAAGATAACTCTTGGAACTGATAGAGGAAGATTGACTATTGAAAATGATACTCCCGATGAAAAACAAAATCGATCTCTATCCAAGTCCTTATATTAAACCTTGGATCTCTCCCTCAAAGGGGATACAATATAGGCAACACACTTGAGATCCCTCAATACAGAATTCAATTCAAGTGCTATTTTATGCGATTAAAACAATCGCAAGGTCAGCGAAATCTATTAATCATTTATTTTTTAATCGAATTTGCAAATGAATCAAAACAGATTGATCACAACTAAACAATAATTAGAAAATTCTTAAAGGTTAGAAAAAGAACTAGAATTATATCCTGAAATCAAACAACCACAAGATCCAAAAAAACCTAAATAATATAGAACTAAAATCTATACTGAATTGGAGTTATCAAAAAAAGAGAAGGACCTTAATACCAATTATCTTATCTGAAATATAATAAAATACTTATAGAATGTGTTATATCAGGATACTCTAAATCACGCCAATTAAGATTTTCTGAAGTTTTGTATCATTTCCCAATTTATGAAATTAACAGCATTATGTTTAATATTATTACATAATAATTTAAAATTGTTGAATTTGAGTCTTATTCACATATATAATAAAATGGAGAGTCCATTTTTCCAGTTTGATCGAAATTTCCTTTAAATTAGTTGCTCATTCCAAAACTCCAAAACAGGTTTAAATTAAACAAATACTGTAACAAATTAAAGCGAATTAATTTTTAATTCTGCTTTTATTATTATAATAAGGACCATTCTATTTATAAATTATGTAATTAAAATGAATTGTTTACAATACATTAAAAGATGCTTTAAAAACTTCAGGTAAAAGTTAGATGGGTAGGATTCTTCTTATCAACTCTCTACTCAGAATAGTCAAGTCCGAAGAAAAAAAACCCTGGTTTTAGATTTGGATGAAACCTTGGTGCATTGCGAATTCAAAGAAAATCCAAATTTTCATTACGAAACTATTTTAGATGTTTGGCATAGGGGGGTTCTCTATACTGTTTATCTCTGCAAAAGGCCTTATCTTAGAGAATTTCTCCAATAATTGAGTGCTTATTATGAAATTATAGTATTTACTGCTGGTTACGAGTCTTATTGTGATAAAGTCTTATAACATATAGATATTGATAGGCATATTTCTGATTACTTTGCAAGATCGAATTGCAGATTTGTAAATGGAATTTGCTTAAAAGACTTATCAATTTTAGACAGACCCTTGGATTAATTAATATTCATCGATGTAAGTGTATTTGATCTTAATCTATTAGAATAATGCTAATGCTTTTGAGATGCAACCAGAGAATGGATTATTAATTCCCTCATTTCTAGATTCTGATGAAGACGAATGTCTATTGAGATTGATTCCCTTTCTGAAACAAATGGCTCATAAACCTAAAGTAATTCCAGTCTCATCTTTCTTATCTGATTATGAATCCATTCATGGAGCACTCTTTAATGACATGCAAGTAACCTTATAAGGTTAGGCTGAAGGAGAGGAAGGTAGTTTAAGTGAAGAAAGTGTTGTTGTTCTAGAATATGTTCCAAAACATAGAAAGACGCAAACTACTTAATAATAATAAAAATAATTTATTAAGACCCTCGAATAGAGAAGTTAAACTCTCTTTTCTGGTTGATGTTATTTTGAATAATTTATCATTATTTCATTATTCTGAAAGAATTTAAATATTCAAGTCAAATTAATTTGATCTCAATATAATAAATAATACTTATCATTACAATTTTGTTACCACTATATCAATTATAAAGAATAAACGATTGATTAAAAGTCTACGATTAATATCCTCTCTGAATTATTAAGATCAATAAATTTAGTATTAAATAAAATATTATCATAAAAAATAAAATTATTTTTCAAAATCCTTATGCAAAATATCTCATAAATAAAAGTGGCTTCATTCCTTTTTAGAATTATTCTTTATAAATTAATAGATCATTTTAAATTTGATATATTTTTACTTGTAATGGAATAAGCACAATATTATAAGTATCTTAAATTTCTTCATCATGAAATACTTAGTTTTCTTAGCAATGATATTGGTAGCTTTATCTAAAAGACACCATTAGCCAGATGCTGTCTTATAAAGTCTGTAATGAGTATGCAAGGGAAATTTCGATACTTGTGATAACTCAACAGGTTGTTTGAATTAACTGAAAAAATGTCTGAAAGTACAAGAAAGAGATCCATTGCATTATTCATGTGTATATTTATTTCATTATCATAGGGATATGAATGCTTAGAAAAGAAAAATCTGACTTGGATGGTTTTGAATGCATTTTTGAAAAATACATTGGGTTGCACGGAGAATGAGGTTATTCATTTGAAATCATCAAACATTTAATAAATAATTTCTTATTTGATAGACTAAAGTGTCTCTTAAGCACATTCTATAGGCTTTTTTCAAGATAAATAAGATCTATTTTTAGTTTGACAATCTTTAATTTTAATAATGGTTGCAAATAAAATAATAATAGATTGAAAGGTGGAATTATTTCTAATTTAAGTCATTCTAAATCAGGATAATGATAATCATCATAATTTGATCATTTAAAATAGACATTTAATTTTATTATTTATACATTAATTGAAAGATTATTAAGAAAATAAAATAATATTATTTTTGATTAATAATTTAATATCTAGTATTATTATCTAGTTTAAAGAAGGTTAATTTTCTGGAAGAGAACACTATGTAATTAAAAAAACATATTAAAAAGAACATTTTTAGGAGATTTCTATGCATTTTTATTGCTTCTAAAAAATAGAAACATATATTTCTTTATCTTGCATTCTTCTTCTCAATTTGAGGAAATTTTGCTCTTATTATCCTTTATGTGAAAGGATTACTTCTTAATTTTATGATATCATATTTCTATTCAGTGAATATTTAAATAGTATGTCACGTAAACAAATACATTTTTAAACTAATTTATATTTTAGAAACCTAACAAGAACATGATTAAAAGTATATGCATAATAAAAAGAATATAATAAATACATAAGTTTCTAATAATATATTTATAAATCAAATAGAAATGATATACATTTATCTCACAAAATTCAGCCATTCTTTTTATAAGAATGATGATGTATTTTCTCATTCTTCTCTATTAATTTTTAGAATTTATTCTTATTTTTCGTTTAGTTCTTTTCTTTATTAGAATGATGTTTTTATTATTGACTAGGTTATTTTTAATGCTGTTTATATTTACCAGAATTATTATAATTATTATGAGTATGATTAGGAAGTTAGATGAATGCAGGTGATGGGATTAAGTTTCTTTCAGTTTTAGTGACCTATTATTCTTTTTTATCTTTGAAATATTCTGTATCCTTATTTTATTCAATGGTTTTTAATTCTTCTTAAAGTATAAGTTCTTTATCTTTCAAAAGATTTAATAGTTATTCATTCATTTTTCTTTACCTGTCAAACCAAATATCTTCTGCTAAAACTTTAAATGAAAAATAATCATTTTTGCCAACATATCTGTAAAGCTTCCTACTGTGCAAATTTAAAAGGAGGTTCTTCCACAATTAGCATTGTCCCAACTAATATAATTATGATATTTATTACTGTGATTGCATTTCCAAAGATAAACAGAGCATTTTTTGCTCTTGTCAAGGCAACATTAACTCTTCTTCCATCTTAAAGAAATCCAATATTTCCAGACGAAGAAGATCGAACACAAGAAAATAAAATAACATCCCTTTCCTAACCTTAGAATGAGTCAACTGTATTTATTTAAATTTCATCCATTAAATCCCCTAATTATCTCTTAATTTCTAATTTAATCAATCTAACTTAGGCTTTATATGCACAAATAACTCCTAAACTTTATGAAGGATATGCATTTTTAATGTTTTTCAGAACTTCTACAATCATATTGCATTCAGTTTAATTTTGAAATGATTTCTCATCTTTCGTTTCCTCACTCTCGACATCAATGAATAACACTCTTTAATTAAAGAAATTGTTAGGTATCAATCTTTCATAAACCGAAAAATGGTCAATTAGTTTGTTATCATAGAAGTTTAATGATGGAAATTCACGAATTTGAGGATGCATCCTATATTGCATGTCTAAAAAGAAGGGTTTGAAGTCATTGTCCAAGATTCTTTCGAATAGGCTTCTATTATAATGAGTTATTTATGAAACTGATGAGAAGGTTGTAGCTGGTAATTGTTTTGGATCGCCTATCAATATCATCTTCCTCATTCCTAATCTTAATGGAATATTATTAGAAGGCTCTGTGCATTATGCTGCTTCATCCACAATTAATAATTCAAATGAATCAATAAATTTACTTAATTTATCAGTTCCTGCTGTACTTAAAGTCGAGCAAAGGATTTCAGCTTCACTTATGATCTTCTCACAAAATAGAACATAATTTTCTTTTTAGTTTCGTTTATTAGTTCTTACTTATTCTAAATATTGCATTAATTGATTTCTTTTATTCCATAATTCATTTAACTATTTCTTTTGTTACTCATCATATTTCTCCATTTCTTTTATTTTTTTTATAGCCTATGTTGTTTTGCTCAATTCAATTCGCAATTCTCCAGTTGTCTTTTGATCTGAATTAGCTTTAAATGAACTTTTATTGAATAATTGATATTAAGCTACATCCTCCAACGAAACCTATTTAATTATAACGCTTTTATCATTTTCTTCGTCTAAAACACCTAATCTAACTAGTTTCACTGTTCTTGATCTTCCTTCACAATCAAATAACCCTCCTTGCAATATTCGAAATATGATTTCATCTATAGCTGCATTCGAAGGAGCGCAAATCAAAATCTTCTTCTTTGGAAATTTATTCATTATTTTCATATATTCATAGACCCCTGATAACAGACCGATTAAAGTATGTGTTTTTCCAGTACCAGGTGGTCCCTATAATAGACTAATACCCCTATCTTACAGGATTATTTATTAAATTGCTGTGGCCTATGAAAAGTTATAATTTTAGTTTATATAATTAAAAAAAGGGTCCATTACCTTTCCATTTGGAATGATATTCGAAGAATTTATATTCCATATCTTATCTTTATCAGCTCCTATCAAATGCTATTATGATTTTGGATCCAAAATTAAAGGATATAGAGGAGTCTATGTTATTTTGTTTATCATCAAATACTCTCTAAAATAAAGACAACATATTTACCTAATTTGCGTTGTAATTTTTACAAAGGGAAACAGATATACTGAAACCCAATTTAAATATAATGGATCTCGAGGTACAAATGTTTAAATTTTGATCTGATTGACATATTGATGTGTCTAAGGTTCTATTAGCATTCCAAAAAATAATTGTCTTTTCTCTTTCATCCTAAAATTTAGTTGAAATTACTTACTTGTTTATTTTTGCTGGATTAAATGAATACTTATTGCTTATAATTACTATGTAATTCTTTAAGGCAGTCAAATCACATACGCCTTCTTCCTTGTGGACACTTCCATCACTGTCATCCTACTACTTTTTTTCAGCTTCGTTATTTCTATCTTTATTCTTCTCTTTCGGATTTTATTAATACTATCTCATTTAAAAGATCAATCCATCCTTATCAATCTCGACATCATCCTATTTGATTTGAATTCTTCTAAATTTTGATTTATTAATTCTTTGTAATTCTTATTTAATTTATTGGAATGCTTCATTTAAAAATAAGTATTCGAATATTTTACAATACTCTACATCTGATTTAAATTTCTTAGGTATCTTATTGTATGTTTCATTCTCAGAATCCTTACTGTAGTCTTTTAGAAATAAATATTTAATTAAGGAATTGAACTCAAATATTGGTTTACCTGTTTCTGTAAAAATCCCGCATTTTTCTTAAAACATACCTTGAAATGACTTTTTGTCCTCGGTAATTTGGGAATTGGTTTTCTTCAAAATAGGACATAGCTATTTGACCTTTTCAATATGTTATGACTTTTTTGCTTCTTTATGAGTTTCTGATTTCACAACACTTTTAGATGGATTGAGTGACAATTAGCGAATCCTATCAATTTTTGGTTTTGAGGAACTTATTGTGTAGCTGTTAATCTACAATAATTTAGGATTCATAATCTGTTTTTGTTGAGGCTATAAAAGTTATTATTTTTTCTTATCTAAAGTTTTACCTAAATTTAATTTAGGAGGATTCTCCTTTTGTAGTTTGAGTTGTCGATTGATCTCTTCTAATGATTTGGACTTAGTTTTTTATTAGTCCTTTATTTTATGATTTACTTCATAGAGATTAGATTATTTTAATTGAATAAGCTCTGGTTGAAAGGTTAGTTTTTTCTCTTTTCTATAAGTGGTTATCTCTTGTATAGAAATACATGAATTGTCAGTTTATTCAGGAGTACCCCTTGATTTTTGGATGGATGAATCTGATGCATAGGAGTCTTGATCATCGTTAATCTTCAAATCAATTCCTTTGAATTCATTCTTATTATTATCATATTTTTCAAACAATGATTCTAATGAGTCTCTTGAATTTTCATAAATTTTATCGTTCATGATTACTATTATAAATTATCCATCTTTTATTGAACAAAATTAGACTTAGAAAAAACCATCTTTTATTTTGAATTAATTATAAAAATATAATAGAAATTCAAAGCATTAATATTCAATACTAATTCCAAGGTGACTAACTCCTTTAAAACTTGTACTTATTGGCTAACTATCTGGATTTTGCATTGATACAAGGTGAAAAGCTATAATTTTCTTTTTAGAAACTAAAACTTTGCCGTATGGGCATAGCCAATCTATCAGCTTAATCAATCAAATAGAGTCCGCTCTTTTTCATTTTCCTTTCGGCTAACTCTGCAGATTTGGGATTGATTAAGGGTCTGAATGATTGCTCATTTTGGTTCTAGATCTCATCTGCTAATTGTTATTTCTTAAACTCCTTGTACTAGACCCAATCCTCAGAATCCTTGATGAATTGAGAATGCGATCTCGATGGTAATATCTTATAGGATTCCACCTCCTCCTATTCTTGAGTAGCCAGAATCTTCTGCAATTCAACTCTCATCTTCTTCTCTTGAACTAATTCATTTTGTCTTTCCAAGAATGGTTTGAGATTCTTATTCTCGAGAATCTATTGGGACTTTTTGCTAACAAAGCAGACTTTGGTTGGCGTCAGAGATCTTTCCTTCTCTTGTTTTAGTTTTTGGATTTTGTTTCTCTTCTTTTCTTCTTATTAATACAATCGATCGACAACATTTAAAGTTTTCTGATTGAAGACTTTGAGATCATGAGACTATAAGAATTGATTGTTGGCCTCGATTTTAACAGCAGGTTTGCTTGGGTTATACATGGTTTTTTGTTTGGGGTATTAAAGAACAAGAGTTTTCATTAAATTACGTTAAAATTATATTTATATAGTGCTCATAATAAAAATATATAAAAATATAATTGACATTTGAATTAGTTATATACACATATGGGATGTGGTTCGTCATCTGGAAGTTAATTAGAAACAAGGGGTCTAATCTATATTTATTATGGCACAACAACTGGGAATTCGAGCAGATTAGCCTTTTAATTTGCCAGTGAAGTCAGAAATCTTAAATTTATTCCTAAAAGTATAAAATTGACTAGGACTTAGTTATCAATCTTAGCGAATACAATCCCAAAGAAATGATATCTTCGAAATTAAATGTTTTTTTTGTATCCACATATGGAATGGGATCATGTACACCTGATACTGAAAACTTTGACCAATGGTTATTTTGCGAAGAAAGAAGTAAAAACGAATTTTAAGGGATGATTTATTTAATCTTTGCATTGGGGAGTACTAATCATGAACACTTTTGTGAATTTGGAATAAGACTGGATAAAAGATTGGAATATTTAGGTGCGAAAAGATTATGTAATTTGGGTAAAGGGGATGCTGCAAAGGATTAAACCGAAAACGACTATTAATAATGGATTCATACTGAGGTGCAATAGACTTTGCAAACATAATTCCCTTTGTACACATGTGATTAAGGTTAATAGGATTTTTCAACTATCAAAATTTAAATAACTAAGGAACCAGAAGATTTTTAGAGTGTCAATCTTGATTTCATGGCTCTAAAATATATTAACAGTATGGCATTCTCTATAAGTGAAATCAAAGAATTAAAAGCCTTACCTGCTAGAGGCAATTCTACATTATTGTTAGATCTCTTCAATCAAAACATTGAGTACAAAACTGCTTACAATATAGCTATCTATCCTCAGAATTCTGAGTATTATATTTATAACACATTAGTTCTGATGTAGATGAGCTGTGCTCTTTACTTAAACTCGATAAAAATGTGAGATTTAAAGTAATCACCAACTCGAAATAGCCATTCCCTAATCCAATTTCCGTTTATACATATTTAAAAAAGTAACTAAAAAGTATATAAGAGATTTTGTGATTTTTCTGGCTTAGTTACAAAGAAAATATTAATTGAACTTTCAAATTTGGTTAATCAAAAACAACTAGAAGATGAACTCCTTCATCTTGCCTCATTTGAAGGAAGAGATCAATATTAAAATAGATTCATAAATTAAAAGCAGAATTTACTTAATTTAATAAAAGAATATCAAATCAACAACTTAACCTTAGAGAAAATCATTGACATATGCCCTTTAATTCAACCAAGATACTTTACAATAGCATCAAGCAATAAGAAACATCCAAAGAATATTCACATATTGGCTAGTCAATTTGTATTGAATCAAGAAAGATTAGGACTTTCAAGCTAATTTTTCAGATCTTTAAAAAAAGGAGATGTTGTTAAAGGATTAATCTAGCCATCTAAATTTAAGTATCCTAAAAACCCAAAAGCACCTATACTTCTAATTGGAATTGGAGCTGGATTGGCACCCCTCAGAGCCCTTATTCAGGAGAGGGATTATTACTTAGAAAAAAACCAATTTGAAAAGTGCCCATTTTAAGGAGGAATGAAATTATACTATGGATGTCGAACAGAAGCTGAGTATTTATGTAGGGAGGAACTTTAAGCTTATCTAAATTCAGGAACGCTAAGTGAATTAAAAGTAGCCTTTTCAAGAAAGGAACCTAAACAGTATGTCACAGAATTAATTGCTATTGATGAATTATATTAGCATTTCTAGATGGATGGATTACTATACATTTGTGGATCTACTGAATTGGGAAGAGACATTCAAGTCAAAATAGCTGATATGTTTGAATATTTTGAGAATATTGATCCCTATTTGACTGATTAAAAAATAAAAGAACTCGAGGAAAATTCATAAATATTAACGGAATATTGGGGTTGATCTATATTATCATTTAATTTTTTTAGAACAAAAGGTTTTTACAGGATTATAAATAGGCCCAGGGGATTAAGAATCTTCATTTTTGATTTTTTCATCTATCCAACTAATCTTAGGAGCTCTTCCTATTGTTGCATTGGGTGAAGACTCTCTTATCACTAATTAATAATAATATTTTTAATTACATTTCAAACTCTAATCTAGTTTATACTTCCCTACTCCTGGAGAACTTGTAGTCAGACTATTGTCTAATTGTCTTCTCGCCTTTGGGAATGTTGTAGGTGAGCCATTTGACTAATATGACATTTCACTCAATGGAATGACCTTGGATGACATTTTGCTAGGCGATCTACTACATATAGATTGATTGGATGCGAATTTTTTAAAATCGGAAACAGATTATTTGGTTTGATCATTTACTCTCTTAACAGTTTAAGAAGTATCTATGTTGAATATCTATGACTGTTGATCCAAACCTAAAACATTTAATTCAATTAAGAGTCTATTCCAAATTTAATTCATGGTAGCTGTAACTATTACATCAAAGTTAGATTTAAATATTTGCAGATTTCTCGATAGTTACAAGTTGTATTCAATCTTTTATCCTTATTTTTCCATTACACTAATCACTTCCCTCAATCCTTCGAATTCATATGACATTTACTTTGTTGTGCAAAATTGATTTCATTCATAAAAATGTCCTCAAATTCCTTAGAAATCTGACTCAAATATCCCTTCTTTTGTACTGTTTCATAGATATGATTGATATCTGCAAATCTAGCGACTTCCTGCTATATATTTAACTATAAATTCATAATAAAAATAAATTTTCATTTAAACCATTCGTGATCTAAAATTTCTTATATTGTTGGTCTATCCTACGGTTTTTTTGCACAACAACTATTGATTAGATTGATTAGTAAATCATCCTAAATTTCGAATTATAATGGTTAATCTCTTGCTAATAAATCTGTTTCTAAGTCACCTTCACCCCAAAAAGGTAGCTAAAGATATGAGTAATATGATTACTTTTTCATGTGTATAGATATATAAACAGATTCCAAATGACCATATATCAAGTTTAAATGGAGAATAACCGTCATTTAAACAAAATTATACTTCAGGGGCTCTAAATCCTGGAGTTCCAGCACAATCATAGAATATACTATCTTTTTCAGCTATTCTTGAAGTCGAGAAATCAATTAATTTACAACACTCTTCCAATGGATATAAAGTGGTGCATATAATATTATCAATTTTGACATCTCTATTAACAATATTGTGTTCATGAAGATACTATATTGCTTAAGCTAGCTATTTGAATATTAGTTTGGCTGCTTGCATGTAGTTCATTTTCAGGTAATCAAGAATAGCCTGATTTCTAATATATTTAAATGAGAATTCACAGAAGTTCATAATGCATCCCAAATCTCCCAATTACATTATTAAATACATCTTCTGCTATGGATCATCTTCATCGTCTATTACCTCGTACAATTTACAGATATTTGGATGATTGAGATATTTGTGAATGTTGATCTCATTATCAGCAAACTCTAATAAATTAGTCATTTTTGGATCATTAGAATTGCTATCATAAAAACAAGTCCTTTGATGAGCTAATACTGTTTTCTGAAATATTTTCATAGCATAATCGCTTTTACAAAGTTCTTCTGATTCTTCTGTTTCTTTATAGTACCGAGTTACTTTCCTCACTTTTCCAAATGATCCTTCTCCTAGTTCATCCATCAACTCGTATTCATTTATAAATTTCTTCCCATCCTCCTTTCTATACACTACTTTATCTTTGAAATTTGCTTCATATATTTCAACATCCATCTTAAAATTATATAAAAAATTGATATTTTCACAAATTCATAAAGCTATATAAAGTTATTAAATTATTTTGAGGTTTGACTCGTATTCATTTTCATATACTTAATTCACAAAATATGCATATCAATTTTAATAATCAAGAAATATTTTTATTTTTAATCTAATCGTTATGAAAAAAACAAATTTGAAGCTAAATGCTACTACCACATCAAAAAGACAAAACAAAGAAAATACAATTAAATCTCCACGAAAAGCTATTTCCCCAAAAAACTTTAGATAAAAATTAACTTGTCCTGATTTATGGGATAACCTTGAAAAATAATTAATCACTTCTGAAACCATATTTTAACAAATATTTCCTCATCCCAATAGAAAGAGGTTGACTTACTTTTAGTTCGATTAACTCAAGCTTCTGAGTGTTGAAAAAAAGGAAATGTTTGATTTATTGTAATAGGATGACTGGATTGAATACAATAGAGCAGGCAAAATTCTAGGTGAAAAGTATGGTTACGAATAAAGTCATTTGAAGTAATGGTTTGATGAGAATCAAGTGAATTAAACTATTAAAAAAGTAGATCTGCTCAAAAAATATAAAGACAAAAGTAATTTTATAACCAAGTATATATTTGTTTAAATTATAAGATTATTTGAAGAAATTGATTTTAATAATACGTAAGAATTATCATATTGGGATATCTATCTTCACAAAGATATTTATGTACTTAAATAAATAATACCATCGTGATTCTAAACTAATGTTATGATATTATATTTCATTTAATAGGGTAAACACTTTTTTAAAATCTAAATCAAAATTAAACTTAAATTTATATGTATCATTTCACATAATTATATACATTCATATGCTTATTGTATTCCTAAATTCATTTAGATATACAGGAATATATTTTCATATATCATTAAGTTAAAAATCATCAAATATGTATTTTTAATTCAAAGAATGATAAAGTTCTCCCGTAGACTAATTAATTGAAGACCTATCATTTGGTTATTATTTTTTTTATCTGAACAAAAATCTGGTAAATGAATTAAGAATATATATTTTATTTTTTCCAGTAGTAAAAAATGACAATTATTATATAATATTAATCTGTGTATGAATATATCAATTTACATATCTGGATGACTCATATTTGTCAACTTTTAAATAGCCACTTCCACTCTATTAAGAACTTTACTCATATCTATAAGGAATTTAAGCTTAATATTGATAAGATAATTGCGAACCATTATCACCTTACTAAGATATTATTCTATCTTAATTGAAACCTTCATTTTACCTCGAGTCATATAGGGTCTTCGCTTTATATTAAGTTGAAGTTACTATTTAAGTATTCTATAAGTCCTTGTATGAATTACTTGTCGATCCTTTATTCAACTCTCTTTGATAAAAATTATCATAATTAGTTTTTTACTCATTAACATAGACTTTTTATTATATTTTCGATTGACCTTCATATCCACTTGTTGTCAATAATCCTTTTATGGCATCTTTCTCTTGTTATTGTAAGAGTAATGTACAATTTTGATCCCTTAAATTTTATAATTCAGCTCCCATTAATACAAATAAACTCAATAGATCCTCTTCTCTTTTGGATAAACCTTAATCAACATTATTTTGGCTATACGGTCTTGTTTGTAATTTTTGAGTGTTTGGTATTGATTAATAAGAACTAGAACTTTATTATTTTCTCAATCTGCTCAATTCCATCGTTAACATTACTATTTTATTTTCATAATATTCTTTTAATTTCTCTATTTCATCATCTTAATTCATTTATGATTACAATAGTAGCTATTATTGCAATTATTGACTGATTTGTTCATTTTTTAGTTTGTAAGCTTTTACCTAATTTTGTAATGATTCATTTTCACTATAATATTTATCTATGATAATGCCTAATCTCTCAATTTCAGCTGATTGCAAAAGAAAATTCAATAATAAATTTGATGGCTATAAATTAGCAAATAGAATGCTATCCTTTACATTTTTACTATTAAGTTTTCTTTTTTTTGGATCCAAATCGTCATCTGTTAATCCGAATTCATTTTTAATCCATTCAATCTTCTCATTAGCTTCTTTTAATTTATTACCCAAATCCTTCAATTCTGAATTCTTTTTATTTATATCTTACTATAAGTCTTTTAACTTATTATCTTTATCTTATAATTGTCTCATTAAATCATTCAACCTACTTCTGAGATCATCATTTTCATTAGATAATCTATTTTTATCTTCATTTAATTGATCCACTTCCTAGTTTAATTTATCATTTTCATCTTTTAACTGGGTTGCTACTTCCTTTTATCCATCTGCTGAATCTAATTCATCCAAACAATTGTTCAATTCTGACTATAATTACAATTTGTCTTATTCAGCCTATCTTATTTTATATTGCAAATCTCCTAACTATCTTAATTAATCTTGCAATTATCTCTGACTATCTTACAGTTATCGTTGAGTATCTTGTAATTATCTTTATTGATCAGCCAATTAATTTTTTAATATTGCTATTTCTTGATCTTTTTTCTTTAATAATTCTTTAAGTTATTCACCTTCTGTTCTTAATTGGTCTGCATCTCTTAATTTATTTTTCAAATCATTCAATTATTAATTTAAATACCCATTTTCCATTTGCAAATCCTAGGCATTTTACTAAAACAATTAAATAATAAAATTTACTCTTAGATCATCAAGAACATCTAGATCATTTTTCTATTTGTCATTCTCTCTTAATTATTTATCTAATTCTTTTTTGAGATCATCTGCTTCTTTTGCCTTTTTTTTTAATCTTTCTAATTCCTAAAAAGTATGTTTTTTATTAATTTTACTTTTAATAAATCTTCTGGACTTCCACCAAATGATTTCTGTAATTTCTCTAATTCTTTGAGTTTCTTGGCTAAAGTATCAGGATCCATACCCCCAATTTTATTTTAGAGGTCATCAAATTATTTCGACTTCCTTTACAATTCATCCAACATTCTTTGTAATTCTTCTGGACTTTTGCCACCAAACTATTTCTCATAATCACCTAACTTCTTTTTTAATTTGCTTAATTGAGACCTCAAATCATCTTAAAATGATACTAATCTTTCTTACCTACATCATCATCTCCAATCTTTTTTTATAATTGTACTAGCTGTTTTTTTTATTGTTCTAATTCTTTTTTCCAATTCGGATCGTAATCACGCAATTAAATTTCATAACGTGATAATGATCCTTCAAGGTCTTTTATTAGTTTTTTCAGTCTCTCATTATCATTGCCGATTAAATAATTGTCCCTATTCTCGATCACATTAAATACTGCTGCAATTGTTGTAGTTTTTCCATCAGATCTCTTATTTGCATCTCATAATTGACTCTATCTAATCCACAATCACTCTGCTGCTTAATGGAAATTTTGAGTTCTGTGTTTTCAGCAACTAGACGCTATATTTCTACAGCCATCAAAAAAGATGTCACATCAAGTTATCCATTCAGATTTCGTTAGATCCCTGTATCCCTTGTATTAGGATAATACTTACTAATATCTCACTCTTGTGCGATACTGAGGGTGATTAATTTCTTCCTCGTATGAACTATAATTGAACATTTATTAATAACACATTCAAATTGTATCAAAATAAGGTTGAATTCTCTTTGCAATTGCGTCGGGTGTATTGCAACTATATTAAGGCTACTTTTATTTCATCTTCTGCAGTACTCTATTCTAAAATTGGATTTCCTATAATTATTATATAATAAGCATTTCATTTTACCTAGTCTCTCAGTGTATCGAACACATCGGTCAATTTTTAGGGATCAACATTGAGATTCTTTAAAAAATTGTTGAGTTCCTTTAAATTGATTCCACTATTTTTGGAATATATCTAAAAATACCATTCAAAATTACTCCATACAAAAAACCATGTTTCTGATAGAATTCTCTCTTCTATTCCTTACTCAAGGTCACTTAGCATTCTGTAAGACAATGAACAATGAATTTCTTTGTAACCCCCATCGGTAATTGATCATCCAATTGTATAAATTTCGATATCAATTGTTAAGGCAACTTAGCTGTTATTGGAATTTTGATACTTCATTCTTGAAAACCTATTCGACAATTGGTCTCGGATAGACACTTTCAAGTCCGAGGAAAAAGGATTTGAATTTGTTGAATAATAATCTTCTGTAAGGTATTCTTGCAAGATAGACTAAGACTCTTGTAAAATTATCTACTTTCATAAGCAAACTTTAATTAGCAGAGGAAGATCAATCCACAAAATAAATAGATTCTATTTTTATTATCCTCCACCTTTTATTTCATTTTAGCCCATAAAGGTTTCTGAGATTTGTGATATGTTCTCTATATATCAAGATTTTCTTTTCTAATATTTTGATTTATATCCTAATATAGCGGAAGAGATCTCTTACCATGTGTTGCTTCAACCTTTGATAGTATCGAAATTTGGGTATTATAGAAGACAGCATAATTATATTTTAACAATTATTATTATAAAATAAAATACATTCCTAAAAGATTAATCATTGTTCATTTTAAACGACCGCATACACTTCTTAAGATAGTTTAATTTTCTTGCTTAGTTTCTCTTCTTATTTGTTTTTGATCTACTTCTTCTTGGATTCAAAATATTCAATGTCCTTCAAAGCGGCTTCGCAAATAACACCTTTACAAGCTTTTCTATGAACTAAATTAAATGAGTAATACTGCCATGCTTAATCACCATCTCAGCGTTTGCACCAACTGCCTGAGTCGCCTGATCCTTCTTTAAACCAATAGTAATTCCCAATGCTACCAAATCATAGGGACTCCTGTGATAGAGCCAATACGCAGTATCAGAAGACAGGAGAATATTCTTACCCTTTGTAGCATTTATAATGATTTAGGCATTTGAAATGAATTATCTTCTTTTATTGGGATCTTAAACTGCATCACCATAGTTAATCTCGAACATAATATTCTTCTCCAAGAGCTATGAACTTACTTTTGCCTTCGGAATGAATGGGAGCTTCTCAAAACAATCAAACGTGATTATGTCGAAATACTATTTAATATTAACATTTATTGTACTGTAACAGTTGTGCATAGTTGTGTAAATACTGCCTCAGTCTTTGGTTTGATAGCAATAATATCGTAACCCTATAAAAATTGATTCTCCTATTTAATCGAGCTAAAAAACTTGTTATCACTCACCTCAAAAGTGAGTCTAGAGTATTATTTAATCTTCCCTGTGAATTAGGATATGTTTGCACTTTACTACTATTTCTATAACAAGAATTCCTCATTGTAAGGTTTAAAAGTGGAAGCATTCTGCTTTTATATTTATTAATCTTTCACGTAATTCACAACAGCAACATTATGGTAATTTTCTAATTGTAAATCACATTCTAATTACCTTCAATACAAGTGATCAATAATTATATCAGTTGATTATCTTTTTAAGGGTCTCCTGCGTAGAATGACCGTAAATTTAAATCACTATGCATATATAAATTAATGTTTTAATAATTTATTCTCTATTTAATTGTTTTAGTAATTAGTTTAGATAAATTGCATAATCATAAAACAAACCAATATAATTATAGGGTTTGACTTAAAATACAGTGATGATAGAATACAAAGAATTATGAAAATAAATTTAATCGATTTAGCAAAAAACCTGTCTTTCATTTTTAAAATACTCTGACACTGAGACTAGAGTACTAATATAAATAGAATATTGCTTTCTTTAGATCTTTGATTTAATTTCAGACCAGATTATAAACACAAATGTTCTTATGTCGAAATTTTAATAAAAATATTCTACTACAATAAAGAGGAATAGAAAAACAAAATATGATACTTATTTTTGGATATTTATGTCTTATAGCCATATTTTTAGTTAAATATTTATTTATAATGATATGATATATCGAATGACAATTTAATTAGTATGAATAATTCAAATCATTTACATTGAAGAATTAGCCTGAGTTTCAACCTTTTTTATGATTTGTTCTAAAGCTTAGAATTCTTTTTGGAATCCAATTTATTTAGAAATATGTAGAAGTGCTCTATATCTTTTTAGTTCTTCTATCTCTTTTATGTGAGATAGTTTTTGCAAATGTTTCTCACAAAGTTGCATACTTGTGCTTATATTAGCATACATGAGGCAGTTTGAATATTAACAATGACCAAATCCTAAGGTATGTAATAATTCATGAACTATTGTACTATAAAAATCATTCACTTCTGTTTACACTTACACAACACATACTCTTTGATTTCCTGCTCTTCCTAAAATATTTGCTTACGGTTAATAAGGATCATAAATATCTTAATCAACAATTGCTATAAAAGATGAAATATTTTTAGGTTTTACTTGAGTCATAACTTTGAAAATACTAAAAACATTTATTATATCTTTATCATCTTTTTCCAATTTATAGGTTTGATCATTGTCTATATCATAAATGTAAAAGTTATTCCTTTCATAATATAACGCTAATTATAAATTAAGAATTTGAACTTCCAATCCCAAATATATCTCAATCCAAGATTTAATAGTTTAAAGATTTATACATTTTTCTAAACTTAAATTTAAAAGTCCAATTGGTTTTAATTCAGATTTTATCAATTGATTCTATTAAGGCATTAATTCTTAATTATTTGTCAAAATTATTTTTTAAGTTTGTTACTATTCTACTTTGATTAAATTCTATGAAATCTCAGTTTTATTGACAACTTCAATTTGTTGAGACTACAATTGCATTTTTAGTTTAAGTTTGAAAAGTTTTTGTTTGCCTTTCATGAATACGCAGAAAAAATTAATATTAATTGATTTAATTTAAATTGCTTAATTCCAAACTTTATCACAATTTTTTTTCATAAAAATGTGATTTTTTTATTTTGTGGAATTTAATGTATTACTACCTATCAATGTTTATCAAAATAACTAGGTCGTTAAGATTATGATTAAATAAAACCATAGGAATATTATATAATCTTACAATCTAGAATTATATGATTAACAGCAGACAGAGTCTTTCAAATATAATTGAATAATAATTCAAATTTAGATGTTTCTCATAACTTAATAATAATAATGTCTTCACATTAGCCACACTACTAAATATTGCAATTTATAAATGATGATAGCAATTATTTGATAAAACTATCCCTTATTTCTATTTTATTATTCTGTTAGATTTTCTTAGAAATTTATGATCATAATTAAAAAAATTTCATTCCTATTACAAAGGCTGCCAAAAATGAATGTTTTAAAAACATTTTCTATTAAAATTGTTTATAAAATAATGCTATTAAATGGAATATTATAGTGCTGATATAACTTGAAATAATTTTTTTATAATAAATTCTATCGTATGTTTGGAAACAGAATGATATTTCTATATTTTATATTTCAATATACTTTATTCAAATTTCAGTCGTAATATGTTTAATATGTATTCTCCTTTTTGGAATATACTTTCCAATTGTGGGTAAATCTTAAACAATCTATGAATTATCATATTTATCAATAATAACATGAGAAGGTTAAAAAGTAACCTATCTCTTATTACTATTCAGGATTGACTTTATTTTGCGGTTAATCAGCGCAAGCTCGGTAGATTATCGTTAAGTTTAAGCTTCTTAAATTAAAAATAAGTCTTCCAAACTCGACTTACACATGCTTGTATTTTTGGAGAGACTTGGCAAATTTGGTAAAACCTAATCTGATTATTAGGGAAATATTTAATCTCCAATAGCATGTCGTCTTCGTACTGTTTTGGGAACAACAAGTTCAAGTGGTATTTATGGTTCAAATACCTTCGTGTTATTGAAATCTCCATAAGATTATTGTGGAAAACTATCAATTTCATTTAAAAAAGTAGAAGGACAAAATGACTGATTCTTTGCTTAATTTTTGGTTTTAAGAATAGAAATTGGAGTTAAATTAAGTAAAGAGGGTTTTTTGTACATCTATTAGTTTAATTTATAAATTAATTTTGTTTTATTAAAAAAAGATAATTACTGAAATTTACAATGTAGTTTTATATTTGTGCTGCAATGACTCCAGATATTAATTAAATATATTATGGATGATGGATTTAAACAAATCTAAATGTAAAAATAGGCAACAGTTTTCTACCACTAAAATTATTATTTTTTAAGGTTGATGTATTAAAATAAAATAAAAATAACAATATAAAAAGTTTGTCACCTAAATCTTACAATCACATCATTAAAGTTTCTTTGATATAATTTTTGATGAATTTTTTCTTGATTTTTAAATTGGAAAATTGTTTTTTTTCCAAATCATTGAAATTGATGTTTTCGATAATTTTTTCTTATGAATGTTTATAAGTATCAACTTCCTATTTTTTTTTCGATACTATTTCTACAAAATTATTCAGTTCGTCCTAAAATTAACTCAAAGTACGCTCGTAAATTTCATCTACCTTATCTTCCATTAAATAGAATTTATAATACAAAAATCTAAAAGAATAAAAAAATAATATTACGATCTAGATGCTTTCAATAGAGAGATGGTCTTTTCGGATTACTCTGCTAGATGTTCTATTTAAATTATTTTTACATTCTATTACAAATCTTTAATAGAATATCCAAGGTTTCGAATATTAAAATTGATGATCTAAAGTTCATTCTTCAATTATGAGGTATATCTCGATAGATTTTTATTTGTATTTGCATAAGGACAAACATAGAAGCTTTTTTCGTGATCTTTAACCCATGGTTTAGAGCACTCATAACAGAAATGTTATCCACATAAGCATTTTAAATGGAGACAACCTTCTGTTTTTTAAATTAATCTTCCACATTTAGGGCACTTAGAAGCATTTATGATTGCCCAATAGTCACCTGACTATTAATGTTCTAGGACTTTTTTGACAATGTCACATGGAATTGGATAGTGTTTCTCTTCTCTACATTTGGAGCAAAATTTAGTTTTACAAGGACATTTTATTGAAGGTTTGAGCTTCAACCACTTAAATACATTTTCACAATTTTACCCTATTGATATACTCATTAAAAATTACCTGGACACCAAGTTATGGCATCGTCGTGATGCATAAATCTCTTTATGAGTATTTATTTATATTTTGGAAACTATTCTAAATATAAATGAGGGAGTCTTTCAGGGCATTGATCCTGTAGACATTTTACTATGGGTATTTAACCTACGAATTGGACTTCAATCATTTGATTCCAGCAATTCTTGCAAAATTTATGACTGCAGTTCAAACTAATCCCTTAAGTGCCATTTTCTTGGCATATTGCACAACGCATGTTTTTTTGAATGTGAACTTCAGTTAAATTATAGATGCCTTATTCCTAAAGCTATTTTTTCAATTAGTCAGCCTGAGAGTTTAATAGTAATTATTCATAGATTTGCTAAACATCAAAATTGAAAAAGATTAAGATCTAGATATTGTTTTTAATTTACATTCAAAACAACCTAAGTCATGGTTAATTCCAGCTGTTCTTTGATTTTATCAAGATGGTCTAAAAATTCTTGATAAAGTTCCTCTTAACTCAATAATATTTCGTTATTTTTTTAAGTTTCAATTTCATAGTCTTCATCTGACCCTATATCATATTGATAATCGGAATATTAGGACATAATTAGTAAGTAGAAAAATATTAAATTTAATAAATAATACAATTCTATCATTTAAAAGAATATAAAAATAGTTAACTCTATTAGAATTTATCAGTCCATAAATCATTCTTTACTCTATATTCAAATTATAAAAATAAAAAGAAAATAATACAATATAATAATAGATTCTTATAAAGAGATGCTTAATTGTTAAAAAACAAGGCTTCCTTAATAAAAGACCAAAATTGAGATTTAACAAAAGTTAAAAAATAATCGCATGATAAATATCTAATACGACATAGAAACTTAATTCAATATCTTCTGCTTCCTAAAGTTTTTATCAGTTGCTATATTTGAACTTATTAAGCGTTAAAATAAAAGTTGTCTTTATTCCTAGATGTGTAATCATTTTATGTTTTTAAATAATTTCTATTTGTGGGTTGTTGAACTAAATTTTCCAAAGATTCATATCTCCTCATTTATTGCAATTCATTCAATCTCAATGTAGGAGGTTCTCTTTTTTTTCTATTTTACATCTAACCCAAATAAGTTTAAGAAAATGGCAAATTGGAATGCAATTCAGCCAAAGATCCTCGTTTAGAGCAAATCTATTATTATTATTAAGATTATGTTTATGAAGGTATTAATAAAGTCTGATTTTTAGTATTTTTTTATCTTAATTATTAGAGTTCCACATTTCTAAGTTTTACATTATTTTAATATTCAACTTAATTTTCCTTAAAACTGGAATCTTCAACTATGATAAGAGAGTCTATTAAATCTGAATCTTAAGTTTTTTATCGTTTAGGCGTATTGTTGACAATTATCATCAAGAGTAAAATCAATTATTTTGAAATTAAATATAACAAACAAATAAAAATAATCAAGCACACACTATTTGATATATATAGTAATGCAATATTTTCAATTTTGAATGGGCTTGAAAAGAATAATCCTAACTGAAGATGAACTACACATTAGGTAAATATTATGCACTATATAAGGTAATATTTTAAGCTAGAATATCCATACAATAAATTTTAGTCTGCAATTAAATTACTTAAATACATATTAGAAAGCAATTAATATTAATATTTAATCCATTTTATGAATCAACTTGTTTAAGAATATCATATATTAAATGAAAAAGAAAGGGAATTAAAAAATTTAATATAATCTTAATACCTAATCCGATGCGTACTAATTTTATTCAAGAACATAATTTAGATTATAAAATTTACTACTTAACATATTTGCTTCATTTTAGTGATTTTCTTCTCTATATATATATTAAAATATTAAATAAAAATAAATGTGTTCAAGAGGCATATTTTAATTAAAATTCCTTCAAATATTTTATTGCGATTATGGAGGAAGCTCTTCAAAAATTAGACTTTTCTTACCAACTCTTATTGAGCACCCTTTATTGAATCAACCTAAAATAGACTTTCAAATTTATATGAAAAAAAATACTCACCCATATTTAAATGGAATCTATGTGAATGGATATTAGAAATAAATATCTTTGAAAGGATTGGAAGATGATCAAGAAATATTAGATAGAATTGCATTGTTGAGAAATTCATGTATAAAATTGTAATATCAATCAGTTGGCTAATAAAGTGTAAGACATGCAGGAAGAAAAGTGACAACACTCACACCCTCAATCCAAGGGGGTTGGAATGAGAATTTATTTAAGACTAACATCTATCCTAGACATCAAATGGAAATATCCAGGTCATATCCTCCAGTTGAAGTCCCAGAACCCAGGATTGTACCAAGAGATAAGCCAATTGATTTTTATGAAAAAAGAGTGGACCCATATTAATAAATCTAAAAGCCAAGATTGGGAGTTAAGAAAGCAACTAATCTTTGATAATAATATTAAAATGTTAAATTTATTACAAATAAACTAGCAATTCTAAACAAAATTATAATCACCAATTAAAAAATAAAAAATAGAATAGCTAGTACAAAAGTTAAAGGAAGAAAGCATCCTCATTGAAAACTCAAGTGTTTCTTAATTATTAACATGCCTGAATTAATTGTAATTAATCCTTAGCTTATAAACGTAATTTATATGTACTAATCATAGCAATCAGTTTATAAAGCTTATCATCAGAATAGGAAGTGTGATAAAATTTGATTGTAATGTTTCTGCATTTGAGGATATTCTTGAAAATAATTGTGAAAAATAATTATTTATAGAAAAGCTTCAATATCTAGAACACTTGGAAGTTAAAATTCTAAGTAATGGCAATAAGCAATTAATATTGAATCCAAATTTTGGAATCGTAGAAAAATTGGCAACTTCATTTCATACACCAAATTTAGATGAATTATTAGCATAGTTTCTGAGAAGTTAGGAACTGTAAACTTAGTTGCTTATAAAATTATATTGCATCATTAGCAGTCTGTAAAGCTAATTTAGTTAAATTATTACAAACCTTATTAATCTTGCAATATAAAATTAAGATAAGGATGAACCTATAAAAAATAGAGTGTTTATGACCAATTTAGAACTAATATTTTAAACATAAAAGCAAGAAAAAGATCAAATGGAAGTTAAGCCCATTAACTATTAATACCAATATAATAAATTGCTAATATATTAATAAGCAGAAAATAATCTAATAACAAAGGCCTTTGATCTTCTAGATAATACAATGTATCCTAAAAGAAAGAGAAGTTTTGAAAAAGATAAAGAATCTGCCTATTAAAATTTCTCTTAGAAAAATCAATTTGAAATGTCGATGGACATCTTTAGAGTAGATCCCTATATGTCATACTAAGCATTATTTTCATAAGTAGCTCCTCCTTAACAATCGCCTGTTTTAACTCATGTTTCCACATTTCCAAATCCAAATAGTTTATGCTTATCTCCAACAAACTCAGATAGCCATAGTTTTACATCATAAAAGAATAAGGGACTCAATTATTAATTTAATTCAGTCTATCAACACTTAATTGATTAAAATCAATATGCTTAAATCAGTCAATAAAATATCGACGCTTAGATAAGACAAAGGAAAATGCTTATAAATCAATAATAAAACTAAAGAGTTTCAAGAAGTAAATCCAATTCAACTGTGATAATGCCTGATATATTTAAATAGATTTGTTTAGATAGTGGTAAAGGTGATGAAAAGAGCGATGAAAAATCAAAATAGAAGGGAACTAAGAAAACTTTAAATATAAACTAGAATCAAAAAAAAGCTTTTTAAAACAAACAATTCATAAATAAATGATATATTTCACATCAATGTCAAACTGAAATAAATAAAATGATTATTATCTAAGACTCTGATTATTTCAACATAATAGATTTAGATATCGAAATATTTTAATATAACATTGATAATCAAATTTATTCTATTCTATTCTCCTTCTTTTCTTCCTTCCTTTAATCTTCTATTAGAACCTTTAAATCGTATTAATATTGACTCTCATAATTTTATTCTATATATATTTTTAAATCAGAATTACAAATTAAATTATAATAATTACAATATTTATCAAATTTTATTACTTTTTTTTCCTTGTAAATACAAGCTATAAAAAATGGAAGATTTGTCTTCTAATAGTTTTTAGGGCTCATCGAACTCTTTGGCCTCGCCTTAGTCAATAACTAATATTCTATTGATATTAAACTAAAATAGTACTTATCACAATGCATTATAGTATTAATTCTATGAGCAATTGTTATCACTGTGCATTTTTTAAAGGCAGTTTAAATAGTCTGTTATATTTTTGATTCCGTATCGATATCAATGTTGGCAGTTGCCTCATCAATCAAAATTATTTAAGATTATTTTAGAACTGCCCTGGCTATGGATATGAGTTGTTTCTCTCCAGCACTCAAGTTATCCCCATTTTCTGATATTTCAGTATCCAAACCTTTCTTTTACAATAGTAAGTCTCCCAAACAACATTATAAGGCTACATCGTTAAGTTCTTAATCTGAATGCTGATGGAGTGGGTCAAGATTCTCTCTTAAGCTTCCTTCAAAAAGAGTGGAATCTTATAATATCATCGTAATTGATTCCCGGAGTTATTTCAAATTTAAAGTTGATATGTCTACTCCATCAATTATAATTGAACCCCCTGAAGCCTCAAGAACTCTTAACAAAGATAAAGTAACAGTAGATTTTCCAGCTCCAGTTCTACCTACAACTCCAATCTTCTCTTATCGTTTTATCATAACACTTAAACCTCTTAAGGCTGGCGATAGATTTTCTCTATATTTGACAACTAGTTAATCTATTTTAATATCTCCAAATTAAGGCCAATTCAAGATATAAGGCTTGGATTCTTTATACCCATTTTCATGTTCAACCTTAGCAAAGGCCAAACATCTTTCAAAGGATATGAATTGTGTTTCTGCTTAAGTGATTGAATTTATAGCTGATTACAAGCTATTGTCAATTACAGTTGCAACTGTCATAAGTAAACCAGCCAAGGCAGGATTTTCACTTCCAAAAAACAACACAAAAGCTATAGCAGAGATATTTACAATGAAACTTGTAAATGTTAAATTCATTGAAAACCATGTAGTTGTCTATAATTAAGCTATTTGTATTTTCCTGTTCAAATCAATGTTTTTAGTGTGTCTATCTAAAAACTGCTCTTGCTTTGTGAAAGCCCTTATGATATTTAACCCATTCACTGTTTCCGAGAAGAAACTAAGAATGGGACTTTTGCTTATTGATTCCAATCTATACAGTTCCCTATTTGCAGCCATATAGAATCTTTAGACTTTCCATACTGCATATAAAAATATCAATACTGGCAAAACAATGTAATAAGAACTACTAAATACATTGATTAGAGTGCTTGCTAGAGAATATTTTCAAATAAATTACCTAAAAAGTTTAAGCAGCTGATATATAGAATGGATATAGTCCATAGAATTTCTGTGTCTAGAACTGATTAATCTTTAGTTAATCGATTCATCAATACACCTAATGGGATCCTTTCAAAAAATTAACAGAGTGGTGCATAAAGTAATGATCTAATAGATAATATTATTAGTATTACTCAATCATTCTTGTGTGTATTTTGTTTGCAGTATTGACACTTTCTCTAGAGAGTGTTAGAATACGAATCAAGGCGAAAAAACCAAAACTTAAAGAAAAGAATGAAAAAATCATTAGATTATGTAAGTTATCATCATAAGTTAGATCATCTTATCCAGACCATTAGGCCAACCATATTTATGATCCAAATCTGGCAAAAACTTGAATGATAACAATAATGAGATTAAAAGTAAAGAATAGCCATCCTCCACTCATTTTAAAATATTCTTTGTATACATCTAGCTAAACACTACCAACCTTTCTATCTTCTAATATCATTAAATCATCAACCTAATCCTTATTGGTAATATTAATCTTTTGTGTAGATGATTTTTTTTTTTACAATTTAAGCACTTCCATATCATCATCCTCGTCTTCTTTCTCATCTTTTTTCTATTCTTTGAAATATTTCTAATAAATTTAATCAAATTTCTCACACTCTTTAACATCATCAAGAGTGCCTTCTTTAATTACTGTACCGTTGTCCATTAAAATGATTCTATCTGCATACTAACAGGAATAAAGAGCATGAGTAATAAGTACTATGGTTTTTCCATTAAGATGTTCGCATAGACATTTTTCAATAATAAATTTACCCACATGCATATCCACTGCACTTATTAGATCATCCAATAAATAGATATCACAATCACTATACAATGCTCTGGCTAAACTTATCCTAGCCTTTTATCCTCCACTCAGATTTACTCCTTTTTCTCCGATCATAGTAGCTTCCCCTTTGTCTAGAATCTTGATATCTTATTCCAAACAAGAATATGTAATTGCATCTCTATATCTCTTTTCATCATAAGGCAGACCAAATAAAATATTATCCTTCAAAGTTGCATTTTATATCCAACTCTTCTAACTTACATATGCTATCCTTCCATTTATTTTAATTACTGGAGGCAATCTAGAAAAATTGTAAACCATTTCCCCTAAAATAGCACTTATTAATGAACTTTTGCCACTTGCAACACTAAATAATATCTATTAATTGATTACTCTCCAATGACTGTAACAAATTCACCAATGTCAATTTTTAATTTGATATTTTTTAATATCGGTTCTATCTCTTGATTCACAGGGACAACGTCAGTAGATTTATTCGGAAATTAATTATTTTTGACCTTGTCCCAGTAAAAGGTTCCTTCAATTTCTATTGAATTTCCAAGAATGTCATTTACATTGTATATACAATCATTCATAAGTTCATCAGTCAATAAAAAATTCTATATTCTCTTTATACTGATATTTGCTTCTATGATTTAATTAATGAAGCTAGGCAATGCACTTGCTGACTGTTGTAAGATGCTAAACAAACTGATAATGGAAAACGTTTCTGCAGGCGTAAGATTATGTTAGAGCCATACGTATACAGCTAAAGTGATGTTCAAAGTTAATTATGGTGTCATTAAAAATGCCAATATGAAAAAGCCACTCACCATGTTCTTTTTATGAATTAAGGAGATCTCCTTCTCTCTAAATGACAATAACTTATTTTTAAAATATTCTTCGAAAGCATTTGCTTTAATGAATTTAATTTAAGAAAATATTTCATGTGCTTGTTTTGTTCTATTATCCTTTGCAACCATTACTTGTTTCTAAATTCTCCAACCCCATCTTCCTAGTAAAAAATTAGTGAGCAATCCCAAAATCATGATACCCAAACCGGCCAGACATGAAACACCAATAAAATCAAATAGCAAATAAAAGGATATCCCAATTTAAAATGGCAAAAACAACACTGAAGCTATTGCCATATTTAGTTACAGTATTCTTTATAAGTCAACCTGCATTATATTCATTATTTCACCTGTTTTGTATTACTTGTTGCTTTAAAAAGACACATTCAGAGTTTTCTTCATTATAGATACACTAACTGCTGTATGCTAATCATAACCTAGTTTTCTCTAATATTTTTATGCAAGTAATTACCAACATATAGAAACTATTTTAATACGAAATTGCATTAAAAACTCTTACAACTATAATTATTCCCAACCATTGGAATCCTTTGCCTATTGTATGTTCGGAATAGTCGATATAAGATAGAGTTTACCGAATCATTATAGGACCATACATTAAAGAAATGTTCCAAATTAAGATTATGATATACACTATAACAAATTGTTCTATATTTACTATTAAGAAAATACTTTTAAAAGTTATAAATAGAGATTTGTAAAGTGCAAATCTATCATGTTTGTAAACTTAAAATGTTTAATTCATTCTTTTAAATAAAGATTCTCCTTAATCATCTATCTCTAGGTCCTTTATCATTTCGAATTCCAAAGGAGTTTTATTAGCCAATCGTAGTAAAGGGAAAACATAAAGAAATAAACTTCGCGATATCAATCCTGGAGGCCGAGAATTTCTATTTTATAGAAGAGGTTCTTCCTGCGACATTTTAAATATATATTGATTTAAATATATTAAATTAAGAAATGTGCCACTCAATTAATATGTAATATAATTAATATTTAATACACACATCACTTGAGCAAATAATTAATAAATGTTTTAAATAATGTTAATTTCTTGGCAATTAATGCTAAAAGATATACTTTATTCTCTAGACTGTCAAATAGTACACTGTTAATATCTATGGCATTCATGACCTCGCATCTAAATATATGGTATTATGGCTTACATTTCTTTTTATTCTAAATGAGGGTTCTCAAGTATGAATGTAATATATTTTGAAAACCATTAAAACGGAATTTATTGTTCTTAAATCATGGTTTTCATTCTTCCATAATCCTGAGTGATATAGACATGTAAATATAGGTCATGGAAATCACCTATCTCAGGATATTCTTAGAATAATTCTACAGATGTGTTTTTGAACAGTTCAATGTTCTTAATAATGTAAGGAACCAATTCAAGTATATAGGACTTTTTTTGGTCGTAATCAAAGTATTTAGAAAATGATGAAGATATTATTTCATTTTATTGTATTGGACTTAATTTTGTAAATTAATTGAATACAATTTTAGTGATTAAAGCTTTATCGAACTTATAATCAATAAATAATTGTAAAATAGAGCCCAGTGAATCTCCTAAATAATTAATGATGTTTTAGCACATTTGGCAAATGAATTAATTATACATAGATAGTCTTGTTAAGAAACTTAATAAATGGATCAGAATTTTTTATTTTACTACAAAGTCAAGGTTCTCTGCTTCTATAAATTCAATAATCCTTTTAATCAATTACGAGAATTAGCACTCATCTTATTCATCGATATCCAACAAGTCACTAATCATTATAGCTATTTTATAAAAACAATTAGCTCTAAGATTGACAAATTATTGATTCTGAGAAATATTTGACAAAGCAGTAATAGCATCTTCGATCAATTCAACTAGTTGAAAAGCATTAGATTTTTATGTTAAATACTTAATGATTTCAATAATAAACCTTTTACCTATTGTTTCAATACCTAGACCCATGTCTTCATAATTTAATTCATAGTATTTTGGTGTCCACAAATATGGCTTATTGATTCCAAAATTGATGCATTTCATCATTTTAGGATAGATTTCTGAATGTCTAGTCATCACCTTACAAAACAATTCAGCTCTAATATTGAGCCACAGATTTTCATCAAATTTAGAGATATCTGTACACCAAGGTATACTTTGACAAGTTGCCCATTTATATAATTTGTTGTTCGTATTTGAAACTCGACTCGTCGTCGCTTGATGGAGAGTTTCCAAGGCCAAGACCCAATTTTCATTTTGATATGTTGATAACTGCATGAAATCGAATAAATATTGTCCAACTCCATAAGGTTTTAAGGAATTTAGGATGCATTTTTCTTCATCCTTCAAAAAATTTTGAACCAGGTGAAATTAATTTTAAAGTATGTGAAACCAGGCTAAATCTTACTCTTTCAGATTTTAATTATTAAGACTTTAATGCGCCCAATTGCAGATTTAAAAAAGGGTGTCATGCTCTGCTATCAAATCTGATATAAATTATGCTTCTGAGTATTGTTTCATTACTAGGTTATGGTGGGTGTCATAGTCATGATTAAATTTGCAATATTGGCAAATCCGAGAATAGGGGATATCCTTGCCTCTGATTTTGGTCAGAGAGAGGATGTGATCTAAATCAGTTGATAATAGGTCAATTTATTATGCGAGTTTAACATTGAGTGGTTTTTGTTCATATTGCATTTGTGAATATATATATTTATTAATTTAAATATCAAATTACTTAGAGATGTTTTCATTTTTAGTCAAGAAGATAGGAATGCTCAATCAGGGCAAAGTGCACAGCATAGCGTGGAATTAGGAGGAAGGTTGGATAGCAATCGGAGGAGAGTATATAAAGTTGATAAATTAGACATGCGCCATAAGGATAAAAGAAAGGGTTATTGAAAATAATAAAGTTGGATGATTAAAAGGCAGGTATTCAAGGACAAGTAAGAATCACTATACATATTTTAAGCAAGCCAAATTACCATATGAAGCAGCCTTGGAATAACATATGGGTAAGGTGAATATAATTATTTGGAATGAGAGATATCAGAAATTGACTACTAGTGATGATCAAGGGTAGATTATTGTGTGGATAAATTTGGGAGTAAATAATAAATGTATAACATAAATAGAATGAATGGGTCGAGGAGATGGTGAATAATAGACAGAAATCAAATGTAACCGATATGAAATGGTCACCTGATGGATTCAAAATTGGAATCATCTATGAGGATGGAGCTGTCATCATAGGATCAGTTGAAGGTAATAGACTCTGGGGCAAAGACTATCAATACAGGTTGGGATTGATCGAATGGTCACCAGATTCAAAGTTGATGATTTTGGGAACTGCCGATGGACAAGTCATCATACATGATTAGAATGGTAATCAGCTAAATTCATTGAAAATGAGTTGTTTAATGGGATTAGTTGATCCCAAAAATTACTTCACTCCCAATCAATAAATAGCAGCTGTCCAATGGTATGAATATGGCAAAATGTACACTGATGAAACTCCTCCAGGTTTGCTAATTGGCTACACATGTGGTAGAGTTTAGTTAATGAAAAATGATAAGGATGAGTCTCCTATTTTAATAGACACGGTAATGGCCATATCATCAGTCAGATGGAGTCCCAATGGTTCTATGTTTGCAGTGGCTGGTAGTGCCAAAGATAAGGATGAACAAAGGGCAGTTGTGTAATTCTATTCAAATATGGGTGATCATCTAAAGACACTAAGAGTTGCAAACACCGACAAAGTCAATAGTCTTAGTTTTGAAGGTGATGGTTTGAGATTGGTCATGGGAGTTGGTCAAACTGTTTATGTTGCCAATCTCAAATTAGATTACAAGTGGAGTTATCTTGCATAATCAGAAACTCTCATCTTCGCCTATCAAAGGCAAGATAGAATGGAATTTACTATCATCTTTTGGGATACGAAAAGAGAATAAAAATCCATCAGGTATATGAAAGGCTTACTTGATATCAAAGGATCAAATGATTGTTGTGTCTTGATAAGTCTTGTTGAATAAGACACATGGAAGGTGGAACTCTGCAATTCTATTGGCAGTCCCTTAGATACTAAATTCATATCCATTGAACCCAAATTTAATTGTATGACTAAAACTCATATCATTATTGCTAATAGTGATTATGTATACTTATGGTAATACAGAAACTAAGTCTAAAGATTAACTACGTTCGAATCCAATTAGAATACAGGAATCAGAAAAATTGGTAAAGAAATGGCATGGTTTATTGATGAAAACCCAGATAGTTAAGTAATCTATGATAAAGATACATTTAATTTGGAAAAACAAACTGAGGAAACTATTTGTGCCATATAAGCAAATGAAAATTATTTGTTTATTGGCAGAATCAATGGTAATATATTAAAATTCACATTACCTTATGTCAGTGTTGAACCTAAATATTTCCTTGAAAATAGGGCAAATATCATTAATATTAATTGTAATTCTACTCGATTATCTATAATTGATGTGATGGGAACTTTATAGTTATTAGACATTTCTGTTGGAGGTGGAAAATTATTAGATTTCGATAAGAAGGAATGTTGGCAGGTTGTTTGGTCTGATAATGACCCTCTTTAATTTGCCGTCATGGAAAAGGGTAGAATCCATTTAGTAAGGGACATAACTGCTGATGATCCTCTTCCTTGTGATGCCTTCTTATGCTCGTAAATCTTAGAATTATTATTAGATTCTCAGAACTTACTGTTAAAGGAGCATTATTAGATGATATCATGATGAGTCCTGATGGCTAATTAAGAGCAGATGAATTACTTGTCTAATATGAAAGTAGATTATTTAAGGAAATCAAGGAATCTATTGAGAAAACACCTCCAAAGGAAATGTTTGGTATCATTGAAAAATAACCAGTAATTTTATGATTTAATGTAAATAGTCTAATACTTTATGGTAACTTTTGGCTTAAAAGGCTCTGGAAGAATTAGATTTCTCAGTTGCAGAAAAGTGTTACTTGAAATTAGAAGATTATGCTGGATTGCAATTCATAAAGAGGATCTTAGATTATGATGAAAAAGAAAAATAAAAGGCAGAGGTTTATGTGTTTCTGAAACGATTTGATGAAGCTGAGAAAATACTAAGAGAAATTGAAAGAAAAGATCTGGCTGTTTAAATGAGGATGAAAACTGGTGATTATTCAAGAGTGCTATTTTTATCTAAGGATCTTGTAGGTGCAGATGAAGTTATAGTTCAAACTCAAAATAAATTGGGAAACTTCTATTGTGATCAAGGAGAGTGGGAAAAAGCATAATAACAATTCAAATTATCTAATAATGTTGAAAGATTAATAGAGACCTCATTCATGATTGAAGATTATTAAACACTTGAAGAGTTAGCTAATTCTTTATAAGAAGGAAATGCATTATTATGTGATTTGGGTGAAAGATTCCAATTATTAGGAATGGCAAAGAGTGCAATCAAATGTTTTGAAAAAGCAGGAGACATTAAAAAAGCTATTGATTGCGCAGTTCTCCTGAATGCTTGGAATTTCGCCGTTGAATTAGCTGAAAGACACAATTTTGTATAAATTGAAGGATTGCTACAATAATATGCTGCTTAATTGTTAGAATAAAGAATGAAATTAGAGGCTGCAGAATTATATAGAAAGGCCAATCATAATTCAGATGCAGCTCGCTTGTTATCATAAATTGGTGAAGATCTTATTAAAAGCGATTAAAGTCCCCTTGTTGTGAAGAAACTATTTGTTATGGCTGCTTTAGAAGTTGATCTGTACAAAAAGAAGTTGTATGATGTCACCATGACAGCTTAGAATAATACTATTGCTCATACTTTAGATTAATTAGTTACAAATGATTTAAATCATTCTGCTGACAAAGTACTCAATAATCCTTGGAGATAAGCAGAGGCTTGGCATTTCTATATTTTGACACAGAAATTCCTCTATTCTGGAAATTACAAATATGCATTGTAATATATCCATTATTATTATGCATAGAAAATCAGCCATTAGATTATGTGAATTTGAATTAGACATGGATCCTAAAAGGATATATTCGTTGCTTGCTCTTGCTGCTTACTATAACAAATCTTATAAAGAATGTGCAAGAGCCTTTGTGAAATTGGAGAATCTAGACAATATTACAGAGGAGGAAAGGGAGAGATATTAATCAGTTGCTGCTCAAATATTTGTAAAGTAAAAATTAATATTATATCTTAGACATGCACCTGAGGATGCTGTGTGTGATGCTATCCAATGTCCAAAACCTTCTTGTGGTAATAAAAAAATAACTGAATAGTAACAACAATCATTATTATTTTATAGTTAATTATTCTGTAAAGAATGTGGAACCATTTTTGGAGTCTGTGTGGCTTCCGGAAAATCCATATATGGATAGAAGTTTTACACTTGCAAAGCCTGCAAACATAAGATGATCGATCAGGAAGTCTAAAATCTTGCATTAAAATTTTGTTCCCTTTGTCATACACCAATAGATTTTAATAGATTTGGAAAACATGGAGACAAATAATTATGAATTAATAATAAAAATATCATTTTTATAGTAATTGCTTCTATGGATGGCCTAATCTACCAATTTAAAATGCACTACAAGACCTACTATTGAGACGTTCTTTATAGAAATAAGTTTCGATTTTTATAAGAAGGAGTTGTAAGTGGTACAAAGAACATAAGTTCACATTAAAAACAACAATTTTATTTGAATAGAACTGTTTAATTTTTAATAAGAATTAAACTTAAGGGACTTCAAAAATTTACCTTAATCTTTAGAGAACTTTTTGGAAAATATCGGCCATTTAGGCTTCCTGATTACCAATTAAGTTTGATATAGGAACTAACTTAATGATTTATAATCAATCTTGCTGGAAAGCTAATTTAAAACAAAAAATTTGCCTATTATTTTCTAGTAAATAATTTAATAGAGGTTCTTTCAGGATATTGAATTTAATGGCTGGAAGATACAAAATATTAACTAAAATTGAGGCTTTCGATTGGTAGAATGGAATAATCTAAAGACATATGGAGATTAAATAAAAGAATTAATTAAAGACGAATGTAAAATTACAATTCTCTTTGATATAGTGAACTCTAAAAATCAGAATTAATTTATAAATGTATTTTTTTATTAGTAAAATAAGAAAAAGAATCTTGTAACTGAAAATTGAATGACAAATTTGATGTGAATCAAGAGGATGTATATCATAGATAAGAAAATTATATTCTAAAAATGATAAAAATATAAAGAAATTAAATTTTAAATGAAAAGAAGAGATAAGTTTGCCATCATCAGAAAATCAATATTATAAAGACATTGTTATATTAATAATATTTGACCTTGTAAATACTTAATAGATGGAAAGATATTTTAGAGATTTTATATGAAATAGAATAGAAAAATGGTCTATATAAAATAAGAAAAGATGGAAAGAAGGGAGATTACAGGTAGAGGAATAATAATGCTAAAGAAAATAATTAATATATAACAGTATATTACTGATTTAAAATTTTACATTTTCTAACTTATCACTTGTGCATTCATGAATATTAAACTGTTTTAGCATTAGTTTTGCATAAATGAAATCCTAAATATTCCCTTTAAAATTAAATATAGTTTTGTAAATTTTTTTTAAAGAATGTCTGCTATTCAATAGCTTCACATGGATTTAAATTTTCAATTAAAATGTTGAAATGGATTCTAAAATTTATAGAAAAAGAATTTCACAATATAAATCTTGAAAGTAAATTGCAAATAATGTGTATTTTAAATTAACTATTTAATCTTCCTCACTTTGGAACGTACTTATGGGTGCATGCACTTCTTCAAGATAAAGAACAAATAATAATGATATTCCTATCATTCAAAAATCTAAAGTGGACTAAAGAACTTCAAATGTTAAACTTTTACTTGATTAATATCACAACCTCAATGTTCTCCTAGATCTAGTAGGGAACACAGATAATTTGGAAAAAAAAACAAGGGATCATATCAACCTATTGTTCGTAACCAGATCCAATATTACAATTCTCATCTAACACAGTCTCAAAAAAATGATGAAAGAGAAGAACATTTCAAGAGCTCTAACTAAGGAAGACGAAGAATGGTTATATGATGATTTGAACTTTTTAAGCAAGATAGGACCTTAATTTTAAGTTTTTCTAAAGGTTATAGACATTTTGTTTGAAAATGAAGACTTTGAGAACTCTTTTCCAATTCTAAGTCACAGTTTTCAGTAAATAAGTGAAAATATTAAGAAAATGCCTATTCTGAATACATATACAGTAACAAAGAATACTTCTGTTTGATATGATATTTGTATTAGATTATATGATTACAACATGACTCTTAAATCTTAAATGGTTAAACCAAATTATTATAATATCTTCTGTGTAGTTTTTATAAAAAAAATCTTCTGCTCTCAACATAAATAGCGGAACTTAATGAGCTTTGAGAGGATTGTAATTTTAAGTTTATAAAAGATATCTAAAAATTAAACGAAGTAAAAATCAATTCTTGTTTTTAATGATATCTTCATAGTTAACACATAAAATTCTTTTGAATTTAGAAAATATTTGAATTCATAGTGTTAAGGATTATTATTTATATATATTAAAAATGCAAAGTACTTAAAATTAAGAAGAATAGCTATAAACCGATTCGGCCTCTGACCCAAAAAAATATGAATTTAAGTATTTTTCTATCTTAGAAAAAGAGGTTTGGTGTCCACAAGAATTAAGTGAGTTTAAAGTTATAACAATAATTAAATGTAAATGGAGGAGACGTATTTTCTTTGAGATATGATCAAGATGATCAATATCTTGCTGTAGGGATGTCAGAAGGGCTAATTCATCTTTATAACTAAAGTACACAGATGATTTAATAAAAATAGATAAATTAACACACACCTTAGAGTAATTCTAAACACCAGTGACTGCTTTAAGATGGAGGCCCAATTATGGACTAAAAGCAAAAGGAATATTGGTATCAGCAAATGCAGAAGGCCACGTTATCCATTGGCACGCTAATTCAGGAAAATAATTACACAAAATTGTAGAAGAGAATAATAGTGTTTTATGCTTGGACTTTAATTTTGATGGTAGTTTATTTGCAACTGGAGGTAAGGACTTCTGTATTAGAATTTATGATGATGATATAAAAAGTGTATAGCATCAATATTAACAGGCCGATTGGTATCTTTTATTGAAATAATTAGGGGATAGAGAGGCCATGCCAATAGAGTGTTCGTAGTAAAATTTATACCAGATTAACCTAATATCTTAATATCTGGGGGTTGGGATGCAAATATCTTAATTTGGGATATAAGAGAGAAATAATGCGTAGGTCAATTTTATGGTCCATCCCTATCAGGAGATTCGCTTGATTTCTCAGTGAAAAGATAATTGATTTTGACTGGGTCACATAGAACAGAAAATTAAGTATAATTGTGGGATTGGAGGACAAGAAAACTTTATTAAGAAATACTTTGGACTGGAACTCAATCTGACGATAATCGATCATATTATATCTATGCAACTTAGTTTAAGTAGCTATTTTGTTTAAATTTAGCAAAGCAAATGAGGATTATATATATGCTGGTAGTTCAGGGGTTCACGAAATCAAAATGTTTAGTTTGAAAGATGGTCTAGCTAAGGCTTCTATTTTGGGCTTACCAAAAAGCATACTCAGCATAGATTAGATGAATACAACTGATTCAATAGTATTTAGTGGAATGGAAGGAATTGTTAACATTTTTAAGGCATGATTTAAAATAAATAATTATTATGATAAGACATTTAATACAAAGTAATTTCTCAAAACTTTCGAAAGGTCTTATTTTCGAAAATAAAAAAGGGAGCAAATTAATTTTCACCGAAAAAACACCTGAGAATGGCATGAAGAAAATAGCAAAAAATAAGGATTAGAATTTAAAAATAGAATAAAGATTAATGCTCTTATTTGATTAATATAAAACGGAGAGAGTATTGTAATACTATTTCTTTAATATTAAAGGAATCAAGCAAATTATGATGATTTCCTTAAATTAAAAGAAGAATTTCTTAAGACTGATTTAGAAAAAAAAAATATTTTTCTCCTTTGTCAACACAAAATTTGAAAAAGAAAATCACCCTAAATATTTTTATTTGCAGTGCCAAATGATTAATGAATACTTGGATCGCTTTGATAAAGAAATAACAGAAAAGGAGATTTATGCACTATTAAATGCTATATAAAATGGCTTATTTTTTGTAGAGGACTAGTTTTTTGTAAAGATAAAGAAAGTAATTTTCACACCAGAGGAGGAATAATTTATTTTAGACGTCTATCATAAATTATGCGGCAGATTAATCATAAATTTGTCCAATTTTAAATAAGTTAGAGCTCTTTGCTAATTAATGAAATATATCAAAAGATATAGCACTTCTATATTAGACTAGATAAATTAACAATTATTAGCTTCCTTAGATTAATAAATAAGTTTAGAATAGAAATTATATTACACTTTGTTTTTAGTAAAGGCAGGGATTAATTATTTTCCATCACTAATTTATTAAGTAAGTTTCTAAAATTAAGTTAGTTAAGAGACGAGGTTCTAGAAAATGAGAAAATTTTAAGATTACCAAGTGAATCTTTATTTGAATTATTTGAAATTTTTGGCAGATGTAGCAGAGTAACTCTATGTTCATCTGCAACCTATAAATTATTTACAACAATCATCTAAACAGATAACTATTCATAACTGATTCTAACATAATAAGTTCTCTTGCTTTATTATGCATCGAAAACTTTGACCATCTAACATAGTACATTAAAACCTCTAATTGAACAAAAATTAACTGAGTTAGATTTGCTAAAAGGAATAAATCTAAAAATATTTCTGTTGACTTTATATAATACTAATTATAAAAGTCTAGGTTCCCTAAAAAATTTAGAAAAACTAAAAATAAGATTCTAAGAGATAGAATAAACTGCTCGCTTTTCAAAGGAAGAATTAAAATATTTTAATGATTTAATGCATTGTTTATGATTTAATTCATGATTCAATCAATTATTATAAGTGTTAGCTTAATTCTACTAAATTTGGATACTCATCTAAAAGACCACTTAAAAAATCTAGAGCTATAACTGTCTTTGTATTTAAATATTATTCATATGTCTCATTATTAATTGTAGATTAAATTTGATTTGATTCTATTTTCTATTATTAGCAACTTCCTGTTCTACAGTATCTTTATGAAAAATGTGTTAATATTAATGTCTTAGCATTAGCCAAAATAGCCGATTCAACAGCTTCTCCAACAGTTGAATGCTTTCTACTTATTGCATTTTTTTAAAGATCATCAGTAAATGTTGCCTCATGAATCATTAAATCAACATTTTTTGATAATTGAATAAATTATTAACAAGGTCTGGTATCCCCTGAATAACTAATGCTGCTTCCATCTCTGAAGTTTATTCTTAAGCCATAAGCCTATGGACAATGATCAACGTTAACATATTCTAACTAAATATTAAATAGCTCTTATAATTATTATAATTTTATTTCATTAAATTTCTAAACTTTGGCATTCTAAATTGCAAACTCTTATTCTAGATTATAATTATCAAAAGGAATATAACATAAATAGCAAGTATGTTTAATTTAATAAAATTCAATTAATTAAACAATCCAAGGAATCATAATTTAGGGGACGAGAAAATATACATTACTACAATTTTATAAGAATGAGGCTATCCCTAAATTATGATCACAATGAACATGACTAATCCAAATAAGTATTTTTTAATTAAAATCAAAATTATTTTAACTTTGTAATTAATGAAATGTTCCTTCACCACAATCTAAAAGAATTGCTGAGTTAAATTATTTAACTAAAATTCCTGAAACATTTCTATATTTATTTGGCCTCATAGAAGCTGTTCCTAAAAATTATAATAGAATCTCAGACTTATATTGCCTAATCGGAGTTTACTAGTAATTAATTTCTTTGATTTAAGAAGTTTAACCAATCATTTAGGGAGCCATCATCTAAAATCCTCTCTTATTTAAAGGATGTAAGATGTAATGATAATTTGCTTAGAATTAGATGTATCTATTATTCTAGATTGAATAATTATTACTAAAACTTGGAAAGTTGAAAGGATATTTAGAATTCAAATAATTGCAAATAAACTTAGTCTTTGGAATACTATCTGAGTATTCATTCTGGACTTCTTAATTGCATAGGATATGATCTACATTCACTTTATTTAAAAAATTTAAATAGATTTCTGTTTTAGGATCATTTATATGCAAAATGCATCTTAAATTGTTTGGAAAATCGATTTATGATAAGTCTAAATCATCAATTATATCTAATACCAAGATCCCTTATTCTTCTACATCAGGTTCTCTAAAGTAAGCCTCTGGATATATTTAATCCCCTAATTATATTTAATGATTTTAAAATAATTCTTTCTTCTAAATATTAGTTAATTTTAAAAGCTAAAGCTTTTCTGTAGAGACACTACCTTTAATCTTTTTTGTTTTAATAATATAAGAAATATTATTGTTTTTGTGGATTATTGGTACTATTTCGACATATTCATCAGTATACATTTATAAAGATTCTTATTCTTCATATTTAACAAGTTTTAGTCCATTTAAGACTGGATAAATATTTCCTTCAAAAATTTCTTAGTAATATTGATCCTTTTTCTGGTAAATAAGATTCTTTCCCTAAAACTCATGACAAGATAAACTATTAATGGATTTTCCTCCGATTTCACTATATCTAAAAGCTGAAAACAATTAACATAATCCAGAAGGTCCATAAATCTTAGTACCATCAATTTGCTTATCGAAATTAAGTGTGAGTAATAGTCCTATTATGCCATTAATGTAGGTAGCATTTAAATTTGTAAAAAATATCTATGTTGACATTTTAGTCTTGATGCTATAATCAGAAAGGTATCTTTGAAAACCTTCCGATACGTTAAAAACGTAAGACTTTAGATCGAAATTCAGTATTATACAAGGTTTTGCTAATTTAACTAATTGAATATGGCATTTAGCCATTTGTTTATTATAATAAATAGTAAAAAGAAAGAATTAAATAAGCAAAATACTTTAATCTCTTAAGAATTATTTTGAAATTACTCAGAAATATTGTTTTTTTCTCTCATCCTGTTAGGAAGATTCCTTTTTTGTATATATTATTTTAATTTTTCTACAATTAAGAACATATTTAATTTTTGGATGGTATTTAGAAGTAATTAATTAATACAAAAATTTAGAATAAAATAAGAACATAAGTGAACATGTGTTTTCAATGAATGCTTCAAATTATATTTCAACTTTAAATATGAAAATTTTATGTAAATTATTGAATCTATGATTTTAGTTTAACATTTTATGCTACCATAATAATATCAATTCATTTCTTCTTTTCTTTTCCATCCACTATTTTATATATTTAATCTCTATAAAAATAATACATCACTGGTGCTGCTGATAATGCTACTAAACTTAATAAACCTTTTATATCCCTTTTGAATTTCATTTGTTTATTTAATAATTATATTATTATTGTATTTTTATTCTTATTATTGATGAAATTATTTATAATTGTCACTACAATTATAACATCAATGATGATAAATTAGCTTCTATAATTTGGATTATTTAAAAGGCCTAAAAGTGATCATGGAAAAATAAATAGATGCACCACAATAGATGTTACTCCGATTGACTTATAATTGTTTTAAAATAATTTACTTTTTCTTGCTGACAATGGGATTTATGATGAAAAATAGTCGCTTCTATATTCCTAAAATAATAGCTATGCAATGTTTGCAAATGAAAATTATTTATATCTAGCACATGACAATAACATTGATATCTTAAGCAATTGGAATATTATAAAAACCATTTTGCTGCCTAAAGGATTGATCATTTATGATTTTATAGTAGTTCATAACAATGTTTACATTACTATAGATTATTAAGTTTCTGATTTACTCGGCTTTTATTTTTAGTCTAAGAGTTTTTCATTATTAAAATGTGATTTTGAAGGGAATTGTGAATTTGTGTATGAGATAAGTGGTGTTCATTTAAGTGGAATTGAATGGTTTAATGATAAAATTTATATTGCAGATACATTTTCAAAAACACTAAATGTTTATGATATGAACTATAATTAACTTTAAACTTTTCAGTTGGAAGATGGGCCCAAAAGAATAATAAGAATAGTAGATAAATTATATTTTACAGCAATTCCAAAACTACTTGAGTTGCTAACACTACCAAAATTCACTAGTTTATATTAATATGATGATATAGAAGAATTATAAAAATTAGTAACTTTTGAAAATTTTTATTATGTTGGGGTGCATTACAAAGAAGAAATAATAATGGGTAATCGCATTTGTTTTTGAATTATCATATAATTAATTTTATCTAATAAAAATATCAGAATATAATCTTTTTAGGAGAGCTTTTCTGAAAATATTAATTACGAAATCCTTGGTTGATATAACAGGTAGTTATTAATATGAAAAACAAAAATTCTCTATAACTAGAAGAAAATTCTATAATTATCTTATTAAATAAATAAAATCTGAATAATTTCATCTTGCAATGTATGATTTAATTTAACTAATAATACATATATATTTTCGCAAAATGAAATTGATACATATTGTCCTTTAATAATAGATATTTAATAAAAATAATTGAAATTAAAATTAGTACAAAGTATCATTATGTTGGATCTATAATATTGATTTTAATAATTCTTCGAAACATATGAATTTAGAAAAAAGAGTTGTTTGTTTTCAGAGTTCTGCTTAATAAGTGCCACGATAAGCCACATCACTTCACGAGTCCGGTATCCTTCCGCCGCTCATAGCGATCCCTATTGCTTGCTCTGTTTCCAGCCTAAGCCATTGCGAGATTCTTCAACACAAGTGAAACCCTCATTACTGATGGATCCCACAAGTGACTACGAGCTCGGTTAGGGCGGTGACTCTTAACGAAATGACTCAGCGAGCTCTCAGATGACAGCTTATCAAACATCCTCTTACAACCCACATAAAGTGACAGCCAAGTTGCCCCAGCCTGGGTTAATCAATTAAACATTATTCTGCATTTATTACGTGTATAATTACAATTAGCAATTTATGGGTTTTATTTTATCAGAGTAAATCAAGTCTGATACTTCCTTAAACTTTACTCTTAAAAGTGATACTTATGGTTGCAAACTCCTCCTTATATCTTAATAAATGTAAAAGCAAAAATATAGTTAAACTACAATAGGTTAGAAAATACGTGTTAACTTATAATTGTTTCATAAAAATATTATAATTAGAGATAATGATAATTATATCATTATTATATTAAATAACTCAATTTGCCATTTAGCTGGAATATCTATCAATGATATCGTTTCTTTATTATAACCAAAATTCTCTATATCTACGATCTAGCTTATTTTCACAAACCCATCTACATCTATATATATTTACTTTATTCTAAGAATTAATAATTCATTTACACTAATTTTTTCCTAGTATGTTTAATCTACATTATAATTAATCATCTAATCGCAATTAGAATGGCATGTTTAATTCTTGAAATAAACTAGTTTATCAACATTTTTTAGAAATTATTTAAGATCTTTTGTTTGTTTTTTACACTCAGTTAAGCATTTACTAAGTTTTTTGATTCCCTCTTCTGAATTTTCGAAAATCACTTGATTATTATCATAACATTTAGAATAACATTCATATTTAAGTTTTTGTTATTGATCGATATTAAATAATTTGATTTTGCTATAGGATGTGATTGCTTATTTAATAGAGTACATATCTTAATATTCTAAGAGTTTTCTATCATAATATTCTTTTTCATTTTCAGTAGCATAAAGCTCATCAGCTGACTTAATATTATCAAACATTAAAAAATGAATTAATATTAATTTAACTGAAATGACTGAGAGCAGAGCATTGTCCTCTTATGATGGAACTTATAATAGTTTAAAGGATGTCTAAAGGATAGGATCGTATGATTATGGAAATACTTTATCTAACTTTAACAATTAAAAATACACAAACTCAAAACCCAATCATCAAATGATGGACACAAAATCATATCTTGAATAATTAGAATAAAAATATTCCAAGAAAACTAATGGATATAATGATAGTGATTCTGATGATTTTTCTAACGATTGTTCTCCTAATAAAGCAGCTTCATAGGTTCCAACAAAATTTTAAAAAAGCAAAGTGTCTGCAAATATTTAGAATTAACCTGAATTCAAAATTCCAGTTGACATCAATTTATCAAGAGGCCCAAGCGAAATCGGACAAGATTATAAGATAATATAAGATATGAATGAAAAATACGGAAGCATAGCTTAATCAAGGATTACAATAGTTGATTAGGATGCAAAAAGAAGATTCTTTGAACTTGCTTTAGAAATGAAGAAAGATTTGCCACAAAATCATCCAGGTTAATCTATGCTAGTAGCCTAATTATATACAGAAAGTGTTCAAAAATAAATATCTGAAAAATATTGGAAATAATGGTTATAGACTAGATTAAAGAATTGAGTAATTTATTAGTTTTTATTCAATATAATTATTTATTCCACATTATAATTCAATTTTGAATACAAAACTATATTTTATATTGATTCATTATTAAAGTTATAATGGGAAATTAATAAGGCTCTGATTTTGGAGGAGTATATATTAGAACAGACAAACCTTTCTATTTTGCTGGAGAAATCATAACAGGTAAGAAGGTATCTTAAAAATTTAGGAAATATCTATTTGAATATTTTTAAAGATGGATATCCTGGAGGAGTAGTATTATTAAAAGTATCTGGAAAGGAAAAATGTCATTGGACCGAAAGTCATTCTCGCACTACTACTGGTGCAGATGGAAAGCAAGAACAACACACTGAATATGTAACTTATTCAGGTTAGACCTAATTTTATTAACATCGAGTGGCAATATGGACATTTAACACTCGTAGCTTACCTGTTGGGCAATATACCTTTCCTTTTTAATTTTAATTATTGTCTCACTTACCAGGATCTTATTTTGAAAAGGGAGGAGATTATTAAGCCAAAATTTCATATAGAGTCAAAACAGAAATCGAATCATATAATAAGTCTTATAAGAACATCAAACATTCATAGCTTTTAGTTGTTAGGGAACCATTAAAGCAGAATATGGCAGCTTTGATGGGATAAATGGAAGTAAAGGCATCAACTTGGTGTTGCATCAATTAAGGAGTAATTATTTAAAATTATAAATAGACTTCTCACATCAAGTGTGTATTTGATAAGAATCATTACCTTCCTGGAGATACTGCCTACCTGTGGGCTGATGTGGATAATTCTAATTGCAAATTAGATGTGAAAAGAATTGATGCCAGATTATAAAATTACTTAACCTTGAGAGACCGAACAGGAAGAGAAAAGGTAATATTAAGAACTATTGTTTCATAATAAATTCAAGGAATTGGAGCTGGGATTAAGGCTATTGAAAATGACAGAAAATAAATCTAATTAATTTTACACAATAAAAATTCACCAGATGGTATTCATCCTTCATCTAATGGGCAGTTAGTTAAATCAGTATATAGATTATAAGTTTAAGCAGTTCTTGCAGGTAAAATAAAAGTTTTATAAATTATAGGCTGTACATGCTGTAGCAAGGATCCAACTGTAGATGTACCTATTGAAATAGTTGCTCCTGTTCCTTAGATTTATAATTAACCAATTGCTCCACCTTCTAATTGGAATCCTTAAGTATTCCAACCTTAAATTGTACAATTTACTGATAGTACCATGTATTTAAAAGATCAGAACTAATAATCTAATTATAATTATCCATAAAATCAGCTACCACCACCCCCACCACCACCTAATTAATTTGGATAAATGTAATAACCAATGAGTTGATTAAGTATAAATTAAATTAGTTCATTTAAATCGATTATAATTTTTAAAATAAATTAGTCCATAAGACAAATTAGATTACAGTTTACTTATTAAAGAGTAAAAAGTTCTAAGATAAAAATGTATTAAAGTTAATAAGTAGTAAATAAGTATTAAACCCAGGCTGGGACAACTTGGCTTTCACTTTACGTGGGTTGTAAGAGGATGTTTGATAAGCTGTCATCTGAGAGCTCGCTGAGTCATTTTGTTAAGAGTCACCGCCCTAACCGAGCTCGTAGTCACTTGTGGGATCCATAAGTAATGAGGGTTTCACATGTGTTGAAGAATCTCGCAATGGCTTAGGCTGGAAACAGAGCAAGCAATAGGGATCGCTATGAGCGGCGGAAGGATACCGGACTCTTGAATTGATGTAGCCTATCGTGGCACTTATTAAGCAGGACTCTGAAAATAAACAACTCTTTTTTATCTATAATATAAGGATTAAATGAAATTCAATATAGTAAGAGGATTTTTATAAATGGTCAATCTAAATGCCAATAAATTTAATATTTTTCTCCTTAATCTCTATTTAAGTCTGTATTCTAAATTAAAAATGAAATTATTAAATTATGAATAATTATTCATCATTCGACTGAACTCAACCTTCAATGCGGCTCATAAAAATTAAATATTTATTTATTATTTTATTAATGCTCATCAGGAATGCCGTGAAGAGAATTTTTCAAACTATTTTCCAAAGTAGATCATTATTTCTTCAGATTAAATAATAATAGGTTTATACTCCAACCTTAACTATGATACCATAATATGGATTTTTTTTTAATGGCAAACATGATAAGTATTTTTCGATCCTAGATAATTAGGGATGAAAAATAAGCTGAAATTGATAAATTGTATGATCAAATGGAAGATTGTGAAAACGAGCATTAATAAATGGATATGTTAAGAAAAATAATAGGGATCAGAGAGGAAATGGATTAATCAGAAAAAAAAAAATGCGTCTCTTTGTTATTAGACAAAATCGAGTATGCACGATTTTTAATTGAAAATTAATAAATGGAGGATAAATTGGTGTAGGAAGTACTTTCTGAAGACTTTTTGAATGATGTTCATTATAACAATGTTGATTTGTCTAAATATCCTATTGATTTTCACTAATTTTTATGGCACAATTTGGCAATAGGAGTTATTCCTCTAAAATATGCTAAGCAATACGACGATGTAGAGTTTAGAGAAATTGAATAATGGTTAAAGTATTATAATAATAATATTTGACAAGATAGTATAAAGAATCTGTGGTGTTTATAAAAAATTACCTCAATAATAATTTCGAGGAGATTGGAGAGAGCGAAGGATACTTAACTAAAGAGTAAGGTTAGGCATAATATTAATACAACTTGGCATTCTATTATGAAATGAAAGCAAAATTATTGATAGAATAAGAATAAATATAATAAGGAATAAAGCTTTACGAAACAGCCTTGAAGGAGACAGAAAAGTTTATGGAGATAGTTAAATAATGTAAAATTGAAACTTATTGTAGTATGCAATCACGAAAATCCTGAAGTAGCTAATGAAGCAGAGAAACAAAAGGAAAAAGGAATTGCTAAATTTGCTTAGATATTTGAAGATTTAGGAAGTGTTCAAATGGAAATCTAAGAGTTTACAGCAGCAAGACCTTATTTTGAAAAAGCAATAGAATTATACTTATAAGTTTTTGGAAAACATTCAATCTAATATGCTTAAAGCTATTGCTAATTAGCTTCAACTTATCAATTGACTGATTTATCAAAATGTGAAGAAATGTTAAAAGATTTTCACGAATATTTAGAGAGTTTCAATTAAGATACAATATATTTGGAAGTTACAATGAATTATTTTTGCATTTTAGAAGGTTAAGAGAGAGGAACGAAAGAATTATTTATTAAGATTTAGGAAATGAGAGACAAATTTGATATTGAAAATGATTTATTGATTGTTGAATATGATATTTAAGCTATTAAATTCGTGATCAGAAATGGTTAATTTTAGTAGAGTTTATTTGATTTTTTTGAGGAGTCTATTTAATTTTTGGATTCATTTGGTAATCCGAATGTTAAAGCTGAGAAATTATTGATTTTAAGTGAATTGGCTGATAAATTTGTATTGCCTAACAACATAATGCATGAAACTATTTTGGAATCATTATTGGATGAGTTTGATGAGGTTGGTTTTCTAGTAGAGAATCATTTATTGCAATACAAGATTGATCGACAGAAGGCATTTCTTTAATTTAGAATAAGAGAAACACTTTTGATCACTCCTGAGGAAAGTTTAGAAAGTTTCTTTGCATTAGTATGAATTAGTATTATCGTTTAGTTTGCAAATTGGATTGAGAAGTAAGAATTTCTTGAGATGCTGTTTGATGATACAGATGAGATGATTTAATAGGTGTTGGATCAAAAGATGCTTACATTAGCTCACAAATTATTGAAGAACATTATAGAGATAATGGAAGAAGTACAAGAGAGTCAAAAGAGTGAACACGTAGAGGAAGCTTTGAGTCATTATAAAGAGGAAGCATAAAATATATTTAATTAGATTACTGGGAAGTGAAAAGTTGTTTTATGTGTATATTTATAATAAATTAATGCTTTTTTTATTACTAGTACAAATCGTATACAGTGGATTAATAGAAACACTTGATTACTCTATTAATTATCTGAACATTGGTTATACCACTTAATTAACGTTTACTTTCAGACTTTAGAGTGGATTAGGAAAGTCGGGGTATTTGAGTCTTAAAATCCCATTCTAAATTGAAGCCTCGGTTGTGAGCACAGTTCCACAAGGAGTTGATGTGATTTATAATGAAGTCAGCACTACTGATTGTAGTCCAATATCAAAATTTCCTGGAGCCTTATATAAAGATAGTAATGGATGGTACCATGTAAAATTTCTCAATTTAGATGGGGATTCAAGAGCTTTAGAAGCAAACACTTATTATAAAGTCAGCATATCATCTAAAACTGCATTTAGCAATTAAGTGGCTTAAATATTATCTCCAATAGAGGCATTAACAATTTAAGATTTCAGTGTAAATAATTGGATAAAATATGATTTCAATAGAGCCTTTGCATTGATTGAATTCACCCCTACTCCACCTTCAACATTAGCATCCAGTTTCACGCTTTAATCAGCCACTCCTACATTATTAGATTATAGACACTCCCTTTTAGTGCAGATAACTCCGACGATCCCTATCGATAGGAAAGCTCGAATAGTGATCCAGATGACTGATAACGATTATTAATTTTAAGGTGAACAATGCACATCGGAATCCTATAAAGATGTCAACAACACTGACATACCAGCATTGACAAGTTCTTAATACACTTGTTAAATTGCAAATAATATATTGACTGTTAGCTTATATTAGATATTCAATACTACTCTCAAATTTAGTTTCAGTATAAAGAATCCCAAATTTGTGAAATCATCAGGAGGAGGATTTTAAGTAATGTCAATGCTTTCATATGCAAATCACATAGTAGAATAAGTGACAGTTTTGAATATTTTATCGACATCTGCCTTAACCTGGGGGAATAATAATGACAATTTAGTGACTTATTTTTTATGGGGATTGAAATTATCAGATACAAGTTTGCCATCATAATTGAAAATAATAAGAGACACTGCACAAAATCCTTATTTTAATTCATTAAAATTCACTTTTTTCCCTTCAAGCACTACTCCATTAAATTTGAAATTAAGAGTAACCTTAAGTTTGACATCTGATATAGGTTCCATGATTTTGGAGGGAAGTCTATAGGAGAATCTGCCATAATTTGACAAGAACCCAGTTTCATGCAGTGTCACTAAGGTTTAACCAATCAAAATAGTTTGCTCAAATGTTGGAACACTGAATCTAGAGAGCACATATTTTATATCGGTCAAAATGTCGTTTCCGAATTAAGCTACTCCAGGAGATCTTCCAGCTGATTTCGGATTAATCCAATTAGAATCATCCTCAAATGGAGTGGCATATGATGCTATACCTTTAATCCCCTCAGGTAGAGATTCAAAAGCCATTTATTCAACCTTGAATAGTGTGGCCATTATAAGTTCGAATAGTGGGAATGGATACACCTTTGCACATTCTTAACGCTTTTCTGATCCCTTTGCATGTCCCACCAGTTCCTCTTTTGGTTTACAATATGCAGACTATGAGCAAAGATTAATTTTTACAGCTAGACCATAAATTACAAGTTTTGCTGCTTCTGTTCCCACTCGAACAGTTGGGTACTATTTTTACACTAATCCAAAAATATTAAAAGGGACTTCAACTATATTGGCAGAAAGTCCATTGTAATTTACTCCAGCTTTAACATGCACCCCAACTCCTGCAGTTTACACCGCATTAGATTTCGTATTTAATTCAGGATCTGACTATGTTTAAATTGATAATGCAAATAAGAAATACACCTCTATCTAATTGACTAGAATACCAGCTGCCTCAGCCACCATTTAAAATGTGTTTGGAGGTAATGCAGCAAATAATTTATATACTGTTTCTATAGGGCCTGTGTATATATAAAATAATGGCTCTTAATTTTGCGGTGAAGATCTAATAGATTTCATCGGTTTTACTGCAGAAATTGGAATTCCATCTAACACACCTATAGTTCCAATTACAGGAATTATTGCTGCAAACTCATATACATTAAGTGGACCTAATCAAATGAATAATCTCTACCTATCAATTGCCAATTTCTGGACAGGTACTACTGTAAAATTGGATGGTACATACTTTCCTGCTTTCATTAGAGTGACAGGTTTCTTGGAACAAGCAATTGTAGATAAAGCTGCGAGATTGGCAATATTCTTTAACAATGTATATTTTCTTAATATTGAAGTTATCTCCATTCTCTGAAGGGACATCTCCTGAAGGCAAACAATATGTATCTTGTTCTTCGACATTAAATCGAAAATAAAAATGCTATGGTTACACAGGAAGTGATGATGCTACCAATGCCTTACAGTCAGTCTATAATCTACATAGAGTTGAATTCATTTTAGATGATACATTTTCAAAAAGCGGGCCAGCATCTCCATTTCAATTAGTCATACCTGTAAGTACTGTAAGAAATGTTAATTAATTGACTTTCTTTTTGGCTATTATCTCATCAAATTAAGATGATAAAGTCTATAGTCATTTTATAGCTTTCAAAAGTGCCTTAGTCTCTTAAACGATGAATGCCCCTTCTTTGGCTTTAGTTGACCCAGTAAATGCTGGCATTACCAAAACTGGTCAAAGTTATAAACTGGATCTTATTAATTACTCACCAAGTGTTGGTCAACAGGACTCTGCTGCCCAAGTATACTATGGACACACACAAGCTACACCTATCATTACCCCCAATAGTGGAGCACTGTAAGGAACAGCCTTCTTTTATCAAGGCAAATGGAATATGATAGGACCTAAGTTCAACACTAAAGGGTTAATTTTGAATCCATCCTTAACCTATGAATAGAAATGTGTTCCTTATCATTACAATGATTTCTATGGGTTCTTATGTCCAATGATTGGAGATACAATTATCACCTCCATATCTTAGTACATTAAAATTGAAGGCTTTAATTATCCAGATAAAGGAGTCTAAACTCCTACAGGAGGTTATTCTGGATGGAGTGATAAAAATGGTAATTTACAATCATACTCTCCTGAATCAGTGAGCACAATAACTGCTGGTCAAATATAAATTCCCTTAGATATTTTCCCAACAATTTAAAGAAGCTACTAAGATTAGATAGTCCAATGGATCTTCACTACTGTAAATAACATTCCAAAGGATGGATATGTTTCTCTCTCCTTCACTTCAGGATCTTGGCCATTTACAGTATCAACTGCAAGTCTGTGTTAATTAAAATCAAGCTAAGCAGCAAAGCAAATAGCTCATACATGCACCATATCAAAGACGGATGGCGTCGAGATAAGGTTTACTTTTGCTGCCTCCTAAGCATTCCCCCCTGATACTTATACCATAGTATAATATGGGATCAATATGCCAGATTCAAGTTCAAATGACTAGGCTTACACAATAACTACATATACAATTTTGAATGTTATTATTGATGCGACTACTGTTGGAGCAGGAACTTTGAAATTTAATAACACTCCTCTTACCCCTAAAGTGGAAGTTGGGGATGTTCAATTTGAAAGGATGAATAATGGTATGAGAGGAAAGTTCCAATTTACATTCAAATTAATCAATCGTGGCATCCTATATAATCAGTAGATAAATTTTGATCTCACAATGGTGGCCTCAAGTACAGTATCCAAATCTCATTGTTCCATTCTGAATTCGGATGGTTCTTAGAATTTCGATTGGAAATCCTTTGAAGGAAGTTCATTTACTTTGATAACAATAAGACCAGTTAATGATTTGAGCCCAGGAAATCTCTACATTTTCAGATGCTTCAACATTTTGACACCTAATACTTATATGGCCCCTCTTGTCAAGGTCTTGAGTGGTTCGACTATTTTGTCCCAAGGAACAGCTAGTAATACTGCATTGACCTTTTAAAATACGCCTTCTGTTCTATCGGCAACTGGTCTTACAATAAGTAAAACCTATCCCTAAGCTTATGCGATGATTGAACTCAAAATAAATTTAGTACTAAGTTCGCCATTCGACCAAAAATCTACGATTTATGTTAACTTACCATACTATTATAATTCATATGACAATAAGAAAAGTCTAAGTTGCTTGATGAGTGATGCCGATGCATATTGCTAATATGATAACGAAAGGACAATCTCAATTAAATTATTCACTCTTACAATAGATTCCTTCACAGTAATAAATTTAGTAATAGCTGGCATAATTCAACCTATATCTACTTATAACGATGATTAAATATTCATAATGGTGGATTATGATGAGGATAAAACGACAATAAATGAATATGGAACATTGAGTGATGTAGCAGTTTCTTCTACAGTTCCGATATCTCTGATAATTAGGGATTTCGAAATCTCTAATGTTGGAATCAGAACCGAATCGTAATACACCTATTATTTAACAACTTTAGGTAATATATAAGTTGGATAATATCTGGTTATTGATCTCCCATCTAAAGATTATGGTAAATTGGTTTAATTGAAGCCTCCGACTGCATGTAGTGGAATCTTGGAAAGTGATGGAGTGACATCCATTATCTCAAAATGTGAAACATTGGGAAATAGAATTCTATTACAATTTGAAGGCATGCTCCAAGCCAATACAAAATACATAGTCAAAATTACAGGGATGACCAATATGGAAGCATCCTCTTGTTATATTGGATTGCCAATCTTCAGTTTGATTACATCAGACAAGACTCAAATCTAATAATTATCAACCTATGTTTACTCAAACATCCAATAGTTTAAGTTGAATGCCGATTCTACCAAAAATACTATCTATTGGAAAGAGGAGACAGACAATGATGTTAAATATACAATCTAGTCGACAGATGAAATCTTGAGACTGAATTACAATGAATTACTCTTAAAACCAGGATAATATAGTAGAATAATTTCACTTGGTTAGATTGAACGTGGATACAATAAGAAATTAAAGTTCAGTATTAGTTCCAACAGTGGTTTCTTCAAAGTCGTCAATGATTTAATAGTCTATCCTGGAGATGGCAAGGCATTGACAAGAATAGGCTGTTCAGGATCGACAAATCCTCAATCATATTACTTATATTTTTCAAAAGAAGAATCAGACACTCCCACTTATAGTGAAGCAGGAATCATCTAAGTGATGATCACAACAACCAAAACTGAAGTCACCACTTAGTTTCCTTCATATGATGTTCCAATTTTTATGAAATCTATTCCTGTATTAATAGATTTCTCAGGGAATATTCCTGTTGAAGATCTATTAATTGATTTTGAATTGATTCCTTTTAATGTTGATAAACCTGCAGGTTTGAAATTTCAATCTACTTCAGATACCAAAATGAATGTCTAAGTCACTTCAGATAACCTTAAAATCACATTCATTATTTTCTCTGAGACTGAAGTGCAAGATAGTGACAAATTAGATACCATTGATTATTATTACAGCACTTTGTTGATGACTTTCAGTGGAAATTCAGCTCCATATTTTGTGTAATCATCCGCATAAACTATATTCAAATTGGTCAAAGATAACACAGATGCAATCAAAAAGATTGGATGTGTTTACTCCATGCAACTAAATCAATTATCAGATTATTCCAATAAGTAAATCATTACTTTTCAATCGGACTAAGATTTGATCATTTATTATCATGCCATAATGCTGAATGGATTCGAAAGAAGTTTTGATGACGTAAAGTTATTTTCTGAAAATAACACTTAATTGAGATATTCAGATTATTATTAAGAACAATTTGGACAACTTTATTTATAAGGAAAGACTAATTATGTTCTAGAATTGAAGAAACTCAAGTAATTTTATAATATATTCCTTTAGAGCTAGAACATGGTATAAAATTAAGAGTTGGGCTGTTAATTTATATGATATGTAGAATAATACATAATATGTTGAGTTCTTCACTCAAAACAATAATGGCAGATTGATGAAGTTGACCTTTCATTTTGGAACTGAACTCAATGCTGAAAGTAAAAAAGCAATAGCTTGTTGGCTATGCTACACTTTTGCCTATCCCTGCTATGATGTGCTGAGTTACGATGCCATCTTCTGCAGCGATTCAATCAATAAAGACTTATCATTCAATTCTACTGCAGTCTATTCCCAATATAAAATGCTCGAAGAGACCAATACCACTACAGAAGGGACTCCAACAGATGAAAACAATTAAGATGAAGGAGAGGAAGAAGTAGATGCTGGAGTGGAAACAGCAGTCTAATATTATTTCATTCCAAATCAAGATCTACCTAATGATAATAATTGGAAGTAGGTTATCGCTGGAGTGGAAGATACTAATTTCATGAGATACTTTGTTGGCAATTTAACTAACTCTACACGCCTATTCTCAGTAGACCCTTTGGAAGAAATAACTTTTGATAAATCTCCAGAAATCATCAGCACTGTCAAATTTACAAGAGGTTTAACTTGGTTATCCCTTTCTGACATTCGATTAAGATAAACAGGCTTAGTTTGGGGTTACATTACTCCCAAATTCAGTGCTGGCACATATGCTACAGATGGACTCATACCTTCCAGTATTCAAATGAAGTATTTTGCTAATCCTCTAAATTAATCAATAGATTCCGCTTATTATTTCATTAAATATTATTCATCCGAAGTATTCAATTTACTCATACATTTTAGTCCATTAGTCATAACTTTACTGATCTATAGCCTTCTAAGTGGTACAACATATACTTGATAGCTACTTAAGACAGTCCGAGTCTCTGGACTGAAACCTCAAAGGTTTATTCATTTACAAATAAAACTTTGCGAAAGTCATTTGATGAACCTGCAGCTATATATGACACCCTATTATTATCGATGGTCATAATCTGGTTAATTTAATGATTAGAATGTGTGTCCTAAAATAAATAAACATTTAATAATATTTTTGTTTTATTATATAAATTTAATGAAACTGAACTAATCAAATGAGTTATTTTTCAAAATACTGCGAAGCCTCCTATTCTGATGTATTCTCAACATTTTCATAATAAGTCCAAAAATCTTCCATAATAGAAAAATTTAACTCATCTAGATGCTGGCTATCCTTTAAGTATTTGATAGTGATATAGACTTATATTATAGAATTGATTGGTTTTTGATTTTAAATTAGGTTAAATAGCTAATCAATTGGATTTTTTATATTAGTAACAACCTTATTCTTCACTTCTTTATAAAAGTCTTCCAGGCCTAATATATCTTATTAGAGTAATGATTGAAAAATCTAATAGTTTTCTGTTGTTTTATATAAATTCACTTATTGAGGATCCAATTGTTATAATTTTTGTAATTTTTTAATTAATCCTAATGCTTGATTTAAGATAACAGCTGTGATGTTGAATGTGATATTAAAATCAATATTTGGAATAACTTAATTTAATCTATAGACTCTCATTGCAGCTTTGTCTAAGAAGAATATTTGCTCGTGAAAATAAAATAGAATGTCCTCAATTTAGTTAATTTTCAATTGAATTTACAACCTTTTCATAATATAATGAAGTATACTTGTGATTCAGATTGGACATCATTTCATTTAAGATGATTTTTTACTCCTTCTCTTGATCTTCAGTTTATTTTTTTAAGTCCTCCTCTGTTAAGATTTAAGAAACCAAAGACAATACTTTTTTTTCTTTGAATGGTTGTACCTTAATAAGAGACACTTTTTGAATGACCATCTGTTAAATAAATAAAGATGAGGATATCATTTAATTGTTTTAATCGACCTGAGATTAGGATTGAATTTTTATTTAGGGCAATTAGAATAATTCTTCCCACCCTATTCGATCTTTACTTTATTTTTTGAGCATTTTCTGAAGCAAATAAATCATAAAGTCAGATCTCTTTGGAGTGGGAGGGATGATCAAGTTATTATTGATGATATCTGAGAAAGCAGTGTCTCTATCATACTTTTTGTTTTGAATCAAAAATGGGTATTTATTGTAGAGCATCCTATACAAGATGATGCCTAGACCCCACATATCGATTTTGGGATCAGCGGTTGCTTCTTCTTGAATCATTTCTGGTGCCATATAAAGAGGAGTGCCTTTAAAGGATATGGTGAGTTTATCGACTAGAGTGTTCACTATTTTCGCCAGACCAAAGTCAGTTATTTTATACAATCGATCATGTAACATAATGTTAGCTGGTTTCAAATCTAATCTTATTGGTTCTTAAGGTGATACCTCTATGAATAATATTTTACAGAAACAATTCTCGGTATCCACTACAAAATTGGCCTAGGAAATCCATAACTTCAGCCTCTGACCAAAATTTATTTTTCATTTTATCCTCCAAAGTTCCGCCATTACAATATTCCATAATTATATAACAAGCTTTGGTTGATTACAACTTCTTCCTCCTGTGGATGATCGAAATTAATTTACTTGTATTAAACAAGGTTCTGATGATCGCTTTGAAACTATTCCAAAACTGTGAGTTCGTGTTATAACGAGTCCAATTTACTCTGAGTTCCGATTTCCATTATTTTAGCCACCAATTGCTCTTCCCGATTCTCAAGATCATAGGCTCTCACGACTTTGCCGAAAGATCCTTGGCCCAACACATCATCAGGTTCAAGAGAAATCACGTATGATGACCCTTGCAATCGCTTGATTCTTTTCTTCATTTTTGATGAGCCAATCACAGATTTTAATATTTATTCAAAAATGACTATTTACAACTCTACAGATATTATAAACAAGACTTAAGATATTATTTTATTAAATTTATAGCCTATGGCTTAATATAGGCAATTAAATGAAGGGGACATCCCACCTATCAACAATCCACAGATCGTTACAGGATTTTAAATACTTCGTTAGAGCGTCGATTTGGGATTAAGGCAAAATCAGGATGCCAGAAAAAGTTCCGTCAAAGCAGCAGCTTTGGTATCAAGACAGAGTCAAATGTACTAGTAAGCAAAAGTAAGTGTCATTGTTAAGTTAAGGAAAGAGGAATTGTTCCAAATGAAGTCATTGTAAATTACGATGCTCCCACAAATACCAAGCAAGATCTCTTAAAAAAGGCTTAAAACAAAGGAGAGGAGTATCGAAACATGGATGAGCACAAAGTGGACGTAATAGCATTATCGCAAAGGTAATCTACTACTTATATTCTACAAAAACTAGATATGAAACATCTTTAACTGATGGATTAACTTAGGATTAGGCCACAGCGAAGAATAAATAATACGGGGACAATAAATTGACCGAGAAAAAGAAGAAGCCATGGTGGATTAAGTTGATTCTTGAAATGGTTCAACCATTTTCAATTTTATTATGGATAGCATCTATAATGTGTTTTGTATTGTACGGTGTGAATCCAGAGGCTTTGGGAGCAAAATCAAACTTATGGCTTGGTAATTATATATAGATTATTGTGAATAGCAATCATTCTCATAGCCATCATTTTATTAACAGGTTCGATCACTTATAATTAATCTGCAAAAGCAGACGCATTAATGGAAGGGTTTAAGAATTTCCTTCCATAGAAATGTATAGCAATCAGAGGAGGAGAAAAAGTAGAAGTTCCAGCTGAGAAACTAGTCCCTGGGGATATCATTGAAATCAAGATGGGGGATAAAATTCCAGCAGATGTTAGGATTATCTAGTCAAGAGAAATGAAAGTCGACAATTCCGCTTTAACCGGAGAATGTGATCCATTACTTAGAGTAACTGAACTCACAAGTGAAAATCCTCTGGAAACTAAGAATCTAGCATTCTTTGGTACTCTATGCAAGGAAGGATCAGGAAAAGGCTTAGTCATTTAAATAGGTGATAATACAGTAATGGGTCAAATTGCAGACTTAGCAACAGGAGGAGAAACTCCAGAAACTCCTTTAAATATAGAATTGAAGAGATTTGTCATTCTGATCTCTTGCATAGCTGTAGGACTTGGAATCTTGTTCTTGATTTTATCATTAGTGGTCGAACAAGCATCTGTTGATACAGCAGTAGGGTAAGCAATAGGAATCATCGTGGCTAATGTACCAGAAGGTCTATTAGGATGTATAACAGTATCTTTGGCTATTACTGCAAAAAGATTGGCTGATAAATAGGTGCTAGTCAAAAATTTGGAAGCAGTGGAAACCCTAGGATCTACTAGTTGCATATGTTCAGATAAAACAGGAACTTTGACTTAGAATAAAATGACAGTTGCAAATGTGTGGTATGATGGATTAAAGAGAGTCGCTTTGAATAAACTTAAACATGGAAGAAATACTGAATATGAATATGATATTAATGATCCTACTTTTAGAGACTTACATGATTGTGCAATCATTACAAGTGAAGCCAAGTTCAACATATAAGCTAAAGACAAAGCTACAACCAACTGGTTGGAATCACCAACTATTGGAGATGCATCAGAAACAGCTCTAATTAAATTCTTTTAACCAATTGAAGATATTGAAAACACTAGACAAAGAAGATAATTAGTGGAGTTATCAGATAAGTCTTTAGCAAAGATGCCATTCAATTCCACTAATAAATTCTCATTATGTATTGTGAATTGGGAGACTCAGGATTCATTTTATTGTGTATACATAAAAGGAGCACCTGAGAAGTTATGGACATTTTCTAGTTATTTGTTAGTAGAAGGTAGAAACCAACCAATAGATGAGTAGATAACACAAAAATTCAAATCAGTCAATGTATCATTTGGTAAAGGAGGTGAGAGAGTCTTGGGATTTGCAAAACTTCATTTACCAAGATCTGAATTTTAGAAAGGATATAAGTTTAATTTGAACTCAATTGACACATTGAAATTCAAATTAGAAGGCTTTACTTTCTTAGGATTGTTATCATTAATGGATCCACCTAAAGAGACTGTACCATAAGCTATTAAAAAATGTTAATCAGCAGGAATTAAAGTGATCATGGTGACAGGAGATCAACCACCAACAGCAGGTGCAATAGCAAAATAGATTGGAATCATCACAGGAAAGACAGTGGATGATTTGTTAGAGGAAAACCCATCAATGTCTTATGATGAGGCCTTTAGATTGGCCCCAGCAATTGTAATTCACGGAGACATGATAGTGTAAGCTTTAGAGGAAGAGAGTTAAAATGGAGAATATGTCCCTGAACACATGAAAGACAGGAGACTTAAAAGTTGGTGCAGTAAACCTTAAGTAGTATTTGCACGTACATCTCCTGCATAAAAGCTGATGATAGTAAGAGCCTGTCAATACATCGGACATGTAGTAGGAGTGACTGGAGACGGTGTGAATGATTCTCCAGCAATCAAATAAGGAGATATTGGTATTTCAATGGGTATCAGTGGATCTGATGTCACTAAAGATGCTGCAGATATGATATTATTAAATGATGATTTTGCATCTATTGTTGATGGTGTTGAAGAAGGCAGAAAGATATTCGACAATCTCAAGAAAACAATCGTTTACCTACTTACTTCAAATATCACAGAAGTGTTTCCATATGTTGGTGAAATTGCCTTAGGACTACCATTACCTTTAAGCAATGCCTTCATTCTCACCATTTGTATTGGAACTGATATCTTACCCGCTATTTCATTTGCCTATGAAGAAGCAGAAATCGATATCATGACTCGTAAACCCAGAAAGAAGGACGATCATCTAGTGTCTTTGAGATTAATCACTCATGCGTATTTGTTATAAGGAATCATTGCCACTTCAGCTGGATTCTTCAGTTATTTTAGTACTATGAATGAATATGGATTCCCTCCATAGTTACTTCTTAATTTGATGAATACTCCTTACTAGAAGATCCCTTGGCCATCTATTATATTAGCTAATGGAAGTTCATATACTCCCCCTCCCACCACTTGGGTATGGGACTTACCGAATATGAATAAGTAATAGTTTCTTATACTTTTAGTCCATTTTTAACCACACAACCTTACAATCCTGATTGGCAATAAGCTCCCATTCTCACAGTTGAAGAAGGAAAGTCATTAGATTCAAGTATTGGATTCCAAAACATCCCCCTTAATTGGATAAATCCAGAAATCATTTACTATGATTTAAGATACATCTTTGTTTATTACGATTAAAACTATTAAAGATGGTTCCCAACCTTCGAAGAATGGTAAAATTAAAACTCAGACAACCTCTGTCGATATTTTGATAGATCTGACATGTTACTTGAAGACAACAAATATCCCATTAATACCAATGCTTGTTTCAAAACTGCTGCACTTAAATATGCTCAAACCTCATATTTTGTTGCTGTCGTACTTGTCTAATGGTCTAATGTCTTCTCTTGCAAATGTAAGTGATAGTGACCTATATTTAGAACGTAAAATGTCAGTGATTTACTCACCAATCAACGTAGTCATGTTTTATGGTGTCCTCCTTGAAACACTTATTTTTATTTGTATTGTCTATATTCCTGGAGTCAATAATTGGTTTGGTGCTAGACCAGTTGATATTTTAAATTTAGGGTAAATTAATAATTAGATTATTAGAATGCCCGGTCTTCCATATTCTATGTGTCTGTTTTGCTGGGAAGAAATGCGAAAGTACTTCATCAGAAATTACGCTAAGCCTAGTAAATATGAGCCAAACTTCTTTGAAGCAAATTCATTATGGTGAATTCATTCAAATTTTATTAACCATTTAAATAATATTTTATTCACTTTTGTAAATCTCATTATATTTATTGTGTTGTTTAAGAAAATAAAGATTTATGTTATTTATTCTTTATTTTTAATTATAATTTATTATCATATTAATAATTGAATTTATCTATTGAAATCCAGCAATAAGATCCTAATGTAAAATGATATCAAATTTATATTAGAATACATCGTAAGTTTCAAGATGATTTCTTTGATTCTAATGTGAGTTTGTTGTTATGTGTTTGTAATGTATTCAACATCTACTTATACATTAAAATAACGTATTAAATTTGCTCTCGTCGAATTGATAGCTTAGAAGTGGATAGTTCATTTTTAAGTCTGAGTCTAAGTCATATTAAATTATATAAATAAACTTATGAGTTAACAAGTTGAATTAGGTTCTGTGTTTGGATTAAATTTTCTACTCATTTTGTTCACTTTGATCTGCTATCATGTGCTATTTGTAAGGAAAGGAATTTACTTTCCAGGACCTGAAGACGGATCAATACTCTTGATCTAAAATTCATTCATAACTATTAAGCATAATATTAAACTCCTCTTGGCATTTGATAAGGATTATTATACTAGAGTTTGTGGGTATTTGAAATAATAAATTCATTAGGATTGATGGATACTAGTATCTCTATTTCATAAGATAACTTATAAAATTATAATTAGTCTTTTTCCTGATTGCCTTCATATCAGGTATTTTTCCAGACAAGAAAACTAGTTTGATAATCATAGATCAAGACTTTACTCCTTCATTCTAATTTTGTATGACTTTAATTTATTGTGGGATTTTGATGTTATTTGTTTACAACACTTTGGAGGAAATCAAAAACTCAGAGATACACTCAGAAGGGGAAGTCGATATAATAAGATAGCATTCTATATTTATAAAGGGAATCAGGGAAGATGTGACTAAAGAAGATATTAAAAATTTCTTTAATTAAGTTTTTGATACTCTGCATATCAAAGTTCTATCAGTTGTGATAATTCCCAAATATCCCATTAAGGAAGTCAAGAATCAGAAAGAGAACGAATTATATTTGCAAAATAAACATCAATTGCTTATCAGCTGTTTCTCTCCAAAATTATAAGAAATTCCTTAAGTTGAACCTAACAGTGGCCATGCTATTATAACCTTCGATACTGTTGAAGCAGTGAATCAAAGCCTCTAGCGATTTAAGTTTGAGTTTAAAAGCTGTCATAAAGCTGATTCTGACAATATTGAAGATGATAGAATCAAAATAAGCTAAACTTATCTTTTGGCATTTGAAGCCCCAGATCCTTTTGATGTAATTTACTTATATTTAAATACTACTTTAAAAAATTTAATGTTAAGAAGGTTTTTTATGTAAATCCTTCTTATTTTGGTATTGCTTTTTTTCACAACTCCAACTAGCATTATAGAATTTATAGGGTTTGATAATTCAATTGGAAAATAAGAGGATGAAGGGGACATATCTGTATTTAGATAATATTTCTCTTTGATTTTAGTTGTATTGATAAACAGTGCTCTACTTATGTTGATTTAATTATCATCTAGATGGGAAAGACATATAAGTAAATCGCAGTATTAAATTAAAATTTTCAATCCTTGTGTATTTTATTTGACCATGAATATGTTGGTAATTCCAGCAATTTCATTTTTGGCTGTTCACAACGTGTATTAAATTGTAATGCAGGGTGCCACAAATATGATCTCAGCAATACAAGCTGTTTATTTTGTATTTTGATTAATCTAATATTAGTTGAACAATGGGAGATTTTTCATAGGAATATTAATCTAAGCTGGTTGTGTATCTTTAATAACAATGTTGAGATTGGATGAAATATTTACAAGCTACATAAGTGTTCAATATACTGAGTTGAAAAGAAAGCATTTTAAGATATACCCTCATCTCTAACCTCTTGGAGATATTTTTTCGTATGGATACTATTATGGATTGTAAATCGCAGTCCTCTTTATAGTGATGACATTCTCCACCAACATCCCATTTATTCATTTAGCAGGTGTCTTCTATTCCATGTGTAGATTTTACGTGGACAGTTTGAATCTGTAAACAGTCTTTGGCTAAGAAATCAAATCTAACAACACTCTGATTTATCGAGTTTTGATCACTAGCTTTTACACCATATATCCAAAGTTGCTTCTAAATTTGGTCATGTTTGTGTTGGAATGGAATACAAAGTATACTCTCTTAACAATTGCTACCTTCATCATTTCAGTGATACTAATAGTATAGATCTAGGTTAAACTTGATCGGTTCACTAATTAGAGCATACTTGCCGATAACAAAATAAACCTAATTATGAATTATAATATTTATTAACATCCACTTGCAAAGTGATATATTTATATTATTTAATGAGTATTTCAAACGAGAATTAACAGAACTCATTTAGTTTACAGGAGGAGATCTTTCAAGGGCCAACTCCGATTATGCTCTCTGGGAGGATAGTTGTGGGAGATGGGGATTCGAGTAGATTTATTCCAGCTAGTTGGAATTCTTTCACTGTTCCTGATTAAATGAAGTTGGCAGACATAAGTGAGCAATCCATATAGGCTGTTCCTGTTGAGATGCATAAATCAACGAAGGGAATGAAAAAATCCGAATATCAATCTGCCTATGTAGCAGAAGACGATGTCGAATCTAATGGGAAGCCTCAGTTTCTTAAATTGATAATAGCAAAGAGTATCCAGAACAATTTCATTCACAACCTTTGGAATAGATCTTACCTAAGGAAATTGGATTAATTGTCTGGCTATTAGGTTCAGGTTTTGGACGATTTACAATTAGAGAATGAGACATACTATCAGGATTAGAGGAGAACTCTTACAAAATTGGAGGCAATCAAGAGATTTTTCTCCTACATTGAGGTTTTTACACCTTACAGTTAGTTCATCTTTATTTGGGGCCTATTTTAAATTTTAATATACTTATTGATATTCTTTTGGCTTCCTTATAAGATTTCTTTCAAACTGGAGTCAATAGGGGAATTCTTGGGGTACAACGAGACGAAGTAGATCCTGGAAATTTTGTTTTTGTCCATCCTCAGTATGGACGTGTTTGTGGGATTGAACTTGGCCTTTATCTACAAGGGAATAATAATTAGAAACAGAAAGAGAATATTAATAAATTACTTTCGACAATACGCCTTTGTTGATTTGGTATCTTATTGTGAATATATAAGGATTCAAGGTTTCGCTCAGTACGATAACCCTCCAGTTTTTCATTCTGACCAACAATGGAGATTCCAATTAAATGTTGGCCATTCAAATAGCATTATGTGCTGTATTCTACGTTCTCAGGATGACCAAGATTAACAAGATCCTAGCATAAATATAAGAGTATCAATAAGTAATATCGAATAATAGGTTCTTCAATTTGTACGGTTCCTTAAATGATTTGGTGGGCTTATTGAAGTTAACAATGATAATAGTATTTATTGCTCATATTTGTGCTTGTGTTTGGCATGGGATAGCCTTCTACAATGACGGTTATTCTTGGCTGGATGCTTATGAATTGAGAGACAAAGGAAATGCCTCCAAATACAATACTGCAATATATTGGGCCACAATGACCATGACAACAGTAGGCTACGGAGACATTACAGCCAAGAATAATCTTGAATTGTTAATCAATAATTTGACGATGCTCATAGCCTCCATAGTCTTTGCTTATTCTGTAAATAGTATAGGAATTTTTGTATCCAACATGTACAAAGGAGCGATGGAATACAGCAGAAGTGTGACATTAATAAACACATTCATGTCTAAAAACAAAATCTAATTTGAATTGTAAACTAGAATACGGAGTTATTTAGAGTATATATGGTAGGAGGAACAAAATATGAATGACGAAGAAGTAGTAACTTTGATTAGCAAATTGAGTAGTAATCTATAGGAGGAGTTACAATATTAATTGAGAGGGAACATATTGAGCAGCTGCAAAGTCATGATCAAAACCTTTTCTTAGAAAATGATAAAGTCTTTGTTGGGCTAAATGGAGGAACAGAGTTTCTCTCCAGAAGAGAGGATCATCACTATTAATTAAACTGATGACTCATCTTTATACATAATTACAAAAGGGGAAGTTGAAATCATCTTTGAAGGCTTAAACAGTTTAAATGAGAAAACCAAAAGGAACAGTCTAAAATTCTTATCTTAAGGTGATTATTTCGGAGAATTAGGATTCTTTACTGGTTAATCTAGAAAGGCCACTGCTATTTCAAGAGCATTTACAAAAGTATTCAAAATCAAACGAGAAAACTTTATCAAGATCTTGCTTTCCTATCCTAATGATTATGAAAAGTACTGCCAATTGAATCATTCCTTAATGTAATAGGACTATAGTGTCCTATAAGTAAATTGTTACAGTTGCTAGAGTAATAATCATCTAATTGATAAATGTCATTATGTACATCTCTGTCCAGACAAAGAAGCTATACTAAAAAGAGAACTCTATCCGTTTGATTAAAAAAGGAACAAGGTTAGAGGAAGATAAGAAAGAGATAAGGAACTCAGTCCTTGGATCATATAAAAATATGTAATGACAAAAGCCAAAGAATTGCAGCAAGAACTCTAGTATTTAGCAAGTAAAGGCACAGATTTTGAAGATTTGGACCAACATTCAAATATGATGAATGATGTTTATGAGGATGAAGGTTTATTTTATATTCATTTATTTTAGTTGAAATCGATGTACCATCTTCATTAAATCAAAGGAGCAATTCAAGAACATTTAGTAAATTAAGTCAAAAGCAGACTTAATTAAATTAAATTCCAGAAGTAGAAGAAGATGATTAGAAAAATTATTCGAGAAAGGTAGCACTTCCTAGGACAACTCTTTAAACAGCTGGGTTTGGAGGCGGAATGAGAGATAGTGTGCATGTTGATATTATAAGGGATGATGACGAATAAGAAAGCTCTGATGAAGAATCAGAAGAAGAAAAAGATCAAGTCCCTATGCACTTGCCCATTCCAGCGAATAAAAGCCAAGAAGTAGTCAGAAATCAATAATCGAAAATAACTTTTACTCGGAAAGAATCAGCTGAGGAAATCATACCTCGTTCATCAACCCAAAGATCTCACACTTACACACAAAAAGGAAGAAACTCTTAAACTATTAAGAGGACTTTGACTCCGGAAAAGATATATCCTCCCACTCAATCTGATTTAGAAATTAGAAATCATGCAAGAAGACCTACATCCAAAAAATAATCAAATGCTACCAGAACATTTACTAGAAATCAAGGAAGAGAAATGACAAATGATGTTAATCCTACTTCTTTCATGGACAATTAAACCTATAATTAGCATACATCCACAACAATTCTAGCTTAATTCGATAAAATGTAAGCATTCTTATACTACTTTCCCTTTAATAATTATGATTCAGTTATAAAAAGGTACTCTCCCATTTCATATATAATAGATATACGAGATTACAAAAGTTTTTTGGCAAAAAAAGGCTATATCCAGAATTTTCTAACTTTTCCTTCTTCTTCATGACAATTAAAAAGGGATGGAAATTAAGGAGGTTAGGAGATAAATTAAGAGGAAAAACCTTTGCAGACACAATGAAAAAACCATTATCGAAAACGATTCAAAGCTTTAAGACAGTTAAAAAAGTAATAAATAATACAACTGGATATGGAGGAGGTGGTACTTCACCATAGCGATTACATTCCTTTAAATGATTTAAATATTTTGAGTTTTTAATTCGATAAACATAAGATATAAACTAATTTACTTAATATCAAATAATATGATTTATGTAAATAGAAGCACTCAAAAAACAAATTATATTCTGTATATACAAAATGTACAAAAATTTCATTAATTAGACTCTTTAGAGATCTCATTGTCTTCTCATTTATTGATTTTATAAGAAGACTTTCATCTATTTCAAAAACTTTTCGTCAATACAATTCATTTCAAAAGATGAATTAGAAGATATTGATTAATTTTTTAGAAATTCTTAATTTTACATTTTCTCCTATTTAATCTTATCAAATATCTTCTTCCATTCCTTTTTATCCGCATTTTCCATATACACAGTTGAATGAATTTTCATATCTGTCAATTTTTGTCTGAGTGGTTCAAAATCTGAATATTCAGCTTGCATTTCAGAATATCCAAAACTTATTAGGCTAGTTCTTCTTGAGGCCTATCGAACAAATTATCTATTAAATTTAATTTAGCTATTTTCTAATTGAATTTTTTATTGAGAATCTTGTTTCTATTCTTGAATCTAATGTTATTCCTCCTCTTCCTCTGCTTGAGTACCATTATCAGAATATCTGTGAATGAAAAACAATTAGCTCATCAATCCTTAAGGTATTAAACACATTTTCAAATTGTTTGATTATAACAAAGCATTCTCTAAACTATGTCTTTCATCTTCCTTTTATAACTCCTCTTATGAATTTTGCATAATCATGACTTATTTTTAAATGCTTAGATTTTCGTTAATTTATAGGCTCAACAATTATTTTTATAGTTTCGACTATAACAAATAAGCGATTTCCTTGTGACTCCTATCCATAACATTCAAGCATTTGGGGCAGAATTATGTTAAGGCCCCAATTTGCAAGATTATTTTATCAATAGAGATGATGGATTCATCTTAGACCTATTCAAGAATGGATTTGATTATCCAACTTTCCTCTTGAAAGAGATCTTAGACGATTGAGATTAGCAATGTGATTTCTGAATGAGAAGATGTGATGTCAATGTAATTGTTCCATTATTTAAATAGATCGTGAATATCCCCTTACTTCAGTAGTTTCTCAAAATCCAAACATAATGATTTATTTTAATCAATCAATGGAAATCGAACATTAATTGAATGGTTTTAAGTCTAAGATAGGGATATGATTTTACATTTTAAAATACTATTTTTAATGATGCCACTAACATATTTGATTTAGTATGCTCTAATTATTTGGTTTTCCTTTAAATTTCATAATTTTGTTAAAGTTTTTGAAATTTGTTTAAATCACTTCTGATAAGTTACATATTTTTCTTATATTTATTCCTTCTATTGATCTCATTGACTAAGAATTTTATTAGGTTTTCGTCAGTTTTTTCTTCGATAATTCTTTATTAAGAATTACGTAAAATTGACATTTGGAGGGTTTCCGAGATGTCATTGGTGTAATTATCAAAATATTCTATAAAATAGTATATTGTATACTTTCTTTATTGTAGGTTAGACAATTTAGATAGGACGTGAGCAAAACTGGGTTACTTTGATCTGGATAGAATTTGTGGTAGAGAATGAATAAATATTCTAACTAGAGAATGAGCTCCATGAGTTCCTTGGTTTCATTTTCATCGAATCCAGGAGCGTTCCTACTGAAGGTCTAATAGATAGCGTTGGTTGATTCATGTTTTTTGACATATAAGAAGCTCTTTGCCCTTCTAAATTTAGAAATTTTATCTATCGTTTTTCCTTCTTATGACTTTTAGAAATTGTATATCGTTTTATTCAAGTTGTACGCAAAATCATCGAAATCAATAGAGTTCAATTTGTACTGTGAATGGGATCTGGATGCCTTGAATTCTATGAAATCAGCCTGTGCCATCATATCAAATTTATTAATATTGAAAAAATATTCAAATATTACACAATCCTTTAATCTCTATTAATACGCAATAAAATTTTATATGAAAGAATTCCCATTCATATTGAGTTTGATTCACTATATTTAGGTATTTTAAAATTATGTTTATTATTTATTTTCATTATAAAAATGGAAAATCTTATGCACTCAAATTACCATCCTTTTTTTATTAGTTCTATGATTGCTCCAACTGGTTTAGAATTTCTTATTTAACTTTCTTTTTATTCTATTGACTTTCTATTCTATTGATTACTTAAAACTAACTGGACTATTCTTGTTTTCGTGGTTATTGAGGATCATAAAATAGAAATCCATTTAATTCTAAACCTGTTTCACCGATCAATTTCAAATAATCACTCATCTGGTTATTCATAATTACTTTATTGGGGAAGGTTAACCTATTTGTGTGATCATTTTTATGATGAGGAGTAGCTGTTATTTAGAAATTATTTGGTATTTTAATTCGTTGATTTTTATATTTATTTAATACTTCTTATTTTGCTTATAACATTTACTAGTACTTTTCCCACCTTATTAATTTTAATCTAACCATATATTTATAGATAAATACTCTTTTTATGCATAATTGCATTCAAATAATTTAGGCATTTTATCCCATATCAATTATAAATTGTAAGTAGTTTTCATGATTGCCAGCCATTCAGGGTCATAATATAATTCAACTGGTTCATTATTGGAAGCAAATTCATTATACACATCTAGCCCTTCTTTTGTATATGTAAAGAATGATAGAAATTCTCTTCCTGGTAGACATTTATCCAGAGCTAAAAATCTATTAAACTCAATAGATTTTAATACTTTGTTTATTTTTTTGATTGATGATTTACTTGAGCCTCAAATTTTACATGCATGTGACCAGCAAACCAAAAGTTAGGCTAAAGCTTATTTAATAAATGGAGATGCGAAATGCTACCAAATTTTCCTTCAACAATATCTGCTTCAAAATGTTTTTTTCTACGAATCAAATCATTGGTATTCCCATGTTTTTCAATATCTAGTTAGAATGAAATCTAAATTTACTTAATGGCCAATCATGAGATAAAAACATAGTTACATCTCCTTCATACATACATAATTTATATAAATCAAATTATTTGATGTGATATACCGAATGTAATTAGTCTTATTCGAATGGGAAATTTTCTAATTTAGAAATATAAAAATCTGAATTGTTAAATATCCCTGAGTTTCCTCCTAATTTAAATGTAGTTTTCCCTTTTTTCACTTCGATTACATTTGAACTCCCCAAGTAATAGATATTTGGACAAACCCAGCCTCCAAAATGCCTAATAAAATTAATTGTTTTTGTACATTTCTCTCAAATAATTAGATGCCTCATGATTTCCTCCAATAAATATTGTTAAACAAGGAGCTATTCTTTCACCTGTATAGTATTTGTGAAATGAACCCATTTATAAATATTTCTTAGGACATGCCATGTTATACATATCATTTTTATTTCTCATAGTTTGAACATCTCCACAAACGAGTAATTAAATCAATTTTAATTTATTTTTTTTTCTCGAACTCTACAACTTCAGCAAATATCTCATCAAAATTGCCATGAAAGCAACCTTCAACTGCTATATTAATTCCTTCAACTTAATACATAATAATCAATAAATAATATTTATAAATGCTAATATAAGGATATCAACAAATTTTAGTCTAGTTCTAATCAGAATTAAGTAAATCTTACCTCACTACTTACAGATTATTAAGTTATTTTATTTTCAATTAGAATTCTTCAATCTAGTTCAAGACAATCAATATAGATAATTATGTTTTATGTATAATAATCACTAATTGAAAATTTGTAAAATTAATAATATTTTTTCAAATAAATATTCATTCATTTACACGTTTGGAGCAGTCCATGTAAAACTACAATTTTGGATCATTCTTTTTAATCTTATATACTCTATTTGTAAATCCTCTAGGAGTAGGAGTTATTGAGAAATCTTACCAAAATTGGTCCTTTTATGATTATTACTTAAATTTTAACTATCTTAAATGATAATTAAGATTGAATTAAAGATTTGGAACATGCTAAGTGGGTGAATTTAATCTTTGAATGGATGATTAATTGCTTTTCGGTAGTTTTTCTATGAATTCCAAATTTTAACTTAATTCACTTGGAACAAACCTCTTTTCTCTTCTACTTTTTTGAGAACTCTAGAGAGTGCGCTTCGATCGATTGGTTGATAGCTGACAGGATGTTTATGTTTGACTTAGAGAATTTAGGGCAAATTGAAAATTCTAGACTTTCTTAATTGGAGTATACTTTTAAGATCTATTATATTAATGTCTAAGTAGATGACAATCCAAAAGGGATTTAGCAGTGTTTAGAATACTCACCTTTTGGCCATTAACTGAAAATTCATAATTCATTAATTTATATAAATAATCATTAATTAATTTTCTGCAATTCTATGTAACATTAAGAAAATCTTTTCAAAGCTAAATAGTATAATTTTGCTTTGATTAGATATGTAAAATTATGGACATACTATGTTAATTGAGCATAAGTGAACTCTTTCTATTCAAAATAGTCTTATCTCATTTCGTATTTATTGATAATAACCTTTCTTGTAGTTTAGAATAATTAGTATTGATAAATAGAATGATTTTTCTTGTTCCGAATGACTTGAGTACATACAAAGCCATCTCCTGATTTTTGCTTAGTTTCCTTGGATAATTAATCATCACATTCAGAGATGATGTGCTATTAGATTTCTGGTAATTGATTAATCTAAATTTGTGACAATCGAGCTAGATTAAGGTAGTTTTATGTTTTAATTTTTTGAGTCAGATAGTGACACATTTCGATTATGTCACTAAGATTAATTTTGCTATTCATATAATTAGATTATGATTTATAGAGACCGTCTGTAACTAACTAATTCATTATTTCTCTAAGGTTTATCCTTAAATCTTTGTATTGATAATTTGCCAAACAATAGTACCTCAAATAAATATTGTAACTGGATGATGCTGAATAAAGAATAGGTTTTGCAGGATCAAACAAATCAATTCCCTTTTACTTCTATTTCTTCTCTAAGAAATACTCAATATATCCTCTACTTCCATTGTCACTCCGAAATTATTTCGTACACAGATACTCTAAGATTGAGATCTCATTTAGATTACACTTAATTACAAAGGGAGTCTTACCAAAATTTAAGTTCTGAGTCATATATATTTCTTATTCTAATATGAGATCCCTATACAAATTTCTGCACTCCGATTATACTTTGTAGTTATACCTGATATTTTCATCCGTTTACTTTTTTTCTAAGTACTCTTTTCCTATAATTCTATATTTCTTGTTTGATTCATTGTCAAATAGTTCTACTAATCTATCAAATAAACTGATGTAACTTTTGAGTTACCTCTTTTCTTTACGAACTGATAATTAAAATACTTGCTATTACATCAATTTCCAAAACATTATCTCTAATAAGTAGCGTTTGTCATTCTTTCTATCACCACTATTTAATTATCTCGTAAAATCAATGATCTACAATACTTTTTAGCACATATCCTCATTCTTTCCAATGGCTTAATTGATAACTTTTGTTTTGATATTAATTTAAGAAGTCTGTGCACAAATCCTTGTCTTCTTTTGATTTTTCCAGTCCTGAAACTAAGCTAAGATACATCAATAGATTGTCTCATAATATGCAATTTTGTCATCACTTAACTATTTAATTTGGAGCTTCTCCTATATTTAAGTGATCCTCTTTGTATTTCATCAACTTGACTAGTTATATCATTGAAAGTAGTAAACTCAGTAACATTCAATAATTAGAATATCATACCTAAACTAAAATCCATTTCTTAAATTTAAATTAAATTAATATTGGTCATCAATCTTTTTTTGCTTTTTGGAAAATAATAGATGATTTAAACAAGATCCAATACTGTATGAGCTTGTATTGTAATTATTACGAATTCGACCTTAATCAATTTGTAATTCTTAAATTGAAGAAACATGCATTCATTTAAAAGTGTTATTTGATTGTTTTGTTTCACCACATAAAACTTCTCTATGTAATGAGCTATTACTCTGAAGATCTTGTATCTTTAACTTAAAAACTATTTAGCCAGACTATAATCATACGAATGAACTCTCTAATATTCATTAAGGATGCATTTTTATGATCTTTTAGCAATCCAAAAGGAGGCTAGTTTTATATCTTGGTATGATTTAATTATTTACATGACTGAAAAAGGGGTTTTATATAGAAACTTTTTATCAAATTTTAAATTCACAACAAACTCTTAACACCATTAATAAATTAAATTGGGTGAGAAATAGTTATAAATTTCAAATCTCTGTTCAATGTCAAATTTATTGAATATTAGAATATATTTCTTTAACTTTGAGTCAAATTCATGAATCTGGAGACTGATAAACAAGTTCTCACCATCAAACTTATAAATTTATTCATATTTTGTAGAGTAATATGATTCTTGCCTACCTAAATAGAAAACCTTAACATTCGCATAACATTTTGCTTTATTAATGGTTTCAAAAGTAAAAGTGAAATCCAAACGATTTAGATAATTAACTAATTCTTTTGAATCCGATAGTAGATACGCCTTAATCTTACTGTAATTCGGGAGGGATGCTCTAATGGTACAATTGAATTTCTCCATTCTGATTCTTAAAAAGCAGTTTTCCTTCAATAGAATAATAAACAATCTTCTATATAGAGATAACTTCTGGTATTGCTTTTATTAGGTGTACTTACAACTATTAAGGAAAATACGCGCATTATTTGAATCCAATATCAAAGGTTATCTCAACGTAGTTATATTGATCATCCTTACTCTTTATTATGACATAATTACAATGATAAATTTATCTCTCAGCCGAACAACTACCAGATTGGGATGTTGGAATGTATCAAACCTTTTGACACCTTACGACCAAAAGATTTGTTTTTAGTCATAATTGTATTCCTAGGCTACTTCCAATTACTTAGAAGTATATTCTGGTTTGAGTTCAATCTAATCAATCTGTTAAAATTATTAATCGAAAATTGAGTGATATTCAAATTTAGATTAAGTTTCTCGAGTTTCCTTCATTTTCCTTAAGTCTTTCTCCTCATGAGGATATATGCTATATTTCAAATATGTTTAAGTTGTATTATACAAACTGTGATGATCCATTTTCTCAATAAAATTTAGGTTAGATGAAAGTATGTGTTGATATTAGGCTTTTAAGGTAACTTGTCTATTTTTAAAATTTAGAGTAATCAAATGATTTAATATTAAGTTGATTATTACCGAATAATTTGCTCTTTCGAATATCAGATTCTTCAAAATTTAATTAATTTCAAAATGATCAAAAATTGAACTATCCATTATTTCCTTAACTGCAAGAGCTAATTTCTCAAAATGAAAAACACTAATGCTTAGAGGCTAAAAGATTCTTTCGTTTTTTCTTCTATATAGATTAGTCTAATAGAAATATTAATCTGTGTTTTATTTGTCTTTTTCAAATAATAATGCTTCAATTTATAATTAAAATTTAGATGTATCAAATAACCATTGTAAAGTTTAAGTATTGATTGAAAATAATTATGTTGATTCATTATGAAGTGAATACCTTGGTCTCATTCTATCCACATCTAATAGCAATTTGTCTAATACTACATTACCATTATAACATAAATGAATACTCAATTAACATGTTTTACTTACTTATCCCAATAGTGCATCATTTGATTGTACTAATATTTCATTAATATCTACGAAACAAGACTGAATGAATATCTTTTTGGTTTCTTATTGATTTATTTTTGATATCAATTGATCATTGAAAAATTCACTATTGTTATGTAAGAATCGGAATTGCAATATTTAATTCAGTGTTTCTTTATTTGTTTGAATATAAGCTACATATTCTTTTGAAAGGTTCTAAATGTCCTAAGTTAATTTTCTTTTGTTTTCTAATAATTTTTACTCCAAAACTAAAATGTCAATAAGTATTAATCTAATCATAGGTAAATTAATGATGTATTATTTAATCAAATCTGAGTCAATTGTCTCAGATAACTATGGTAATAAATCATATGTAGTTCCTATCTTCTTTTTTATTTTTACTATTTGATTGTTTTGCAGATAAGTGATAATTTTTTAGGTTTCAACAATCGATTAGATGTCAAGTTCAGTGAGTTTTCTTCTTGACTTAAGAGAGAGTCCTTAAATAAAAGAGGTCTTATACACTTTTGCTGATGGGAGATGGTCCTTATTCAATAAAGCCAACTGTCCCTTCTATCTTAAATATATGAGCATGTAATCCTTCACTGTAGGCCAAACAGTGTTACAATTCTTATTAACTTCAAAGTCAGGCATAGTGACAAGTGGAATATCTAAACGAAAATGATATTACTGACGACCTTCTCCTTTGAAGAATAGAGCAATACAACTCTTATCATAAGTTACATCATAATAAGACACTGACCAAACTACAATGTTTCTATAAAAAACAGAAATGTATCTGAAACTAGGATAATATAAAGTTTAAATATATTTGACCCAATCATCGCAAGTTTTTGATGGAATTTTTAAGCCTGGATGTCTACAAAAATTTTTAAATTTATTTTAAGCCTTCCAAAGCATTCCAAAAACTCCAAGATTTTCCTTCTTTGCCTCTAATTAGAGCTTCTCTTTTTCTTTCTCCTTGTCTTCCTACTCTTTCTTCTCCTATTACAGTTGAAACACTGGAACATTTTCACTCATAAATATAATATCTCCAAGTCTTCTTTTGAATGCTCTTACTTTTGTAGATTTTCTTGCCTTCTCAATAGGTTTAGAACTAGCAATAGTTCTTTTATTGACCTTAAAGACCTTCATTCTAAAACACATTTAAATAAATCTGACTCTTTTTAATACTTTCTCTGAGAAAATATCTTCAGCTCTTAATTCTCTACTAGACTTTTTTTAGAATATGATTTTTGAAGCTTTTCTTCTTTATGAAAGTCCTTCATTCAATCTTCTTTGTATTTCTCTAACTTAAGCCACCTTTATCGCATTACTTAAAACATCATCTTCATGTAATACATTTTGGATATATTTCATCGAGGGATTTGAAGTTAAAGCTAACAATCTTTCCTCAATTTTTCTATAGTTAATAAGACTCAAATAATGTTTTGCTACAAGTCGCGCCAATTTAGGAGATGTTATTTTAGAGTGAAGTCGCTAAAACATCAAAGCTGTAATGATAGTGGATATTTTAAAAATGGTATCTGTTTATTTTTCTCTTATTTTTGTGTTCTAAGACAGTTATTGGAAATCTTCTCCGACTGACTCCAGTTAATTTTTTTCTTTCGATTTTTCTATTACATTAAGGCTAACTTTTAATAATTTATATTTAGCAGCATTGGATTTTTTAGATAAAATTGATGTAAGAGAATTAATTTTAGGAGTGGATTCTCTTTATTGATTTAGCTTTTCCTTTTCTTTTTTCTCCATCTCCACTTATTGCATCAGCTGCATTTTTTTTTATTTTTCTTGTTTTCTCAATTCATCTTCTTAATTCATTTACTAGATTATTCTATATACCTTAGCAGGCTTAACCTCAGCTTTAGGCTTCTTAATAAAAGTAGAGGCTGTTCTTTATCTAGCTGTTTCAACTAATTAGGTTCTCAAAAGCAAACCCTCAATTTGAGATTGTGTGCGCACATGTTATTTTTTTAATTCATTAACATCTTAATCCCGACTACTAAAGAAATTATTTTCTTGAACAGTTTTAGGAGTGGTTTATTATGATAAAATTTTGAAAGAATTATTGTTTATGGAAACATTTGGTGTTTTAACCTATTGTGCACTATTTGGAAGAGTAGTGAATGAAATTTAAAGATTTTGTAATTTTTTCAGATAGTTAGACCTAGTCAGTTCTGCTTTCCCTTTATTGAGTTAAGACTTCATTGACCTAGAAATCTCACAGCAAATTAAGGTATTTTAATAATCAGAAATTTATTCACAAAAATTTTCACTTTTAACCCAATATCTTAAACTCCGCAATTGTAGATAAACTTATCATATTGATATTTGTAAAAACTAAAATATTGAGACTTTAAGAACCAATTTCATAAAATCAAAGTCAATTTCTATTGCACTTTTGATGAATAATACAATAAATTTAGTACTCAATTCTAATGTATTTTATTTTCTTCAAATATTAATTATTGTTCTTCATATTTCTTACTAAAATTATATCAATAAAATTTTGCAAACAATTACATTAATAAATAAATATGCAATTTATAAATAATGATAGCCTATTCAATTTTAGTTCGGAATCGAATGAAGAAATTGATGTTGTTCCTTCAGAACATCATCTCAATCTACAAACAACAGTAGTTAAAGATAAATTCTACTAGAATCTTTAAAGTTCTATTACAATGCTCAATCAGATGTTGGGATTATCCTAAAATATCCTCAATAAACAAAACACCAAAGAAGATGTATCTAAAAAGATTCTGTAATTAATTACAATTGCATCAGAAGGATTAATGCAAATCGAATAAATATATTCCTTGATAGAATTAAAAGAATTCGGAATTCATTAGAGACATTAAAATTACAATTAAGCCCAATCCTACAACTCAATAAATTAAAATACAACCAATATGGTTCTTGATTATTTAAACCATTTCATCTTGAATAAAATTTTAGAAATTCTAAATAAATTTCCTAATCAAGATAAATAGCAAAATAGAAAATTCTCTATCTATTGCTCTAAATTATAATCCTGTATAGAAATATTACCTGGTGCTACTAGTGTAATGTAGGATGACTTATTTTCTCTTAATTAGTAACATTTATTTTGGCAACAATTAAAAAACCATATAGAAATTAAATAATTAGCTGATCATGAATAAGTAAGATAATCTTATGACAAAGTGTGTGAGGGTATTCTTCTGGCAAATGCTATGATATCCAAAGGATCTGAATATGAGGGATAAATAAAACAATAATTTATGTAAGGATTGGGCTTTGTATTTTATGCTTTGAATAAATAAAAAATGAAAAGTAGAGCAAATCATTTTCTAGCAGATCCTAAAAAGGAAGAGGTTTTTAAGGCTTGGAATCTTCCTGAACAAGGTCTTGTCAAAATGCTCTTGCCAGCTGTGTTTCCTTTCATTAAATTTAACTAGAAGATTTATATTCCAAGATATTTTAGATGTATTTCATCTGAATATATTCTAAACCAATATAAAAGATCCACAATCAATAAAATTAATAATGATTGCGGCCTATTTTACCCAGAAAATAGGATTACTTTAGAAGATTTATTGACTAAAAAGGAAAGTTCAGATAGAGTACAAGTTAGAATTCTGTGTCATGAGATCTTAAAGCCAAAGAAGCAATCGTTGTTATAGCAATTTGTAGGATAAATAATAAAGAATGATACTGTTTTTGATAAAATTATTATTCACATACGTAAATTAATATATCTTAAATTTATATAGATGGAGGCGGTTTTGTAGCTATGTCTTCTAGATCACATTAAACATACACAAGAAAATGGGCCAATGCTTTGAAAGTACCCATCTTCTCAATAGATTACAGAATGGCACCAAATCATCCTTATCCTGCAGGACTGGATGACTGTTGGTAAGCCTATATGTTTATTTTAACATTCATTGAATAATATTATAACGTAGTTCCAAATAAGGTTGTATTAGTGGGGGATAGTGCAGGAGGCAATCTAGTTGCTGCATTGACTATTTAAGCCATAAAAGCAGGCGTTAGAGTACCTGATGGTGTATTGTTGGCTTATCCTGCGTTATCTTTGGACATAAAGCAATTCACTCCGAGTTTTTTAGTATCCTTGGATGATTCGTGTATAATTGTTTTTTCTATATAAGTGCTTCACCATACGGTTTTGAAGTTATGTTTAAAGTCATATATTTAAAAGGAATTCAATCCGAATTTGGATCCAATGTTATCCCCGTCTAAAGCTAATGACGATATTCTGAAGAGGTTTCCTAAGACGAGGATATAGGTTGGAACTTATGATCCTTTGCACGACGAGAGTTTTCGGTTGCTATAGAGATTGATACAATTGAATAGAGATGCTAGATTAATTGAATATTAGTCTATGCCTCATGGGTTTTTATCATTTGATGTTATTAATGGCATGAGTGAAGCCAAATAAACAGTGTTGGATGCGTAAGATATTTTATCTGATCTGCTGAAATGAATTAATTAATCTTTTAATATATATAAATCAATTTAATGAGAGCCTAAAATCATCCACTAATTCACAATCCAACTTTGCCAACACTTTAGAATTTCGAAGATCCAATTGATTAGACTAATTTATATTATTTAAATGGAGCATCTCAAGAAAGAATTGTTTATCCTTTCACATAAAGAAATAAGGATAAAACAAAAAACTAGATTAGAAACAAATATCTGGACCCTGAGAATAATAAAAAAATGGCATTTTTTGAATAGTTACAAAAACATCAATAATATTAAGCAAAGATTGATAAAACTGTCTAATACATTTCATCCTCAAAGAAAGAACCAATTTAACAATCAGTTAGTTCAAATAAGGGATTATACAAAAACACAAGTTTCAAAGGTTCTGAAAGGAATAGGAATTTAAGTCAACGAACTGATTTAACTCCTCAGTCAGTGAAGGAACAATGCATTATTGAAGAGATTGTATAAAATCAAGATCTTATTTCAAAACAAAAGGGCCTATTGGAAAAAGTTTAGGATCTTAAGAAATTAAAATTATTAAAGTAATACAAATTCAATCAGTAATTCTGAATTATGTTTATTATAGTTATTACCTACCTGGTGTTGGCAAATCCCCCTACATATTCAACGATACTCATTCGAAATGTACCAATCCAGGGTATTCCAGGAATATAGAAGGAGGAAAGTTTTTCACTAGGTGATTAGTTTACATAAAATCTTCGTCATAATTTGTGTTTTCAATTCATTTATTTACTGAGAATAAAAATTAATTGAATATACAAGATTAATTGAGTTAGATTCTTTCTTTTCAAATAAAATGTGCTAATATTTTAAAAATTAAACTATTCATGGAATCAAAATCAAATTACAACAATGCATAAACTTAGTTAGACAACGAAGGATCATTTGTTGATAAATTAACATTGGAAATGAAACAACTGATCTTCAAGATAGTCACATTGATGTTAAAGATTGAGTCTCAATCAGTGATATTTCAGCTACTGATGAGACTCATTTAATATATGTAGTTGAATGCTATCTTATTTAATCGATAAATTTGGAAAATATGGCAGGTGACAACAGTGTCACGCCCATTACATAGTTTTTTCAAGTAATAATTTTACATATATTAGTTATTTTATGATTACCCCTTATTTTGATAAAGACAGTTTCTCATATTTTGTTGTTCTCATGTACGTTTGCTTGTCACTATTCTTGATATCTCTCATGCTTATATGCGTAATCGGTTTTTATTCGAATAAACAAAATCAAAGCTTTACTTGGGCAATCGTTATTCTCAGAACACTGATCGAATTTTTTTTGTCAATCTTATTCCTCCCCTTTGTTGATGTCTTCTTGGCTATGTTAGCCTGCTATTAGGATGACTCTGGAGACTTTCAGCATTATCTATTTGATGTGCAATGTTGGGCCAATGTACATATTGTACATGGAATAGTGGCCATCTTAGCTGTAATACTCTTTAGTTCTATCACTTTACTATTCTCAATGGTGTATTATGAAGTCAACTATTTGCCATAAAATTTAAATTCAAAAAAGCAAAGCAAATGCACAACTTATTTGTTATTATATGAATTGGTAATGGTTATATGTTACACTTATATGAATGACAAGCTCTATGAGTATGTTCATATTCTAATAATGTTAATAGGCAGTTTCCTTGTGTTTTGGTGTTTTCATGTTGAAAAACCATACAACAATCACGTAATTCAGAAATCCTATTCAATGTTGGTCACATTCCATCTATGGGGTGTCTCTATGCTTTGTTTTGCTAAATATCTTGAGGGAGTTCTATTTTTTGGAGTCATATTTTCTTGGATGGGAGGACTGCCTTTATTAATAATAACCTTACTTCGTCCCCAGAACGAATAATATGAAATTCTAATGACAAACATGGCCACTTGCTAGTCTCCTTAATAAATTTATAATTTGACTAATTTTCTATTGTAACTGCAATACGAGAGTTAAAACGATCAAACCTCAGGTTTAGTCATTGACGGTTTTTTGGATCATCACAAGATCACTTGTGTAAGAGAAGATTGCCATCTAAAGTTGAAGGGGTTACCGAATTATAGAAGAAACAAAATTGGCCTAAACGACAGCAATTTATAAGAGAGAGATGTAGATCTATGTATAGTATTATATTAAACGTACTTGAATTAAACAAAAAAGTTTTAAAATAGTATCAAATTGAGATTAAGATTTGCTATTTATATGTATGAGAAAATGAAATAAAAACAGAATGCCTTGATTGAATTTCAAGCAATCGAATAATTATTTCCTAAGTTCGATGAAGAGTTCATTATTTACAGATTTAAAAAATTAATAGAAGACGAATTAAATTCTAATGAGGGATATGGCAGTTTCGATCTTGGTAACGAATTATAGTTCCAAAATAACTATAAATCATTATAAAGATATATCGAAAGATCCTCTCTGTTGCATATGGATTTCTGGTCATTGTTGCAAGAAGACTTTCCTGATCTGAGCAAATTGAATGAACTCGGATAAAAAATAAACAATTCAATTGTTTAAATAGAGGATCTATGGAAGAAAATGCAAAAATAAAGCACCAATTTAACAAAGGCCCTTCGCTTATATGGAAAATTTCAAATAGAAGTCCTCCAAGATAAAGAACAAGGAGAAGAATTACTAGAAAAATCTAGGCTCATCTAATAGTAAGTCAATTTCAATAGGAATAAAGCAACAGCATCCTTTATCAATGCAGAAGACATAGGTCTTGAGGCCTTTCCAACAATAGTGATTGCAACAACAGTTGATAAGTTCTCTTAAATCACAAATCTCAATAAGGCTTGTTGTAATGTGTTAGCTTACAATAAATCGGAAATACTGAATAAAAAGATTACATTAATCATGCCAAATATATTTGCGAAGTTCCATGATAAATACATAGAGAAGTTTATGACTCTAAACGTTTCAAGTGTTTTTAATGTCGATAGATACATCTTTGTCAAGCAGAAGCACAATTATATTATGCCTAGTTTTTTGAACATTAGAATGCTATAATCATATGATGATTCCACTATGATAGTTGGATAATTCAAATTGATCAAATAATTTAAACCAATTTGTTATATTTTGACAGATACTGAAAAGATTATTGAATCTATCTCAGCTTCCTGCTTCTCATTATTAGGCATTGATAACAAATTGATTACTCATAACAAGATCTATATCAACGATCTCTTTCCTCAATTCTAAGATTAATTTAACTCATTTTTTACTAAATAAGGAGCCCCCATCAAATTTTACAATTCTCTTTAACAAACTAAATCACCATCATAATAGTTATCATCAGAATAACAAACTGAAAAATAAAAATCAGATAGGTTCTGTCAGATTTACTAATGCAATATGGCAGAAATTAAAGATTTTGAAAAGCAACTTGTAGGCTACTCTATTAAGTTAGAACTAATTTAAAATGAAAAATCATTTGGAACCCAATAGAATATGAGTTTATTAGCAGAAAAACAATAAACTGAATAACTAGTTTACAATTAGATGTAATTTAAATTCAATCCTAAAATCATGACTTTTGTAGCAGAAGTTGGAAATGAACTCAATTCATAAAGAGTTGACCAGTCTGTGAATTGGGATTAACAAGATCAAAGTTCATAATTAACATCCAATCTTGGAATGGAGAATCAGAAACCATCAACAGAAAAAAGTGATGATTTGCAAATACTGTCACATTCTTAAAAGTTAGATGATGGTATCAAGACTCTCAGACTATTTGAAAATAAAATCTAAGATATTGATGATAGAGATGATGTCATTTCTGAAGATGAAGATTCAGGAAAATCAAGTGTTTTCCAAAAAATTGATAATGATTCAATCGAAGTAGGAGCAAATGATAATGTGAATGTCTTTAGGTCACGAACAAATCTTCTCCAACTCATTAACATTTAGAAAACTCCCAAAGTCATTACCAAACTTAATTGGACTATGAACTTAGAAATGCTATCAATTGTAACTTTATCATTTGTTGCATTCTTCTTGACAAATCAACAATACAATAAAATAAGTGAATAACTTTACCTTGTTTAATAAGTTGGAATTAGAAATGCTGAATTTTTCAATATTATGGCACCTATGCAAAACTTATAAATGCAATAAATAGGAATCTGGATATTTACATCCGAAGCTGAAAGTGCCTAATACGAGAAAGATTAGAGAAAGATGATAAATGATACTATAAATACAATCAATTAGATTAATACAATCTTAACTCTGAATAGTGAAAATGATAATGCATAGCTTAAGGAATTGTATACTGAAAATGTTGTAACTATGATGGTCAGCGATGGAGTATTTCAAAAGTACGATTTAGTATAAGCAATGCAACAATTATTGAGTAAAGCTCTCATCATTAGAGACAAGTAATTAGCCTCTATGACAACATAAGATGAAGACTACAGGTTTTTGACATATAATCTTTTTAATGATTTTGCCAATCACTTATAAAACTCAACTCAACAATATTCCCTAGATCTAGCTTAGAAAACCGCTGACAACAGATAAGAGTTATTGAGTATATTGGGTACATCCTCAGGCATTTTAGGAGTCTCTTTATTATTACTAATATTCTTTTAGATATAGATGGCCAGAGGTCTCTAAGAAATTTTGGTCTTATTTTTAGATATTCCAGACAAAACCATTAAATTCTTATATTCTAAATGTGAAAACTTCTTATCAAATATATAAATAGGAGAAGATGATGAAATGCTATCAGACTTTGATGAGCTTGAAAAAGAAGAGCGAGAAGAATTGAATAGAACTCTAAAATAAAGAAGAAAGAAGAAGAAGTATAAGAATTCTAACAAAGAATTAAGAAACCTAATTTTGATTACTCTAATTCTAACTATATTATTCCAAAGCTATTTCATCATATTTTATTTTTTAAGTAGTTAGATGCTCACAAATTTAAATCAGATGGTACCTGAGATTAATTCAACTTCTTATTGTGAAGGATTTTATAAATTTGTTGAAAGTTCCGAAAGACATGTATTTTTAAATAGAGACATACCCATGACTGGCGTTGATCCATATTTTTTAATGAAATTCCTAATAGATGCACTATATTAAATTGATTCTTATTTCCATCAAGAACACTCTCTAAATATTGACATTCTCAATAGTATTTATGTAGACGCTTTCTAAGAAATTTTTATGCTTTAACCATGTGCAATATTTGCAAATGAAATGAAAACAGTGACTGAGAAGGAATGTTAAACCTTTGCTTCAGGAGCCATTGATTAAGGAATGGCTGTAGGAATAGCAAGATTTATAGAGAGCATTAGATTTCTGTTGACTGTCTATGAATAATTTTATGGTCATCCTGAAGTGTCATTTTCAAATGCTGTCAGAGGAAATGTTGTATTCAAGAATATTACTTAAAATTAAGATAATGTTACGAACTACATATATAATTTAAATAATTTTAAATAGGCTTAAGAACTCAGAATTATGTAAAGTACATATTTAAAAGGTAAAAGTTAATGAAATTATTATAGCTACATTCCGGTATTTGTTCCTCAAATTAAAGGAAGGAATCAATTAAGATATGAATAATTCTAAAACACAACTTTTAGCTTTATTTATTATATTTGAAGCCATTTTGTTTATTTTGTACTTTGTATTCTGGTTACCTTTGACAATTAAGTTGATTCGAGATATCTAAAAAACTAGAATAATGGTTCTGATGATACCATTAAAGGTAATTCTAAAAATAAGATCAATAAAATTATACATTAAAGATGTAATTCTGGAAAAAGCAATTGAAAAATGAATTTATTATTATTTTGTAAATAATTATTGAAATTAGAAAATTTATTTATCTTCATCCATTTTTTGAAGAGAAATAATATTTTAAATAATTTATTCTCCTACATAAATTTACAACTACATACGATAGCAATTATAAATTATAAATTGCATCATCTCCTCAATTAATTTTTATTCATTAAATTAAATTTTTTGACCTACAAATGGCTAAAAATCTTAATTTTTCAATTGGAATAAAATCATAATTTGTAGTTTTAACAAAAAAATTCTAACAATAGTTTATCCCTAATATCAGGATTTCACTATTTTTTCTCAAAAACTTAATATCATTTATTGTTTAATATTGTGTAATTGATCGTTAATTTTATTATTAAATATCACTGAATCTTGTATTGAAATTATAATTTATAAATCCATTCTACTAATAACTCAACTTAAATTTATTTTATAAACAATATATAATTATAATAATCAGAAACACCATTATCATTTAAAATGAATTCCTTGAGCATTCATAGCACAAAGCAATTAAAGAAAATCATCATTATCCATCTTAACTGGCCTTTTTTGGAACATATCATTTGTTTTCAATATTTCATTTATCTTTAATCTGAATGGATTTTAAGTAGTTTATTGTTTCTCTGGCTGTTAATTGTTATCTTCATCATCTTCTGATTCAGATTCCTCACCTTTTTATTAGTTTTATTTATCTTTTTTATCCTTTTTATCCTTCTTCCCTTTTCCTTTGACATCCTCTTCTTCCATAATAGATGAAATTAATTGTTTGACATTATTGGCAGGGTCATTCACTTTAATTCCTTCTTATTCGATTACATGAAAATTATGTTCTAAAGTTTTAAGTACGGATTTGTTTTTAAAGATGGCAGATAATTGTTTATTCTTCCTATTGAAACAAATTCTCAACAAACCATCCCATTCAATATAATTAATATTAGGAATAGGATTCTTTGGTTCTATTCTTACAACTGATGATTCTACCTTAGGAGGGGGTTTAAAGTTGTTTTTACCAACTTTCATCAAGTGATCAACTCTTGATAGCATTTAAACATTTGCAGATAGCCTACAATATAATTCATTTCCAGGTTTGGCAACTAATCTGAATGCAAATTCTTATTAGAACATTAAAACTGCGCATCTCCAAAGAGGTCTTTGAGCCAACAACTTAAAAACCAAGGGAGATGATATTTAATAAGGGACATTTGCTACACATAAATCAAAAAATGGCAATTCTGCTGTTAAAAAATCACCTTAGATTAATTTGAATTTATCTGAATATTAGGAGTACTTAAATCTTTTAGTCAATTCTATAACCATTCGAGGGTCTATTTCAACGCAAATAACTTATTTTGCTCTTTGTAATAACAATTCTGTCAAATTACCTGTTCCTGGTCCTATTTCTAATACAATGTCTGTTGGTCTAATAGCAGACTTATCTACGATCATCTAGAGAATTTATTGATTTATGAGGATGTGTTAACCAAATGATTTATTAAAAACCATATTTGATTTGCTTACTGTATTTTTCATCTGAATTAAAATAAAACAAAATTAATAAATTAATCACAAAATTTAAATTGCAAATTAACCAACATATAATTGTATAAGACTTAGCATCCAATGTAACAAATAACTAAATAGCATATTAACAATCAATCAAAACATTATTTAGTATTATTCATATAAAAAATAAAATTGAAGTATTATTAAATAAAAATTCACTATAGTTTTCGTATTATCTATAAATTTGAAGACTTTTTAGAGAATATTTATTTATATGATGAATATTGTACTACAAAAATTATAAAGAATTATAATTTCAAAGAAACGTATCTTTCACATATTAAATCCGATTAAATATTCATCTGAGAGAGAACAACCCTTAAGTTAAATATCATCTTTTTCATTAGAAAAGGATCCAGGCCAATATTAATTAGCAGATTTATCTTGGCTAAGCAATCCGATTAATTTATATATCTTTGCTATAAGTTAAGAGCAAAAATAGGTTGGATCTTCATTCTAGGTCTATGGAGTGATTATTATAGATTTTTCTTAAAGTAGTTTCTAAAAGCTTAGATGGTATTATCTCCCAACATTCTCCTTAACAAATTTTTCAATTTAGAGTAAAATTCGATATTCCTTCTTAAATGAAGCTACCTGTATACAACCCTAAAAATATAAAACACAGTTCTTACATTTAATATAATTCATACCATAATTGATTGGTCATCGAATCCCAGTCAAAAATTCCTACTCCATTTTGATCAGTTGCTTCTAACACATAAATAGCACCAGACTAATATTTTAGTATCATAGCCACATGATCTAATATATATAATTAATTATACCATAATTTGATCTGGTTACTAATCTTTGCAATTTAGAACTGTAGGATTTAGTTTGAAATAGGAGAATATCTCCGGTTTAACACATTTATCGAAATTAATCATTCGTGATTAATCTTTTTTTATAATACTTCGAAAATGGGTTCAAATAGAACTTAACTACTGGATTCTATCTAACATTATCTATGAATTTCTTAATCAAAAGGAACCATTAATTGTTGTAAAGTCCTTTAAATTAAAAGATTTTATCGTCATTCATGCACTTCAATCCAAATTCATATATGTCACTGTTTACATTTTGTTTTTGATAATACTAGAAATTAAAAAGACCTAGATTGAGAACAAAACGAGCCTTTTGTTTTTACTAATTTTAATAAAAACTTAAAATTCCATCCTAAAAATGACAATATATCTATTTGAACGGTGATAACAATTTTTTTGTTTTTTTTAAAATAAATCCTTCATACTAAACAAAATTTTCATGTGTAAACAATCCAGATTGCATTATGACTGAAGTTAAGGTTGCATTATTTTCAGTTCTCTCTGATTGCAATCCTCTAATTTGATCATTTTATAAAACTGCACTTTTATCTTCCCATCCTTATAAATAAGATAGTTGAGGTTGAATCTTCGATAATTAGATTAATCTATGTTACTCTGAATACATCAATCCAGACTTTAATTAAATAATTTCAGGAATTTAGGAGCAATCCTCAATTACTTTTGGAACTCCAACATGTGTAGTTACAATTGCAAACGATTGTTACATATCTTAAGGAAGATCTTAATCAAAGATATCAGACTAAATGCTGAGATGATTCATTTTTAAATATTATAATAAATATCTAAAGTATAATTAACATTTTGGTTATAACACTTTTATTATTCTAACAATTCAATTTCTACTATAGAAGCTTAATTAACCTTGTTATGAGCACACTCCAATAAGAGATCCATCCCTATTAAACCTAACAGCCCATAATTTGTCATCCTTTTTGTCAAAGGGGTTAAATTATTCAATACATTATCCAGATGATGTATCCCATAATCTAACTTTGTAATCAGATGAACAACTGACAACTAGCTTATCATCTATTGGATTAACATCAATAGAATTAACAGAATAGTGGTGTTAAAATGTTTTAATCTCCTTCATTTTAGTTAAATCAGTAAGTTTAATATCTCCATCATCTGAGCTTGAAAAGGCTTTGAAACCATCATTACTAAATTTAACAGATCTCACCATTTTCTTATGAATTTTTTTCGAATGTAATTTTCTCTTTTCAATAGGATCTTCGACAATATGCAATGATCCACTATCTGTTCCTACAGCAATATTCGAATTATTTGCAGCCAAAGCTGATGCGAATGAATTCTCTACTGAAAACACTGGAATTTCTTCTTGATTTTGATCCAAACCAAAGATGGATAATCTGCCTCCCTCTCCTGCAGTACAAATGTAATCTTTCAACCAACAAATATTCCAATTCTCCATTTAATCACAGGCAATTTCTCTCGATTTAATACTCTTCTTTAAGTCCCAAATACGTATAACGCTATCTAATGAACTTACTGCAAGCAATTCGCCATTATTTGAGAATTTTACATCCACAATCCCTAAAAAGTGTCCTTCCAGTCTTTATGGTTCATTTTCCTTTGATACTTTATCTTTCCATAATGCCACTGTTTCATCCAATAAACCTGCAGCTGTATAGTCTTGACTTATATCTAAAGACGATATTGATTCCCCTATAGTGTAAGTAGATGCCACAGAAACTTTGGACTATTATAGAAGCCATTCCTTACCATATTTAATCAAGAATATAAAATAAATTAATAATACTATTAAATTAATACATTCATTGTTTTAATGAATTCTTCACATCCTGAATTCTTGTTGTGTATTTCTCATAAAATTAGTGATACTTATCTTGAATTTCTTTTTACTCATCTACACTCATTGTTTTGAAATCTTTAGATAAATATGGAAATGGATTATTGATGCATGGCTCTTTCCAAATTTAAAATGACAAAACTGAACTTAGAATTGCATGTTTTTCCAACATTTAATCATCCTACTCTGGTTTCTCTAATTTGGGATATTGAAATTCTGCAAAGTAACTATTTTCTATTTCCTCAATAAAATTATTTTGTTAATTTGATATTGCTATTCTCAAGGGATCATAATGCAATGCATCTACAATAACTGTGACATCTTCTCCCTTTGAATTCTTCAAATAACGATTAATATTGAATAATAGGTAATATTCTATTCCCTTTTATTTCCACAACATTGTTTAGAAGTCGAATAAATAATTCAAATTATTCTCACTAATGCTCTTACTTTGAATTTCTTAACATATGTTATTGAACATCTCCTAAACATCAGATAACGATAAGAAGATTCCACTGGCTATTCTCTAATATATTTGCGACATTCCTATTAAATGAATGCTTGACCCTTTTAATGTTGTCATATACAAGGCTTGTAATAAACTGAGTTAGACAATATCGGTTTGATTTTAATCTCTGTAAAGAATTGTGCTCGATAATAGATCTGCAAACTTTTAAGCCATTTCATCGCTCTCCTATGATAATTGATCGGACAATTTTCCATCCTTTTGTATGGCCTCCTTTAATCTTTTGAGTGTTGATTAATAATAGCCCAGTTTTTGTCCATTCAAATATTCGAAAATGATTTATTTATTCTCTGCATTTATCTAAGGGTGTTGCTATATCAAATGGATAGAATCGAATATAGCTAAGTCTAATCTTAATTCATTGGTATCTATAGGTAAAGTTGGTAATTATTCAAACAAATTCTTACATTACTAGAATTTCTTACATCAGTTATGATTGGATCCACTTTTGAATGATATAATTTATAAAGCTATCTTTTAGCATATAAATATGGTGATGGATCGATTTGTATTAAAAAATTATTCTTCTTCTAATCCTTCAGCAATAGCGAAGTTAAATCATCTACTATTGTTTCCTGAACTCCAGTCCTTGGCAACCCAATAAGGTTACAGGTTTTATTGCCAATCTCTAAAAGTTTATCAATACTTCATCATACTTAGATTAGCCTATGGAAACCCCGTGGAAGTGAATGTATTTAAATAATTCTTCACATAATATTCCTCATCAAATTTGTTGAGAATCTCAATGACAGAGGTTGAAAATCTGAAGGCAGATAATCGTCCGATCGATTTATAAATATTCATAATTAATGTATTATAATTTATATACAATAAAGTGGACAAGAAGGGTTATATTAAAATACTCTAATTTAAATCAAGTTTAATATCAATTTGAAAATCGTATTTAGACATTTATATTATCAACTTTCATTCAAATCCAAGTTTTTTCAAACAAAGCTTATGACTATCGATTTCCTTTTAACATTTCTCTTCTCCAAAAGATACTATACATTCGTCTCTTAGTTTTCTAGTTTCAGGACAAGCACAACATGGTCTCAAAGGCTCGGCTTTTTAATTTTCTTTGGGTTAAGAATTATCCATATTTAAATTTAATTATTTCGACAATTTTACAATAAAGAACTATTAGAAATGTCAAAAACAAATGAATATTTGGAGAACTACTTGGATTTGCTTTTGTAATGAGACAATAATAATTGTGGATAATATCATTAAATTGATTGAAACGGAACCTTTTAGATAAAACTACGCTTAATAATATCGTCTCTGGTCTTATATTAGTGAATTAATACTTATCCGAATTATCTGAGCTAAATGATTGTAGTGGGGACTTGTTACTCCCCCTCGGTATTTAATTTTCCATTTTCTTTACGTATTCCAAAATGTACTTTTATTTATTCTACGGAGTGGGACAACTTTCCTAAAATCAAACCAATGTATACCTTCTTTCCTTTTTAAACTAATTACTGATATTGTTTAGTGTGATTACTGAATAATTATCGATTCATCGGTGATTAATTGGTTGGTTACAAAGGCTTTCTCTAATGCTAAGAAGTTCCCTTTCCTCTGATTGGATTTGGGTTGACACTCCTTGATCTTTATTGCGGTGTAGTAATTTGCGTATTCAAAGTACTTTGATTTATTTGCTATTAAGATTTCTAAGTTTAAGACTTAATGAATTTTTGGAAGTAGATTATCATTTCTTCATCTTATTTGAGAACAGGACCATTCTGAGTTGAGAGTTCATTCATCATATCAATTATTTCTTTTAATTGATTCTGGTTTAATTGAACGTCGTTTTTAGTGTAATAATTCATTTTTTCTTAGAGTTGAATCATTTTAGCCCTAAATATCTTATAGTTATCTCTGGCTTTATTCAATTTCTATAGATGTTATTCTTCTTCCCTATTTGTAGGCTACTTAATAGATTTAGATGAGCCACAATATTACAGACTGTCCTTTCTGACATCAATTTCGATAGAGTTCTCTTTATTCATCTTTGGTCTATCGGTTTCTTAATAACTAGTGTGTGGTCTGGATTATTTACTATTATCCTTATCCATTTTCAAGGAATCAATAACTAAATCCTTTTATTTAATCTGATCTCTGAGAAAAGTAATTTCTTTTTTAAGCATCTCAATTTGAATGTCTCTTGGATCAGTTCTTTCTTTCTTCTTAGATTACAATTGAGAAGTCAACTCTTATCGGATTCTCTCATTTTCATTAATCGCTCTTTCATATTACATTATTTCATTCTTCAATCGATCTTCATCTATCATCTCAGAATTCATTTATTGTAACAAATATTCTAAGCCTTCTCTGTTTTAGAATTGCAATTAATCGATTTGCTTTAAATTCAATCTTATTTCAATCTCTTCTTCTGTCAATTAACCTATGATATTATTAATAATTATGTACACTAGAATGATACTTCTTATTTTAATGCTTCAATCTCAGCTTGCAATAGGCTTACATTTTCTGAATTGCAATTACAACTACAATTAGTGACATCATTAATTTTGATATTTTAGACAATCTTTTTTTTTATAGCTCTGGCTCTGGATGCATATTTTAGAGTATTAATACTCTCCTCATGACATTAAACTATTTGTTTTACGCACCCTATCATAAGAGTTTTAGTGTTGCCTCCCAAAGAGTCTTTTAAAAGTCTAGTTAATTTTGAATCCCTGTAAGGCACAAACTTCTTCATTGATTAATCACAAGCCAACATATTGATGCAATTTCCTAGGGCCAATAGACTTTTATTGATATTAGCCCCTTCCATTTGTCTAATTCCTTTACTACCTTCATTTACATTGGCTTTTTCACTTCCTGCCAAATCCACTAAGGATAATTTGCATTGGTATTGTTAGTTTACAACAAATAATTATATAATTGCATGGGATCGAGAAGAGAATTGGTTAGCATTAGTTGCAGCCATTACTCTTTTTTAATTGCCATTAATTATTATTGATTTTGCATGATCTATAGTCATAATTTACAATTCCTGCACATCTTATAACATGACTCCCTTAATAGGGTCTTCATTCAACTGCAATCCAACCTAATCTCCAATTAAATCTCGTATTTGTTCATTGTAAATTTCCAAATATGAAATACTAATTTTAACGTTCATTTGGAATAATTATTCTAAAACCATCGAAACCAATCCATCATTTTCTACCAAAGGATCGTATAAGTTGCCAAACATTGTGTAACTCTTTCCTGAACCTGTTTAACCATACGCCAAAATTGTTCCATTATATCCTTAAGAAACACAATCATAAATCATTTATGATATTGACTAGTATTATACATTTAATTTATCTACTTAATCGTAAATATCTTGTGTGCTCTCTCCATCATTGAACACATTATCAAATGCAAATGATCTTTATTCATAAGTATCAGGATCTCGTATTGTCTAAGTTGGACATTCTACTTGTATAATCTATTTATTGTTTATTTTGATATTACAGTTTCTTTTCCTATTCTCTAAGTGAGAAATCTTGATCTTCCCTCATATGGTTTCACTCTAATACTCACTTTAAATGGCTCTTGCATTATTAATTTAAATTTTAATAATAAGTAAGAAGTTAAATCATCAATTACAAAACATATTCATTCCAAAGTCTAGATTTATAAATTAAGCACTTAGGCTTCGAAAAACAAACTAATTTTTCTAAATTTTTGATTTATTCTTATTTTACTATTTATTTTCTTTGAAGTTGGATTTTTAGAGATTGTAGAAAACTCTATTGACTACATTATTAAAATATTATAATATCATTCATATTAAGCAATACCTTCTTATTTCATGTATTTTTATTCATTAATTGAAATATCTGACAATATCCATGCATTCTTAATCTCACTTAGAAAGTTTAGTGAATTTAGGATATTTAGATTTATGCTATAATTTTAGCTCTAAATTCAATTTTTTAAATCTCAGAAACTTTTAAATGAGTGTTCAATTAATTTAATATTATTAAAATTATCTACTTACTTATTATGGCTTAGATAAAACAATTTTGCAAAATGCTATTTAAAAAATAAATGTTGTGCTAAATAAGCCTCGAATATACCTTCTTACAAAATTAGTTCTGAATTAAACTCTAACTCCTTGTTAACTCTTAACTAAACTCTTATTAATTTGAATGACTCTTTTGTCTTGCATAGAGAATTAAGTATTTTAGAGAAACAGAATTTTGTAATTAAGCTCCATTTCATTCATCATCATCATCATTATTTCAAAGGTTTCTTAATGTATTTGCCTTTAAAAAGAGACTTTAATATTGTTAAGGCTAAGATTTGCGATATAAATTATGATTTAGTTTGATCCTTCTAATCTAAAGGATTTATTATTTCATAATAGATTTTCTCAATAGTAATGTTATGGGTTCATTATTTAATTATCTAGTTATAAGTATTATTCAAAAGATGGAGTAATGCTTAGATCACCAATATTTATTACTTGAAAACATGAAATCAAATAAACATTTTATTGTAATATTTTATTAATTATATATCCATTCATTTTTTTTATGCTGCTTTCTTAGAATTAGCTTTTTTGGCTTGCTTGTTTCTTCTGTTTTATCTTGGTAATTTTCTTTATCCAGCACTTGGTTAAGTTGTAGCTTAAGCTTCAGCAACTGCAGCCTTGATTGTTCTAGTTTATCTTGGGCCAGCTGGTTTTTTTGCAATTTTTTTAGTGGCTATTCAAATTAAACTAAAAACTTACCTGCTTTAGGAGCTTTCTTTTAAGTTTTTGCTTGTCTTCCCATTTGTTTATTATTAAAATTGAAAATTCTTATTCTTTGATTAAGAATGAAATTTCACAATTTTATATTAATTTTGATTGGATAATTTATATAATAATAGAATAAAAAGCACTCAACGTTCTTAAATCTACAAATATTTTGATTTTTTATTGGAATCCAGTTTAAATCTAAATAATCTCTTTAGCACAAATAGCTTCTAATGAAATGTTACTTGGTTCAATAATTTCTAATCTCATTTAATAATAGTTGTATCATAACTCAGAATGATTACTTTAATATTGTTTGAAGGATAAATTTATATTGAGATATATTTATAATTAGGCGTTTTGAGTAAATGTAATAATTTCAACAGTTACCAAAAGGGACGTACTGGTGATATAATAAAAAAAAATAATGAGATTGACTATTATGAATAGGGTATAATATTTAAATCAAACAAAAAAACAATGTTGAAATATCTCTCTTTAAATTTTGTTGATGTTAATTCAAAGAAACACACTTTAATTTAATTTTGGGATTCAAAACTTTGTAATTCTCTTAGTTTTCATTAAAAAATAGGAATTTTAATTAATTTTCAATAAAGTTTTAAATTTAAAGAAAAAGAGAAAAATAAACTTAAGCAATTAAGAACTTGAAGTAAATCTAATGATTGTTTACATGAATAGCTTTTCTTTTTTATAAAGATTATAATTATTACTTAATTAAATATTCGTCTACTTAAAATTAGTAAAATGATACTGAAACTTAGAAATCAATAAAAAAGGATGTAAATGATAAATAAACAATTCTTTTCAATAAATTAAGAGGTTAAAGTAATTTAAAATGCGTATAAATCTTGTAAAGAATCAAAATTTAAGATGAATAGATTGGTGTAACTGAATTGAGAAGAGAGAGTTAGTGCGTAATTTAATATTTAATAATAAATATGCTTCGTATTTTTGATTCGAGATTTCGTTCAAATTACGAATTATTATAAATATATAATTAGTCTTGATGTTTGAGGTGCAATAAAGAATTATTATAAAATGATATTATAATCATTCTTGTTTTAGTTTAAGTGAATAAATTTAATATTTAATATCTTTAATTCGATGATAAGAGCCTCAAATAAAGTGATCAGATATTCTTTTTCGGCAACATATGTTAGTGGGTTGTTTGAACATTGGTAAAAGAACCCTTAATCAGTTCCTGAAGGATGGAGACAATATTTTAGCGAACAAGTTTGTTTTAGTGTTATTAATAGATTAATGGTGGAGCAGGTGTCTAAGGCACAACATCTTTGAATCCATTGGATCATGCTAAACAAATACAATTGCTATATCGTACTTACTATATGTTTAGAATGTTTTTCGTATGCGGACATTAATTGGCTGATTTGGATCCATTAAGTAATCTAATATTGTGATTTATTATTAGATCTACCTAACACAAAAGAATACGGAAGAGTGAAGGGCTCGAGACCAGAGATGACTTTGGATAGTTTTGGGTTTAAGAAGGAAGAATTGGATATCCCAATTTATTTTGGAAACAAGGATTAAAGATCATTTATCTATGTAATTGATAATTGCTATGAATAGCCATTTATGGAAGTTAAGGAGGAGTGGACAATCAGAGAAATCTATGATAGATTATCTTAAATCTATACAAAAAAATACGGGGTTGAATACATTCACATGGTATCGACAGAATAAAAACATTGGGTTGAACAGGAAATGGATAGAATAGCATAATGGAAACCAAGTAAGGAGACTTAAACAGCTACTTGGTAGAGATTAGCTAGAGTTGACCTATTTAATGAGTTTTTGAAAAACAGATTCACAACAAGCAAAAGATTTGGAATTGAAGGCACAGACACATTAATCGTAGGTTTAGAAGCACTTGTAGATTAATGTGCTCAAAATAAGGTTGAACATATCATTGTGGGAATGGCTCACAGAGGAAGATTAAGCACATTAGCTAATGTATTTAAGAAACCATTGGAAATAATATTTGCAGAATTTTAAAATAAATACAGTAAGGAAATAGAAGAATCATGGGGTAATATTGGAGATGTGAAATATCATTTGGGAGTCACAAGGGATTAATAATTCCCAGATGGACATCATATTAGAATGACAATGTTACCAAATCCATCTCATTTAGAAGCTGTCAATCCAGTTGTATAAGGTAAGACTAGAGCATTGTAAGACATTTGTGGAAATAAACAAAACTGTTTAGGTATCATCATTCATGGAGATGCTGCTATGGCTGGTTAAGGAGTTGTCTATGAATCATTATAACTTGAAAATTTGACAGGATATTCAAATGAAGGTGTTATCCATGTTGTGGTTAATAATCAAATTGGATTTACTACAACTCCAATTGATAGTAGATCTGGTTTATATTGTACAGATGTTGCTAAGGCTATTGATGTACCTATTATTCATGTTAATGCTGATGATCCTGATCTTGTAGAAGAAATATTCAAAATTGCTGTTAGATTCAGATAGTAATTCAAAAAGGATATTGTAATTGATTTGATTGGATATAGAAGATATGGTCATAATGAATAGGATTAACCTGCATTCACTCAACCATAAATGTATGAAATCATTAATAAATAAAAACCTGTATTTCAATTATATGATCAATAATTAAGAAAAAATGGAGTTATTACAGATGATTTTGCAAGTACCGAAATTAAGAAGTTAAACAATAGTCTAGAGACTGCTTATAAAAACATCTAAAAGGAAACCTTCGATAAAGTACATTGGGTACCTAAACCATGGGAAAAGATTTAATAAGTGACCAAATGGGGAAAGGTAAAGGATACTGGTGTTGCTTTGAAGGATTTATTAGAGTTGAACGAGAAAGTCAATCATTTACCTGCTGAGTTGACTGTTCATCCATAAGTCAAGAGAATTTATGAATAAAGAAAGTAGTCTATTGAATAAGGAAAAGGAATTGACTTTGGAACTGCTGAAGCTCTGGCTTTTGGTACCTTGTTACATGAAGGATTCAGTATAAGATTGAGTGGTCAAGACTGTGAAAGAGGAACATTCTCATAAAGACATGCAGTCCTTAATGATCAAAAGAAAGATATCAAATATTATCCACTTAGAAATTAAATACCTTCTGGAGGAAATAATAGATTTGAAGTTTACAACTCTCCATTGTCAGAATACGGAGTCTTAGGATTCGAATATGGATATTCTCAATCTAATCCTAATGTTCTGACGATTTGGGAAGGACAATTTGGAGATTTCGCTAATGGATGTTAAATCATGATTGACAATTTCATTACTTCAGGAGAATCTAAATGGAATGTACCCTCAGGACTTGTTATGATGTTACCTCATGGATTAGATGGCTAAGGACCTGAACATTCCAGTGGAAGAATGGAAAGATTTTTATAATTGATGGATGATGATCCTAACATTGTATTTCAGATGAAAGAGTAGAGAATTAAGAGACAAATTCTCGATTCTAATTTCTAAGTGTGTGTCTGTTCAAACCCTTCCAATTATTTCCACTCTCTGCGTAGATAACTAAGAAGAGACTTTAGAAAACCTTTAATTTTATTCAATTCTAAAAGATTACTTAAATTTTCTAAGGCAACTTCTGATATTTCTCTTTTCCTTGAAGGCACTAGATTCCATAGACTGATTCCTGATACTCACGAAGAAATTAAAGCTCCTAAAGAAATAAAAAAGGTTGTCATCTGCTATGGTTAAGTTTATTATGACATTTTATAGAAAAGACAAGAAACAAAAACGAAATGTAAATATTTATTAATATACTTAGGACGTTGCTATCGTTAGAGTAGAATAATTAGCACCTTTTCCATATGACCATTTCAGAGTAGTTGCTTAATAATATGAGAATGCAGAATTTGTATTCTGTTAAGAAGAACATTAAAACTCAGGTGCTTGGCAATATCTAGAACCAAGAATTTAAAATGTATTAACAGAATTTATCTTAGGTTTTATCCTTGCTACATCAATAAAGCAAAATTAAACATCAATATTTAACATTTTGTGGTAGAAGACCTTCAGCATCAACAGCAAGTGGATCACCAACTGTACACAAATAAGAATTAGAAAAGCTTTTAAGTATACTCTTTTAATGAGTGTATATTTATTGAATAGATCAAAACTTATTATATCTTTTCTTTCCTTTCTTTCCATCATCTGACCCATTTTCCTCCTCTTCTGCTTATTTCATGAATTCTGATTAGATAGAGTGTAATTCTTTCTCAACTCTTTGAATTTCTCCAATGTCAATTTAAGGTTGTTTACGATGAAAATCCTTTCTGATATCATATGTAGGTGGTGTCAATCCACTGTCACAAACTACCTTATCTCCACATTGTCTTGTATTGCTTGTCTTTCCCACCCAAATCATTTAGCTGATATCATTTGACTTATATAAATTTATATAATCCTTAGATTTATAACTCTCTGTTATGGTTGGCAAATCAACTAATACACCTTTATCTTGGTATTTCAAATTGTTTATTGATACATCAAATTCCATTCCTTTTCCAATTTTTGGTTCAATTGTGATAGGTAATTATTAATTATTTGCAAACGACTCTCTAATTTTCTCTGCTATTTATGGGGGGAATCTGATTATGAGCTAATTTTCTATTTCGTATATTTTGGACATTAATAGGTATTTATTTATATTTAATATATAATATAAATCAATGCATTTTTTCATCAAATTTATAGAATTAATTTATTAATAATTATTATCATTATGTCGAATGATAATGATAAGGAAAATGGAAAGGAAAAGGAAAAGGAGGAGCAGTATTATCGCTATCCTAAATCCTTCTTAAAAGATATCTTTATAGCTTTACATTCCTTTGATAATCCAGAGAGAGATGAACATGAAGAATTTATAGATATTGAAATGAAATATGATTTGTTTAGTTATGCTTATAAGGGAATTTCTGATATTGAATTGAAATTTATGAAAAGTTCTGAAGAATATTTGAAATTGAAGAGCATCGAAAAGTGTAAAGAAACCCCTAAATACACTTGGATGTAAAATATATATAGAAATAAAATGATTAATAAGGAAGATGATATGTTAGCCTGTGAAAAATGGGTGATTGATATTAATGGTTAAAGAGAAGTCTCCTATGAAGTAACAGTATTATGATTACAAAATTAGTTGGAATTTTTTTAATCGCAAAAGGATAAGTTTTATTCAATTATATATCCACCAACAACTTTGAAGTTTTTTTATTATATGTTTAAAAATTATTGAGTTAAATATTATTTCTGTTTATATAATAATAATAATATATATATATATATAATAATAATTATCAAAACTATTTGTCCTTTTTCAGTTGATTAATTTATTCTGAAAAAGATACTTCTTTGCCTTTCTTTTTCTTTTTAATTTGGCCATCAGTTGATTATTTCTTTGATGATTAATATTGTTATAATTGTTAGGAATCATCCTAATCAATAACTTAAAAATTGGCTTCTTTCATTTATTATTAATACTATTATTGTTATTACTATTATTGTTATTACAATTATTATTGTTATTACTATTACTAATATGATGAATGATATTATTAAGTTGGTTTATACTTAGATAAGGTAACAAACTGTTACTTTTCTTCCTCCTCTTTTTTTGATATTTTTTTTTATCGAGGATTGCTATTGCTATTACTATTATTATTGTTGTTTAAATGATTTAAGATGTCGACATTATCTCCTACAATTCTGTTGGCTGATATTCCCTATTAGGATTGTGTATGCAATTCAAAAGGTGTTAACAAAATAGGCACTTGAAAATAATATTGCTTAGCTTAAGTTGAATATTGACTGCCTTCATTAGTAATGATGGATAAATTGGATATATTGGAATTAGGATGATTTTGAAAGATACTTCATATAACATAAAGATACTTGTTAATGTTGGCTCCACTCAAGGCAAGATATGGGGATAAATCAACTCTATTAAAGTTAAGATGAAAATATACAATAATCTCCCTAGTCTATCAGCTAAAGGGGCTAATTAGGCAGCCAGCAAAGAAGTCTCATAATAAGCATAATTTTCCTTAAATTCTTTGGAAATGTTGGCCGCATCTCTTTGATTATCAACTGACATGTCCTAACTGCTGTTCTCCTCTTCTTCTGCAATATTTTCGGCCATCATAGTGTTATGATTATGGCCAATGAAATAAGTAGTCAATTTGGAGATGTCAGATCTAATTAGTTCAACAATATACTTCATCGATTTAATTGATGATGTTTCATAATCAATAGATATCTTGTCGGATTTCATGGACTTCATAGATTTCAGAGATGTAACATCATCTTATTTCTCCACTTTTTCTTCCTGAATCCTTCTTTGTTCCTCAATCATTCCAGTAATAAGATTGGACATATCAGCCTTTTTATTTTAAGGAATTGACTTGTCTTCAACACTATCTGCCAATCTAGACATCATATTGCCAGCCCTGGATAACAACATAGCCGTTTGACCAAGCAGTTCGCTAAAGGTCCATAACTATTGTTATTCGTGATTATTTAAGATGGGAGACATGTGATAAGTTTTTTGTATAGTGTGGGATCTGAATAAGGCTAATCTTAAAGAGGGAACTCCTATCCATTCTTCTCCATTTTAATGAATTATCAAAACTTGATTTTATTATTTTTAGCCAATATAACCTTCAAGCCATTCACCATAGGAATCCTTAAAATCAATCCATTAACCGAGTTCAAAGTCCTTCTGGGCAAATATTTAGCCTTGCTCGATGACTTCAGCCACTGTATTGAATGATTATAAAAGATTGTGTAAAGTCATAACATTTTGTTATAAGGAATTCCTTGTAGGCAATTATTAAAATCCATGTAACCTTTGCTATAGAACCTTTTTTCTAGAGTTTCTTCTGCTCTCTTGTACATCGACTGTATATTTATTATTTAAATACAACTATTTCTATTATCGTGCTCATCGATTGAACTAGTAGATAGTCCTCTATTTAAAGGGGATGATTCAAATTCAGGCATATTGGCAACCAAATGAACAACGCATTAATCCTCAATGTTCAAAGAAACCAAAGTATCCTCATTATTAAGTTACCTTCCCTTAAATAGTAATCTCTATCTCGATGATGGGATGGTTGAAGACTTGGCTAATCATGATAAGTTACTATTTCGATTAAATTTTTAAGATCGTTCACCGTTGAGCTTTATTTAATTCGAACATCTAGAGTATGATTATCCAAAGTCTTTATTTTCACGCAGATTTCTTCATTAAATTATTCATCTTTTAAATTCATTTATTATATTTTAATTTATATGCTTAATCAAAATCTAAAGTTTATTTTTCTCTCTTCTTCTTAATTTTCTTAACTTTACCCTTATCATATTCTTTATCATAGGCATCCTTCACTTTTACCTACTAATCTACATCATCCTAAGCCAATTGGAAGATTCTCTCTCGTTTTATGATTTTAATTTTCTTTCCAAGTAATAGTTTTTTCACTTTATTTTTTCTACTCTTCAATTTAATAAATCTACAAATAAATATGTATTCTTGTACAATTTTAAGTATTTTTTATGGTTTACTTTTATAATAATTTGCTTTTGTATTTTTTTCTTAAGAGTTTTCTTTTTGTTAAACTCATTTTAGATTTCATTTTTTATTTTCCTTCTATCTTCTTCTGTAAGATTTCTCTTCTTTTAAGGCAATTGATTTTTTAGTTATAAATGCTACTGTTCCTTTCCACCTATCGTATATGAATAAATGAATTCAACTGGTTAATAAATTTAATTAACAATCATACAATAAATAATTATCAATCAAATTATAAGATTGTAAATTGTGTTTTCAACAGGCACACGCATTATAATATTTGATTCCTACCAATTTTCTACATCGTGGACATATTTGCCTTCTGTCTTTACATGCAGTTGAATAATAAGGGATTAGACAACCAAAAAGGTTGAGAATAAAAAATAGAAGAAATGCACAAAGAAATGTTTAACTCGAAGCCTAATACTCACAAGTTGAAACTGAATCCATTTTGCAATGATGACAATAGAAAAGGGTGGGCCCTTCATGATCTTAAATTGTTTAATTCATCATATACCATCAAGCTCTGTTGGAAGATTCATCTGATTCTCAACTCCTTATGAACTTAAGTAATCCCCATTAGTTAAAATATTAGTCTTAGTTATGTCATTTTCATAACCAATATTTAATTAATATGGATCAACTCTCTTATTCATTATAATATTATTTTCAACGAAGAATACGCAATAAAGAGAATAATAGTTGATGATATAATATCTTCTATTAATTACATTATTCCAATCCCTCACTACGATTCTAAATTGATACTGTCCTTGATTCTATCTCTAAACGAATAGGCCTTAAACTAGACACCGTCGCCTTTAAAAAACTTATTCTAAAATTCGACCCTATATTCTAAATGACTCATAGTTACCAATGCAATCTTAAGGAATGCAAAAAACACTCCATACTGTCCATGCACATCAGAACACCAAAAGTTATCAAAGCCCAAAATGGATACCCTATCATTAAACTAATTGGTTATCCATGATTAATTGGTTGTACGAGCAACAATTCAAAGAAAACTTGTGAGAGTTAAGAATGAGCCAAACTTAATGCCCATAATCTTAAGTAACTTGCAGTGTTTGATATTACCCCAAGGACATATTCCAATGTTTCAATGGTTTCATGGACAATCATATCTTCAATACCTAAATGTGAATTATGCTCCTTTTATTAAATCTGCACTTTTGAGTCTTGCAATTCTTTATTCTATTTTACATCAGTTTACTCATGACTATAAGAACTAGTTTAGATCATTTCAACTCCTGATTCTTCTATTAATTATCCATAATCTACTCTGTGAGTCTTAAGTTTATCTTTACTTTATTAATGACTTTTCCTTCTTACCAAGTGACTGATAATTGATGGTAACCACATCCAAGGTATTGTGATGATACAAATTACTAGAAGCTAAATAAAATACATACTTAAAAGACAATATTAAACATAGTTCTAAGAGTCTCCTTCCCACATTTAAGGACCTGATATTCTCCCTAAATTCAAAATCATTGATATCATTGTAGTGATTATGCTTGGGGCATTTTATGGTTCAAAAGGTGTCAACCATTTGTATATTATCAAAAATACCATATACCCAATTGTGCATATCAAAAATAATAATTATGGAATGAATTTACAAGTTAATCGTAGCCAATCCTCCAAAAATAGATAATTTAAACCACTCAAAGAAACTCCCAATAACATATGACAAAATGCAATTATGATGCTTAACTTCATTTTAAATGAATCGTTGAATTCTAAATGGTCTCCCCACATTGGATCAATTCCAAATGGGTAGACACATTAATCCTCTGATCCTAAACAAGTTTGAAATAGGTTTAAGGATAAACTCAAATAATCATTATAAATTAGTCCTGAATAAAAGCTAAATACACCCATCAATAGGATTAGATATCTTAGATTGTAGAAGGATTTATTCTTAAACAAACACAGATAAGATCCAAACACAAATAATACAAATCCATGACCTATATCTCCGAACATTACTCCAAATAAAAATGGAAACGTAATTATTGTTATTATTGCAGGATTTATCTCTTGATATCTTGGAATCCCATATGTGTTGACTATCTCTTAAAATACCTAAGTGAACTCATTTAATTTGAAATAAGTGGGTTTCTACAGAAAATCAGGAGGACTCTTTTAGGCTAACTAACCCCCAGGATTATTTGATTGCTATTCCTTAATCACTTATATAGTTTGTTCTAATTGTTAAATATCTTTTGTTGGAACCCATAGTTCTCCTAGGAACAACCTGCCTTGCATTTTTAACTTATTCAGCTCTTTGTAAAGTTCCTTTTCTTTGATTAAATAAAACTTATAATATTCTATCAAAGGTAATCCATTTCTTATTACTAACATATTTGATATGCATTAGCATAGTTAATTCTGAGTCATTTTTATAAGCTATATTCTGTATTGTAAATTACATTAATATATTCAGCTTCTTTATTCTTCAATTCATATAATTTTTTTTCAAATTCCAACAGATTCTAAGGCAAAGCAAACTTTCCTAAGGATACTTATTCTACAATTTTTTGGATCTTTTATTTTCCATAGTTTCCTATATTTGGAAATAAAACGATGAAAATTGATTACTTCTCATTCATCCTCTTCAAATGAACATAGGAGTTTCCTTTGGTCACTCTAAATATCACTCGATGGAATCTATTCTACTAAACATAAATACTATAATTATTCTTAATTTTTAAGTATCCCAACATAGTATTCAAATTTTGAGGTCTGTTGATTTTGAAATGCATTCTCCCCTAAATACCTTTGACTTTCTATTAAAATTTCAATATAATTTTGTATGTATTCTGATTAATCAATAAGTTATTCAAGATGCTTATTTTACTCCTGAAAAGATGAAGTTCTTTTATTTATGTCTTCTTCAATCTTATCAAGATAAGTGTGAGTATGTGAATTTTGCTATAAACAATAAATAAATTCCATAGAATACTTGATTTGTAAACTATTTCAAATTTCCTTTTTTATAATTAGAGAGCAAATTTAAATTCTTTGCCACTTAAAGCATATTTTCAATTTTTACCATCAAGTCATCACATCTATATAGTTATTATAGATGATTTACCTTTTAACGTAATTTGCAAATGGTCTATTGATTAAGGCTTCATTACGATTATGATCAATAATTTCCACTTTACTTAAATAACCTAATTAATCCATGATAGTCCACGCACTGTCTTAGGGCATCACTAATTAAAAATAACTCATTTCTTGTGATCTGAACATCTTTTTATATAATATTATAAATTTTATATAATGTAAAATTAAACTCATTGCAACTGATCGAAATTCAAAATATATGTCTTATTTAAGAAAGTCAAGAAGTACAAATCCTTAAAAAATAGATCATTACAAAAGTGATATGCACATATTTTATAAATATTATTGGAAAATTAATTGTATGTATTTTATAATTAAATTTACACAAAAATTTTCCGCTATTAGCTAATAAATAAATAATGAAAAAGAATACAAGAAAAAAGTAAACATTAGAATAGTAGGAAGATTAGTAAAGAAAGAAAACTAAATTGGAAGTTCTAGATGCTGATCAACATATTTCAAAATACAATAACAATTTAGATAATCTAATTGATATTTTTACAAGGTATGAGAGAGAGGATGACTTTACATAAAATCTAATGACAACCTCTAAATTGTCAAAAATTCAAAAAATCCATGATTTAAGTTTAGATACCTTTAAAGCTGAATCATTCTCATTAGGACCAAAAGTTGAGAATGGTGACTTTTCGTAGGGTGACTAAATACAAAAAATTATTTCAGTGAAGAAATCATTTTTGAATGATAAGCTAATAGCTACTATACAATGGAGACCTAGGTATCTATTTTTTAATATTTCAAGGTCTAATGGTACAATTCCGAAATCTAGAGATTATTTTACAACCGAAGTTGCTAAGTACGCTCCTAAAGAATTAATTAAATATTATAAAAGTAGAATGGTTACAACAACCATTATCGAATAATAATAAGATTGTTGATTAGTAATTTAGTATTTTTCCATTAAACATGTACATTGCATCAATAATTAATGTTTTATTTTCTTTTTCGAATTATAACTAATGACAGCTAATAACTTACCTATTTATAAAAGTCGATAGTGATCTTCCTTGATCAAATAGTGTGAAAATGATTAATAAATGAAGTCAGCATCAATAAATAATAATTTTTCATTTTATAATAATTTAATTACGCATTAATTAATTTAATACTAAAATTTAGTTTCTAAACTAAGAGGTATTTGTTTTGTTTTGTATCTCTTTAGTATTTTTTAGAAAATGAGGTTGAGGTATTCCTAAATTTATTTATTTAAAATTATTTGAGAACTATTTTTAGGGTTTAATTATAAAGTATTATATTTAATGAGGTTGATTTGTTATTTTACAACAATAAAGCAAGAGTGAGGTTAATTTTTGATTATTTTTAAAAAATAATTCAAATCATCTTGCTATGACTACGGAATCAAGTCAACCTAAGATACTTGAAGAATCGAGAACTATGCTCATACTTCTTATGAGACTTCCATAATAAAAACTTTAGTCAGTTCTTTTTGATAGTTCAGAAAAAGCTCTTGATCAACTAGACTAGGCATTTCATACTATACCATAAGACTTCCTTGATTCATCAAAGACTCAAATTGATGAATTTAGATGTAGAGTTAATAGGATGATCATGCATCATCAAAAACTAACAAACTAAGCTAGAATGAATAAATTAAGACAGGCCTTAGGGTGTCTAAAGAAAATAAAGAAAAATAATAAATGATTTGTTACTTATCTATATTCTTATTTGTTCCAAATATATATATAAATACCATTTACTAATACTGATTCTAGTGAGGATAAGGAAGAGAAATATGAGAAGACATCACTCTAAAAGATATATTGATCCATTTCTATTTCATCTACTTAACTTAAATTAGTTTACTGATAAATGGTTGTTAAATTAACAATCCAACTTATAATTGATTGAATTTGCTATAACCATCTTTATGACATTGTTTGAAGAAATGAAAAATAACATGGCAATTGAACTAATTAATTATAAGCATTCTATTTATATAAATTTAATTAATGTTTAATTTAATGAAGCAAAAAAAAGTGCGGATTCTTCAAAATCGCATTAGAGTCTATTAGACAACTTTGTATTTAATTTTAGAAGGGAACCTAGAAACATGTAATTTTATTCTTCCTCTTTGATATTATATAAAGTAAATTATAAGTTGAACTTGAGAAAGGGCTCTAAAATTGGTATATAAAGTTAAGCATTTAGTATGCTATTTGTAATTTTTAATCAGAATCTTTTTATAATACTAATGGGAAAAATAAAAAGTAATAGAAATAGAAGAAAATATACGTAGAAATAATTAATATAAAATCAATGTTAATTACAAAGTGTATCTTTAGAGATTTCTTCAATTTTCTTTTTCTTTATCGGAGAATCAGTGATTTCCTTGGTGTCATCACTGTTGGGAGTAGGCTTTTCTTGTTTTTTTTAATTGGTCAAGAACTCTTGCTGCAATTAGAAACCAATGGTCGCTTTCAACTAATCTATAAAATCTGATGTTATTTGAAGATAACTCTCTCCTTTCCCTTATTTTAAGGCTTAATACAATGCAAAATATTATTATCCTAAATTTAGTTTGACTATTTGCAATTTTTCATTGTTGCTTATTAGATTCAAAGTTTGAATGATCTAGGACATAATTTTGATCAATTTACTTCCTATATAGAACTTTTATGATAAACAAGATCATTCAGTTTAATAGTTAGATCCTTTAAAATATGCTCGTTTAGATTGCCTAATTTAATTTCTGATGCTTTCTCTAGTCCTTCAATCATATTATTAGCTAAATCTATTGATTCTTTTAACTTTTTAGTTTCAAATTGTATAGGCTTTGGATTCCATTTCTTCAATTTATCAAATATTAAGTAGGCGCTATAATGCTAACTTAAAATGATACTGCGAAGTGTCTCCAATAAAATTGACTCTGTATTAACAATATTATCCATTCTTGCCATTCGCATTAGTAATTGAAGCAATCTAAAAGATGATTATTGTATAATTACTTTTGCAGGCCACCATGGATCTAAAGAATTAGATTATACTTACAGCCTAAGACTTTCGCCCAAATTATCTCGTTAACTCTAAAACTCTACTCGGCATCCTCAGACATCCTGTCGATTCTTCTTTATAAAACAAATAAATATTAAATAAGATATTATGCAGAAATTAGAATATTTAATGTTTTTCAAAAAAATTAATCACAATTTGAATTTCTAGGAAAATGCTTAGAACTCCTTATTTTATGATTTCCCTTTGCTATTTAGCGTAATTGGATTGGCTGATTCATTAATAGAGCATATTTTGATCATAGGTGAAAAATGGTTTTGTGGAATGAGAATAATTAATATAAAATTTAGTGTCGTTGTATGAGAAAAGGAGAAATTTCCTAATTAATATTTCTATTATAACGAGGCAGTAATAAATTTAAATAAATACATTTATTATGAATATTTACAATTATCTCTTTAAGTTCATTATTGTCGGAGACACTAGTAATCTATTACATTATCAAAAGATGTTGGCAAAAGCTGTTTACTATTATAATTCACTGATTCTCGATTTAGAAATGAACATGATGCAACTATTGGAGTAGAATTTGGATCAAGAAATCTCAAAATAAATGAGAAACAAATCAAACTGTAAATATGGGACACTGTATTATATAACAACTAATCAATAGGCTGGATAAGAATCATTTAAATCCATTACTCGTTCCTATTATCGAGGGTATGAATTAAACTATCAATATAGATCCATAGGAGGAATCCTTGTCTTCGACGTTACTAATAGAGAGTCATTTGATAATGTGTAAAAATGGCACACCGAAATTCAAGGATATGCTTGTGATAAAATTGAAATGGTTATTGTGGGAAATAAAATCGATTTAGAAGATAGGTAATAGATGATGTTAACTTCATTCTAGAAGAGAAGTGAAAACTGAAGAAGGAAGGAAGTTCGCTTAGAAACATGGCTTTGATTACTTCGAAACATCTGCCAAAACAGGAGAAAATGTTGATGCTGTTTTTGAGTCCATGGCAACTAAAGTCTTAGCTAAAATTGGAAGTGGAGATCTTGATCCATCATAAGAAGTAATCTATATTTTCTAATAATTAAGATTTATGGAATCAAAACAGGTTCTATTGGTATTTATAGCAAACCTGCAAATCCACCTACAAATAATTAACCTTCAAAACCATAGACAATAACAACTAATTAAAATCAAAATTAGAAGTCTGACACCTGCTGCTGAATCATCATTGATTTTATTAAATTATATCACCTATTGCTATAAATTAAACAAATAGAATCTATAAGTAAATTTATAAATTAAAATTACAACTAAAATTTAATTATTTTAATATAATCTCATTATCAAACTTTTTGTATGCATAAATAATATGACTAATTCTAATCTACAATTCGAATATTTTCTATTTTGATTACTGACTATACCTTTTAAGGCTATTACTCCAAAAGTCTTAAATTTGAGTCATTCTATTATAAGAATAGATTTATTTCTGAAATTCAGTTCTATTTATTATTTTGATTGCTATCTAATAATTGCTTGTAGTTTCTTTTAATAGAATACAAAATTGTCAAATATATATGATAAAAATTGAACTGAATATTATATTTCATTTTTCTTGTAAAGCAGCCTTTTGTTACTAAACTTTTGCATGTGTCTCTTCCATTTTCTCATAAGCTTCTTCAAGTATGGTCAATAAAGCCTCATGTCCATCCATTCTTAATTATCTCTCCTCTTCTAATTCACTCTTGATTCTTACTACCACTTCTTTCAACATCGAAAACATACTCACTTCTGCATCCTCTCTATAAATTTATTGAATTAATTTACCTCTATTACTTTCCTTAATTTGCCTACTCAAACAGTTTAGAAATCTCATTACTAGCTCTTTTGACAATATCTTAGTCCTCTTGAACTCTTTCTTAATTTTCTTATACATTATATTACCACAAAGCAGGTAAATCATTTTAAAGAGTAGTATTTATTATATTTACCTGTTGATTCTTAACTTTTATCTCTTGCCCTATTTGTTATAGTAGATCTTAGACCTTTAATATTATAAATTTAAGAAATATACTTATTAATCATAGTTTGATAGGACTTGATCACTTTATTCTCTATTTGTCTTATTGTCATCTTCTAGCTTCTTCTAAAGCTTATTCTCCAAATTTTTTATCTCCTTTAGTTTTTTTTCATGTGCAGAACCATATTATTCATTTTGCTTATCGAATTATTTGCTGAGATCTGAATATTGGTTTGCCAATTATCCCTATGTTTACAAGAAAATATTACGAGTTATTCACTGTAATTATTGATAATATCTTTCAATTCACTTTAAGCCTTATTGATTCTATCATAAATTTCATCTATTTTTGCATCTTTTGTAGTATCAACCTCAAGTTGCAGTGTGCTCAATTTTTCTTATAATTTTGTGTATCTCTCATTAATTTATGCATTGGGATCCATTTAATAAATAAATAAATAAAAATTTTATTTCAGTTCTTATTTTTTTTTCAATTTAATCAATAATTCTTTTGCAATAAAACATAAATAGATGCATAAAAATATGGTTTACTTTTGCATTGGATCGACATTAGGCTATTAAACTTAATATTATTATCTAACCCAAACAGAAATAACCTTAAATCTATTAAGATTAAAATCATAAATAAAACTTAAAAACTAAGTTAAACTCTATAGACATTAGTTTTTTATAAAATCCTCAATTAAAGTTTTATTATTTTTCAATTTAAATGCCGTAGAGTAATTATATATTTTGATTTATTTAAACAAATAATCAGTTATTTATTCTTCCAAAATGATTTATAATAAAATATTTATGAACTATTGAAGTGTTTTCGATTTTCGTATTTTAGTAAAATTTTAATACCAAATTCCCAAAGGTGAATTATTCTTATTGGGACAGATTATATTATTTACCAATATTTTTATAATTACAACATTCTTTTATCTAAAAAATTAGTAAAGTTGAGTTAAGTTGACTTTAATGAGAAAAAATGATAACCTTCTTTCTTAATTTGGTTTTATGGAATTATTTAATATTTAAACGTGTTGCTTAATCAAAATTTTAAAGAAAAATAAAAAATTATTTTTATTTATCCAAAATAAATAACTTTGCTCTTTAAAAGAAAATGAATCCAGAGAAAATTGAGTCGAAAATTTATTTAATTTTAATACTTATTGTATCCTATCATACTATTGTAATTTTAATTTTATATACTTTAGACCAGGTTATATTTTGAATTGTATGAGTTTGAAATGAAAAATGAATATTTAAACAAATCTAAAATATAGTCAAAATCTTTATCAAATGACAAATAATTTCATAAGTAACCAGAAGTGTTAAAATATACGAATAGCGATTGAAGAGTGTTGAATAAAGGTATTATTTATTCATATACAAAATATATAGACTTTAGATTATGAAATCATAACATTCACAGTTTCAGTCAATTTTTTATTTAATTTAAAGTTTAATGGCTAAATTTTGATTCCTTTTGAGAGTTAATCAAAACTATGTATGGTTAAAAGTCTTAATATTAATCTTTTCCCTTTTTCTTGTAAGACTAACATTTATGGAGTTTATTTTAGGTCTTGGAAGTTTGACTTAATGAACGTTGTTCATTTTATTCAAGATTTTCAAAAACTATTTTATCCTTGCTTTTCTAATTTCTTTTTTTTTTTTGAGGATTTGATCTATTCTTTCTTAATTTGACGCTTTGATTTTTATTATATGAAATCTTGGTTTAAGAAGCAATTTCTCTCATTAGAGGTTTTTCGCAAAATTGACATTCAATATCTAAATATTTAGCCTTTAAATCATGCTTGATACTGCTATTTATAGATTTTGGTTTTAACTCTTTAGAAATGGGGAAATATTGTTGAGTTTCTTAATTGAAATAAGTTTCGGAGCCTATTTACTAATATTGGCAAACTGCACCCATAAAATTAAGTATAATAATAATTTATAAAATGATTCATCAATAATGTTTAATATTTTATATAATTTTAAATTTTTATATAAAATTTAGTGTATTAAGATATCTTTCGAGATACACAATTTAGTATTAATACTTTTGAGTAATTTAATAATCAATTGAGTAATTCATAAATAAAGTAATTTTATGTCTTAATTAAAAATAATTTCAGTTATTTATTTTTCATGAAATAACAATTATATGAAAAAAATGGAATTTTTTTAAAAAAAAATATCTGATAAGTGCAAATTTTAAATATTTGACTAATCAAAATTATCCTAATTGAGTTTGAAAGCTGTTATTGTTGATTTGGAATCTAGATTTATTATTTGATATGGAGTAAGAATGAGATGATTTTTTATGTTATTTTGGAATCTTAAACCTCACCTTTTTTTCAGAACGTATTCTTTGTCTACTTCTTTGTTAATTTTCTTCCTACTTTAATTGAGTATTCAGTCTTGTACTAGATGATATCGAATAATGAGATGGCCGAGGTTTAATTATGCTTTTCAACCTTTGTTTTTTTAATTGCAAGTTGTCTTATTTTTATTCATTATGAGAACTAAGAATCGTTTAGTTGCAATTATGACGCTTTGTATACTTTTTCAATTCCTTTTAAAGTAAAGTAAGTGAGGTGGCTTCATCAATTTACTTCGTTAACTTCTTTTTTTAAAGTATGTTTCTGAAGCCTCTATGGACTTTTTATGGATATATTTCTTAATCAATTTTCATATCATTGGGATCCATTAATTCAGATTCTTGATTAGTGCTCACGATCTCAGATTATTTACAACAATTGGAACCCATGTTCTTAAAATAAGCCAATAATATCTTATATTAGATTTTAATTTATAATATGTTTTAATTATTGACTTTCGTATATATACTAACCTTATTTTAAAAATCTCTTAATCTTATAATGATTGTGGAAGAGGTTTGATTTGAATTAAGGCAAAATCTTTATTGTTTATCCTTTTAAATTCCATTTAAGAACAACATTATGTGTAAGACATAAACAAAATTTACTTGATCGAATATTTATATAAATAAAGAGAATTTAGAGAATTTAGAGAATTCTGAGAAATTAATAATAATAATAGAATGTTTCGAATATTTCGAATAATTTTATATTTTAGATTGATAGGGAATTGCTTTGCTTTAGACCCTGAAATAATTTAACTAGAAGATCACATCTTCTATGGGATGATAAGTTTGTATTAGACTAAATTATCCATTAGTTGCTTAATATTGTTTTCTGGTTTTTGCAGTGGAGCAACTTAAGGACTTTTGTCTATAGATCAAATAACAATAGAGGTGAAGTTGAGATACGGCAGTGAGAAGGAATAAAAAATGGGTATTATATAAATAATAGCAGGCTTCTCGTATTTTATCTGTAATATAGGAACACCATTTACTATTGTCAACTTTATTGGTTGCAAATTCATTGGCTAACGAATCCCTTCCTATTTTTATAAAAAGAAGCACAGGTGATTGGATTGCGTTGTTGATATCTGTAATATTGGTTGTATTATTTGGAGAGATATTTCCATCAGCAATTATGACAGGGAAGCATCAATTTAGAATAGCATCATCCATAACACCTTATATAAAGTTTCTAATTTCTATTTTATATTTGATTTGCTACCCTTTAAGTTTAATTCTAGATAAGGTTCTGGGCACAAAATGTAAAAGATATCATTTGGAATACATTCGACAGTTAATGGAGATCTGCTAACAATAAGATGTGATAAAGCCAGAAGAATTAAAAATCATAGTGTCAGTGATGAAATTGAGAAATAAATAGGTGATCAATCATATTAAACCACTTCACCAGGTTTGTTATATCCAACAAGACGAGCCTTATTGCAAGAGATTATTGAGGAGATTAAAAGTGAAGGAGTACTCAATGATACCCATAATTGAGAATAACAGTGTAATTGGATTGTTCAAATCAAAAGACCTTGTAACTTTGGATGAATCAAATTATGGATAATTAATAGTGGAACTAGTCAAAATCTATTAGCCTTTGATAATATCAGGGGACACAAAAATGTTAGATTTGGTGTTGATGTTTCAGAAATACAAGACTAACATAGCATTCGTAGTTATGTAAGAACTCTAAGGAATAATATCCCTAAAGGACTTATTTAATGAAATTTTAGATGATGTCTATTTAGATGAAGACATTCATGGCACTGTAAGAATGGAGTAAACATCATAATAATAGTCAATACAAACTATTTATTGATCAATCAAAATATTTAACATGCTTACTATCCTGGTTTTTATTGATATAATTATTATGTTCTAATTATAATTAATCTATTCATACCCATTCTCTTTAGTCGCATTTGGCTAAAATTACTATTAATCACTATATCTATATTCATAAGGAGTGAAGTTGTAGGTTGATGGTCTAAACTCTCCTGGCTTGTAATCATTTGCAGTATCGTACATCTTATTATAGTCCTCACTTAGATTATAATTGGGTAGGGGACTCTATTGTACATAAGGACTTGTATAAGTGTTTGATATTGGAACATATGGTTACATGGGCACAGTGTCATTGCCATCATTATATTTATCCCATTAACTAAAGTCATATTTCTTTTTTGGATCATTGGAGAGTTATGGAGCATAATAGGATTAGTTTGGATTGTAATTAGTATTTTCAAATTCTTGTACTTAAACAGGCTACTATTATATCACATCGATCTTTTAGAATTAAGATTCTAAGTTGATATATTATTGACTCTGAGGTTAGGTTTGGAGAGTTGGTATATACTATTAGGATTGGGGAGTTTATTATGAATGCTAAGCATAATTGATTGGATTATAACTAGGAATGTTTTGAAAATTGTAAAGATTTGGGTTGTTATTAGTTAGACGACTTGATTGAGACGGGTTTATAAAATTGCTAGATTATTATGGTCGACTATGTTTGCTAACGTATTTAGGTTAATAATCTGGTTTATCATCTATTATGGTATCATCCATATTAGCTTGAATTTCTTAACTAACTTTATTTGAAATTACTGGAGGTTGTTTTGGTTCTATTTGTTGAGATCCTTGCATAGAATCAGCATTGTAAAAGGGATTTGTGAAAGAGGGTTTGTTAGGCTTTTAATTTGCTTCAGGTTGTTGTCCAAATTGTTATTATTAGGAATTGTTGAAAGAATTACCTCCAAATTATTGTTCATCTTTATTATCTTATTAGATAGTCTCATTCATAGTTTTAGGGATTAATAAACTAGTATCATTAATGAAACTATCATATCTTCTCTCATATGGGACATAAGTATCATTCAATTACTGAGGTACTTACTTTTATGGCTCTTATTATGGTATTATAGGTTTATTAACAGGTTATGGTTCAGAAGGCTATCGTTAACGAGGTTAGGAATTCAAATTTTCTAAGTCTCTGGAACATTTGACACAAATGCATTTTTTCTTTTTTTCAGGGACATTCTAAACAACATCTTCTTGAATAGATTCAGGTTATTTTTAAACAGGAATAGGTGGTGGAATTTCCTCATGTAAAATAGGTGCTTCATTCATGTATTAGAGGTTATTGTTATCAGAAAAGAAGACCTAAGGTTATTCTTCATACTCATAAAATGGTTATTATTGTTGAGGTGGTTGATCATACATGTAATCATTGGGATCTGGTGGCCAAAATGATTAAAGAATCTTCTCACCTCCCAAAGATTGTTCCAGTTATTCAGGATGGAATTAATTGGATAATATAGGTAACTCTTTGTCCTTCAAGAATTTGATTTTGCCTAGAGTGATAGGACTGATGTATTCTACTTTATCTTAAATAAATTACCTTCAATTTATGACCAGAGTAGATTGATAGATAGAGTAGCATTCAGAATATATATGGCATCACAAGTATTAGGGAAGCAAGTCTACAAAATCTTAATGATGGAAAATATTTTATCCAATGGCATTTTGTAAGCACTCTGATCTTTAGTTTGAATGACAGCTATCCAGGACTCTACTTTGCCACTATAAAACATATAATCCTCGATGATGGCACACAAAATAATTGTTGCTCTCTCGAATAATGGCCAAATCATCCACCAACTTTGTAGAAACTACTATACAGGGAATGTGCTATCTGGTTCTACCCTCTATATAAAGGGCACCTTTAAACTATTGATTCACATCATTAATTTACGTAGAGTTACTCCACTTCTTTATCAAGTTACATGAAACCGGGCTAAAACACGATGTCACTTGTTCTAATTAATTGCTAGAATGATCAATTGTGATTACATCCACTGAGGCTTCAATATTGAATTTATTGGCATAAAGATATCTAAGTAAAAGATCATCTGTATGGATATTCGCATCATATTTCTGATTCTTTTATAATGCTTAGGCTATTGCACTTATTTGCATTCGTTCAAATTAATCGTAATCTTGCACTTTGAAAATCTTTCTGATTGCATTTTAACCAACTCCTATTTTTATACTCCCAGCTATGAGTCAATAATAAACTTGCATACGATCCAATATAATATTATCTGCCACAAAGCCAGGCAATCTGAGATAATCAAATCGTTATTGAAACATATTTTAATATAAATAAATTTTAGTTAATAATGAATATATTTCAGAACTCAATAAAAAAATAACAAAATCTTTTAATTTATGCTAAAAGGTTTATAGAATAAATATTCATAACAATTTAATGTGCATTTTTTGTATTTTGGGAATAGCAATCTTTTTGTGGTTACTACACATCTACATGACTGGAGGTGTATGCAAAATCAAAAAGAATCTCAGCGGCAAAGTTGTCTTCATAACTGGGGCCAACACTGGCATTGGCAAGGAAACAGCACTTTAATTGGGAACTATGGGTGCTACCATTGTGATTGCCTGTCGAGATACTATTAAGGGATAAGCAGTGTTGGATGAATTGGTATCTTAAATTAACTTAAACATAGAATAAACTAACCAAAGCTTTCATGATAAAATTGGATTTATCCTGTCTCAATTCTGTAAAATAAAGCGTAGAGGATTTTAAGAAGCTGAATATCCCATAGATCGATATCTTGATTAATAACGCTGGTGTGATGGCTCCTCAAACATATAAGACCACGAAACAGTCTTATGAACTTTAATTTGGTACCAATCACTTAGGTCATTTCTTGTTGACTGAGCTATTGGTACTCTTTATTTCTCCTAACTCATCTAGGTTCCTTATTTGAAAGTTGCCTAATAAAGTAGATTGGTCAATGTAGCATCCTTAGCTCATAAGCACTCCAAGTTGGATTTCTAAGACATCAATTGTTCACAATATGCCAATTCTAAACTATGGCCAATCAAATACAATCTCTAAGCCTATGGAAACAGTAAACTATGCAATATCCTCCACGCAATGGAAGTTTCTAAAAGACATGGAATCAAGGGTTGGTAAGACAAATCTCTATGATAGTTCTTTACATCCTGGAGTAGTTCGAACAGAATTAGTCAGAGAGATTGTAGGAAATCCAATATTGAACATCGTATTCAAATTAGTTACTCCCATTTATTTTATATTCACTAAGAGTTGTTTACAGGGAGCTTAGACCACCTTATAATGTGCTTTAGAAGATTATGATAAATTAGTTGATGGAGGATACTATTCAGATTGCAAGATAAAACAACCATTATTTGCAAATAAGCAATTAGCCGAGAAGTTATGGGAATTCTCCACTGAGAAATTGAAACCCTATCTGTAAAAATGAAAGTGAGTGTATAAATAATAAAAATAATATATTAATCAATTATGGATAAACTCTCATATTTAAAGAAGTACATGGATAATGGACAATCGAAAACAAAAGTTACTTATCAAAATAATATTAAAGATTAAGACAATATTGATGTGTTGATGGGCAGAGTAATAAGCAAAGAAAACTATGATGAAATGGAATAATAGCCAATATTTGTAGAGACTGTAGAATCTATACTCATTGACAAATAAAAGAAATAGCTGTTTCTCAAGTAGATGATGAACAAAGAGAGAAGTAGAAGCAACAGTCAAGGATCTAGTTCATCTGATTCAGATTCAGACTCTGATGATTCTTCCAGTAAGTCTGACTCTGATATGTCGGTTGAGAGAGCACCTAAGCCTCAAGAAGTCATTCATAGAGATGTCAAGACTGGTCAGAGAATTACTTAAAGTCAAAGGGTTGAATAGGAAAAATAATTGAATCCAAAATTGAAAGCCAAAGAAGATAAATAGACCGTTCTTTAAGCAAACAAATAGCAAATTGAAATGTGGTCTAAGGGACTTGTTTAGATTTAAGAGAAATAGAAGAAGTAAGAAGATGCTCAATAAGCTTTAGCAACCAAGAATGAAGAATAGATTAAGTAAATTGATATGCAATTGATGGGTCAACAGAAGTTTGATGATCCCATGAGGAAGATGATTTAAGAAGAAGATGACAAATAAATTACGTTAAAGCAATCTGATTTCTTACTCAAATGCAAATTCCCACCCCCAATCAATAGATTCAATATACTGCCTGGATTTAGATGGGATGGAGTCGATAGAAGTAATGGCTATGAAATGAAGTTATTGAACTCTATCAATGATAGCAAATATAAGAAATTAGAAATGCAACTTGAAAATATGAGAGATTAATGAAATATATATATTTTTTAACCTAAATATTAATTTGAATTTAAATTGTTATGAATTAAGAAATATCGAGAGCTGAGTTATTGCAATGGGTTAACGATTTACTAAAAACGACGATTAATAAAATTGAATAATTAGGAACTGGGGCCATCTATTGTTAACTTATTGATGCAGTTCATCCAGGAAAAAGTATTTGATTTTTAATGGTTAGTCCAATTAAGTAAAGTAAATTGGAGAGCAAAATAAGAATATGAGTTTGTTAACAATTTTAAGATCCTTTAATAATCATTCACCAAGTTGGGATTGTAAAAACCCATTGAAATTGAAAAATTGACTAAATGCAAATATTAAGATAATCTTGAATTTCTATAATGGATGAAAAGATATATCGACACTCATTATGTTCCCAAAGACTACGATCCATTGACAAAAAGAGGGAATCAAGATTTTGAAGATCCTGACAAACAAATTAGAAATTAATCAAAACCGAAAGTTCTAACAAAAAACAATACTAAAGATGTATGATCATTTCGATTATCTTATAGCAATAGATCATTTAAAACTTATCTAAGAATTCCTCATTTGCAACAATCCAAATTTTAAATAATGACTTTTCCAATAAAGAAAACAGATAGGCTTCCATGACTGATTTATTATTGCAGATTGAAACATTGAAATGCGAGAGAGATTTTTATTATGTAAAACTAAAAGACTTGGATGGGTTAATGGATTAGCATTTGCAATAGGGTTTGACAGCTGATTAACTTTGCAAAGGAATCAAGGAAATCCTATATAACACTCAAGATAAATCCATAGTGGTACAATAAAACGGAGATTTAGAAGTCACTTACTATGAGACCAACGAAGATGCCAAGTCTGAATTCTGTAAAACAGAACAAAATTAAGCAGATGATATATCCATATCTTGAAATTAATTATAAATTATGTATTTCATATTTTCAATACTATTTTTTAACTGTAATAATATGAAAGAACAACATCTTGTATCAATCAGCTATGCTCTTTATAGATTGAACAGCCATTCTTTGTTCTGAGTCTTGTTTCTTATAATCTTTCTCTTTATCACTCTGATCCGAGGAACGACGAGACGGACTTTAAGTCTTGTTCCTGTCTTGAAATGCAATCAGTGAGCAAGGCAGGAACATGTCTGCTTCTAATTGCAAAGCCCCCAAATATAGATCATTCGAATTAAAGGAAAAATAGGAGTATTCTTTAAACCTTTGTAAACACAATATAGTATAAATTCCTATCAGAAGAGTTGAAACATACACTAATAGTCCAACCATATAGGTTGATCTAGTAAAATACATCTTGAATAAGAGGAATTGATACTAAGAAAACTGAAACACAAAGCTAAAATATAGTCATCTTTTTCCATAAATCCTTCACTTTTAAATCAAATTCCTCATGCTTTTGAGTAGGAACGTAAATCTTGAGAGTGACGTAGCCTTAAATCGCAATTAATGCAACCAAAAATATTTCAACTCTGATGTCAAAGAACCATATGGATATGAAAACAATCAAGATTATTTTAGAGACAGCGTGAACGCAACATATACCAAAATTATACCTTGTCTATCATTTGAATTTGAATGTATTACCTCTTAGATCTTATCGGAGAAACATTGTATAGCCAAAATAGTGAATAGATAGGTTAAAATAAATAGGTATTAGATCCAAGGAATAAATGTCCAAGCTTGTCCTAAAAACGTTGTTTATGAAATTAACATTGATAAAAAAGTAGCTATTATTAACTAAATAACAGCCACAAATAGAGCTGTTTGCTAGTAAATTTAAGGTCTCTCTCCTCTAAACCCTAGCTTTTCTTACATTACTCTCATTTCATAATTGACTATCTGATTAATGTCATCATATTTTTCAGCTGCCATGTCTTGAATTTCATTTATTTTTTAAGTTAAACTTCCTTGTTGATTTGGGATATCATATGCTTAATCTAAATCAACTTAATTTAAGTGATCCTCCTCTCTAGAATTCATTGCTATATGTTATTATGTAAAATAAAAATAATGAAATTAAAATCAATTACAAGTTGTCAAAAGTGACTTAAGTTCAGGAAATACAAATCGTTAAATGACATAGTATGTCTGTCACCCCCAAATACAATCATAAAATCGTTAAATACAGCAACAGAATGTCCATCTCTAGCGCATGGTTTCTTACCATTAATAACATTCTAACCTCCTGTTATTGGTAAAAGAAATCTAAGACGATATAAGGGATTATCAATACTTTGAAATGATTTATTATCCAAATTCAGTCAATATTCCTTTTTTTAATTTTAAGTCTTATTTAGGATTGCCAATCAAGATAATAGATGTCTTTAATTTTTCAGTCACATTGCAATCATCTTAAAAGTTCATTATTTCTCTATTTTCAACTTCAAATAATTTTAACATGGCTGTTTTTTTTTTCTTCTGCTCCCATCTTTTTCTTTCCTAAACATTATTTAAAGTTGTATGAACAGTTGAATTATTCTAATTGTTTTAATTACTTTAGTATTAACTCAGCTCAGGACTAGCAAAGTTATTGGGATTATTATTAATAGAATAAGAAGAATACTATGATTATGATCCAGGACGTAGTTTATTTGGTGATGGACTTGGTGACTTTCTCAAACTTAATGGTCTAAGTAAGATAGGTCCTCTCCTTGGTTTCTGTTATCTTGGTTGATTTCTATTGGTTTTTGTAGGAGAAGGTACTTCTGCTTCCTTTCGCCTAGAAGTATCAGCATTGATTGTTTTCCATTTTTGGATATCCACGTTGAAGCTATGCAAATCATCAAGTTCCCAAGTCACATCATGAATGCCTCCGAATAAAATTAATTTGTTTTGATATGAAATTAATGAATGTCCTGATCTAGTCCTTAGATCTTCATTCAAACTGTCGATGCCAATAAATATCCATTATAATGTTAACATATTGAACTGCCAGAGGTCATTATATCTCTTATCTCCATTCTTTCCACCAAATATATACACACTCTGATTATGACTAGTTATGGAACTACCATCTCTAGGTGCTGGTTCCATCCCTTTTTGCTTGTTTAATTTCATCCATCTATTCTCATTGAAATTAAAACTGAATAAATCATTCGAGTGTTTGCATTCATTCCCACCATAAAAACCACCAAAAATTATCCATTAATCGTTGTATAACGTTGCACAATGATTATCCAATGGTGATGGATAGGTTTTATTAATTTCTAATTTTTGCCATTATTGTTTTTTGACGTCATGAATGAATATTTCATTTGTTGAAATTGAATCAGCTACTTATCCACCAAATAAGTAAATATTATCTAAGTAACTGCAAATTGAATGTCTGCAACGAGGTCCTGGTTCATAATCGCATTTGATTTTCTGCCATACATAAGTTTGAGCATTCAGATTAAGTTTGTAGAAGTCTTTCATAATACCTTCTGCATACTAGTATCCTCCATATAAATATAAACTGAGTTATTATGTTAATATACTGATTGTTTAAGATGGTTATTGATGAACTTGATCTGGGAAGGAGATTTTTGCCATCTATCTTGCACTCCTACCATTTTGGATCTAATTATTCTTAATTAACTTTCGTAATCAAAGGTAAATATTTGTATTCTGATTCTTAGAGATGAGATTCAGTCGGACTAGCCGGATAAAGTTTTAAAGAGTCATTCTTCCTATATGTATGAGATCTGTTGGAGTACATGAAAATAATAAATTTAATTCTTAGCTTTAATAAATTTTTGATAAAAAAGTGACCATTTTAAAACAAATTCCCTTTTCATTTGGTATATTCCCTTTAATTAATAAACAGATAAAGATTTAATTGTTTGACCAAAAAACAACCATTTCAATAAAATATTTTGCCATTAATTTATATATGATTAGTTTTTAATAAGTGATAAATTTTAGAGAAATTCTACTCTGTTCAACTTTGAGTGAAAGGCCAGTTAAAATTGAGTTCTCACAATATGTAAAATCAATATTCCTATAGATAAGCCAGGTCCTCATTTATAGACAATGTTAAAATTATTGCAATTAATCTAAACTGGATGCAAGATAGATGTCAACACAAAAGGAATCATTTATATACCAGGTTATTATTATTAAATTCATATTAGGAATCATAACAAATTAAGATGGTATGTTACAAACTTATAATTGTGGTGCTGAAAGATCTATATCATATTATTTAGAAATATTGTTGATTCTGAGTTTATTTGGCAAAGCACCTTTAAATATTGAATTAAATGGCCTAACTAATGATTCAACCGATTAATCTGTCGATTCCATAATCAATGCATATATCCCTTTAATAAAGAAATTCAGTCCTGATTGGGATGTCTCATTAAAAGTTACCAAAAGGGGATTTCTGGCAGGAACTGGCACTATCATGTATCATTAAAATATGAAATTTATAGTTTGCATTCTAAACCAATAAAATAGATTTAAAATACAACTATAATTGAGAGAGGACCTATTTGCAAAATTAGAGGAGTGTGCTCAGGAAGTAAAGTGGCTCCTAATCTTTTGAATCGAGTTGTTGGTCAATGTAGAAATGTATTCAATGATTATATTCCTGATGTTTGGATTCACACTGATTTACAAAAATCATAAAAAGGAATAGAGTTTCAAAGCGGATATGCAGTTTCATTGGTAGCAGAAAGCACTAATGGATTATTTATTTCATGTGATTGTGAATATTCAAATGACCTTAATAATCCAGAGAAAGTTGGAGAAGCTGCTGCATTGAGATTGTTAGATGAAATTAAAAATTGTGGATGCTGTGATACAACCTAATAATAATTTGCACTATTGCTAATGGCAATTAGTTAAAGAAAGGTGAGTCAAATAAAATTAGGAAGAATTTCAACTCACACCATTGAAACTCTTAGGATTATAAGATCAATATTTGGTGTCACTTTCAATATAGAAGATTCAGTATTTTCCTGTATTGGTTGCGGCTTAATGAATTTGTCTAGATAAACACAATGAAATTGTTTATAATAAAATTATTGTATTTTTGTAAAAACCATCAATTTATTATAATTCTGAATTATATAGGTGACTTTAACTATACAATTCGGCGTATTGTTGGTTTCTGAATAGTATTTTATGTACTTGGCTAACAAATTGTTTATGTAAATAAAACTAATAATTTGACTTAAAAAATTATTATTCCATTTAAAAACATTAATTCAATAAAGAATTTGTAATTTATAGAGACACAAGAATTAAAATAATTGAAATATTGAATTAAATCAAAATAGAAAAGAGAAAAAAAACAAATAAAAGAAATTTTGTTTATGAATATTTTGGATTTATATATTGGTATATCCTTCTATATAAACAGATGATTATTTAGTAATAACATGAAAATAAATAAAGAATTTTAATAATAAAATTTTGGTATTATAATTTTACATCTAACAATATATTAAAGAAAGCAATTATATTTATTTAAACAATAATGTCAAATAATGAAGGAATCAACGAGTAAGAATAATAACATCCCCTTGACTACTACAAGGAATCGATTCGATTATACTATTATAATATAGTTCTCCATTAACATGTAGAATTTGTCTCCTAAATTATATCAGGTTGAATAAGTCACTCAAGAGCGAAATGAGATTAAACAAAAATTATAGAAATTTTAAGCTTTGGAGGATCAAGAAAGTGACCTATCCATGGATGACAAAAGAAAAAGAAACAGAAGATCAGCTGTTGAGATTCCAAGAAGTCATGTTTGTTAGATAAAAAATTGTAATAAATCTTATGGCTCAGAAGGATCGTTAATGCAACATATGAAAATTAAACATGGTATTACCCTTGAAAAACATATGAATTTCATTTTATGAATTAACTATTAGTTTAAGTAAAAATTAAATCATTAATCATAATGATTTTAATGGACCTCTCCTCCTAACGATGCTATGTTAATTAGATCATCAATTTTTTATTTCTATATTCAGATTTCTCTTTATAAGCTAAGCTAATTTGCTATGTATTATTTAAAAACTTGAAATTTCCGTAGTTTCCATAAAATTAGAAAAAAGTGAATTCAGAGTATAGAAATAAAATTGAAAATTCATATCGATAGATGAACTCATAAAATTCTTATACCTGCACAAGGTTTAGGTGTTAAAGCTATTCTCTATTAGACTCTGCATAAAATTATAAAATATATCCGTATTGTTCTTTATTTTTTCTGTCTTCTTAAAATATCTGAAATTTAATATACTAAGAATACTCTAATTTCATATATATAGTATTCCTACATGTAGATTACTTATAAAGAAGGCTGATAAGTGATAATACTTGACTTTCTAGATCAAAATTATTGATGTATTTTATCTTCATTAGATGAGATCTTAAATAGGATGTCAATCAAATCAAAAACCATGTCTCTAAAATTTAGTTTGATTATCTGTGACTTTAGAGTAGATACTTGCACTCCCTTGCTAATCAATAAACAAAGTATCAAAGGATAGAAATCAGAGAGATTGGATATTAATAGAAATTATAATGATCAAAACAAAATTTAATTAGTACATCACAAAAGGAGAATTTCATATTATTTATTATTAAGTTAGGTGAGATTTAATCATAAAAAGAAGTAAAAATTGGCTAAAATATAAAAGAAACATTGAATATATTGTTTATCAAATGGGAAATTAATATCGTATGAAGTGTACGTAACATTTAGGTATCACTGGACGTATTTCAGAATATTTTTTAATATATTTATGAATATGGTTTTTCGCTCTATTTTATAATCTTATATTTTATTTCAGATATAATAATATAATTTATGAAATAATAAATGGAATAAAATATAATATAATCAACTACTGTTAAAACAATCAAAGAACTCAAGAAGAAACAAGAATTTAGAACTTCAATGGAAGGAGATGAATTTGAATAAAATGAATCTACATAAAGCGAAAAACGAACCCCCGATGATGAAACTAGCAAAACATAATACACCAAATTTAGACTTAATCATAAAGGATCAATCAATTAAATATTACCCAAATTAAGTCAATCTAATCTGTAGGAATCCACTAAATCCTTATAAAAATAATTGAGCGAGGAGCTTCCTCCTAAATAATTTGGACAAAGAAAGAGATTTAATAGATATGCCACATAAAAATTATAACAGCAACCATTATAACTTACTGAATAAATCGATTAAACCACTGCAATGAATCTTATTTTAAATAAATCCAAAACATTAGCAGACTATTATACAAATAATCAACTAACATCAACTTAGATTCACATGTTTCTTACTGATAACAAATAATTTGTTTTTACATTTATGGCATTTCTTAATCGGTTAGCAGAGAAGGGGATCTTATCAATCTCTCTAACCAATATATAAAAGTCTGTTCTAACATAAATAGAGCAATTTACAATTAATCAAATAAATAGGGAATTAAATAAACTCGAATTAAATAAGAAAATATAAGATCAAATGAAAAAAATTGAAATCAAACAAAATTAATATTCAAAATTTCTCTCTGAATTAGAAGCATCATTAAAATTTTTTTGAGTTATTTTTATATCACCTTTATTTAACATTGTAAATTTTTTAATTAGACCTCACAACACTATGTTTGTACATATTATCAACATCAATTCATTGTATATTAGGATTATAAAATTATTATTAAATTTTAGATTTCTTAATATAAACTTAATTGATGTTATTAAAACAGTTTCAATACTCATATTTGAATTTACTCGATTGTAATATAATTAAAATTAAAATGCAATTATAAACATGTGTCTAATTTGGATTTTTTATGATGGATAAAAAAGTATATGGTATAACTTTATTTAGTATTACTGAATTTTATTGAGATGTCGAAATTATATTGATAAATTTATAAAACATATCATAAGTAACCTTTAATATTGAAAACAATTATATTTTTCATTTTTATTACAAGAAACTTGGAGAATCAAAACCTGATACTTCATGCAGTATTGATTATGATTACATCATTAAACTACTGTATTTGAGTTTAACGGCTGAATTCAATTCTCCTTCTATCACATCCATTTCTAATTCATTTTTTATTGATTATAATTATTGTAACTATTATTCTGTTTATTCAATTCGTTGATTTATTTCTTTTAATTTGATTCTTTTAAATTAAACTAATCTATCTAAACTATCCTCTTCAAAATGAATAAAAATTACGTCTAAATTAATAACTCCACTCTTTCTAGCTCTTATAGCATTTTAAAAGTTTTCTCTTTCTTAAGAACTTCCAAAATAAGCATAATTTAGTTGTTTACCAACATGCAATCCTAAACAAGTTTAGCATTAAGTTTCTTCTAAGTAAAATTGATCTGACATATAAGGTATGATGGTAACAAAATTTTGAGGATATTTATGTTGAACTATATTGTTTTGACCTAAACTAATATAATATGTAAAATTCCCATGTAAAGGAGTGGATAAATAATCACAAATAATTCTACCTTTATATGTGAGTAAAGGTGAGGGAGGAACGACCCTATCATTTCTAATTAATTTAAAGGTTGATTGTTACACAACTTTTAAACTCTAAATATTGAATACAATTCTTACATTTTCTTGCTCTATCATTTTAGTTCTAAAATCTGAATCATTGGGATTGATAAAATGAGACATTACTTTTATTTCTAGATCTTTGGCAATGGCAAATCGAAAGACCTCAGCTATATAATTTCTTTATTCCTAATATCTAGCCCTATAGATGATGCATTTATTATTATTTGTTACTATTATTTCATCTAATTAGAATCCATAAGTCACTTTCTAAGAATCACATATATTATACTTCTAATTAAACGAAATGAATAATCTTGGGTTATTCTCCATCATATATCTCACAATAAACGTGATCAATAAAGTTAAAAAATAGCACTAATAGTTTCTTTTTGAGGAAAACATCAAAAGCTACCCAAGGATATAATCTTCTAGCTAAATTAAGTTTGAGAACATACACATTTATTACAGACTTTACTCAAAAGTTATAGGTTAATAAAGTAAAGATCGAAGACCTAAAACATAAAAATATTAATCCTTAAATTATAGCCCATATAATTTGCAAGACATTATTTTTTACTTAGTATCCTTTTGCGAATATTTTATGATATTGTTTAGATTAAAACTTTTAGGATAATTGGTGATACTAAATAATTTTGGATTATATGAAAATTCTGGATCGCATATTCTTTTCTCAAGAGTATCCTCTTCTTTGGTTTTCTGAATCATTTAGCTTAATTGTAAGTCTTGCTAAAAAGATAATTTGAAATAGGAGAACAATCCATAGAAATTGAAATTCTCACTATTTTATATAAATGTATAATCCATTTAATAAAATAATGGAGCTTAACATTCTTTCACTTTATCAATATTTATTAATAATCATTGTTTTTCAGCTGTACCATCTGATGCTACATTGTATTCTTGATTTTCACCATCTAGTGTTATAACTTTGACTCCATTAACTTTTCCACTTGAACAGTTATCCCTAATGATTTCCAAGTCTTTAATCTAACCTTTAATCTTGATAACTGTCACAGGTGAATTAGAGCATTGTTTTTTACAGTTATTCAGATTATTAACGTACTCTTTTAACAGTTTGCACAATTCCTTTTTTGCCTAAGCTCTTTCCTCAGGATCTAATGTATGTTATATTCAATTTACTTTCTGAATCTAAGCCTTTGCATTAATCTTTTAATAATTGCACTTAAACTAATCCAATTTAGCTTTTTGTTAATGGCAATTCCAACTTGTGTAATTTTTTCATCAATTTTTTTCCAGAAACTTAGGTTTGAACTTCTAGAAATGAATTTGACTTTGATGATAATAGATGTTCCATAGATTTTAATATTTTGATATCATGAGAAATAGCTTTTTAATGTTTTAATAAGTCTTCCCATTATTGCATTTGTTTTTCAACCAAAGATATTTGATCACTCTTAGCACAATCTACACTCTTGATGTCAAATTTTGCCAGTTCTTCTAAAGACATCATTTAATCTGTAAAGGCGTAAGCACTCAAACACAAAAGTACTGTTATTAGCAATTTCATTAAATAAATATCAAAATTCGATAATTGATAATTATAAAAAGACTCATACATACAAAAAAAATCAGGTTTTTTTAATTCATTTAATTCAGTTATTTAAATATTCAAGTAACTAGTCTTCATCAAAGGTAGTCTAAGACCATTTATTAAGTTTATCAATTCGAATTTCTTCCTCTGTACAACATTTTTTTGTTATAATCTGTAGAGGTTTAACATTTATTTTTCTATAACTAGTTTATTTTGCTTTATCTTGAATGTCTATTTTTTTACTGTTCATTAAAACTATCTGCTATTATATAAGATATTTTTCAATTGGTGTATATGATTAACCAACTGCTCCAAGGCCATTAAATTTATTCAAAATAGATGGTTAGGAAAGTCTCTGTGATTAAAAATTCTCTGATTTTTATTTGTTGCTCTTCAGTGGTTTCTAAACAGACATAACCAATATCGGTGGTAATGATTTTATTATAAGTGGCTTCTTCAAAACTTAAGATAATGAAATTTGCTTGTATTTTCTATGCAAAAGCATGTTAGGCTTGTTTCTTTCAGATAAAATCATAGATAAATTAAAAATATTTCTCAGATAATAAATATTCGATTAATTCAAACAACAAAGATACTGAAAGTAAGAGATACTAATACCCTTAGAGTAGAAATTACACTTTATCAGCAAATGAACACCTTATAATATAATAAGAACTGTTAAATATGTTTTGATAAAATTAAGTCTTTATATGAGATTTATATTATTAATATATAATATAAACTCAATACTTAATTTATTCTTAAGTTAACTGAATTTCTAATAAAACATTCAATTCATATTGTCGATTCAGACTAAGAAATATTTTATTCCTAATTATTCTGAGTCCAATCAGATTTATTTGTTTATATTTCTTAATGTAATAATATATTATTTTGTATACAATTCAATTTTGATGATTTATTTAAATTTTGGAGCAGTAAAATTAAATTATTTATTATGTGAAAACTTTAATATAATAAATATAATGTATTATTATTAAGACTAAAGACATAGTGAATCAATGGTTATTGCTATTGATTATAAAATCATTCAAATAGAATTTGCAATAATTAAAAGACTAGAAATTATAGAAAATCTTTGAGGGTTTAACAACTGACACAAAGGTTATCATTATTACTGAGTGCTTATCTAAACAGAATTTAGAAATAATTATATAATTATTTAGATAGCAAATTATATTATTTCTCTAAAAACCTAATAATTTCCATCTTTTTATAATAAAGGGTTTGATTAAAATGATGCTTTTATTTGATCAGAGTTTGATTGACTATTAAAATTAAGATAAAAATGTCAAAAGAAGAAAAACTGAAAACTAAGCTTTTAAAAAACATTCATCAACAATCTCTACAAGAATATTAACAGCAATCAAGCGATCTAATTTCAATTTAACCTTAAATTAATACAATTAATGATTATTTGAGAATAGAAAATAATTAATAAGAGTATGAGAACGAAATAATAGATTTCGCAAAGTAAAATTTAGAAAATCAATTTAAATAATCATAAGTTACAAATATTAAATTGTAATTAAAATAGATAATTCTCTCTAAAATTCCATTTCCATAATTTTTAGCCTTCATTAAAATAACTGATAGAAGAGCATAAATAAATTACAAAGCTAAATTAGTGGCTGCATTGAATTAGATTCTCTCAAAACATAATTCCAAAATTTAAGATATTGACATATTGAATATAAATTTTAATCCCATAGATGATGAGGATATTATCCTATATATATTGGTTTTATTAGAAGAATTTGTTAACAAAAATAGATCTATTAAATTAAGTGATTTTACTTAATCGGAAATCAAAGGAATGATGAAGGTTTTTCATAAAGCAAAAGAATTTAATGTTTATAATGCGATTAAAAAAAAATCTTTAACATTTGTTTTAATAGTATAAAACATCAAGTTGATGTCATTTTATTTCAATAATCAAATAGATTGCTTTGATTAATAGCCATTTCTAAATTCAGAGGATTCAATTTGTATTGAATTGCAATAAGACTCAATAGAGGAAAACAAATTGATGGATCAAGAAAAGTCCAGAGAATCAATTTAGCTAATGGTATTGGATCAAAGTAAATTAAAGTAGCAATATCAACCTATAAATTCAAATGTACAATAAGCTCATGAATTCAATAGATTTGAAAAAATGGAGGACTTTACTATAAAGATTCTAATCTTGAGATTAAATGAATTATAGATTCCCTTCCCAGAAATACTGAGAAAGATTAAGTTTACTTATAAGAGCAAGGATTTCGCCATATTAGATTAAAAAGGCATGTTAACTATTAGTCCAGATTTTGAATTAATTAAGTAAATATGTGCTCTTCCTTAAATACAAAAGTTTTCATAGGAATTACAGTTGCCTATGCTATCTTAATTCGTACCAAAAAGAATTAGGTAAATAATAATTTAAAAATATTAACACTATCAAAATAAATCTATTTTAAATGCAATGGAGGAAATGATTATTGTGATTAAAAATAGGTATTCTGATTGCTATGAGGAATTATTAAGAATATATAGGGATGATAAATTTAATATATTTCTTTAATCTATTTGGAATATTTGTGGAGATTAAATTAAAAATATATTATAAAATAAAGTAGATAGTCATAAATTATTCCCTGAATTTGGTAGTAATATTTTGAGAATTGGAACAATGCTCTTTGAGATTAAACAGAATATAGGTAATAACCTGGATTGTGATCAAACTGGGGCTAAAAATATTAGATAAATATGTATAAAATAAAATATGTAGTCTCCTCTACTAAAAATATTTTTTTGTCGATTAACGAAAGTTTAAAAGGCTTTCCCTTTAATGCTTAAACTTCTTCATTTTTCTAATTTCAATGTCATCCTAGTAAACAGGAAATTTTGTTTAGAAGAAATTGCTCAAACTAAATTGTTTATAGAATTTATGAAGAATAAATTTAACTATGATATCGAATAGTAGAAGCCCTCAGAAAGAGTTGAGTTAGTGTTTTTTACTAATAAGTTCATCATTGAACCTGAATCATCTGAGACTTGGCCTAGAATCATTATGCAATAGCTACAATTGATATATCAAAAAAGGAAAAAATACGAGTAATTGATACGGGAGGCTGTTGAAACAAAAGCATATAAATAAAATATCAAAGAGTTAAGTGCCATTTAAGAAAAATAAGATGTAAGAGCTAAAATTAAGGAACTATTGTTATTGATTTATGATTTTATAGTAAATAATTAAAATTGATTTGTCTTGAACTAAGAATAAACATATTTTGATTAATTTTGAAATATAATTTTTATATATTAATGATAAGTAAATTCAATAAATCAAATTTTTTGCTGTAGAAAAAAGAAGAGAAGTATTCTAGGGAGTTGGAAAGGAAAAAAATTGAGATGGCATCCAAAATTTTTATATTTTATAAAAATACAAAAATTTGTAATGATCTCAAAAAATCGATGATTTAATAGTACCTTCCAAAAATCTAAACTGCTTTATCTGTTCAATTTATGAAAGATCTGGTATATATAAATACTATAATAGCAAACATTTTATAAAGTCTGCAACATAACACTAAATAAATGTCCAGAATTTTTAAAACCCTTTTTTCTTTTAAATAAAAAGAATGTCTAAAACAATGAGACTTATGTTTTAAATATGCTTCAACTGTTTAGTGGATGCTTGTAGATTTAGTAGAATAATTTTGTTTTTAACTTATTCAAGGGAAATCAATTTTTAATGAATCGGCTGCATGTACGAATAATTAAATATATTTTTAGTTTTCCAAAGCCCTTTATCTCGGGTTTTATTTAATTCAGACATCAAAATAAGCTGATAATTTTATTAAATCTATCAATGAAATATTAATTTCGATCCATCAATTACTAAGCGCCTGTTAATTAGGTAAAAATATTTTATTATTTTAGATTTGTTTTATGCCTATTTCTATAGACTAGATACCTAAATCTTGCAAAATAATCTGCCTTAATTAATAGTTTAGAAAGGATTTGAAATATTTCTATTTTACTATCTAAATTTAAATAGAAATCAATAAGCAAGTTGGGATTTGGGATTTAATTACGTAATGATGATAGAATAGAACAGTTCATTTGATTTTAGCGACTTGATGAATCATATAAAAAAGTCTTAGCAATATAATTAGCTTATTTCTATGATATTAACTTCAGAATTAGAATTACAATAAATAAGAAAGTTATTTAATAAGTTACAAATATTAACAATTCCAAATAGTGAATTGTTATTTGAAATCCTAACTCAACTATTGTAGGTATTGGAGTAGAATTTTTATAGAATGAACATGCCTCAAGATTATAAGAATTTATAATATCAAAATAATTCAGAACACAAGAAATTAAAAATATTAAGAAAGAAAAAAGAATTTATCTAATTTACAGATTAAATCAATTTTTCAAAACTTTTAAGTCTATTAGAAAAACCATAATTCAGCGACCTCAGTTCAACAAGTAAGTTCATTTATTACTTGGTTAATATTGGATAAAATAGAAAATTGGAAATTATTTAATAGATGTAGAAATTAAGATACATAGATAATGATTTTACTAAATACTTGCTTAATTTATCAAAATTAAAAGAGTTCGAAAGTATTCCTGTTGAATCTATATCTGTGTATTGTTATTTTAAGGCTAACGAATTCTAATTATTGGATGATAAGGAGTTTAGAAATATTGCTCTGAAGAATGAAGCAGTAAAGCAAGAGTTGAATGAAATTTTTGGATTTATAATAGAATATGCAAAGTTTTGTATTTCTTATAATGTAAACCAACACATCTATAAGGAACTGAAACTATTTATACGAGAAATATTTGATCGTAATTAGATTTTAAATTTTTATTAATGGAAATACGAAAATATGAAGATAAACAATCACATCCCCTTTTTTTCATTATTTTCACAAAGAATTCAGAAGTTCAATTAATATTTGGAAGAGGATAAGAAATAATTCAATAGAAACATTCTGGCTATGCTTACTTATGATGAATTTGGAGAGCCAATTATGAAACAAAGCATGATGGTTGTGATTAGGAGAGGAGAAGAATTTTAAGATGCATTTGATTAATTGGAGAAAAAATAATTAAAGAATATGTTTCATGTAAAGTTTGTGAATTAGATGGGTATACCAGAAGATGGAATAGATGCTGGGGGAGTGACAAAAGAGTTTATAACAAGAGTAGTTAATTAAGCATTGGATCCAACATTTGGTTTATTCATCGAGACTCCAGAGAAGACTATGATTCCTAATCCTGCATTTATGTAGGAGGAGAAATAGTAAAATATATGTTAAATATTTAGAAAATACGCCTTCATTGGTAAAATAATAGGGAAGGCTATTTATGAAGGAGTGCTTATAGAGAAGGTCCTAAATCAAGTGTTTCTTAATTAGGTTTTAGGAATAACGAATACAATTAATGATTTTCGATTTTATGATTCAGATCAATATCATAGAATTTGCAATCTCAAGAATCAAGATGTAACTGATTTTGGATTGACTTTTTCAATTACTCAGGAGTTTTATGGGTAGATTGTAGAATTTGATCTGATTCCTAATGGGAGATAGATTAATGTGACAAACGAGAATAAAATATCGTACATCAATTTGTACTGCCATTTTAGGTTGAATAAATAGGTAAAAGTATGATAGTAATTGTTACAGATAAAAGAACAGAGCCAAATCTTTAGGGCAGGACTGGAACAAGTAATTGATCCTGAGAAGTTCAAACTGTTTACTAATCAGGAATTATAATTGTTAATATCAGGATAGCCAGTCATTGATATATAAGATTTGATTTCGAATACCAAGTACCAGGGATACCAACCTTATGACAAGACAATTGAGGACTTTTGGAGCGTTGTGAATGACTTCGAATATGAACAGTAGAGTTAGTTTTTGTTCTTCTTCTCTTCGTGCTCCAGAGCTCCCACTTAGGTATTTTGAATAATTTACAAGAAAGGGATTTAAAAGTCTGGATCCTCCGTTTATGATTCAGAAAGTGCCCATTCATCATCAGAGTGAAATGTAGAAATTGCCAACTGCTTCTACTTGCTTTAATATCCTAAAATTGCCTGACTATAGAAATAGAGATATTCTCAGGGAAAAATTAGTTAAAGCCATTAGTTCAAACACAGGATTTGAGTTAACATGAATTATAGTATATTGATATTATAACATAAATAATATTTATTTATGTAATAGTAACTTCTGAATCCTCTGCCAAATATCAATGAGAAATACATGATTAAGTAATTATATATACTACTCAATCAGTATTAATGGGAATGACATTTTACCTAACAGTGGGAGAAAATCTTCCTAGTACGATGAAAGACCTTCAGAATAACGAAGAAGAGAAGAGCAGAAGTAGGAGCTGTCTCATTATAGAGATTTATGTGAGCAATTGAATAAAGAGAATTTGTTACTTAAATCCTTCCAAATAGAAAATAATGAGTTAAAATAAAAATAATTGCTCATGAATGTTGAGTTATCGGCTGCCCAATAGGAACTCTCGAGAATCAGAAACCAATTTGGATCTCAATAATCAACTGATAGGCAAGTTTAAAAAATTTAACAAGGTATTTTATGACAGCAATTTTATAGATAATTTAAATTTGTAATAGTAAATTAGTGACTTAAACAAATAAAAGCAGAATCTAGAGGCAGAACTGAAGTTATTCAAAGAAAACCGGTTAACTTAGACTATTGAAATACCAGATATGAATGCTTCAGTGTATCAGAGAAAAATAAAAGAAATGGAGGAAGATATTTAAATTTTGATTGATGATTATAATAGTAGTTAAGAAAAATTAGAAAAAGCTTTGAATGAATAAAAACAATAATTCAAATCTGACATTGATTAACTCAGAAGTCAGAACTAGTTGATGTCTGCAGAGATCTCGGGATGGCAATAAAGGTATAACAATTTAGAAATAATGAAGAATGAATTATCTAACAAATTAATTATTCTAGAAAAAGAAAATTAATAATTAGTGTATAAAACTAGATATGATGAATCCTAGGCTAATCTAGAAATCATATCCTAATTGAAAGATCAGATCACCTAATAAACCAAATCGATTACCAACTTAAAAGCAGAATTATAGTAGAAATAACAAAGTGAATCTTAATTAATTTATGAATAACAAATTATTAAATAAAAATTAGAGTAATTCTAAACCCAAACACTGAATTCATAAAAAATAGATAATCAACAATATAAAAATGAAATTTCTAAATTGAAATAGGAAATAGAATAATTGTAATTAGAACAAAAAGACAATGACTTTTACAAAACTAACATATACAATTTAAAGGAAGAATAACTACTTTAGTAGATCGACTCTCAATAAGAGGAGATTAAAAGACTAAGGGAAGAATTAATATCTTAGGAGGAGCAACACACTAAGAGGTTGAAAGATTAAGAACATCATTTCTAAATTGAAATCAAAAGTATCAATGAGAAATATGTTGTTTTACAAAATGAAATTAATTGTAAACCTTAATCTTATGAAGAAAGTAGAATTAAATTCTAAACTTAATTAGAAGTCAATAATTATGAAGCATAAACAGAAAAATTAAAAAGAGATATTCGCTAAATGGAATAGCAAATGAAAGAGCATGATATTCAAGTTAAGCTTTGGTAGGAGAGGTTTTATGAATAGCAGACATAAAATGAAGATTTGAGATACAAACATCAAGAATTACGAAATTAAATCAGCTAGTATCTTAGTTATAAAACTTAAAATGAATACGATTAAAAGACCATTCATAACTTAGAGGCCTTAGTAGAAGAATAATAAAATATAATGCATACATTATACCAAAAAGAATAGCATTATAAAGAGACAATCACAAAATACATTTAGAAAATAGAAGAATTTTAGTATGTAAATAATGAAGAATCAGTGAATTAGATTTAATAACTGTAATTTTAATTGGATCAATTGTAAATTAAGATCAAAGAACAAGAAGCTTAATTAAACATTAAATCGACATAAAGTTTTGATTTGGAAACATAGATTGAAATTGAAAAACTTAAATTTTCAGAAAGAGAAATCCTTATTTCAAAATAATAAAAATAAGATAAAAAAAGAATACAGCAATTAGAATTGCAAGTTGAAAACCTTTAGAAAGATTATGCTTTACTAAGTCAGAAGAAGAATGAAGTTATCAAAGAGTATGTTTAAGTAGAAAATTAATAAGAAAAAGAAAGAATTATTTAATTAGAGCAATCCTTATCAAATCTTCAATAAGAATATGTCATTATGAATTAATAGTATCTCAGTCTTCAAAATCAATGTAACACTTTAATTATTAGATCAGAACAAAGCAAAGGATCTGAGGAGGATAAAATTAAAATAAAGTAATTGGAAGAATAACTAAGAATAATGAAGGATCAATACTTTGAGTTAAATTCATTGAAATAATAAGTGTTGAAGGAAGTTGTTAAAGAAGTTATTGAAGTCCCATCAGAAAGTGATTAGATGTTAATTAAGTAGTTGAGATAGGAATTACAATAATTATAGGCAGAATATATGATATTAAATAATCAAAAGCGCAATTATGTTGAGGTGTAATCTGAGGTTGATAAAAATAGGATTAAAGAATTAGAACGATAATTGATTATCTTAAGGCAAGATTATGAGGAAGTTTGTAAAAAGAAATAATTAACAATAACAGAGTTTACAGAGGTTTCTTCAAAATAAGATTTGTATAGGATTTAATAACTGGAGAAAACGGTTTAACAATTACAAGAAGAAAATTTCAAATTGCAAATTTAGTATTCTGAACAACTTAAGAAATCTGTTATTATTAATTAGGATTTTGAATAAGTTTAAGAACTTTAATTTTAATTAACTACATTGAGAGAAGAAAATAAAAAATTGTATTTCCAATTGAATTAATAAAATGAATCTCTAAAGAAGTCATCTAGTTCTGATTTTCTAAAGATCTAATAATTAGAACAGAAGATCAGGAATTTAGAATAGAGTAATTTGGAGTTATAGAAATTACAATCTCAAATTAAAATAGTTAAGGAAACTGTTGAAGTAAGTAAGGATGAAGATTTATTCAAGATATAATAGTTAGAGTTATAACTATAATTAAAAACTGATGATATGTAGTATCTAGAGAAGTAATTAAATCTTTAAAAGAAAAATGTAGAAGAATTAATATCTGCAAATGAAAAAATGAAATATGAAAATACAAAAATGAGATCATAGTTATATGAATTGTAATCCACTGTTGATGATTTGTAATTTAAGATTAAGGAGAATAGTAAGTCTTAGGAAGAAATTAAATATTATTAATAGATGATCAGTTAATATGAACAAAGAGACAAAATGAAAAATGATTCACAAAAAGTGATTAGTGAATTGAAGAGCAAATTAAATGAATCAGAAAACCAGGTAAAAAGACAATGGGGAGAATTTGAATTAAGCAAACAAGATTATGAATTTAAATTAAAAAGCCAAGATACAAAATATAGTCAATAGATTTAATAATTATAATAGGAATTATAATTCAAATTATAATCAAGTGAATAAGAAAATTTAATTTGCAAAAATACATGTAAATAAATCTAAATCTAGAATGATGAAATGCAAAGAGAAATCAAAAGATTATCTGATTTGATAAGACAAAAGAATGATGAAATTAGGAAACTGAATGAAAACATACAAATATATTCTGTCAAAATCGATTAATACTAAACCAATTTCAAAGAAAATTAAATATAAATACAAGAAAATAATGTATAACAAGAAAAAATGTCTTAATTAATGCAACATTGTACTAAATTAGAAAATGCCTTAAAATAATTTGAAGAAGAAAAAAAAATTGAAAATAAAGAGCTTCATGAACATTTCAATAAAAAGATGATGGAAGTCTAAGAAATTATCCATAAAAAAGATGATGAAATCTAATAGCTGTCTATTTACATTGCAAGTCAACAGCAATAAATTTAAAATTAAGAGCTTGCTAAGATTTAATTTGCTAGATAAGATGAGTATTTATATTTCATTAATTTAGCAATTAACAATTTTTGATTGAGTTGTAGAATTAATTAAGTATAGTAAAACAAGAATTATTGAGGTAAACAACTTTGAAAGAAGAATATTAAAATAAAAACAATGAATTAATATTAAAAGTACAGTTATTATATCTAGATGTTTTAGATGGCAGAATATGAATAAGGGAATAGAGTTTCAGTTAAACCTGATTACTAGTTGACTGAAAGACTCAAAGGGGCAAGTAGTTATAGGAATCTTGCTAATGTTGAATACAATTTGAATGAGTCACAATTCTAAAAGTCAAATTAAAATTAAATGAGAACAAGAGATTCAACAAGCCTATATAATCCTAAGCCCAATAATTTTAATCCTCTAAATTCTTCTGTATTATTTTATATTTAGTGTAGATTATAAAATAAAAAGTATTTACTCAAAAAAAGAGTTAAATATATTGAAGACCATTTGTTTAATAATAATAAATATTTATTGATAATATTAAAATACAAGGAGTTAAATTCAGAAAACATCTTCATACAAAAGTAACATTTAAACTTCATGTTCTTGTTCATAATGATCAATTTTGTTTAAGGTTCTTTTTAATTTGTTTTCCTCCATCCTAATTTTAGAGCTATAATCAATTCAAAATAGTTACAGCTTATCATTTGCTTCTTCTAAACTTAATTTAACTAATAAATCTAATCTTTCTAAGTTGGATAGTTAACTCTTCAACTTTTATGCTAAAGTTTAATTTTTAACTTCCTTCTTTTCTAAGTTGTTTAAGAACTATTAGACTTTTTCACAATTTTTGCCATCAGCTTCACCTTCTTTTAATACCATTTTGGGTACAATCAAACCAGGCATAGAAAGTATTGTGTTCCAGTTAATACCTTCAAAAAATGGATGCTTTTTTATTTCATTAATGTCTTGGTGTCCAATTCTTTTGTTGTAATCAGGTTCCATTAATCGACACATGAGATCATAGGCATTGTGAGATATGCTTTCCTCTTCAATATCACTTACATTTGGCCATTCAATTCTGTAATTCAAAATGTTATCAAAGATCTTCTCAACAGAATCATCATTGAAGGGAGGTATTCCGCAAAGCATTTCATACATTATGACACCCAAACTCCAATAATCTAAACTGCTATTTGTTAAGGATTCCCCTTTTAAGACTTCTGGAGCAATATAATCAGGAGTTCCAACAATTCTTTTGTTTTTACTACTATAATTTTGAATGCTTGCTCTGACGGCTTGCTAAGCTTAGGGTAATTTCAGATCAAAGACAGTATTATATTATGGATCATTATGATCAGCAAATTCAGGAATTGTGTTTCTTAAAATAAACAAATAATCTTACGCTTCAATGTCCTATTATCTTAATTTTAATTTTAATCTATTATTAAAGCCAACCTCTGATAAACCAAAATCAGCTAATTTAGCATGGCCTTGTTTATCCAATAGTATATTATCTGGTTTTAAATCTCTATGGACAATCTTTTTGGATCTCAAATATTCTAAAGCCAATACGACTTCAGCTACATAATGCTTGACGTATTCCTCGTCTAAAGCCTTAATATAAGAGAATCTGATACCGTATACATCTTTAGAATATGTGAGAAATCTCCTCCTACCATATATTCTTAGACAAAGCATAAATTTTATTCATGGCTGAATGAATAATAGGCTTTAACTACAAAATCTCCAGATAAAATTTCAAAAATATTTCTTTCTGCTTTTAAAGTGTCTAACTAAGTCTCCAATTACTTTTAATAATATTAATTAATTTACTTTTTGAGAGCAATCAATTATTTTCATAGCATATAAATCCCCTGAAGTCTTCTTCTTCACTAAAAATACCCATCCAAATGCTCCTTGTCCAAGAGGTTTTATAAATTCAAAATCTTTCAAGCCAATCTCTTAGGATTAATTTGCTTTTTCAGCATTTATACTCACTAGTTCAGAATCTGAATTATAGCCTCTATCAACTGTGATGACTTCGAAGTCAAATGATTATTTGGATTTCTATGGAACCACAGCCATACTTTATTTCATATTATTATTCATTGAATTTTAAGGATAGAATAAACTTTTTTTTGGTTTACTCAAAGAATGATCAAAGTCATTATCATCATTATCATCATTAGTTTCATTCTATTTAATATTAGCTTTTTTTGCACTGGAGGATGAATAATTTGGACTCGCATCTTGAGGTGCCTCTAGATTTTAAGGTGAAATTTAGTTAGGTGATTCTTCAATTATTTATTCTGTTTCCATTCTTGCTCCTAGTTCAATGTGTAAGGGTTTTTGTGGCTCTTGTTAATTAAACGATATTGGTAATTTTCTACTGCCTTTCATCATCATATTTCTGTCACTGTTCTTCATATTGTTTTATTAAGATTTTTTCAATTCTTGATTGGAGTTTGGATTTGAATTCTAGACTTAATTTAGTTCTTCATCAGATTCACATTATTTAATATTTTCAAATGAATTTATTGCATTTCCTTCTTTGTCTTTCTATAAATCTTCAATCGAATCTACTTATCTACCAAGTCCTATTGATGGTATTAACTATTTTTTCATAGGAATTTCTTAATCGGAATCACATTGTGCAAAATCTGCAAAAGAGCAAATCTTCTAATTTCTAGGAGTTTCATCCTAAAAGTCCGATGATCCCATTCTTCCTGTTGGAGATTAATTAGAAGACTCAATTACTGAATCAACAGCTGTAGGGGATTGAGCTCTTCTGAATATAGAGGGTTTATTAGATTTTGGACTAATTAGTGTATCAGAAGAATTAGATAGATTTGCAATTTTATCCAATATCTTTGACCCTGGATTCGATTGTAATTGAGGTGGCTCTTCGGGATTGTTTTTTGATAAAAATGTCCTTTTCATTTAATTACTTCCAAGCACCTAGGATCTGGACATTGACATAGTTGTTAAGCTATCTCTTCTGTTAATGTCATTTACACTTCCAACGTTAGATGTATTAAATTTATCTTTACTAATAATCATTATTGTTATTTACTTAATTAACGACATAATCATAACATTCTTCTTCTTATTATTGTTAGTTAGATTCTTTGGAGTTTAACAAACATAATCATCATCCTCTTCGTAAATCGTATCATTCCTTTTAAGCTTTTATTAGATGGTAGCGGTAATATTAGTGAATTTGGATACTCTAAATGAACTTGAATTAGAATTCTTATATTTTTATTTTAAATCTATTTCAATTTTTTGGTTTATCTTTTAACTTTCTTAAATTTGTTATGATTCCAAATTTTAAATAATTTTAAAGTATTCCATTCTATCATATATACAAGAACGAGCTTTATCTATAATCTCAAGTACTGAGTCATTATTTTAATCATTTTCTAAATTAAATTTAGCTTCTGTTAATTCATCAAATGTTATTCGATTTACTAAATTATAGATATCTAAAAATTACATTTATTATCCTCATTATTAACATTACTATTTAACACCTTCTCAGTATAGTTTACTATTGTAGTCATCACAGAGTTTATAAAGGCTAATTCTTTTTTGGCTTTATTCTTTTCATCTTCCTCTTGTTAGAGTTTATTGTCTTCTAAATGGATTGTATGTGTTCTTCTAAGTGATCTTAGTGGTTTTTTTTCTTCCTCTTATTTTTTCAATTTCTATCTATTTTACTTTTGTTCTTATAAGCTCAATTTACCCAATTTGATCTAAACGTCATGTTTGAATTTATATGCTAATTAAGATGCATCTGCTAATTATAAATTTAATTGTAATAATTTCTTGCTTTGTTCGGCCTTCCTTTCACATGTTATACAATGAGCTGCCATTATCTCTACTTCTATCAACTACTCGCAGATTCGGCATACGATTTTACTATGCTTTTATAAATCTAATTCTTTTAATTTACTTTGTATAAGTCTATTTTAATTAATTAATGATTATTTTATTTTACGTTTTAGTTTCAACAAATACACGTTTACTACGCAAAGCTGTGCTTTATTCTGGCTGATGTTCATCTAGCCAAAACAACACAAATTGAGCACACACATTCCTTATTACTGAAAGCACTCTTTTCTAGATTCTATATTTATAATTAAATATTGTATACTTCTAAAGTTAATTAGCAATTTTTAAATTTCTAGAACTCCCCTTTTTAAACCCTTTTAGATAATCTAAGCTTGTTTACTTTTTCAGGGTCTCCATGTTTGCTAAAACACAGCCCAATTAATCTTGGTCAAACGAATTTATTGTGGATTTTAATGTGTTACGCAATTCATTTAAATAAGTCAATGAAGGCGTCCCAAACTACAATACTAATATTACACATACCTATCCCGCAATTAGCAATTCGATAATAAAATTTATCTAATCCATAATGAGTTCAACATCCTTTCTACTCTATATCACACATTTTAAACGATGAACTTATTTTACAATATAATTCAATGGTGGTTTTGGAATTGTGAATTCTAATTTACTTGCCTTTACCTGTAAAGAGTGGAATTATATTTTATTCATTAATTAATATGTATTAATCTAATTTAATACAATTAGGCAAATTCACTGTCCGAATTTTTGTTGTTTATAACTGTATATTCCCCCCTTGTTTCGGCCTTTTCTTATTTTTGAACTCATAATCATGTGTCTTTAATCTCACATTCAAATTCCTTATACTTTTCAAAAAGATACTCAATTTTATATACAATTATTTTACAATAATTTGAATTACAAATCAAATATACGAAGAATACCCCTTCTTTACTCATTTGCATAATATATAATCAATTGAAGTAAAAATAACGGTATGCATTTAAGTAGTTGATTACATTATTTTTTAATATCTACTAAGAATAACATAATAAGATATTTGAAACTAAAGTCAAATGAACAGGAAGCATGTCAAAATTGGAAATTTATCAAACAAATAAATTCAAAAATTCTCAATAAAATATTCCTTATGCAAAATATTAAAATTTGTCATACCTAAAAAATACTTTTATAATTTACCATCTTGCTCTCCAATTATCCAATGATTTGTCAATTAGCTCTTATACATGAACGTATAATTCAGCTGATGATTATACTTTTGGATTGAATCTTAATTACAATTCTTTTAAAGTCTATTCTCCCTTTGAAAAACAAGGTAACGTTGTTCCATGTCCTGTATACATCATCTCAGCTAGAAGTAAGATCTCTTTTTAATGTTTTTAACATGCCTTAAACCCTCTAAAATTATTATTATAAAATACTAGAAAAATAATTTTCTGAAATTTTCCCTAAACAGATTCCCTTTCACTCCTCCTAAAACTTCGATATAATCAGACAATAATTTAAAAGGTACGTTTTTTTCAAACTCTACTCCTTTTCCTGGAGCTATTGACAAAAAGAAACCAAAATCTATGTGTATCAAGTGTCCTTCACTATCCAATAATATATTTCCATTATGTCTATCTTTGACTTATAAAAAATAACACACTAATCCATAGGCTGCTAAAGATTGAACGTAATTATCCAAAGCCTAATCGATTTTATGTCTAAAAAAACTTCTAAAAAAATCTGAAAAATTTTTGAATTGAGTATATTCTTTTCTTAAATGTTTCTACAAACTATCAATAGTAGTTGCATTTTTGATCATTTCAATAATACCACAATCTGGACCCATTGAAAGTACTTCATAGTATCTTAACTTTAAAGGCAAGCCTTCCTTTTTAAATATTTAGTCAAATTAAGAGATCAATTACAATGCAAATTATTCCTGCTTTAGATTATCACCTGTTTTTATGATTAAATGAACAATATTCCAAGTTTAAAGTTATGAAAAAATTGATTAAGATTTAATTCTTTCAAATTGATCTAGTGAATTCTCACCAAAGATTGCTTATTTCATTTCTAAATGTTCTTGAGTTGTTAAGACTAAACCTCTATTAGGTTGAACGAAACTATTTTTTCCAATTTTACTTGTCAACCAATTGCCTTCTCCAGTCTTTTCCTGTGAGATACTAGATTGCTCATCTATACTAAAAGCCTACACATTTTCTTCTAAAGAATAAGCAGAAGATATTTCAGGTTTTAATTTTTATTGATCAATTTACTCGTCATCATTTTCATCTTATGTTTATTGATGATAAAATTATGATGTTCCTTATGTTACCGGATGATGAACTTAAGGAGCCATTTAAAAGAATTTGATCTATTAAAACTCATTCTAAATTTATTTTAATGCATCTGTAGATGAAAATGTTCTCCTATTTTCCATGTCAGAATGATCTTCAATAAATAGTTAACTCTAGGTTCTTTACAATAATTTGTATGACTAAAATCGTAAACATACAATATTACACTCATAGTAATTGGTCGAGATATTTTCTTCTCAATAAATTTATGGTTGCTTTAACCTTCAATTTCTGGCCTATAGGATTCCAAAGTTAAACTAAAGGGACTTCTCATTTTAGTTGAGAATACTTTACTTTCCTTTGGGACAATTTTTAGAATGGCATAATTCCTTACTTAATTATTCACAAAAGGAACATAAACAGAGGCTGGTAAATTTTTATTCATTTTTTACAAACAAGCCTGTAAAGCCTCTGTTTTTTTAGTTTGAACTTTAGATAATTCATCACAAATTCTCATAATATCATTCCAAAATTAAATGTTTGATATAAATGCTGTATCTATAGTTTTTTCCTTCTTTTCTTAGTTAAATATTGACTCATAATCTTAAAGTTCAATTTCTTTAGGATTTTTCACTCTATTATCATAGGGATGAGAATTCTGGTACTTAAGCCAATCGGGTGTGCCATATTTTTAAATAGCTTCATTAACTTTGACTGATTATTATTTTGTAGTTCCTTAATAAACAGCTTATAATTATGATTTTTTTGGAGAATTTTCATCAGAATCTGAATTATCCTCTTTTAAGTTACTCAGTTCTAAATTCATTTATAGGATATGAGTAGCAATTAGTAGATTACCTGCGTAATTTTGTGCCATTTGATATACAAAATAATCAAGAAATTTCTTGACGACATTAATAGTGACTGTTTCATGGGGTGTTATAATTTAAGATAAGCTTTTCATCTAAAAATAAACTAAATGTGCAAAAAAGAAATCTAATGAAGATGCTTTTAAGACAAATTGTTTTAAATTTTCATCTGATAATTATTGATGGAATACCATAAAATTAACCATTTAAGGGATGAAATATTCAAGATCTTCTCTCAAATAATTTGATTAAAAATTTGGATTTATACGACATCGAGATAACATCGAAATGGCCTTATGTTTATCTTCAGAAACATACAATCTAATGATAACTTCTAAAATATCAGAATCTGAAATCTAGTTTTTTTGATATATTTTACATCTAAAAAATTATTTTTATATTTGCGAAGTATTTCGTTAGTTTTATAAAAGGATTTCGGGAGAACTCCTTTATTTTTTTTTGAAAAGCAAAAACAATTTACTCCCTCTTCTTGTTACATAATAAATATAATATATATCAAATAAATTAATTTATATAAACCTAAATTATTAGATTTAGAGAATTTATTTTTTAAGCCTTGACAAAATAAGTCTAGCGAATTACAATTAATAAAACATTCATGAAATGAAAAAGGAATCTATTCTGGATAATTTCAAAATTAACTCCATTTAAAAATTTGGAATTCTCTAAAATAATGGTACTAATAAATTAGCAGAAAAAGAATTAAATCAGATAGAAATTGCTCTTTTAGACATTTTAAACATTATGATATACAATCAACGTTTTCTAAATTTCTTAATAATTTCTTCGGCATCATCAGCATCACTTAGTAGGCTATCTATATCTGAAATTCTCTCAGAGTCTAATTTTGATTCATCAGAAATATCATCATCATCATCGTCATCATCCTCTTCATTATTTCCATCATCTGAGTGTTGCTTCTTAAGTTTGCCTTTTGTGTTTTTCTCATTATGATTGGTTTATTATGGATTTTTTTCATCTAATGAATCAGCGCTAAATTAAGATTTATTATCATCATCTCCTTAGTCCTTAAGAATTTCTAAATTAAGGCCATATCATTATTTTTTACCTTCTACATTTCTTCCGGCACCTTCATCTCCGCTTGAGTTATCATCAAATCTGTTTTCTGGTTATTCTTTAGTAAGTTTCTTTTGTTTCAATTCAGCCAACCATTTATGATATACATCAATAGCCTCATCTAATCCTTTGATTTTAGTATGAAAGGAAACTTAACATTTATCACAATTTAATTCTGCAATCTTAATTATTTTTTTTCTATTTCTTTTTTTTATTTTTACATTTTAACAATTACGCAGTTTTTATAGCCGCAAAGAGCACAATCAAATATGGTTTTAATTGATTAAACTTTTTCTTTTTTTGGCATTCTATTCGATTTTCTTCTTCCTCCCATTTTTTTATATAATTAATAAAATAATACTTTAAAAATTAGATTAAGTAATTTTTTATAGATATATAATAAACATTTTCACTTTTAATCAACCAAAGATTATAGCAATTCTTGAGTTTAATTTTCATCAAAACTTTCATATTGTTATATTTTATTTTCTAATTCCATAATTTTTTCTTCATATCTATTTCTTTATTAATCTGCTTAGGATTCATAAAGTTATACTTTGTTAGAAAGTTAATTGATCCACATTTTCTAGTGTTCCAATTCTTCTTAGTAATCATTATATTATTTTTATTATAATTAGGCCAACTCATCCAATTATAATTTTAGCATTTCTATTTCTTAAATTTTTTCATCTAATTGCAATTGAACAACTTCCAAATTGCCATTGCTATTTGAGCAAGCATGATTAGATTGTTTAGGCTGATCAGAGTCATATTTAATCTATTGAAATAAAGCCTAATTGAGATTAGAGATTTCCAAAGATTCTAAGGCTTATTCTTAAGCCTATTCTGCAATTAACTTAAATTTTTAAACTTTTTCAGAGAGCTTTTTATTCTACTCAATCAATGATTAAACTTGAGTTGCCAAGTACTCAGGATCTTTGTCTCTGAGTAAATTTTATAATTCTAAAGCTTCAAGTTTAACACTTAATTATTTCTTCTATTCCTTCATTTATTCTAAGTCTTTGATTACTTTGGTATATTCATTTTATACTAAAAAGTCTAGGATGGATTGCAAGTCTGATTGATATTGATTCAAATGCTGTTGGATAAGTGTTAAATTATTGTTTCTTATAGCCTCATTTATTCCAATTTATATAAATTTAATTTTCTCTAAGATGCAGTTGTATGATATTTATTCAATATATTATTTCTATTTTGTATTTAATGAAGGTGATTATTTATTTAACTTATTTTATCTCATTAATTTGTAAAAATAATAAAATTTATTACTGATATATATATAAACTTATATGATTTATAATCAATTCAACAACATTAAGTATTTCGTTTTTGAGAAGTGTCTGTTTCTTTAGTGTTAGTGATAACAATAGCATTTTCTGTGATAATCTTAGGACTCTACTGATCTTGTTTGAGTTGTTTCAACTACATATGGATCTCTAAATTAGTATAAATGTATAAAAACCTTAAATTAATAGTTCAAATGCTTTGTCCACATTCTAAGAAGTCAAGGCTGAAGTCTCAATATATCCAGCCCCTATTTACTTTGCAACCTGTTGAGCCGTGTCACTCCCCACTACTCTTTGTTGACTTAAATCCAACTTATTTCCGATTAGAATTATTTTGACATTAAAATCAGCTTATTATTTTACTTCTTCATACCACTTAACTACATTATCGAGAGATTCCTGATGAGTGAGATCAAAGCATATTATGACCCCATGAGAACCCTTATAATAAGAATTGCTGATAGATCGATATCTCTCTTGTCCAGCTGTATCCCACAATTACAACTTGATGTGTTCATTCTTGATCGAGATCACTTTAGTGAAAAATTACACTCCTATTGTTGATTTTAAATCATTAGAAAAGGTATGATTCACAAACCTCAACAATAGATTAGTCTTACCTACTCCAGAATCGCCAATCACAATGACCTTAAGTAAATAATTGAAGCTATCTATCATATTGGGGTTATTTTATATAATAAATAATTATTGCATTTCAAATATTTTCATGTAATTTTTAGACTCCATAATGGACTTTAGGATTCCAAGACATTTAATAGAACTGATCTATAATGCATTCATAGACTGTTTGTGTATAGACACTATTAAGAATATCTTTTTAATGTTTATATTAAATATGCTATAATATGAGGATAGAAAGTGCACAGATTAATAAGAATTTAAAAGTTATAATGGTTGATGTATCAAATATTCATTTTTTATTCCCCGCAATTTAATTACCGAAATTGTAATAATAATAAATAATTAAAGTATGTCTCTGGTGAATACTCTGTAAATTTATGAATTTTGCCGTACTTTTGCTTCTCAATTGAATTTACGGACTCGCTATACGGTAGAACAATTACACGACAGTTTTGTAAATTGTTTATTTAAAGAGATTTATAGGAATCTAATGAGAATTCATCGCTAGCCTATCAACTAGTGATAGGATTGATAGATAAATTTTGTTTAGCGTATTTGGTATAGGCATCAACACAAACCAATTCAGCTTTCTTGAATGTAATAGGATAAATCAAAAAGTATGATGTAATTACGATTTTAGTTAATTTATTCGTCGATCAATCTTGATGAACATTTGGCCTACGATTTTCACATTAATTACACGCATTTATAGGATTAGAGCTTATATAAAAGATGAAATCGAATTAGAATACTAATAGTTCAAAGAGCATTTATAGTAAGAGCAATTTAAAAATTGGCTGGCCATAGATAAATAGAAGCTGATCCTATTTATGATGGTCACAATCTTTTATGAATCGGAATTTCTGATTTTGGAGATTGATCAAAGAATAAAGATATAAGAAATACTATCAAACAATGATTGGAAGAAGGAATTCGCAAAGAAGGAAGCAGAAGTAAAAAGACTCTAACAATCAGTTGGAAAAGTGGCTAAGAAGAAATAAAAAGAATAGGTCAAGACTCTTCAAATAATAGCAGGATTGGAAGAAGAATTAAATCTGTATACAAAAGCATCAACTGTTGTTAATAGCTAATTATTTTATAATTCAGCTGTAGAGAAGATATCTGATAATATTTATGTACTTAATTGAATTCATAACTTATAGGTATTCTAAGAGGAGAAGAGATGTATCTATCAAGAAAACAACGAAGAAGATTGGCAAGTCATCAAAGGAGCTGAAATGATAGAACTCATTGGTCAACAATAGAAGAAAAGTGCGTAAATGAAGACTTTAGTGAGTGAAGGTTACTTTAGTTTAGAGGAATGTAAGTTGGATCCAATCGTTCTTGATAATACTTACGGAATTGAATAAATAAGTCAAGACTCTATGGCCATTGAATTATTTTAGAGATGCGATATAAATACTGTAAGACAAATTCTTTTGGCTTTGGAGAAGGATTATTCAGAATATGAATTGATTTATTGGAAGAGTTGTTGGACATCTGCTGAAAAAAGGAAAATTTGGCAAGAGAAGGTTTAAAATGCAGATATGGTTGAATTAACTGAAATTTTGAGCAAGATTCCACATCAACTCTCTTGGGTTAACAAAAAGCATGGACAAACTGATAGTTAGGCTAAGTATAAATCTAGTAGATGTAATAAATTATAATTATATTGTTAGTGTATTGGTTTTATTAGAATAAGTTATATTCTATGCCTTATCAGTAATTAAGTAAACAGGAGCCTTCTTTACATTCAATGTACTTGTTGGCTATAACATTATATGATAAATTAAAGAGTTATATTCACAGAAAAATGAGAACAATGGACATCAATTAAATTTAATAATAATAATAGCAATCAGATCTGGAATCAACTTTGGATGATGACTTTTAAGACCTAAAATGAAATTATTGTTGTATTTAATAAATAAAATTCTTTGTTCTATTACACTATGTATGAGAATTTGAACTTAAACAACGTTATAATATATCAACAGATTCTAATAACTTGTTTATTTAATTAAATTTAATATGTATAACAATCAGACAGTTCAGTTAGTGGGTAGATTGAGTCCTAAAACCAAGATTAATCTCGAGTAGCAAAATATGCATCGACTTTCAAATAAAATGCTAGCCAAACACATTAATCCTGACATAGCACTTGTCCCAATGCTCGATGACATCATACCATGTAGTATCAGAATGAATATCAGTTAGTGAAATTTTGAATTAGAGAAAAATGATGCAATCCGTCTAACCAATCCAATATTATGAAGAGCAGAGACCATCAAGAACTATCCTTACGACTCAGCCAAGATCTCATACAAATAAGTCTTCAAGATCAATTAAATCTAATTCAACTCATAGAGATCAAAAGTCAAGAATGTCCAATCAAAAATATGAGTTGATGAGTTGTTGTTCCTGTTCTTGTTGTGGATGCAGTCGAAAGAGCTCCACAAGACTCAAGAAGACTCCAACTCCCACTCCCAAAGTCAGAAGAAATTATCAAGAAAATCCATCAACCAACAAATCTAATAAGTCTATAAGTATAATTTATATTATATTCTTTAGAACAATCTTCAATTGCTAGTTCAGAATCAAAAAAGTCTAGAAAATAAAAAATTTTGAATTCTTCCTAATAAACCAAATAAAAATGCGAATATCATCATTATGAACATAGATAATCCCATTAAACTACTCATTAATCAAACAAAAAGCCAAGACCCTCAAGTGCTGCCATTGTCAATCCAGAAACTGCTAGAAGATAAAAATTGAGAGAGTACCAAGAAAAATAAAAATAACTATAATATTTATACAGTGCTAAATAACTGTAACCATAACCAAGAGAGTAAAGCATATCAAAAGTTGCATGGAGAGCAGATATATCAAGAGTATCAATTTAAATTTTAATCCTTTAGATTGAAGAAGGCAAAGAAAGAAAAAGCAGGATCGAAAAAATTGTTTAGGTTTAAAGAGATATTCTAAATAAATCTTTATCAAGACACAGAAGTGCTTCAAAACAAGAATCCAAAAAGATTGTACCTCCTCCTGATCCTCAAAAATTGAAACTCTTAGAATAAAGAAAAAAGTTAATGGAAAAAAAGAATTAAAAAGTCATTCATGATAAGAAGGAGACATAAAGATTAAAATAAGTTCTTAATTAATTAAAAAAACAAAAATAAGATGAAAAAGACTAAAAAACAAAAAAAACAGAATAATTATCTAAATTACAATAATATCAAAAAGAAAATAGATTATAATGTAAAAAAAAGAAATTTGAACCATCAGAATAATAAATTGATTAGGCCTTTTAAATTGTATCAAGCGATAAGGTAGAAAATGAATCATGATTATATTTAAAATGTATTGCATAAAAGTAATAATATTATAATGATGTACTAAATTAAATTTAAAGAAATGTAAATCTTGTCTTAAATAAAAAGATTTTTAAACATCCAATTAATCTATAACTTTCCCCGATTTCTTGTTATAATTTGAATCAATATCTGATTATGTATAAAGTTTTATTTTTACTATTTAGATCTTAGAAATTGAAACCTGAATTTTAATAAGAAATTCAAAATAATATACTTTTATTTAACTCAAATAAAAGATAAACACAAATTAATGAGATATTTAATTGCAATTTTGAGAGTTAAAATATTAAAACGCTTGTATCTCTGTATCTTAAGAAGTATTAAATATATATTCATCCTAAAACATCAATAATCTTAAATCTTAAACTAAAAATTAATCGAAAGTGGAAATTAAAATTCTTTATGATATAAATTTGAGCAAATTTAGGGGAAAACTTAAATTCAGTATTATTTATAGATTGTAGACTTACCATCCCATTAGTATGGATTTCATATGAAAATCTTCCTATTCAAACAATTCTTTCTTAGCATGATTTTAATATTTTATTAATAATTTAATCATGAGATAAAGTAAAAGTATTGATTTAAGTTCAACTTTTGATAATATTCTAAAACAACTTAAATCATGATACCTTAAATAGTATGAATTTAATGATTTTATTTAATTATGTGTGTTATTTGTAGATCTCAAATATGTAGGGGTTTAGAATTTCATAACTTAAAAAGGTTTGAAAATTTAAGTCTATTGAAGAAATGCTAGATATTAATTTACGAATCTTTTAGTAAAAGTGAATAATATTCATTAGATTTAATAATTTTGAATCTCAAGAATTAATATTTCAAATTAGTTATGGAAGCAAATATTTCAACTACTACTAGAATGGGTCCTTCTAATGCAACACAATAAATTACGTCGAAACCAGAGTCTCCCTCTTCATAATCATTATTCGATGAAGAGAGTGAAGTGTTGCATCACAATATGATAAAGGATAAAAAGCAAAATGTTTTTGGTTAAAGTCGTAAAGTAAAATTATGTTTTTGAATAAGTCGGATTATCTAAAGCATGCTATATTCTTAACAAATAGATCTTTAAGGATGACTGAAAACAAAAAACCTTCTTAGTTTGTAATAAATTTTAGGAAACAATACTTCGTGCATCGATTCATCAACAACCTATTTACAAATCTTTACTTCATGAAATCGGATTAAAAATTAAAAATAATGTAAACTTTAGATGAAAAACCAGCATAATAATTTGCTAAAGATAATTGTAAGAAATAATAACAATATTTAATAGCTAGGAACAGTAAAAATAATAAATGGATATTTCTACCGTCTACTCATTTTATAATGATTTGGGATATTCTAGGACTTTTATTTCACCTTATTATGCTATGGGTCAGTCCTTTTTTATGCTCTTTTCAAGAATTTAATAATAGTATAATTAAATCTCTTTAGTCAATAATATTATTTTATTTGGTTTTTGATATTTTAGTAATGTTTAACAGGGCTATAATTAGAGAGGCCGTTATAGTATGTTAAAGAAAGGATTTCATTAAAAATTATTTAAAATCTAATGCTATTTATGATTTTGCGAATTTGGCAATCTGGATATTTTTAAAATATGAATTTCACTAATTATATTACTTTTAAGAGTGTCTAATCATATTTTAAGTGTTTTTGATTTATAAAAAAATTTAGAGATATATCACAGAGTATTTTCAGTAAATATATTGCCGAGGAAATCAAAGCTTCACGATAGATTTAGTATCTTTAATAATTTAAATTTACTACTTTGCTCATATTATAGCCTGTATTTGGCATTATGTAGGATCATAAACAGAAAGTCTAGGAAATTCATGGTTAATTGATAATCACTTAGAGAATAAATCATCTTGGAGCAAATACAACGCAGCGTTCTATTGGGCAACAATGACTATGACTACAGTTGGTTATGGCGATGTGGTTGCAGTAAATGAAATTGAAATGATTGTTGCATCTATTGTCATGTTTTGTTCAAGTTGTGCTTTTGCTTATACTATGAGCTCAATAGGGATTATCCTAAAGAATATTTATGACACTTAATTAAACTATAAGTATTATTTCAAATTATATATCGGTAGAAAAAATCTTATTTAAATTACTCAATTTATGTTGAAAAACAATGTAGATGAATAAATACAAGGGAGAATCAGGAACTATTTAAATTCTCAGTTATATTAAGAGAAAAAGGAGAATATGGATGATGTGAACAACATCTTGAATTCTCTCCCTTTTAATTTGCAATAAGATTTAAATGCAGATATATAGCACAGAGTAATTAAGCAAATAAAATTAATTATCAATCATTTTTCTAAATCAACCTAAATCCAAGTAGCTAAGAATCTACAACTAATTTCATTATTGACTGGGGATGTAGTTTATAAATAAGGTGATCTCTCGGAGGATAGTCTGTAATAATCGTTATTATTTAAGATACTTTATTCATAAAGGTGAAGTGAAATAAACTGAACTTTAAACCAAAACAACACTTAAAACATTATAAAAAAACTAATATCTTGGGATTTATTCATTTTTTACAGGTTTTTGCCCCAAAGAAACAGCTATATGTAATAGTCCTACAGAAATATATAAAATAAATAGGAAGAAATTTTTAGAGATTATTCGAAGTAATCAAAAGGATCACGAAATATTCAATCATATTAAAGACAAAATTATCTTTACCAATAATTTAGTATTGTTTGATCATAAATGCCATTTTTGTAATCGACCTTTTCATTTGGAAATAGATTGTCCGCTTATCTAATATAAACCAGATTTAGAATAGATCTTGAAGAAGGAGAACTTTACAGTGAAACATAACTTTAGGGTTTTTAAGAAACGAAAAAACAATAAATACAGCACTTTAGGATAATTGAATAAATTAACTTAATCCTTGAATTAATTTTAAGAAGATTAATAAATATAACTTTTTGGTTTAAATGAGAATAATTAAATTGAAATACCACGTCAAAGAACTGGGCTTTCAGAAGTAGTTTATCAAAATTCGCCTTAGATGATTGGCCAAAACAATTAAAATCTTAGTGGCATAAGTGATGAAGAATAGCATTCAGAATTTCAACATAACTCATAATAACAACCAAAATAATAAATTTAATAATCAGCAATTAAAATTTAACATAGTAATCATGTTATTTATTTATTATAGGATCGTCAATATAAAAAGTAAAATTAACTAAACTTGAACACAGAACTTCCAAAAGCAACTTCGCACCAAATACAGATAATTTAAATACATCGTTTAGCATTCTTGATGAAGTTAAACATTTACTTAATTACTAAAATACTTTCAATCTGGATAAAGTGAACTTTACGAGTATTTCATATATGCCTTAATACTCGTTGGAGTCACAACTGAAATAAATGGCTAAAACCATCAAAAGGAAAAACTAAAGACTTTAGAGATTGCATGAGAGATTCGACAAATACACATTCTTCTATTAAGCCAAGGAACTGTCTCTCAAATTAAGATTGTTTTACAAAAGAAGTAATAAAAGCACTTTGTTATGAATTTGCAAATTTTATAATAAATTAAATATAAAATGTAAGGTTAACCCATCCCATTCATTGAATTAAAGGAAAATTAAACCTCAGAAGGATTGGAAACTACTTTTGAAATTCATCCCTAAGCAATTAAGATGTTGTAATCCATTGCTGACAGAAAAGTATACACTTTTTATGGGATATCTAGGTAGCTGTTCTTACAATTGCAGGTCCACAAAGAACAGGAAAGTCCTTTTTAGCTAATAGAGTATTAAAGAGATAAAAGGGATTTGCTGTTGGACCAACAACAATGCCATGTACAAAAGGTATTTGGTTATGGAGCTAGCCCATTCCATTAAATGAAAATACTTCTATTTTGCTAATGGATACAGAAGGATTGAACTCAGTCTAAAGAGACTTAGGAGTGGACACTAAAATATTCTCAATATCTTTATTGCTATCATCGATGTTTGTATTTAATCAATTGGGTCACATTGATGAACAATCAATAGAGAATCTCTCTCTTGTTATTAAATTAAGTGAGAATGTCAGTGTAGGATCAGAGGATAAAAGTTTGAGTTAATTTTTCCCAACATTCCTTTGGGTTTTGAGAGATTTCTCACTAGATTTGAAAGGAAGATCTCCAAGTGAATATTTGGAGTTTGCACTTTAAGATTAATCCAATCCAGGTCCTGATGGAGAGAGAAAGAATCTTATCAGAAGAAAGATTAGAGAGTATTTTAAATTCAGAGATTGTATCTGTATGGTGAGACCAATTTAGGATGAAAGAAGACTAGCTAGAGTAGAAGAAGAGGATTGGAATGCCTTAAGACCGGAATTCATTTCAGCTGTTTAAGATTTTGAGAGAAGAGTTTCCAAGAACATTCCTCCCAAGTAAATTAATGGCACTACTCTAACTGCAGAGATGTTTTTGAAACTTTCCCTTGAATATGTTGATGCCATCAATTCTGGAGGAATCCCTTAAATCTTAACTAGTTTAGACAGAGTCATCTAATAAGAAGCAAGAAATCTTTTGGAAGAACTAAAAAGTCAATACTCTAAAAAGTATTAAGATGCTTTGTAAAAGATGAAACCTCCATTTGAAGATGAGGAGTTAATCTAATTATAAAAATAAATTGAAGCTGAGATCTTTTAAAGGTTAGAATAGAAATCCAAGGAAATAATTGATAACTCTAAAATAAATAGTATGAAAAAAGAATTACATGAAATGATGTCCCAAGACTTGTAAACAAGATTGGAAATTAATAAAGAATAATCTACTACTGTTGCTAATCAGATCTTATAGAAATTTTTCAACACTTTTCAAATCCCAGTCTTAGAAAATGTTGACAGCATTAAACCATCTCTTTTAGTAGATCAATTTCAAGTTTACAGTCGCTTTTTTAAATATTACATGGAAACTGTTAAGGGTCATTAAAAGTACAAACATTTCTCAGAAAAAGTGCCTTCGTTTTTATTCAGCCACTTTGAAAAGCTGATATTGAGTGTTCAAAAAGTCTACATCGAAGAAAACAATTAAACTAAAAAGTATCTGGTTTAAGCAAGGGAAGGGGAAGAAAGATTAAGAAAAACCATTGCAAATTAAGAATCCTTATTGTATGAAATATAAAAGGAAAGAGATTAGTTAAAGTATGAAGTAGAAAACTGGACCAGGGAGTCAAATAAATAAGAAAAAATTAAAAGTCTTGAATTAGAAGCTTGCTAAGCCAAGGTAGGTCAATTAACCTAAGAATTATAAAATAAAAAAGAAAAAAGCTAAAAATTAAAACAAGATTATCAAAACTTACAAGAGCAACTTCAAAGAGTCAGAAATGAACTTAATGGAAAAAGAGTTGAATGTTAGCAATTACTGAAGAGGATGAGTGATGACAGTTAGTCCTTTAGAGAATCAGGAGAAGATGTAAATAATAATCCATAAATATTAGATTTCCAATGATTTGGTTTTACAATATAAAGATATGAAATAATAAGCTCATTAGATGAATGACTTCTTTAAAAGAAGAGCCATGGATCACTCATAACAAAGTATCTTCCTCCAAGAGATTAATAAATTATAATAAGATAAGTTTAATGAAATCATAAAACTCAGAGAGGATTACAAACAAAAAAAATAAAAAATGAAAGAGGATTTGGAGCAAGAAAAGTAATATTATTATACTAGAATTAGAAAATCTTTGAAAAATAATCTAGAACATTTTATCAAATAAAATGAAGAATTAAAAGCAAAGAATATGACCTATTATGAGAAATATGAGCAAGCACAAAAAAATCAATAACATCTTAAGGTATCTATTAATGTTATTTTGGATAGTAAATGTCAGCAGAGAACTAAAGATTATCATAAAGATTGGAAGAAAAATCAGAAAATTTAGATATGCATATTCAAGTTATTGAAAATTTCACTAAAGATATAGAAAAGCTTACAAGTATTCGAGAAGATCTTGAATAAAAGCTTGCATTCATGAATTCTGAAAAGAGTTAATTGGTTTCATTTAAGGAGAGTTTTCCATATATTCTAAAAGGTAATATCTTGATTATTATATTGAAAGAGGCTTTGAAATGGGTCTTAAAACAAAATTCAAAAATAAAGCATGCTATGAAATCAGTAGGTGAAGAAGAGTAAAAAATAATTCGCGATTGTTTTCATGAAGTTGGTATAAATGTATGAAAAATTATAAATTTATATAAATAAACATTTAGTACAAAATACTTAAGAATTAAAATATTTTATTATGAATTCTAATTATATTATTATAATAAAATATTTAAACAATAAATTAGGATATTTAATTTTAATCACAAACCTCATATTAAATCTACGATGTCAAATGCAATCTTATAATTCTCAAGAAAATAACAATCTTGTATACTTCTTAGATTTTAATAAATCATTTATAAAACATCAATAAACTCATCTGTTTTCCAACTAGAAAGTATTAAATATATTGATCAACTTAGGCATTTTAAGAGTTAATTTAGAATGGTTATTAATACAAAAAATTAATAGTTGAGATAGTAGTTTAGTATACAAGAAAATAACATAATTTAGTTATTTTATTTATAAAATATCAAATGTCTATAATTATTTCTAATTCGAAACAATAAAGAAAACTCCCATTACTTAAGGATTATACAAAGTAAAAGAAAGAGATGTTGAAAACATTTTTTACAACCAAAACTAGCAGATCTGAATCAAGATCAAAGTAAACTCATGAGGTTTTTAAAGAGGAAAAGTCCTATTATTTTGATGATAGCATAAAGCAACAAAAGAAGGCTATTTATCTATCATAAAAGCTTATTAGAATAACTCCCCGCATCTTTCCTGCAAAGACTGATCCTTAAATTAACCAGAGTGAAGAGATAAGTGAAGATAGTTCTGAGAAATCAAATAGTAGTGTCGATGCTTTTGATCTAGACAAACACAAGGAGCATGTTAAAAATAAATTAAGTATATGCGAGTGATAATTCAGAGATAAAATTAACGAAGAATCATATTTTGGGTTCTTGAAGAACTAAAACAAATTGAGAGACGTAGCTTAGCATTTCATAAACGAAGAGGGAATGAATCCGATTTACTATTTTTGTGTTCATGACAGTTTGTTTCCCAAAAGAATTGACTTAACAAATTGCTTGGTTGATAAAAAAGAGATGAATTTCACCAATTTAGGCATAGGTTCTAAATATTATCCAATTTTGACTACCTTATTGAAATAATAAAAGAGTTAGAGAATTAAATAACTATTTTTAAGTGATAACAACTTAAAGGACTCAGAATTAGGTATGATTGTCGACTGCATACCTCTTTCTTTAAAAGAATTAAAAATTTCAAATAATAAATTAGGTAAAGGAGGAGCCGTGCTTCTTGAAAAATTAATCACAACTCATAAAAGGTATCTATTCTTATTGTTTTATAGCATCAAATACATAAATGTTGCCAATAACACTTTAGGAGATTAAGGAATTTAAATATTATTAAATGCTTTGATGAAAAATAACTCAGTTACTAGATTGAACCTATCAGAAAATGGTTTAACCGATTCTATTTCAAAAACTTTGTATAACTTCTTAGTGAGTAATAAAACAGTGGAAGTCTTAATGTTAAATTGGAATTACTTGGGATCCATATCTGGCTAATCTATTGCAAAAGGATTGGCCAATAATAAATCATTAAAAGTGATAGACTTAAGTTATAATCACTTGGGATAGAATAATTGCATGATCTATTGGAGTGAGATCATTTCAAATCCAAAGATGTCACTTATACATATTGATCTATCATATAATCAATTTAGCGAATAATAATTAAGAATCTTGAATGATGCTTTGAAAAAAAACAATTAGATCTATGGATTGCATATTGAAGGGAACAAATGTGCTGCATATGTAGATCCTAATGGATTCATTCAATTTGCTAATAATGGATCACAATTTTAAGGAAATCCTTTCAGATTATAATAAAAGAAGTATGAAATAGATGGTGTAAATTTTATACCTGAATTAAATGATGGATTGTTAGGTAGTGATTGTTGCTGGATTTGCTAAGGGTGGATGGAGTTTAAATTTAATTACACTCCAGATGATTTTAACGGTGATGTGCCAATCTTTCTCCATCTTGATTTTTTAGAGTATTATTTTATACGAAATTAGTTATAAACCAATTCCAATGACATCGAGCTTAGAATTAAAGGAATAGATGAAATAATAAAGAAAAAGCAAATCTGTTGAGCAACCATAATTAACAACTGGCGAAATAATTTATCAATTAAAGTAAGTAATAAATGATGATAAAAAAATAACTATGGCTGCAATCCAAGAAGCTTATGACATGGAAACAAAGGATGAAGTTGTGGATGAAAGATTATTAGATGATCTTGATTAATTTTATTATACTACCTATTAGATGTGTCCACCTAAAAGAAGGATCCTGTACTTCTTTAGTAATCCAATGTCTGAGGACTATTTTATAGATAAAAATTCATTAAGTATGTAATCCCCCCCTGATGATTTAATATTGCAAGGCAAGGATACTAAATTTCAATATCATTAATTTGCAGATGGAACTAAGGTTAAATTTAAGAAGATTAATTAAATTAATTATTTATTGTCTAAACAGGAATACGTAATAGACGATAAAAACGATTATAAACCATTGGTTAAAATATTTCCTCGATCTGCTCAAAAAAAATACATTTTGAGGAAATTTGCAAATAATTCAATCAGAAAGAAAGTTAATATAATATTTTGGATTAAGGAAGATTCATCTTTTAAATAATTTTAGAGCGATAATGATAATTTATTGGACAGCTGTTTAGATTTTGATTGGTAATGTAGTAAGATTACTAGATTTGTTAGAAATGAGTATGAAAGAACTAAGATGAAAGAATATTTCAGACAACAATATTAATTATTAAAAGATGTATATAAGTACCTTTCAAGTTTTGGACATTAACCTCCTTAATTTGATATGTTTTGCATATAATATCCCTAATTCTAAAAGTTAGTATAATAAGTAGGATTAGTTGATGGAGTTGACTTGAAAATCTAGGATGTAGAGAGCAATTTAATTTCAATAAAGAATAATGTAGACAATAAATTCATATACAATCCAGATTAAGCTCTGATTAGATACTAATTCATAGAGAGTCTTTACAGATTGGCTCTTGATAAATATGTAAGGACAAATACTGTCAAGAATGCAGCTGATGCAGTATATCGATTATTAAAGGAATTCAAGCCTTACTTCAATAATTTTGATTCCACTCAGGATTGGAGACAGAAGAGATTGTGGAATAAGGAGTGTGACACTTTAATAACATTCAAGATGGGATTCTTGAAGAAACTATATGATTATGCTACAGATATCAGCAACAGAAGATGGTATTTTAAATTAAAATGGATTTCCATTAAAGAATTTAAAGAGTTTTGTAAACAGATTGGATTGAATGAATATTTGAATGATAAATAGCAAGTCATAATCTACAATTTCTCTATGATGTCATAGGTGGATGAACTTAATTAAGATAGAAATGTTAGAATGTCTCTCATAGAATTTATAGAGTCACTAGGGAGAATGGCAGAAAGAATAAGTCCAGCTCCAATTGGGGAGAGAGTGTCGGAATGGACATATGAGTAAAGAACCACCTTGCCTTTGCATGTGAAATTAGAGTCATTGCTAACATATATTTATATTATAGTTAATAAAAAGTAAGTTATTTTAAATATATTTGAAGAGGAGCCTTTGAGTCCTTTAATGATGTGTTTGGAGATGAATAATAATAGAAAGTTCAATTCATGCCAGCTCCAGAATCTGTAATAAATGATGAAGAGTATTCCAATACCATAGAAACTTTAACTACTTATAATACATTGTCTTATATGAGTAATAAATTTATATTGATTAGCAGATCTCCATAAACAACCATACCTAAATCCAGATTATGTACATTTCTTGCAAAATCCGGTGCCCAATCAGCCAAAATTTCATGGTCCTCTTTTGGTTAGAAGATTTTCAAGAGCAGATAGGAAAAATAAATGAATATTAATTTTAATTATTGATGTAAAGTGAATAATTGAGTGAATAAAAATTGTATGCCTGGGGAAGTGCTGAATGTGATCAATTTTTGGCTAAGGATGAAGACGATGAAGAATTGTATGAAGTCAAGAGACCATATCAAATAAAAGAATTGAATAATCTATCAATAACCTAGGTGGCATGTGGAGGAATGCATGCCTTAATTTTGACTTCTTAAGGAAAAGTATTGCATTGATTTAACATAAATTAGGTGTATTCATTTGGATGTGATGACAAGGGAGTGCTTGGCAGACCCAAAATAGAAGGAGAAGACGCTCGAGTTCCAGCACTGATTACAGATCTTCCTCCTGTGGACATGATTGCTTGTGGTAGTTCTCATTCAATTGCTGCAAATTCCAATGGTTTAGTATATTTCTGGGGGTTTTATGCAAATACTCATGGTCCAATTGGAGAGTCAGTGCAAAAGCCAAAAAAAATGGATAATATTACAGAGGGAATAAAAAAAATACTATGTGGTTAAAATCATACCATGGTATTATTGGAAAGCCAAAAAGTACATTATCCATTTAAGTTTAGTTATTAACATGGGGAGATGCAGAAACCTTAGTAATAGGTAGAAAAAGTGAAACCAGAAGATCAGTTATGCAAAATTTAAATCCTTAGCCAATCAAGATGAAAAAGCCAATTTTAAACATTTTTACAGGAGCTTCTCATGCATTTGTTAAAGTTTAAATGAAAGATAACAAAGTTGGAATTTACGGATGGGGATTAAATAACTACGGATAATTGGGTATTGGTAATCAAGAAAACTAATAATTACCTACATTAATCGAATTTTTTGATAACATTGATGTTATTGATATGGTTGGAGGAGAACACCATACAATTGCATTAGATTCTTAAGGAAATCTGTATTCATTTGGCAGACATGATGATGGACAACTCGGATTAGGAGAAGAAATCAATGAACAATTGAAAGAGCAAGCATAAAAACAATTAGAAGAAGAAATCTAGTCATAAAAACTTAACGAGAGCAACAAAAAAAAAATAAGCAAAAAGAATAAATTATAAGGAGAACTATTTGAAATTTAAAAGTCTGATAAGGTTATCGGATATGAATTCATCACTAGTCCATAAATGATTAAAGATATCCCCAAGATGCAAACTATTTATTCTTCCATGCATTTTAACTTTGCTATCTCTCAAGAAGGATAATTATTCTCTTGGGGAAATGGTTAAAGTTATGTCCTCGGTACTAGAAATGAGAATTCACAATTCAAACCTAGAGATGTATATACTTTATTTAACCTTTTATAGATTACAACCATTTTTAAAAATGAAAAGCTGTTATAGATCTCACTTGGTGCAAGTCATGTAATTGCATATACATCAACTGATTTAAACTACAACACACAGAAAGTGGATGAATCAATCATAAAAATTCAGGATTAAAAAACAAAGATTAAGAAGCCAAGAAGAAGCAATAGCAGAGAGGGAAGTAAAGAAAAGAGTTTGTCTATGAAAAGAAATGAATAAAAGTTTGATGACAGTTTAATTCCAGTTAAAGATTTGAAAATTGATTGATAAATAGGTTTTAAGTTTAATTTATTCATTTCTATAGTTCTTCTATTCTTCTTCTTGATTTTTCTGCTGATGAATTTTAATGATTTAATTCTAAATTGTGATGTTCAATAAATTTATTAGCAATCTATCCTATTTTTTTTGTTTTTGCTTTCTTTAAAAAATTCTACTTCTATTCTTCTTAGAGTAATATTCTTTGAATAAACTCCCTTTATTATTCTTCCTTCTTTTGATCAATTTTGACCTATTTTTATTCATAGATCTCAATCTCATTCTATAGTGTTTCCAATAGGTTTTAGTTTTAACAAAACATTTTGGATTTCTAAATCATTTCTTGTGCTTCATGTTCATAACGTAAAAATGTGAGCATATCCTTACTTTAAAAATAAATGTTTAAGTTTCCATCCTCGTAATATTCTTGTATATCTTTACAATCCGAATTATGTTAAAGAGACTTTACAAAATTAATGTTAACCCTTTCATTATCGAATTAATTTAATGACGAATCCATTTTTTAGGATTCTTATTTATTCTAAGGATATAATGGCGAATTTATGAAGGAGGAATTATTTTTATTTTGATTTGGTTATTTGCAAAGCTTTTTCAAATTATCACTTGCTATTAAAAATTCGCCTTTTATATCTTTATCTATAGATTCATCTGTTATTGAAGAACTAATACTAGACACCTCTAATTAGAAATTTGTTTTCTCTTATTTATATTTCTTCCCTTTTTTATCTCTCCTCTTTCGTTATTGAGGCTATCCTTATTAAGTTGGTGATGCCACAGGAGTTGTAATATAGGGTATTGCCTTTAGCTTTTATCTTAAATGCTAAAAATGCTCCTTAACTTTGATTGTACTCTCAAGTTCAAGAACGGGGGGATTCTAAAGAATTAGGCTTTGTGAGATTGATTTTTTTGGCCTTGAAATTCTTTAAAATTATAACATTAATTAATGAGCAGAAGAAACTCTCTTGAAAAAATTCCGCAATCAGCTCATTCAGCTAGAAATTAAGGTCGAGGCCTTAATATTATAGATTTTCTTACAAAACAGAACTTTCAAGACAAAGCTCCATCCACAATTTTATTCTCGGATGAAGTAAATAAACTTAAATCGTGCGATATGTGTTTATAATTATAAAATGAACTTGATTAACATGTTAAATCAGATAGATTTTAATAAGTTATAGAGAAATTATGGCAAAAGTTTAGAAAAATTGAAGATGAGAATCAAAAAGTGTTAATAAAAGTAGGCAATCTAGAAAGATCACTAATTGAATAATAGGAACTCTTACAGGCATTTAATAGTTAATTTATTAGCAAGTATGGATTAGAGAAACCTTAGTAATAATATAACTACGCCACTTTAGATCAGGAGTAACTTGATAGATTGGAGAGGAAGATTTCCAAGGATGCATAAAAGGGAATCAAAAATATAGAAGACAATCTTTTCAAAAATTTAAATAAAGAAATCTAAGCTAAATTTAACTTGATATAAGATTATTAATTAGAAACTAATCTTAAGTTTACGAGTATCTTTTCATAAATTGATTTATTGAATAACAAATCAGAAATAGCTGATAAAATCAATACCATAGAAGCAACTCTGAGTGAAAACAACAAACTACTGAATAGTAATAAATTAGATCTCTTAGAAATGCAAAAGCAGGTATTATTTTATATTTTAACTAAGTATAGTGACGTAGATTCTGATCTAATTAAAGTATTTCAACATATTAAAACTTTGTTGTAAACTAATTATAAAATAGACCTGATGGAATAATCACTTAATAATTTGAAGTTACAATTTACTCAAATTAGAGATTCTTTAAATGAAGTAGAAGATTTGGTTTCAAAAATATGAAAATATAAATATAAACACTAACAATCATCAATACAAGTGACGTTTATACATTTAAAAAAAATCATAATTAATATTTACAAGAGTAGTCTAAAGTGTTTTACTAAATATTTCTTTTATTTAAATAATACGTATAAAAAGATTTCTAATTATAGATATCATTTGATTCAAAATCTTCTCTTAAAGATTATTAATAGGTATTTATAATTTAATCCATATAACATAATAAATTATTTTGGTCAGTAATTATTTATTTGAAGAATAACATGTATACTAATTGTAAGGAGAGTAAGCGACAAGAAACATGTTTTACCTATACTAGATTATATTGTTAAGTTAATAAATATGTATTAAAAATAGATATAAGTCTTTTAACTATAAGTAATTCTGAAAAATTAAATAAAAGAAGTATGTATTTCTACTTGGGATCAATTAAGTCAAGGATAAATACTGTTTATTACTTGGTTCTTGAAATAATAAATTATGAGGTGCATGGAAATACAGTTCTTTAAATAAATGCAAAAAAAAATAGAAGATTCATTCACCCTACTTACTATTTTCTATCTATTAGATTAATTTTTAATTCTTTTCTGTTACTTCCTAAAATATTTCAAGTACTTACCCTAATTTGAGCTCGTAAACTTTTAAGGCGCTTATCAAATTCAAATTATTCATCTTCTAAATCAGCTCTCTCTTACATATATTAAAACAACTCTTAATTGAAATTCTCCAACATATTTTTGTATAAAATTTACGAATGACTAGAGATTTCTGTTTGTGTAAATAGTAATTTTAACGAATTCTTAGCCTATTGTATTTATTTCAATTGATCAATTCTGCTCTACTTATCTGCTTTAATGTCTTGCTTTTAGGAATCTAAATCATATAATTATTATTCTTCAAGCTCCTTTATGTATTCCGATAGATATGGATCAACCAATAATACTTCCTTTTGATATTCTATTTATATAAGATAATTTATCATACCCTTCTCCCTAATCCTTTAGATATTATATATAATTTGTTTCTAATATTCCCTCAATTATTTATACTCAATTTCTTTTTAATTATAAACCAACAATAATTCTTACTAATAGCGCCTCTCTTTACTAACAACAACTTCAACATCTTCAAGCCCATCCTCTACAGGTGTTTAGTCTGCATATTCTGCTTCATACATTAATTAAATTTAATAAAAGAAAAAGGCTTATAAATTCGATTTTAATTACAATCAACATCAAAAATTATAATTGTTTTGATAAATAGAATACGAATTTAAAGAATAAATTAAAAAGACTTATTTAAGTATCCTAGTAATACCAGAAACTCAAACTAAATATGTATTTGACTTTTAATAATTATTGAACAATAAATAGTTATATTTCAAGAATCCTAATTTTCATCGTTATCTTGTTTATCTACAATTTCAATATTATCCATACTCTCAATAAGTATGTTACTATCATTAACTAATTTACATTTTGGATTAGATTAGGGATGCAAGGGACTTTAAGAAAGCTTACTTCCTATCCAACCTCCTTGGATCACTTATTAATATGTAATCTACTATCGGCAAGATGGACATGTTAACACTTTCATCAGCCACTTCTTTAAGCACAAATGATGAAAAATGTGTCCACAAATGCTTACACTAATTTCCTTTTGATTTAAATTGTCTAAGCATACTACACATTATGTATTTTATTGAAATTCTGGATTTGATTTAATGAAATCTTCGTAATCAAATATTTCGAAGTATTTATCAAAAAACTGTCCACTAAAGTTTTTAGGATTTTCCTCTATTGGAGGGGGTCTTACTTTAATTTTCTTTTTATTCATTTTAATATCCTTCTTTTTACATAAGTTTGTAATTGCAAAGCAAATAATAATAATAAAAATGTTGAAGGATGCAAAAATCAAAAATAGGCAGTTTCCATCCCATATTTTTGGAATTTATTCCTATTTTACATATAATTTAAATGATTAGTTAGATTTACATTACAAACCAATTACCAGTGTAGTAGAGTTCTAAAATTACTAATGCAAATTTTGCATCAACTTAGTGAGACTGAGTTAACTATGTAAAATAGCCGTGTATGATGTTGAATCAGGGACTTCATAGCCTTTCAACCCTAAAATTCCAAAACTTACAGCTAATTATAAAAAAAATAACTTACTTATTGGTTCATTTACACCTTCGGCAATTAACAGAGCCTATTCATTGAATTAGTAAGACAAGTATATAATCTTACGAGCCATCAATTGAATTTCATACTGTACATCTTTTTCCATTTTTTATAGTTCAAATTAACAGTAGGATCCAAAAAAACCGCTCTAACATTCGCACTTTGATGTGCAGCTTGCATTTTGAATTATTTTATTCAAAGAATAACCCTAACAGTTGTTTATACACGTAGAGTGAGGTTTCGAATAAACTTCTAATTTTACTCTAAAGGGTCCAAATCCATCTCTTACGTAATAATAGATGTCATTCCCCTAAGAAATTTCAATTAAATGGATATTATGACGGGTTTACATGGACTCAAAGTCAAAATAAATTTCTTTTCTACTCTCAATAAATTTTGGTTTTGTTGTTATATTGAAATCTGCCTCCCGAACTTTCTCATGAGAGACTATAGCCAAAGGATAGCTAGCTTTCTCAAAATAGAAGACTAATAACAAGTCTTCATCGTTTGTTTCAAGGCTTAACTTTTCTGAAAAATTGTTGATGACTTCTAGTTCAATTTTTTTTAGTAATTAGTATGCATTTCCTAAAATAGCTAGGAGTGACAATTATAATATCATAAAATAAATCTTAAATATTAATATAAAACTTCTAGTATCCCTAAAATCGGAATTTATATTAATTTTCATTAATTATGGAAAAAAAATGTGAAATTTATCAGGTATTATTATTATCGAATATTTCTTTGATTCTGAATCTCGTTTTTCTATTATATGTATTTTTCAAGTTTCTTTTGATTTATAATTTCTTTTGGTTATTCTTTAATAGTGTAAAATTAGTTAATAATAATAATTTTTATTTTTTCTGAAGATTTATAAATGAGAATAGGATAAAAAAACAACCGATTTGATCATTCCTTTGCATTTTTAATGAATAAGTTTCATTTGATAAAGTCATGGAAATAACCTTCAAATGTTAGATTTAGGACTTAATTGTGTAATATATGTCATAAAGAATTAATAAAATCAATGTTTAATTATTCTTGCTCTTTGTTTCATTATTATTTGATCTTTAGCATTAACTTTTTCGTGTAAATTAAAGAAATAATATAAAATTAAATGCCTAATAATTAATATAAATAAAGTATTTTAATGTGAAAGCCAGTTCATTTTATGAATTAAATAATATTTCCTCTAAACTAGATTAATGTATGATATATGTTAATCTAATTATCGTAAAATTATTTCTTATAATTCATTATTTTATTTAACTTTAATCATTTGTTATTTTGAATAAATAATAAAAACTATATCTAAGTGTTCCTTCTATAATCGGTTTAACTTATCGAATTCTTAGTGAGATTGTGGAAGGGTTTTAAGATTATTTTCATTATAATGTCTATTAATATTGGAGAATAATATTAATTGTAAAATTAAAATTTGGGGAAAATTTTTTGGGTACAACCATTATTGATTGAAATATAGATGATATGAATTTAAAATACTCAATTTTATTCTTGGAATTATATCGATTCAGGGTTTTTCTTCTATTTTGATTTTCTCCTAAATATTTGCTTATTTAAGCATAAATAAAATTGAATATCAGATTTCATTTATTCTAGAATACTGGAACACCACAAATAATTCCCAAAATATATCTTAACTATTTGTCTTGCAATTTTTGATTTCATTAATAATATCATATGCTTCTTTGCTCGTTTTGATTTTTTTGTTTTTAAGAACTTTTCTATTGTTTTGTCTTTTATTATTTCTGTTTTATCAAAATATTTTATTATAAATGATGCTAACTTATTTCCTATAATCTTATAGTAATTTTTTGATTATCCTGGAAACATGTAAGGATCGAAATTGATTGTATCATTGTTATATTAATACTATAAACTTGTATTATCATTTTGTTTATGTTCTTCAATTTTTATTTCTAAATTTTGGCTGCTTTCTTTTTGGTTTGCTTATCTTATAATATAAATGGGATAGGCTAAAAAATAGCGTCCATCGATGCACACTTTTTATATTGGATAAGAATTGCAATCAAACATAGTAATTAAAGATAATAGTGATTTTTGAAATAGCATGATTAAAAATTTATTAATACGAATTATGGAAAAGCTAACTGATTAGTTGGAGAATAAATAAGAATTTAGATGAATATTTTAAGCTGGATTGAAGATTAGGAT